AAAAAAGGAATATGTCTATTGGACTTCAATGTATATTGAATGTTAACATGTATGGTTAATTTGTGAAATAAATATGAAATTATTTAACTCCATTGCTTCTTGTACTTTATTCATTCTACAAACATATCTAAAATAGGAAGAAGTATCTGTATAGTTCTTCTCTCATAAATATCCAGGAACACAAAAAAGTGCATTAGTTTTTGCCACACTCCTGTGTATAAAGCATTCTCCTGTGCTAACATGGGTTTCACTCTGCAATTTTTATATATTTTATTATTTTATTTTAATTTTTTATTTTATTGGCCCAATTCTGCCACCCATTCTCAAATTTATTTGCACGATTTATTGCTGTTTTAACAAGGTTGGTAAGTAACACTGAAGGACTGCTGTAATTTTTTTTTGTTAAGCATTTCTTCTCTGCAGTTAATCATTGCATGCACTGTGCTATGTCATTTCTATTATGGCATTTGTGGCAAGACTAATAATTACTAAAACCAATGAGAAAGAATTGGGTGACAGAGTTTGTTCTTTTTTATACGTGTTGTTGGAGTGCAGCAAAAATCCTTATCTCTCAATGAGTTTTAAAATTGAAGACTGTAATTGAGAAGCTTCTCAGTTACAGTGCCTAGAGACATTACAATGTCTAGAGTCATTAATCCACTCACACTTTTATTCTTTTTTAAAAACTCTTATATCTGTCAAATACTCTGGGCCTTTACTGATGAAACTTGAATCAGTGAGGACAACGGTATTTGATTTCCACAGGTTTTCCTTGCTTTGTGCTTTTCATGAATTTTTCCATTTGTGGAATTTCCATATTTCACTGATGTTTCTATTGTCACACGTGAGCAGAGATGTTCTTGCCTCTGTTTCCTCTCATTTTAAGCTACTATTGGAACTAAAGTTGTCTAATGCATATATCTATAAATTCAAAAAGGCAAGAAACCAAAAAATCTTAAAAGTCTGTTCTCTTTTTCTCTGACATTGTGGGAGTTTTAATATGCCACATCTTGACAGAGTGGAGTTCAAAAGCAGAGATTTAAATCAATTGTATTAAATCAAGGGTTTAGACTTGTGATGTTTGTAATAATGATGCTGTAAACTTAAGGATCTAATGACAAAATCAGGACAAAGCTGTTAAGGTAGAGGTGATCTTTTGGTGTGGTAGACAAAAGATAGAGTTTAAGGAGATGAACTATGCATCTAAAGAAAGGTCAGTGTGCTGAAAAGGTTGTGGGTTTGTTGGTTGGTTTGGTGGTGAGGGTGGGATTCAGTCCTAATTGTGGCATTCTGGGGTTTTTTTTGTTGGTGTTTTGAATTATATCAGGGTCTTAGCACTTTTCTGCTGTACTTGTTTGCGTAGGTGTACATACAAATATGTATGACGTGTACCACTTTAGTTATATCTGTGAAATGCATCAGTGTTGCTTGATTGTTACTTGCACAGTGCACCCTGGAGGGATATGCCTAACCCATACTGTGATGTCAGGTTTAAAGACACACCCGTCCTGATCAAGATAGGAAATTCTTAAGCAACCTGACAACACAGCATGTCTTACTTATTTTGGCAGGCGTGACAGCAAGGAGACAACACAGACCTCCTGTTCATTGCTGGCTGCTCTATAGTATTGAGAAAGCCTCCAGCTATAGAAAAATAGATGGCCTAACACTGTGTATTGCTATCTACGAGTGTTCTCATAGATACTCTAGTAAAACTAAACACTTTTTTTCCATACAGACATCACTAGGTCTCTTATTGCCTCTTCTGAGGAAGGAAGAAATGAAGGCTACAGCATCGGCCTTCAGTTGCCTGATAGAGAGAAAACACTTGAATTTGAGCCTGGAAAACCAGTTTATATCAGCAAAGGAAAGATGAAAATTGAGCAAGAGGGCAAAGCCCCTGTTTTCCTCAAACAGGTCTCAGACATTGAAGTCTGGCAGGGAGATGTAGCTAGGCTCTCTGTTACTGTTACTGGCAGCCCCACACCCAAAATCCAGTGGTTTTTCAACAGTAGAAAGCTAACCCCATGCATGGACTGTAAGTTAGTATTTGCTGGCAATGACCACAGCCTCATCCTCCTATATGCAGGAGTGCAGGATGCGGGTGAGTATCTGTGCGTGGCCAGCAATGAACACGGTGAGACCAGCTGCAGCGCCCAGCTCCACGTGCGCCAGAGGCAGCCGGGATTGCGCTGCTTTTCCAGGGAGAGGCAGCCGGGATTGCCCTGCTTTTCCAGGGAGCCGGACAGCGTGCAGTGTGCACCAGGCTCCACGGCAGTCTTTGAGTACACTGTGCTGGGGAAGCCGTGCCCCGACGTGCTGTGGTCCAAGGGCAGCGAGCGGCTCTTCTCTGATGCGCGTCGCTCCATTGCTCAGCACCCTGACGGCTCGGGCTCTCTGACGGTGTGGGACTGTGTGGAAGAGGACACTGGGCTCTACACGTGCAGGGCCGTGAGTGCCCTGGGTGAGGCCGCGTGCTCTGCTGAGCTCCTTGTGCTGTGCCAGGAGCGCACTGTGTGCAGGCAGAGCCAGGCCTTGCAGCACTCTGCAGAGGCAGAGGAGAAAAGCCCTCTTTTCTTCGAGGAGGCTGCTGAGCTTCCTGCAATGGAAGAAGCATTCAGTCTTGAGCCCATGAGAGAGCCTTCAACCCTCCTTCAGCACCAGATGAGCCAGGCAGTGTGCATGCTGCCCAGGGAGGGCGTCTTGCCTGGCCTGCCACCAGCCTGTCTGGCAGCGCAGAGTGTTGAAGAGATGCTCACCCAGGCGGCCACAATACAAGAGAGCAGCAGGCTTCTGGCAGAGCCTCTGGAAAACCTCCCTGCTAGCCCCCAGGGTGTGGTGCCTGCAGCAGTGATGGAGACACAACTGCCAGGCTGCCTTGGAACTGTAGCTGCACAGATACTTATGCCCAAAGAGGAAATCATGCCCAAGGCAGCAGAGCAACTGGCTGCTCTGAAGAGAGAGGCTTCTCAAACCCTTCTACAGGTGTCATGCACCACTGAGAGCCATGTCATGGATGGTGACCAAATCCATATCCTTGAGGGCTTTCAGATAGCACAAGGTGAGCTGAAGGCTGAACCAAGATTTCTCTCTGAATTGGCCTTCACTGGGGGCCAAGCTGTCCCCCTAGCGAACATTTCTTTCCTGGAAACAGCAAAGGAAGAGTTTACTGCAAGAATACATGAGGGACAGGCTGTGAGATTTCCCTTGCTGCTGGAAGAAAACCAGTCCATGGAGGAAGAACATGTTGATCTTTCCAAGCCACTTAAGCAGTGGCAGAGGACAGAGAGACAATCCCATGAAACAATGTACTCTCCTGAGTTCCAACCAAGCCAAGTCCTCAACAAAGACAGTGAGCTCACTGCTCTGGTTCCCAAGAGCTGCAGCTTAGACATAAAGTCTCAAATCAGAAATGCATTGAAAGCTGCAGTGGTAAGTGGGGAAAACCTCTTGTTTTCAGAATGGTTGGCTGATAAGGAAGATGTTAAAGTACAGGCAATAAACATCACCAAGGAGAATACACATACCTTGTGCACATATGTTGTGACCACAGGAGGATGCAGTCCCATAGAAATCCAAGTCTCCTTGAGAGAAGTGAACATTCAGACAGCTGACCAGAAAACAGTCTTGAAGGAAGTTTTCTATTCGTTTCTTTGTGAAGATGAATGTTCCCTGACCGGTGAAAAATCCCAAGCATTGCCATTCTCTGCCAGTCCACTTCTCTCAGGAGAATCCTATGATGAAATCTTTGAGCTGGATCCCCAGCAGGCTGAGAGGACTATGCAGGCAGAAATACAACTGGAACACCCTTTGTCTGCGCAAGTAATCAAGGCTGAGCATGGTCTAATCAAGGATGTGGGTGCAGCTGTAGCCACTGCTGATGTAGCCTCTGCAGATGGTCTTACAGAGACACCCACAGAAATACTGAAAAGAAAAGAGAAAAGGGAAGAAAAATGCGAGGAAGAGGGCAGAGAGGGTCTGGAAACTAGAGGCCTGGAAAGTAGAGCTGGAAAGCAAGAGGATGAGGGCAAAGAAGGTTATCCCATCATACACAGCAAACTAGTTGACACTGTTGTGGAGGAAGAGGAGAGTGTCAGGCTGGTGTCTGTCATAACAAATGTCAGAGAGGTGAACTGGTACTTTGAGGGTAAACTGGTTTCTTCAGGGAACAAATTCAAGTGTTGGCAAGATCAGGACACATACACACTAGTAATAAGCAAAGTGTGCGGGGAGATTCACCAAGGAGAGTACACCTGTGAGGCGCTGAATCAAGGTGGAAAAAGAGCAACAGCAGCAAAACTCACAGTTGTTAAAAGAGGTTGGATTATGGGGATAAAATAATCTTTTTAATGCACTGCTCTACTAATGAACCTCCCCTACTATGTGCATCTTTGGACAGAGATACAATATTAATACCATCATTCCACTAATCAGAGGGTCCTCTTTCTCTCTGGATTGATGGTCTCCTTTTACCACATTGCAAGGCCTCTCACTTCCATTACCCCAGTCTTTGGTCAGGAACTTTTTTGTTTCATTGCACTAGCATGTTCAGGACAAGGCTGTATCTCAATCCCAACCATTTCTCCTATTATTGACAGAGAAGTGGATCTGCTCTTCCCATTTTGCTCACTGCTGCACCCTCTCTCACTCCTTAGAGTCATTGCACTTCTCATTCACGCCACAATTTCTCACAAGTCCAGAATAGATTACTATATATTTATATCCTATTGCTATTGTGCATTGCTATGTCACTTTGTTTTTCCAGTATCACCACTGTTTCCTGATGTCATTATGCACTGTCAGACTGTCTGTCCACTGAGTCTAGTCCACTTTCATTTCTTACAGATATTTTTTTCTTTTACAGTCACTTCATGTGAATTGTTTTTTTCTGTTTTGTTTTGTTTTGATTTTTTTTTGGTTTTTTTTTCCAGTCAGTCAGTCACTTAATTTCAGAAAGTCAGCAGGCAGTGTTTTGAGTTACTCTCTGCTTCTAATTTCAGTTGCACCGATCCTGAGGAGGAGGCTTGAACCCTTGGAAGTGGCTGTAAATCATGTGGCCAAGTTTACCTGTGAGGTGGAGATGGCTCCCAATGTCAAGTTCCAGTGGTACAAAGCTGGACGAGAGATATATGATGGGGACAAATACTCCATTCGCACCTCCAACTACCTCTCCACACTGGAGATTCCGAGGCCTCAAGTTGTTGACTGTGGGGAATATAGCTGTAAGGCTTCCAACCAGCATGGCAGTGTAAGCTCCACAGCTGTTTTAACAGTAACTGGTAAGTACAGACCTTCAAACACTTCTCCTTTTCCATAAAATACCTTGGTGTATTGTAATGCTTTCACTGCTCTACTTGCACGTGTTTATGGTAGCACTCTTGGTTGCCATCATAATACATAATCCATACCTAATTATGGCAGGCACAAGCACAGAAAAGGAATAACTTTTGAGAATGCTGCTTTTAGGGGCTTTCTGTATGAAGAGAAGGGAATCAATGAGAAAAAGCTTCAGAGGGAAAGAAAGAAGGGGGAAAGAGAGCAGGAAGAAACAGCATGGGATTGCTTTGTGAATTCATTCTTGAAGAAGGTTTATTCACAAAAAACACTTTTCAATCTGATTTCTTGATGTAATAGTCACTGTATGATTATCCTAGCACCCTAAATTTATCCTGCAACTATACTTGCGACGCAGGTTATGCAGATGTGAATTTCAAAAGAAACACTTTTAAATCTGATTTCTTGGTGTAATAGTCGCTATGTGATTATCCTAGCACCCTAAATTTATCCTGCAACTATACTTGCGATGCAGGTTATGCAGATCTGCATACCTGAACATCTTTGTGCAGTGGCCAAAGGGGAACTCTGTGACTGGGGAAATAGATCTTAAATAAAAGGGGTTTAAAAGGTTTAAATTTGCAAATCTTTTGTCTACTGAGAGCTATACAGTGGAGTTTTTTCTTTATAGAAAGAAACAAACAAAAAACCATCATCTTTTGGGGGTTTCTTTTATGATGGCTCTTTTTACTGTGACTTTTCTCTTTCTGGGAGGAGTCCTTATGTGTCTTTGCTAAGTGCTAGGTGCTAGAGACTAGAAAAAGGTGCATGAACAGTGAAATGTATGCAAACTTGCCCATCTTGAGAGAACAGTGAGCAAATATGTCAGTCTTGAGGGAGGAATTTAGGGCTTTTAGTTTATTTTCCTTTAGTTCATACATTGCTCCAGAGATTCAAAATGCCTTCAAGCTCTGGAGCAATACATAGACTGAAGAAGTACAAAGCCAAAAGCCAAAATTTATCATCTTTAGCACCTCTTATCTCCTTCACTGCTGTTTTCTTTTGCTTAAGAGTATTCAGTGATAAGCTGGCGTCTCTTGCTCTTTGTCTCTGGCAAATGTGGCTCAGTTCCTCACCTCTTGATAACACTGAACCCCTTTGTTTTGCAGAGGCATTTCCGCCAACGTTTCTTACCAGACCTGAACCTATTACTACTTTTGCTGGCAAAAGTGCCAAGTTCCTGTGTACTGTTTCGGGCACTCCAGTCATCGACATCACCTGGCAGAAAGATGGAACAACCATTTCACCTTCAGACCACCACAAGATCTCCAAAGTGGAAAATAAACATGCCTTAGAAATTTCCCTTCTTACGACTAGTGACAGAGGGGTTTACACTTGCAAAGCTTCGAACAAGTTTGGGGCTGATATTTGCCAGACTGAAATGGTCATTATAGACAAGCCCCACTTCATTAAAGATTTGCAGTCAGTACAGTCAGCAGTTAATAAAAAAATACGCCTTGAATGTCAGGTAGATGAAGACAGGAAAGTAACTGTAGGGTGGACAAAGGATGGAAACAAAATCCCTCCAGGCAAAGACTATAAGATTTACTTTGAAGACAAAATAGCCTCACTTGAGATTCCTCTGGCTAAGGTCAAGGACTCAGGCCACTATGTGTGTACTGCTTCAAATGAGGCAGGAAGCAGCTCCTCTTCTGCCAGCGTCACAGTCAGAGGTAAGATAGTTCTATGCCCCCTTTACCTTTCGTCTTCTTGGGTTCCCCATTTCTTCTTTCACAGGCAAAAGACTTCTTTGGGCTGAAATTACACTGTGAATTCTTCTCAGACCTGCCACCTGGTCCATTTCCTGTAAAGTCTTTTCCCCTGCTGCCTTACAGTGCACCATGTGTTGCTTTAATATTTCTTACACTAGAGGAAATCAAGAATTGCTCCTGCCTGCAGGGGAGAGATTGATGAAGAGGAAAAGCTAAACCACAGAAGCTGCAGCTCAGCAAAGACTATGCTGATCTCTTGTGAAGCTGTATTTTGTTCTTGCTCTGGGAAGCAATCTTTCAAAGCTTTATGTTACAGCTTTCTTTCCTTTTCCCCCTTTCCTCTTCCCCTTCCCCTTTTTGCTGTCTTTTCCCCTCCCTTCCCTTTTCTTCCCATTTTCTAGAACCGCCATCCTTTGTGAAGAAGGTCGATCCATCTTATTTACTGACCCCAGGAGACTCTGCACGCCTTCAATGCAAAATCAAAGGATCTCCTGAAATCCAGGTTACTTGGTTCAAGAACAATAAGGAAATCCATGAAAGTAATACACACAGGATGTCCTTTGTCAATTCTGTGGCTGTGTTAGATATTTTGGAAATGAAAGTTGATGACACTGGGACCTACTCATGTGAAGCTGTCAACGAGGTTGGAAGTGACAGTTGCACCACCGAAGTGGTTGTCAAAGGTCTGTCCTTCTTGCTGCTGCCAGTCACATTCTTGAGAAAAACCTTCCTTCCTTTTTTTTTTTTTTTGGCATGGTTGACTAATTCTTTCTTACTACTTTTATAGAGCCTCCATCTTTCATCCGAACACTTGAACCTGCAGAGCTAGTGAAGGGAACAAACCCCATTCTTCAGTGTGAGGTTGCTGGCACTGGACCCTTTGAAATTAGCTGGTACAAAGACAAGAAGCAGATTCGCAGTAGTAAAAAATACAGGCTGACCTCTCAGAAGGCTGTTATTTCTTTGGAGGTCTCCTCATTTAATAGTGCAGATGTCGGTGAATACGAGTGTGTGATAGCTAATGAAGTCGGGAAGTGCATGTGCAGTGCCACATACATCTTGAAAGGTCAGTGGGAGAGAGAAAACTCCATTTCCTGAAGAGATCGGCAAAAACCTCTTATTTCATAAAATATCTTTTCTTTGGATTTGTGGGAGGCTGGGGAGACTGGGAACAAGAATATCTTCTTCTCTTAAAACTCTGTGTGTATCTTAAGTCTTATCTGGCATCAAATCTGTGAATTTGAAGAACATTGAGATTAATGGGCCATTAGCTCCAAGCTGGAGAAAGCGCTTTGCCATCTTGCCTGCTCTTTTGCTGAATTGTGACATGTACTGCACATACTGTCTTGCAAAACTGTCTTTAAGTAGCAGATTTTATGTGATGATGTAATAGTAGATGAGTATTTTTTTCTTGTCTCTCTTCTTTGAACTAGAACCACCATCTTTTGTTAAGAAAATCGAAAATGTGACAGCTCTGGCTGGAGATAGTGTTACATTACAGGCTGTGGTGAAAGGGTCAGAACCTATTTCTGTGACATGGATGAAGGGCAAAGACATTATTAAAGATGATAACAATGTGAGAGTGACATTTGATCATGGTCTAGCAACACTGCAAATCACCGGAGTCCAGCTGAGCTCTGGTGGCAAATACACCTGCGTGGCTGAGAATGATGCAGGAAGTCAGTCCTGCTTTGGTGAACTAGCAGTGAAAGGTCAGTGGAGAAGTGCTGTGATCCCTGCAGTCTCCCACCTGAGAGGAGGAGAAATTTCCTTTTGTCCTTAACACCAGTTGTTTAATTCTGTTGTAGAACCTGCCAAAATAATTGAAAAAGCTGAAATGATCCAAGTTACAGCTGGGGAGCCAGCTATTTTGGAGTACACTGTCACAGGCACTCCAGAGCTGAAAACCAAATGGTTCAAAGATGGAAGGCCACTACCTGCCAGCAAAAAATACAGGATCAGCTTCAAAAATAACATTGCCCAGCTCAAGTTTTATGCCACTGAAATTCAGGACAGTGGTGAATACACCTTTGAGATATCCAATGATGTGGGCTTCAGCTCTTGTACTACCAGCTTCACTGTGCTAGGTTGGTACTGCCTCTCTGCAGAGAGCCCTGTTGCTCTGCTCTGTGCCTAACAGAGCCAGAAGCAGAACAGTACTCCTGTTTTGCTCATGAATTTCTTTCTGTCATTTTTTTCACTCTCAACAGATCGCACTCTACCTCCCTTCTTTACTAAACCACTGAAGAATATTGACAGCATCATTAGCGCCTCGTGCCGCCTAGACTGCAAAATTTCAGGCTCTCTCCCAATGACTGTCTCATGGTTTAAGCAGGATACTGAGATCACTTCAAGTGCCAAGTATACAGTACACTTTGCAGAAGGCTCAGCTTCTCTGGAAATCAAACACCTAGATGCAAATGATGCTGGGGTCTACATTTGCAGAGCCACAAACTCTGCTGGTAGCAAAGAGAGCAGTAGCACTTTGTTTATAAAAGGTTTGGCAATTTGTTTCACTTTTCTTGGAATTTTGCTTATCTTGTGATAATACTTTTCTTTCCCAAAATACAAGCCCTCTCTTACTCTGCATTTTTTCCTTTCAACGCAATCCAGAGCCGCCCAGCTTCACTGTAGAACCAGAGTCTCAAGATGTATTGCCTGCATCAACTGTACATTTCAAAGGAATGTTTAAAGGCACAACACCACTGACAGTGAAATGGTTTAAAGGTGATACTGAGCTGGTGACAGGAGGAGCCTGCTACATTATGACAGAAGCATTAGCAAGTTACTTGGAGCTTTATGCAGTCAAACCGACTGACTCTGGAAAATACACCTGCAAAGTCTCCAATGTAGCTGGTTCAGTAACATGCAGTGCAAACTTATTTGTGAAAGGTTTGCATTCTTACTCTTATTTAAAAGTCTAGCTGCTGGATGAACACAGCAGCACTCTTTCCTGTGTTCTTTGTCCTGAACACTCTTCTTAAATCCACAGAACCTGCCGCCTTTAAGGAGAAGCTAGAGCCGACTCATCTCATAAAGAAAGGTGGATATGCTGAACTGACCTGTGAAGTCACTGGTACTCCTGAGATTAAAATCACATGGTTCAAGGATGATAGAGAGCTAAAAGAGAGTGACAAATACAGGATATCTTTTACAAAATCTTTGGCAATACTCCGTGTTTCAGAGGTTGATACTGAAGACAGTGGGGAATACATTTGCGAAGCCAAAAACGATGCTGGAAAAGATACCTGCAGTAGTGTTGTTACAGTCAAAGGTGTGTGTGACATCCAGCCACACAGGTTGTATCTTTAGACTCAGTACAGTGGTACCGGCTTCAAAAGTATGATTAATGCAAATTGCACTTTCTTTTTCACACTGTAGAGTCACCTTATTTTAGCAAGGAGTTTCAATCCATGGAAGTCTTGAAGGATTCTGATGTGGTTTTGGAGTGTGAGGTGCTTGGCACGCCTCCCTTTGAAGTGTTCTGGGTGAAAGATGATAAACCCGTGCGGAGCAGTAAGAAGCACAGAATTAGCATTGAGAAATCTTTGATTAGCCTCCACGTTTTCAGGTTTGATGCTTCTGATGTTGGGGAGTATCAGTGTAGAGTAACAAACGATGTTGGGAGCTGCCTCTGCCGTTCAGAGGTCACGCTGAAAGGTTAGTGCAAGTGCAGAACACCACTAGTATGCTCTTATCCCAGTGTGGTTTTTCATGCCACACTGTTCGTTACACACTAGACTTGTACTTACATGCCCACTTTCTTCCTGCCAGAGCCTCCGCAGTTTTTGAAGAAGATAGAAAACATTAGCTCCCTTCGAGGGGGAACGGTTGTGTTTCAGGCTGCTATTAAAGGTTCCTTGCCCATCACTGTGTCCTGGTTGAAAGACAATGATGAAGTGATTGAAGACAACAATATCAAAATGACCTTTGTGAACAATGTTGCCACTCTTATGGTGAGATCTATTGAGCTGAAACATGATGGGAAATATTTCTGTCAGGCTAAAAATGAGGCAGGAATTCAGAGGTGTTCTGCTCTGCTGACTGTCAAAGGTTGGTCTTGCCCTGAAGGCTTGCAGTGATCTGGGACAGTTCCCTTGTGGTTTTCACAGATGTACTTAACACTCTATTTCCTTGTTTACAACAGAACCTGCTACAATTGTGGACAAGGCTGTGTCAATAGATGTGACTGAGGGAGACCCAGCAACCTTGCAGTGTAAATTTTCAGGAACAAAACCTATTACAGCCAAATGGTTCAAAGATGGCAAGGAACTGATATTGGGCCCAAAATACAAGATCAGTGTTACAGATACTGTCTCAGTCTTAAAGGTGCTTTATGCAGATAAGAATGATAGTGGAGAATACATTTTTGAGGTTCAAAATGACGTTGGGAGCAGTAGCTGTTCTGCCAGCATAAACGTCCTAGGTGTGTATGGGCTTTCTCTTATTGTTGCTTTGAAATACCAAATCTTTTCTCCTGAGCTGACATGTGCCACAATCACGGTTGAATTTTTATATTTTGTCTTTTTACTCTGTCTTGGATAGATCTCATTATACCACCTAAATTCACCAAAAAACTCAAGAAAATGGACAGCATTAAGGGGTCTTTTGTCCACCTGGAGTGCATAGTGTCTGGTTCGCATCCTATAAGTATTCAGTGGTATAAGGATGGCCAAGAAATAACAGCAAGTGAAAAGCACAAATACTCTTTCCATGATAATACTGCATTTCTGGAAATAAATAAACTGGAAGGCACAGACAGTGGCTCTTACACTTGTGAAGCAACAAATAAAGCAGGAAGCAGCCAGTGCAGCGGGTTCTTAACAGTAAAAGGTTTGAGTTCCTTCTTTGTCTTCTGTTAGGTCTCTCATACATAGTTTTGGATTTCCCCATCTCAGAGTAATCCCCTTTCTTCCTTTTTGCATGTTATAGAGCCGCCATACTTTGTGGAAAAACCCCAGTCTCAAGAGGTTGTGCCCAATGCTAGGGTTCAGTTCAAAGCACTGGTGAAAGGGTCTACTCCTCTGCAGATAAAGTGGTTTAAAGACAGCCAGGAGCTCCTCTCTGGAGCCAGTCGATCTGTCTGGAAGGATGACACTTCTAGTGTTCTGGAGCTCTTCTCAGCCAGGACATCTGATTCTGGGAGCTACACTTGTCAGATAAGCAATGACGTGGGGACTGCAACCTGCAAAGCAACTCTGTTTGTAAAAGGTGTGCAACCCAATCTTCTATTTTTTTTTGTTCTAATTTTTCTGTGCAGTTTTGGTGGGAAGGGGAGAAAGCCTTTTAGCCTTTTTTTTTCTTTAAATTCTGGGGGGGGTTTATTTCTACCTTGAATATTATAAAACCTCGACTTCTCTGTCCATCTTCTAGAGCCCCCCAGATTTATTCAGATGCCAACTTCTGTAGTAGCTTTGCGTGAAGGACAGTCCACCACTTTTGAGTGCCAGGTAGTAGGCACGCCAGAGATCCACATTACATGGTACCTGGATGGAATTGAAGTGACTGATCAAGCTAAGTACGGCATCTCCTTCATAGATGGTTTAGCCACTTTGAGAGTCACTCAAGCCAGAGTGGCAGATAGTGGGATTTATGTTTGTGAAGCCCACAATGATGCAGGTAGTGAGAGCTGCAGCGTCGAGCTGAAAGTAAAAGGTTGGTTTTGATCATCTTGTCATCTCTGCCACATATCTGGGGTGAGGAAGTAGAAGATACTTCTTCTCCCCTCAAAACTATTTGAGGTTATTATCTACTTTTCCCTCATTCTTTATAGAGCCTCCAACCTTTGTTCGGGAGTTGCGTCCCACCGAGGTAGTGAAGGGCTCAGAGGCCACACTAGAGTGTGAGGTGACTGGTACGCCTCCATTTGAGGTCAAGTGGCTGAAGAACAACAAGGAGATGTTCAGCAGCAAGAAATATGCCATCTCCACCAAAGAATCAGTATTTACTCTTAATGTGACTAACTGCGACGTCTCGGATGTTGGTGAATATCAGTGTATTATATCAAATGAAGGTGGGAGCTGTTCTTGCAGCACAAGACTCAGCTTAAAAGGTCAGTCCTCTAGGAAGCACACCTCAAACATTATATGCCCCAGCTAAAGTGTAGCAAGTGGGATTACTTTATATGATCTGTCTTTCTCCTCTTCCCTTTCCATGACTTCTCTTCCAAACAACAAACAATACTCACACCGCAGAACCACCATCCTTCATCAAGAAGCTGGAGAACGTCACTAGCATTTTGAAAGGTGATGCATTCTTTCAGTGTGTCGTAGCAGGCGCCCAACCCCTATCCGTGACATGGATAAAAGATGAGAAAATACTAGAAGATGATGAGCACCACCACATTACCTTCGAGAACAGGGTGGCCACACTGAAGCTTACTAATGTTGACCTCAGCCACAGAGGGAGATACACCTGTCAGGCAAAGAACGAATCTGGCATGGAGAAGTGTTTTGCTTTGCTTTTTGTACAAGGTGTGTACAAGGTGTAACCTTGATGAGTACTTGGAAAGTCAGTTCTCTGCCTATATAGCTAACTGTTGTAATTTTTATACTCTTTATACCTCAGAGCCTGCACAGATCATAGAAAAGGCTAAGTCACTTAAAGTCACTGAAAAAGACCCTGTGACTTTGGACTGTACTGTGGCTGGGACACCAGAGCTCCGAATAAGATGGTACAAAGATGGCAAGCAGCTCCTGCCCAGCAGATACTACACAATGAGCTTTGAAAACAATGTGGCCAGTTTCAGGATTGAACCTGTATCAAAGGAGGATAGTGGCACATACAGTTTTAAGGTTGAAAATGACTTCGGAAGTAGCACCTGTGAAGCTGTTCTGACTGTGCTAGGTTTGTATTGCCAATCCATCAAGGAGGGAATGAAAAATAATCTCCATGAAGGATAAGCAAGAAGTTAACTAGTGTGTTTTTGCTATTTTTTTTGTGTTGGGCAGATCAATCAATTCCTCCTGTATTTATCAAAAAGCTAGCCAAAAAGGATACCATTCTGGGATCTTCTATCCAAATGGAGTGTAAAGTCTCTGGGTCACTCCCAATTGTTGCAAAATGGTTTAAGGATGGAAAAGAGATAACTGACAGTGCAAAATACAGAAGCCTGTGCCATGAGAATACTATGTCACTCGAGATTGCTAACCTAGAGCTGGCAGACAGTGCAAATTACACATGCAGTGTCTCTAATGTTGCTGGAAATGATTCTTGCAGTGCAGTCCTGAGTGTGAAAGGTTTGAAACTCTTTTACTACTTCTTATCTATGTTAAATGCTGGGAAAATACCTTAAATCTTATGCTAGCACTCTTATACATCTTAATGTTAACACTGGAAACTTGGTCTCCATGCTTGCCTCACTAATTTTCTTCATTCTTAGATATTTCTGATGTAACTGTGTCTTTTTCTTAAAAACTGCAGAGCCACCAAGCTTCTTAGTAAAACCTGAAAGCCAGCAAGCTATACCAGATTCCACAGTGGAGTTTAAGGCCACACTGAAAGGAACACCACCCTTTACAGTAAAGTGGTTCAAAGAAGACTTAGAACTCGTATCTGGTCCAACTTGTTTCATTGGGATTGAAGGTTCAGCTGGGTTCTTAACCCTCTATTCAGTGGATTCTTCTAGGAGTGGGCACTACACTTGCCATGTTTCAAATGATGTTGGCAGTGACTCTTGCACTACAACACTGTTGGTAACAGGTGTGCACTCTTTCTTGTTGTGTTGTTATCTTTTTGTCTCCTCCTTCTCCTTTCTTTTTGCCAAGCCCACCTTGGTGATCTTTGATACACTGGCAAGTCAATTCCCTACCCTGTGTTTGCGACCCACCTTGTTTGGCTCTTTTCCCACCATTTTCTCTCCAGTATTTGCTCAGACCTTCCTGACCCCACTTTTTTTTTGGTTTTTTAGAACCCCCCAAGTTTGCTAAGAAGCTAGAGGCAACAAAAGTAGTCAAGCAGGGTGATTCAGCCCGGCTTGAGTGCAAAGTAAGTGGATCTCCAGAGATGAAAGTAGTGTGGTTCAGAAATGACCATGAAATTGTTGCCAGTGAAAAATTCCGGACATCATTCATTGACTCTGTGGCGGTGCTTGAAATGAACCATCTCAGCACTGATGAGAGCGGTGACTACATCTGTGAAGCTCACAACCCTGCCGGCAAGGCCAGCTGTAGCACCAAAGTCACAGTGAAAGGTTAGCTGTCCTCTTGTTTTCCAGCTGCATCCTATTTTTCCCCTGGTGGCTGTATCCCTTAGAAATACACAGGAACATGATATTAATTTATTTCAGGACTGTCCTGTTCTTCATGTCATGTTTGTTTCTTGATGCCCCCTCATCTTCTCTGCCAGTGTCTAAACAAGAGAGATGATGTTCTTAATGCAGATGAATACTAAGCTAGTTATTCCCCAGTTCTATAATTTTAATATCCAAGAGAGTTCATAGTGGGAATTGCTATATCAAGAAGCTGAAATATGAAGAGAAAGAACAGACACAAACTGACTAGTGTCAGTTTTACACCCTGCATGGGAGATGACTACGAGCTAAATGAGACCTGTACCCTCTCTGGCAAAGGTCACCCCTCTGTTTACCTTTTCTAAAGAGGAGCTAAGGGCTCTTAATGCTCACCTTTGTGCAAGCTCATTTCATATTGTGCCCAGAAAAAGAGGGAAGTCTTGCCCATTCTGTAGATATTCTAAGCAGTCCCATTTTCCAGAAGCTGGTATCTGTAGACTCTTTGTTGATCAAAGAGCTTCAGACTACTTTCTAAATGTTCCTTTCTTCCCTTGTTAGAACCTCCTGTCTTTATCAGGAAGCCTTCTCCAGTAGACATTATCAGAGGATCTGAGGTTAGCCTGGAATGTGAGATTTCAGGAACACCTCCATTTGACGTTGCCTGGTACAAAGACAGGAGACAAATCCGCAGCAGTAAGAAGTACAAGGTTACAGCCAAAAACTACCACACAAGCGTTCACATTCTTAATGTTGAAGCTGCAGATGTTGGTGAATATCAGTGCAAAGCACAGAACGATGTAGGAAGTGACACTTGTATTTGCACTGTGAAGCTGAAAGGTAAAGTACTGGTACATGTATCTTCTGCAGCGCTCCCAGGGGCGCTGCATTGCTCTTTTTTGCAGAAGCACTGTGAGTATTTACTATAACTGTATTTCTTCTTCAGAACCACCAAAATTCTTGACTAAAATAAACAGCATGACTGTTGTGGTTGGTGAACCAGTAGAGTTACAAGCAAGAGTGGAGGGCTCCCAGCCAATTTCTGTGCAGTGGCTTAAAGACAAAGAGGAAATAATCAGAGAAAGTGAGAACACAAAGATCACATTTATGGAAAATATTGCAACTTTGCAATTTGTGCGCACAGAGACCAGCAGTGCTGGAAAATATACCTGTCAGATCAGAAATGATGCTGGAAGTCGCGAGTGTATGGCTACCTTAACTATTCTAGGTGGGTGAAAAGCACCAATTAATGGAAGTTTCTTTTTAAAGTTAGAAACTTGGTCATTTATTATCAGCTGTATATTTACTTATGCCTCTGAGTTCAAAACAAACAAAACAGAATCCTTCTCTCCCCAACAAGTAGAAGTCAGGTTCCATGTTTCCAGTAGTCTAGCAATACAGTTGGAAGGAACCGCTCTTTATTTCTGTCACGTCTTCTGCTCATGCCTGCTCTGAGAGGGAGATTAAAATATTTTATATTTTAAATTAAAATATACTTTAAAATTATTTAAAATATTTAAAAATATTTTTACTTAGTTTTGGAAAGCATCTGGAATTTGCAGTTTAGATTAACAGGAAGGATGGAAAAAACAGCTGTAAAAAGCTCCACACCCCCATCAATCAAAATTTTCTTAGTATAAAATGTGTAAGCCCCATCTCATAGTGCTGTAATACTTACAGCTAATACTTATCAAGCCCTGTTTTAACCACATATGTTACCCATCTCTCCTTCCAGAGCCTGCAGTCATTGTAGAGAAAGCAGAGCCAATGAAAGTTACAATAGGAGATGCCTGTACTTTGGAATGCAAAGTAGCAGGCACACCACAGCTTTCCACTGGGTGGTTCAAGGATGGCAAAGAACTGACCAGCAGCCAAAAATACAGAATAACCTTCCTCAATAATGTATCTACACTTAAAATTATGGATGCAGAAAAGGAAGATGGTGGATTGTACACTTTTGCTGTGCAAAACAACGTGGGGAAAAGCAGTTGTACGGCATCGGTTGATGTTTTAGGTTGGTTGGATAGCTTGTCTTCTATCTTTTACAAAAGCTTTTTTTTTTTTAGCCATTCTCTGTCCTTTATTCCGTTTCTTTACTCATTTTCTCTCTAACTGTGGATTTATTATGTTTTCTTATGCAGACCGAATCATTCCTCCTTCTTTCACAAGAAAACTAAAGGACATCCCTTGTGTTCTGGGTTCCTCAGCACTGCTGGAATGTAAAGTGTCAGGTTCACCTCCTATTTCTGTTGCCTGGTTCCAAAATGGATTTAAGCTAGTCAGTGGAGAAAAACATCAAATGTCCTTTTCAGATAACTTATGTATTTTAGAAGTTAATTCACTGAGCCACTCAGATACTGGCACTTACACCTGCAAAGCTACCAACACAGCTGGCTCAGATGAATGCAGTGCTGTGTTGACTGTACAAGGTGGGTATATGATGGTCAGAAAGCTCTCTGAGCTATTCTTGTCTCTTTCTCTCTTGAAATTATCTGCAGTCTTTTGTGAATATTCTTGGGGAAAATTATTGACAGAAAAATAAAGATTTTGCTCTTTATCTTCAGTAGGTGTGTGGAAATACCAGAGCTATGCTGCAGCAATTTGTCTTATCTCTCTTTTTCTTTTGTGTATTTAGAGCCACCTTCTTTTGAGAGGACCCCAGAGCCTCTGGATGTATTGCCAGGCACAAGCATCACTTTCACATGTGTGGTCAGAGGAACCCCTCCTTTTAAGGTTAACTGGTTTAGAGGGGCCAATGAACTTGTGCCAGGGGACAAATGCAATATCTACTTGGAGGAGTCTGTTGTGGAGCTTGAGTTATTTGATGTAACTCCTCCCCAAAGCGGAGAGTACACTTGTCTAGTGACTAATGATGCTGGCAGGGTAAATTGTACAACACACCTCACAGTAAAAGGTTTGTAAAGATGATGTCTCTCCATTTACCTTAAATTATTGTTTCCTTCTCTCCATATGGCATGTTGCACTCAACATTTGTGACTTACTTTCATTAGAGCCAGCTGTCTTTGTAAAGAAACTGAGTGATCAGTATGTGGAGCCTGGCAAGCCCATCATCCTAGAGGGCACTTACACAGGCAGCCTGCCCATCTCTGTGACATGGAAGAAGAATGGCCACACCATCACACAATCTCAGAAGTGTAGCATCACCACCACAGAGAAATCCTGCATCCTAGAAATACTTGACAGCACCAAAGAAGATGCAGGAGAATACACTTGCCATGTTGAAAATGAGGCAGGAAGAGATGTTTGTGAGGCTGTAGTCTCTACCCTAGGTGTGTGCTCCCTTTGCTTCTTTTCCTTGCCTTTTTTTCAAGTGTATGCTTTTCAAAAACCTGGCACACAATAAGCCTGTCTAATTGCTTCTTTTTTTTTAGAACCTCCCTACTTTGTTACACACTTGGAACCTCTTGAGGTGTCAGTTGGGTCTTACACAACATTGCAATGCCACGTTGCTGGAACACCAGAAATTACTGTGTCTTGGTACAAAGGTGATACAAAACTCAGGTCTACTCCTGAGTATAAAGTGTTCTTTAAAGACAATGTTGCTACACTTATCTTCAACAAAGTGGCTAGCAGCGACAGTGGAGAATATATCTGCAAGGCAGAAAACAGTGTAGGAACTGCATCTACAAAGACTCTCTTAACAGTTCAAGGTGATGATTTTATACTAGCTTGCTAAAACTCTTTTTGTCTGGCAAAATTAGGAAAAAGTTGCTCCCTGGGGTGTATTTATCCTTTACTTCCTTTCTTCCAGAACGCAAACAACCACCTTCCTTTGCAAGAAAATTAAAGGACATCGAGCACCCTGCTGGTTTACCCCTTAAGCTTATGTGTCGGCTCAATGGCTCAGAACCCATTACTGTCACTTGGCACAAAGATGGAGTGCTGCTAAAGGATGACCACAATGTGCACACATCCTTTGTAGATAATGTTGCAGTGCTGCAACTGGTGCGAACCGAGATGAATCATACTGGGCAGTACTCCTGCACAGCCACCAATTCGGTGGGCACTGCCACCTCAAGTGCTAGGCTCACAGTGGCAGGTGTGTTGGCTTATAAAACTTTTACTTGGATCACAGGTTCCTCCCTCTTATTTCACGCATGTGATGGTATCTGTGTGTTAGATTAGCTTTTTTCTGAGGTATGAGTATTACATGGTTTTCTTCTATTTCTAGAACCCAAGCAAGCACCTGTCTTCGACATCAAAACACAATCTATTGACGTGCCTTTTGGAGAAAGTGCTGATTTTGAATGCCATGTTACGGGAGCCCAGCCAATACACATAACGTGGTCCAAGGATGGCCGGGAGATCCGAACTGGAGGAAATTTCAATATTACATTCACAGCCAACACAGCTCACCTTCGAGTGCTCAGAGTGGGTAAAGGAGACTCTGGCCAATACACTTGCCAAGCTAGCAATGAAGCTGGGAAAGACTTCTGCTCAGCCCAACTCAGTGTCAAAGGTATTAAGATTAAGTCACCTTTGTTTGTGCATTTTCTTTCTCTTGGGTAAAGCGATCTCTTTGTCTTTGATCTTCTACCATTTCTATAGGAAGTACCATTTCATATATAGAAAGTAGCTTTCCAGACTGCAGACATAAATCATGTAATGACCTTCTCCCATCATACTGTGTAACTGCAAAAATCTTGTGTCTGCAAAATCTCGAAGGAGAAAGGTACCTGTGTGAACCTGTTTCTATGGAGAGTTGAACTCACACTGCTTTTTACTTTAATAACTATAATCACTGTGGTAGTCACTCATAGCAATTGCTATATGGAAAATTATTAGTAAATACAGCTTTACCTTTCATTTGTTGGCCTGCAACAAAATTAGGTGACTCTTTCAAATTTGATAAAGATTTCAGTTGGAGTTCTGAATTGTTGATTTAATCTAGACTGTGAATCACCTAATTTCTTACTGCAGAAATATACTTTAAAGGTGTCTAAGCAAGTGAAACAATCCCTACCGTGTTTCCGTTGCTCCCAGGGATGAAGGGTTTGTCAGATCTTTCATGTTGGCCTGGGAACTCTGTTACTTGTTACCACTCAAAGGTAACAGCAAAATTTCAGTTGGGCGTAGCAACCATTCTTTGTGTATCTTTTACGGCTTCAACTGTCTGATGCAGCAGGGTCCAAAGCTTGCAGAACACAGTTTTAGTTGTTGTCTTTGCCTTCTTTTCCTCATCTTCTGTATTCCCTTGAGAAGAAACTCTGCTTGAGGATGCAGTCATCTTCTGTAACAATTTTATTTTTGTGCTGTAGTACTCTTGTGCCTCCTGGAACTCTTGCTCAGTGTTGTAGATTTCACATGGCAAACAGGTAGGTTGCCATTCTCTACATACTTATTCTGTCCTGCAGAACCTCCCAAGTTCGTCAAGAAGCCTGAAGCTTTGCGGTTCGTGAAGCAGGGAGACACAATTCAGCTTGAATGTAAAATCAGTGGCACACCAGAGATCAGAATCGTGTGGTACAAAAATGAACAGGCACTCCAGGCAGGCGACAGGCTGCACATGTCCTTCGTAGACTCTGTGGCAACGCTGACCATATTGGGTGCCACTGCTGAAGATGCTGGGGACTACATCTGTGAAGCCCACAACTCTGCAGGCACAGCCAGCTGCAGCACTTCAGTCACAGTGAAAGGTTAGCACAAGCTCCAAAGTCCACCAGAATCCCTGGCTGCCAGACCTGCTCCCAGCTGCACTGCTGCTGCAGCAGCTGGTGCCTGCTGGGCCAGTGTCTCTCCAGCTGCTCTTGCAGTTAAGTGCTGATGCATTTAGGCAGCAGAGATCAGGCAGGAAATAGTGATGGGTGTTCAGCACTGTGCAGTCATTCCCTCACCTCCCCATTTAAGTCAGTTGCAGGATGAACAAGGCAAGCTTTTCAGATCACAACAGAAGCATGGACTAGGTGGAGCACCAGCCATGGTGAGGAAGCTGAGAATGCTTTTCAGCCATCCCTCTGCCTCCTTTTTATACACAGTGATACTGACAGGAAGGAAATTTAAGAAGGAAGAGGAGGCTGTGTAGCTGAGCTTCACTGACTGTAGCTTTCATGACTAGAAAGAGTGGGGGGAAAGATGGAATGTAAGATGGAATGTCACCCTAGAGTGCAGGGAGAGTGGCTTTTGGGGAAGGACACTGAGCACTGATTCCAAACAGGTGCAGAAGTATCACATTTTCTGCCCTGTGGACTCTGAGTGCTGGGATTTTTTTAGAGGAGAGGCTACATATTTAAAAGCTAAATATGTGTTTACAATATAAGCGTAGGCTCCCTTCCTGAATATGTTGTTTCCTGCTTCTATCCAGAAACCTACCCAGCAAAGGAAGCTCACACATTATGATGTGATTCTTTTTTTATAGAACCACCTGTTTTTAGCAAGGTGCCAAGCCCCGTGGACACTCTTAAAGGCTCAGATGTTATCCTTCAGTGCGAGATAGCAGGGACCCCACCCTTTGAGGTGGCTTGGTTCAAGGACCGGAGGCAGGTCAGGAGCAGCAAGAAGTTCAAGGTGACAGCAAAGCACTCCATTGCCAGTCTTCATATTCTCAATTTGGAATCTCAAGATACTGGAGAATATCAATGCAAAGCTATGAATGAGGTGGGAAGCGACACTTGCACCTGCCCAGTGAAATTCAAAGGTTTGTATGCTAGAGGATCAACATCACTGCCCTCTATTCTTGATCTCCTGCCTGTCGCTCTTCCAAGCAAGCATGTGTGATTAACTGTTCTCTGCCTCCTTGTTTTTGCTGTCAGAACCTCCACGATTTGCCAAGAAGCTGAGTGACACGGCAATCTTCATCGGGGAGCCAACTGCCCTGCAGGCAGTAGTGGAAGGATCCCCACCCATTTCTGTTGTCTGGCTCAAGGATAAGGGTGAAGTTATTAGGGAGAGTGAAAATGTTCAAATGTGGTTTATGGACAACATTGCAACTCTTGAGATTGCCAGTGCAGAGGGAACTGACGTTGGAAAGTACATCTGTCAGATCAAAAATGATGCTGGCATGCGGGAGTGCTCTGCCTTTTTACAGGTCCTAGGTGGGTATAGCCTACTCCACTATAGGTGGTACTGTGTCTTACAGCTTGCACATCTGGCTCTAGCAGCCTTTGCCTTCTGCTTACACCCTGTGCTCACTGGTTTGTGAGTAGATTTCAATGTGACACACAGACCCCTCCCTTCCTATTTCAGAACCAGCAGTCATCTTAGAGAAGACCGAGCCGATCACAGTAATGGCCGGCAATCCTTTTACCTTGGAGTGCAAAGTAGGAGGAACACCTGAGCTTATCACCAAGTGGTACAAAGACGGCAGAGAACTAAAGAGTGACCGCAAATACCAAATTTCCTTTTTCAACAATATTTCCACTTTGAAAGTCTTTTCTGCAGACAGGGGAGACAGGGGCTTGTATACTTTTGAGGTGCACAATGAAGTGGGGGACAGCAGCTGCACATCTTCGGTTGATGTTTCAGGTCAGCTCTATGTCTTTATTGTTCACTCTTGTCTTTAAAGAAAGCTTTTATTTTTTCCCCTTTTCTTGCCCTTGAATGAAACCTCAACACTTGTCTTCCTGTTCTTCTGCCCTGTCCTACTTAGATCGCCTTGTTCCTCCTTCATTCTCAAGAAAATTAAAGGAGACAAATGGGGTGCTTGGATCCTCTGTGCTGCTGGAGTGCAAAGTGTCTGGCACAGCTCCCATATCTGTGTCTTGGTTTCAAGATGGGAATGAGATTGTTTGTGGAGAAAAACATGAAATCTCATTCTTAGATAATGTTTGTGCTTTGAAGTTGAATGCCCTGGATGTCACAGATACAGGGTCTTATACATGTGTGGCAGCCAACGTGGCTGGATCTGATGAATGCAGTGCCTTCTTGACTGTACAAGGTCAGTGGAAGGATACTGCCATGCCTTCAACAAAAATCTTCTTCCCTCTTCTCTTTCTTTTCTCTGGTTTCCTGTGGTTTCTTTTTCATGGTTTGTTTAGTTTGGGGGCTTTTTGCCATGGTTTCTTTTATATTTTCTTTTTTACTCAAACCTGCTCATTTTCCTCCCCACAGAGACCCTCCTATTAACATCTTTCACTTCTTTGCATGATCCTTAGAACCACCTTCTTTTGTGAAGACACCTGATCCCCAGGAAGTTTTGCCTGGATCAAATGTGACATTCACCAGCTACATCAAGGGCAGTACTCCCTTCAAAGTGACCTGGTTCCGAGGCATCAGGGAGCTGGTGCCAGACAGCAACTGCTCCATCTCTCTCCATGAGTCTGTGGCACAGCTGCAGCTGTACAACGTGGAGCCAGACCACAGCGGGGACTATGCCTGTGTGGTCACAAATGATGCTGGCAGTGCCTCATGTACAACACAGCTCTTTGTGAAAGGTGTGTTTGGGTGTGTGCATGAATGCACAGTAATCTTCGTTCACTCCCTGCCTGCAGCTCTTCCACATCTGTCCCTCTTACTATTGATTCATACCTCCCCACAGAGCCTGCAGTCTTTGTGAAGAAATTAAGTGATTTCAGTGTGGAGCAGGGGAAGTCCATTGTGCTGGAAAGCAGCTACATTGGCACTCCTCCCATCTCTGTCACCTGGAAAAGAAATGGGATGCCCATTGCTCAGTCTCAACGCTGCACTGTTACAGCTACTGAAAAATCTGGCATCCTTGAAATCTTCAACAGCACAAAGAATGATGAAGGCGAATATACCTGTGAGGTGGCAAATGAGGCGGGTGGGGATGTTTGCCACAGCCTTGTCTCTATCTTAGGTATTCATCACCCCTGATCCCTCTAATGCACCCCAGTGATGCTCTGCCTCTGCTCACCATGTTCTCTCCTTCCCTAGAACCACCTTATTTTGTCACGCACCTGGACCGTGTGGAGGTGAAGGTTGGCGAGCCTTTGACCTTAAAATGCCAGATTGGCGGTTCACCAGAAATCAAGGTGTCCTGGTACAAAGATGACACCAAACTCAGATCAACACAGGCTTACAAAATGCACTTCAAGAACAATGTGGCAACACTGGCATTCTCTGCTGTAGAGGATAGCAACATTGGAGAATATATCTGCAAAGCAGAAAATAGCATCGGCTTTGCCACCTCCACAGCTTTGCTTGTTGTTAAAGGTGATGGGCCAAAAGCCACTCTTTTGTGGGGTAGTTTGTAGGAACTCTTTGTTAAGTCTACAGAAAGTGGGTTTTATTAATTTCAAAGATAATTAATTCAAGGTTGGCTCTTACTGATAGTAGTGGTTATTATTTTTTTTTGCAGAACGTCAACTTCCCCCTACATTCACCAGAAAACTTAAAGATATTCAGGAGGTGGTTGGTGCCCCGGTGACATTTGACTGCCGCATAACTGGCTCAGAGCCTATCCAGGTGTCTTGGTACAAGGATGGGGCTCTCTTAAGTGACACTGATAACATGCAATCAGCCTTCTTAAATAATGTTGCAACTTTACAGATCTTAGAAACTAGTATGGATTACTGTGGCCAATATACTTGCTCAGCCCAAAATGCTCTGGGGACTGCCTCTTCCAGTGCCAAACTTCTCCTTACAGGTTTGTAGATGACACTTTAATGAACATCTTTTGTACATCTTTGCTCTTTTACTTCTCCACCCTTTTTCCCCACTCTGCCCATTGTATGGTGGCCAAGGGACAATGGGCAAGGCATGGTGAGGCAGGCTTGGTGGTGAGCTCTGCCATGCTTTCCTCTTTGCAGAACACCTGCGACCTCCCTTCTTTGACACCAAGCCGGTATCTATCGATGTGGCACTAGGGGAAAGCGCAACCTTTAAGTGCCACGTGACTGGTTCTGCTCCCATGAGGATTACTTGGACCAGAGACAACAGAGAGATTCGTACAGGTGGCAACTACAAAATGACATTGGTGGAAAACACAGCCAGCTTGACAGTCCTAAAAGTTGGTAAAGGGGATGCCGGACTCTACACATGTACTGCCAGCAACAGTGTTGGAAAGGACGTGTGTGCAGCTCAGCTGGCTGTACAAGGTACTGCTGTGGGCTCTAGTGTTTATGGGGTTTTCTTTGCAAGGCAGACACCTGGAAAACACATTCTGACCTGAATGCAGACATGTGTGCGACTAACAATTTTTACAAGAGGTTACTCTGAGATGTCTTATTTCCCTTAAATGTTATTGTAATACTTAAATACTTACTCATATTTCTTCTGCTTTGGTATTGTACCTGATTTTTCTTCTCAGAGGGATTCTTCCATTGAAACATTAACTCTTACTACTTTGTTGGGCCTTTTTGAATGGTTCCATTGGACAGAAATATCTGTCTTTCTAAAGTCTTTCTGCAACAGTGACAGTCACTAGGTTGCCCAGGTGAGGGAAAGGAAACTGAGAGAAATTCAGTTCACTTATGAGGCTTAAAGGTATTTTTACTGTATGTGCAGCTCCTACAAATAGCTTTGCTCTTTCACAGACTGAAAACATTGAAAATTGCTCTTCTAAACAGCAAAGCTGGGGGATCTGAGAGCACATTTGGTGACAAATATCCTGTCGCCCACCCAACACTTCACCTCTCCTTATAGTGTGTGGATCTAAAAGTAAAATCTAAATTTATGAATGGCTTAGACTGTCTTGGTGCAAGTGACACATGTATATTAGTGCAATTTCCTCAATGTAGGTGGAAACATATTTATAGCTGTTACGGATAATTCAATTTTACTGATTTTGTAAAAGAAGAAATGTAACATACAAAATGCATTTGAAAGATTGTAGCAAGAAATCAAACCTCTTTAAAAGATCTAAAGTTTCTTTCCACCACAATAATTCTGTTTATTATCAATTATATAGTTGATAATAGCTTTATTTTAACACCATTACCATTTGTAAAATGATCCCAGCTGACCTTAATTTTTTTTTTTACTCTTCAAGTCTTTATTTGTAAAATCCTGAGGAGTATTATTTTTTTTTTGATCATGAATTTACTGACACTTCTTAGTGTTGTGCAGTTTCCCCAAGGCTGTAAAATTAGTGATGTTGATTGTTTTCAAGCAATTTCTATACAACTTACACGGTCAATCTCTTTGGGTGCACTGATTTGCATGTGTTTCATTTGAGCATATGCTGTCTCACTTCTAAGACAGGCAGCCTTTTGTTTTTAGAATTAAGATCTTTCTTTTAAATGACCTTGAAAACTTCACAGCTTTTTATTAACATTCTCACTCTGGCATCTAATGTTCCCAATATGTAGTTTTAATAATTGCTTTGTGTTCTAGAACTGCTTTACTTCATAAATATATACCTTACTAATGTATATACCCTCATTTTTTGAAAGGAGTGGAATCAGTGTGTGACTACTCAGCAACTGTTAGTATGCAGATAGATGATCAGCTCTTTCTCAAAGTGAAATCCAATAGTAAATTGCTAAGGTTCCAAGAGTCCTGATGTTATCAAATCACCATTTCTGTTTTTGGAAACTCAGGAAGTTTTGTTTCTAACAACACAGGATGTTCTGCCACTGTTCCACAGATTGAAATACTCCAAAATTAATTAGATATTCTTCCTACACTTTACAGCCACACAAAGAGGCACTTCATCCTGTTTTGCAGAGAGATGTTTGTTGTGCCCACATTAGCACCTCTTGGTTTTACTAGTTACAGCTTTGATCTATGATCTTTGATCTAAGCATTCAGTCTTGTGATTCTAAAGTATCAAACTTTCACTCCTTTCCCTTCCTTATGGGACAAAATGTAGCCATCTGTTTTACTTTTCAGTCACAGGACATTTAACACCAATTCTATAAAACAAGCCATCTCATAATTCTCCTCAGTATGATTATTTCTAAGCTCTTTTGTTTTCTACCTAAGCTCCTTAACTTTGATTCCTTATGTGCAACTTTGTTTTGCATTAAATCTGTGAGGGGTTATAATGCAGATACATTCATTGACTACATTAATTATTAATCACAGGATATAAAGCAATTGCTATAATACTCGACATAAATGCTTTTAATAACATTTTTTTTGGCTGAACAGTTGGATTCTTGCATTTGCATCAGGCTTTTTGATTACACATATATAACGAGCATATTTTGTAAAGAAAACCACGCATATCAACTGATCTCTAGTGAATACATACAAGGAGAGGTAAAGTTGGTCAGCAAACTAAGGAGAAACTCACTGAAATGCATATAGAATACTTGTTTTCTTCTTAATCTGGATTTTGGACCAATTTGAAATCATCTAAAAAATTTCAGAGCAATTGCAAAATCAGAAGTTTTGCTTAAGTCCCTAAACTCTACAATTTCAGTTACACATCTCCCTGCTTATTCAAACAATTAGTGCAGTTTAAAGCATCATCTCTCCTTTTTGGCTTTCCAGAACCACCAAGGTTTATTAAGAAACTAGACTCCTCAAAACTTGTGAAAGAGCACGATTCCACAACGTATGAATGCAAGATAGGTGGATCTCCAGAAATCAAAGTCACCTGGTACAAAGGTGAAACTGAAATCCATCCCAGTGAAAAATACAGAATGTCCTTTGTGGATTCAGTGGCAGTCATTGAAATGCACAACCTCAGTGTTGAAGACAGTGGTGACTACACTTGTGAAGCTCGGAATCCAGCGGGTAGTGCAAGTACGAGTACTACACTGAGAGTAAAAGGTCAGAATCTCAGCTCTTGCCTTCTCTTTCTAACATTAAAGGGTCCTCCTTTAGGAAAAGCTCTTAAATCCCACTTTCTTTTGTCAGAGGCCAAAACCTACCTGAGTAGATGGCAAACCTCTTGTCTGTTTTTGATCTCTGTGGCTCTTTCTTACCTATTGTCTTTGCTATTTAGCATCAGAATATTTACTTCAATCTTCTGTCTTCTTTAATCTCTTTTGCTTAAATAACACAAACAATAACTCTTTTTTCTTTATTCCAGCACCCCCTATTTTTACCAAGAAGCCCCATCCAGTTGAGACCTTGAAAGGGTCTGATATTCATCTGGAGTGTGAGCTTCAGGGCACTCCTCCATTCCAGATTTCATGGTATAAAGACAAACGAGAAATTCGGAGCAGCAAGAAGTATAAGGTCATGTCTGAGAATTACATAGCTAGTCTTCACATTCTCAGTGTGGATACTGCAGATGTTGGTGACTATCACTGTAAGGCTGTAAATGATGTAGGAAGTGACTCCTGTATTGGCTCTGTAACACTAAGAGGTTTGTACAAAGATTGGCATCTTCTTGGCATTTCTTTGTTCCTGAAATTCTTCTCCTACTTTTCCACTCCTGGCAGGGTTCTTTACTGTTAAATATCTTCTCTTAAATAGCACCACCAACCTTTGTGAAGAAGCTGAGTGATCTCACTGTCGTAGTTGGGGAGTCGATTGAACTGCAGGCTGCAGTACAAGGATCACAGCCCATTTCTGTTCTGTGGTTAAAAGACAAAGGGGAAATCATCAGAGAAAGTGATAATCTTTGGATCTCCTACTCAGAAAACATTGCAAGTCTGCAGATTGGAAATGCAGAACCAACCAATGCTGGGAAATACGTTTGTCAGATAAAAAATGATGCTGGAGTTCAGGAATGTTTTGCCATGCTGAAAGTGCTAGGTTGGTAGCATGAGATAAAAAACACAATGTGTTTTAAGATGCTTTGAAACTTAAATTTTAATCATAATAATAGCTATTTCGTTGTTCTAAAAGTTTTCTGACTTGCATTTCATTGCAGAACCTGCAGTCATTGTAGAGAAGCCAGGCCCAGTCAAAGTTACAGCTGGAGATTCTTGTACTCTGGAATGCACAGTAGATGGCACACCAGAGCTTACTGCTAGGTGGTTTAAGGATGGCAATGAACTGTCCACTGACCATAAATATAAAATCAGTTTCTTCAACAAAGTATCTGGACTTAAGATCCTCAGTGCAACACTAGAAGACAGTGGAGAATATACCTTTGAGGTGAAAAACAGTGTTGGTAAAAGCAGCTGCACAGCTTCAGTGCATGTTTCAGGTTAGTTGACTATTCATTCTGAGTCACCTCTGATCCCTTAGTTCCTCTACAAAGCCTTCAGATAGCAAAGTGGATGTTGTGATTGGCAACCTAAGAGAGTTGTACAATCTTGGGAGTACTTGGCATGCCACTTTGACAGGCATCAAGGATAGATGCCTACCTAAAATCTGAGGGGCAGGAATTATTGAAAGGACTCGATTTCTTCAGCTTTAATCTACATATTATCTTCAACAGCAGGTGTAATATTTTTGCTTATGAAAAAGAATAGAAAAAACAAAAGTTGTTCCTCAAAGATTATAATTGAAAGTTCCAGCATATCCTTAACCATTGACTATTTTAGAAATACTTAGCTGTTTCAGAGTATATTGCCAAAGCAGATACAGGAAAAAGTCAATACTTTTATTATGCACATAGAACTTCCTGCATTTAAGAACCCTGTATGGTAATTTCTACGTATTTTTTTTTTTATTTTGAAACAAATGCAGATCGTATTATACCTCCTTCTTTCACAAGAAAACTGAAAGAAACTTATGGTCAGCTGGGTGCTTCTGCTGTACTGGAGTGCAAAGTTTATGGGTCACCACCCATTCTGGTTTCCTGGTTTCATGATGGACAAGAGATTACCAGTGGAGAGAAGTATCAGGCTACTCTTACAGACAATACCTGTTCTCTGAAAGTGAATGGACTTCAGGAGTCTGATATGGGAACTTATTTGTGCACTGCTACTAATGTAGCTGGGTCTGATGAATGCAGCGCATTTTTGAGTGTTATAGGTCAGTATCAGTAAGAAGCCAGAAACAGAGCCAAATTTCTTTTCAGAAAGAGTTAATTTTTTCTTTGTTGAGTATTTCTGATCACTGTGATCTTCAAAAGAAGTTCAAATGTACTTATTTTCTGTCTGTTTTATTTGTGTGCTTAGAACCACCATGTTTTGTGAAGAAGCCTGAACCACTGGATGTCTTATCTGGGGCAAACATAACCTTTACTAGTATCATAAAAGGTTCCCCTCCACTGGAAGTTAAATGGTTCAGAGGCAGTGTTGAGCTAGTACCAGGAGCCAGATGCAATATCACCTTGCAAGATTCAGTTGCAGAACTGGAGCTGTTTGATGTACATCCACTTGAGAGTGGAGACTACACCTGCCAAGTCTCTAATGAGGCAGGGAAAATTTCTTGCACAACACATCTTTTTGTCAAAGGTTTGTGCAAACTACTGCTTCTTATGCTTCTTAAAGATGATCTCTTGTCTTTATTTAATTGTTTTCTTCCTGTTGTTCGTTATAGAACCAGCCAAATTTGTGAAGAAGGTGAATGATTTAAGTGTAGAGAAAGGGAAAAATTTAATCTTGGAATGCACATATATGGGTACACCACCAATTTCAGTGACATGGAAGAAAAATGGAGTGAAAATAATGCACTCTGAAAAGTGTAGCATCACCACTACAGACACATCTGCCATACTGGAAATACCTAACAGCAAACTAGAAGATCAAGGGCAATATTCTTGTCATATTGAAAATGATTCTGGGAAAGATACTTGTCATGGTACAATCACAATACTAGGTGCGTCAAGCCAGCAGCAGTTCAACAAGTGTTATTTGAACTACTAATGGTCATCATGCAATATCTTTGTATGCTAATGGTGTGTCTTTGTCCTTCAGAACCACCTTACTTCATTACACTCTTGGAGCCAGTGCAGGTGACTGTTGGGGATTCTGCATCCTTACAGTGCCAGGTTGCTGGAACACCAGAAATGATTGTGTCATGGTACAAAGGTGATACAAAGCTGAGAGGAACTGCTACTGTGAAAATGCACTTTAGGAACCAAATTGCTACTCTGGTTTTCAGCCAGGTAGACAGTAGTGACAGTGGGGAATACATCTGCAAAGTAGAAAACTCTGTTGGGGAGGCTTCTTCATCATCTTTGCTCACAGTTCAAGGTGAATATTTCAATTTTAAATATAGGGAAATGGCCTATTTTTCTTAAGTATGCTTTGCTATTTCAGAAAACAATAATTGCCTCTACGTCGTAAAACACTTTACCGTTTCTTGACGTGTAAGGTACCCTGTGGTACTTTCTTCTACTAACAAAAGCCTACCAGTAAAGCTAATTGAAATAGAGCACTTAATGACCACAGCTCTTCTGCAGCGTTACAAGCCTCTGTATCTTCCATCCCTGTTCAGGATATTGCTTTGATTGTTTCCAGTATTAGCAGTCCTGAGGCTCATTGGCTCTAAGATAAATAAAAAGAGACCTCTCTTCCTGCAACCGTATGTGCAGGGCTCTTTACAACAAGTTCAAAATAAGTGGTATGCTAAACAATATTTTTAAGTGGAAGTTATGAGCAAAAATCCACCATACTCTGCAGCATATTAGTCAGTGATTATTGCTGAGTGCAGCAAGAGGTTCTGGTGTCTTCTGGAAGACTTCACTGTACACTTGTTCTCTTACAGAGCGTAAACTTCCTCCTTCTTTTACACGAAAATTAAGAGACATTCATGAAACTGTTGGCTTACCAGCTGTATTTGATTGTGGCATTGCTGGCTCAGAACCCATCGAAGTATCTTGGTTTAAAGACGGCGTGCGTGTAAAAGAGGACTACAATGTTCACACGTCCTTTGTAGATAATGTAGCAACTCTCCAGATTTTGAAGACAGATAGGAGCCTTATTGGGCAATACACCTGCACAGCTGTCAATGCTATTGGGACTGCTTCTTCTAGTGGCAGGCTTGTCCTTACAGGTTGGTGGGCTGTGAAATATTTAATGGAAATGTCTTAAAACTGAGTTTTGCTTTATGTATGGATTTAATATTGTACAAGAGATTCTTATTTCTCACAGTTTTAAAGTAAATTGAGATTTTTAAGTGATGAGTTTTTATTTCTTTCACTCTTCAGAAGGGAAGACTCCTCCATTCTTTGACATCCCACTTACACCTGTGGATGGCATTATTGGAGAAAGTGCTGATTTTGAGTGTCATGTTTCTGGAACACAGCCTATTAGAGTCACTTGGGCAAAAGATGACCAAGAAATTAGAACAGGAAAGAACTATCAGATCAGTTATGTAGACAACACAGCCCATCTGACCATCTTGAGAGTTGACAGGGGGGATTCTGGAAGATACACATGCTATGCTAGCAATGAAGTTGGAAAGGACTCTTGCACAGCTCAACTGGCTGTTAAAGGTACTGAATAGATAGTACATTGTGTTTACATTTTTCTTCCTTCAGGTATAAAGGAAGTTGGACTATTACTGCAAGATAACTTTGAGAAAACTTTTGGGATGTAGCCTGAGAGTACCTATCTGGAGATACATATGAATCTTTTATGGGAATTAGGAAGGGTCACTAACAGCAACAGGAGGAGAAATAAAACATTTTCTTTGACCTACTTTTTCAATAGGCTCTGGCCTATTTCTTTCTTAAGATTTTGACAAAACTCTTGTAGTTATTTAAATGGTGTATGACTTAAATCAATGTAAGAGAATTTTTTTTCAAACAGGAAAACACAGTGACAATGACTGTAAGAGCAAGGCTCGTGCTGTTTATTGTAGCATAATTTCACTTAAAAAATATATCCAGTTTAAATGACAGAAAATATCAATTCCCCAATGTTCAAATTTTTCTTGAAGCATTGTCTTTAGGATTTTTCATCTCAAGATAGATTCATGGAATTTATGTTCTTTTTACAGAACGAAAAACTCCTCCGACTTTTACTAAGAAACTGTCTGAAGCAGTAGAAGAAACAGAAGGGAATGAACTTAAACTTGAGGGTCGAGTTTCCGGCTCTCAGCCTTTGACTGTTGCTTGGTACAAAAATAATCAGGAAGTCCATTCAAGTGCTCACTATGAATTGTCTTTCAAAAACAATACCTTACTTTTGCATATAAAGGCTGTAGAGCAATCAGATGCTGGTTTATACACCTGTAAAGTGTCCAATGAAGCAGGAAGCGTGTTGAGTACATCTTCTGTTGTTATCAGAGGTTGGTTGAAGTCTTGTTTTTCTTTGCTTCCTGCTTAAAACAATTTATTTGTTTTATTTAGCTGCAAGTATATAGTATCTCTCTTATAAACTGGCTTTACTTACCTTAACAGCAGTGATTAGTCCAGTGATTCACATAAACCACAAAGTCAAGAAATTATTTTATTTTTGTGATTATTTTTTTTTCAAGGAGAAGCTTCTTTTTTTCTATTTGCTATGACTGATTTAAAGTGGATGCCAAAATATTTGTGAAATTTTTGTTGAATTTTTAATCATGCTCTTTCAGTGGAGTAACAGAGGGTTTGTGCAATGAAATCTAAGCTCAGGCAGTGTTGACACTGTGTTGTGGTAGCATGATACTTCATTATAATAGTCTTGCAGGAAATTGCATGTTTATTTCTTTTAAGATTTTTATGTAGTTCTGTAACCTAATAGTGCTTTTGATCTTATACTATTTTTTGCGTGTAAAGGTTCTTTCTGAAAGGATAAAGATATTTCTTGCATGCTTATATAGCAAATACGCTGTGATGCTCTCTTGATATTTATTCCATTTTATAACATTATGATTGACATTCTCAGACTTCTGGTTATCATCCACCATTCCTTGCCATTGCCTCCTTAGTAATCACATGTATCTCTCTTTCTCTTATATTCTTGATCATACTTCCCTGAGTGTTCACTCAAGCGTTTTCATATTCCAGAACCTAAAAAGCCTCCAGTTTTTGACCAGCCTCTTCAGCCAGCAGCAGCAGAGGAAGGTGATACCCTGCAGCTTAGCTGTCATGTCCAGGGATCAGAGCCAATCCGGATCCAGTGGCTGAAGGCAGGAAGAGAAATAAGAGCTTCAGACAGATGCAACTTCAGCTTTGCTAATGGAGTAGCTCTTCTAGAACTTGCTGCAGTTACCAAATCAGATTCAGGAGAATATGTATGCAAAGCTTCAAATGCAGCTGGCACTGATACTTGCAAATCTAAAGTGACAGTCAAAGGTACAGTAACATGGAGAAAATAAGGCATATGACAAAAATGTCAACCAAAACGCTATCCCATTTTTTTTCTGTGGAGCAAAAAAGTTAATAATCTAATAACAAACAATTATTTAATTTTATTTTTTTATAAAATCATAGAATCTGGTAAAACAGAGTATTTAACAATAATTTATATATCAATAGTGACATAAATGCTGAAAGATCAGTGTCAAAGCAATAGTACATTCCTACCAAAGAGATTAAAAATTTATTTTCTATCTAAACACGAAATTTACGAAAAATGCAAGCTAAATGGGTGAAATTACTTGGACATGCATGTTTTATGGAAAGCATGTCAAAAGTGGTGTTTATTAAAGGAATATACAGAAGGAATTTGAGCATGTGGCCTTAGAGTCTAATTGTTTTAAGACTATTACAGCTCTAGGACATTTTGACCTTTTAGCTGAAAGTAAATAGTGTCTAAACATGAGTCCTTCTGTGTAGTTCTTGCTTTACCACTGCATAAAGGACACAAGAGCCCAGCAGTATGCACAAATAATCCTTTCCACTACATGGTTAGCCACTAGGCTAAGGACGAAGTCAAAGAAAACCAGGAGAATTCAACAGATCACTGTTATGCAAGTAACTCTTATGGTATATTATCCAAAAATAGAATGAAAAGAGAAACCCTCACCAGAAAAACTTACCCATTTTAGAAAATGAGGCTTTCTATTTGCATATCTATCTGTGGATTTGCATCCATGGAGAGTATAAATGGCCTTACTGAACAGCACAGTATAGTCCATTGTGGACATTTTCATCTGGAAAGTAAACTGCAAGTTGGTTAAAACAATATGAAAATATTTTGGATTTTTACCTCTTGCATAGTATTTTGTTCCATCTCGGGAATTAATTTCTTTTTTACAATTCCTTCAGAAACATCATCACCCATGAACATGAACTGTTACTTGGAGCCATCTGTTATAACTCTCTGACTCTGTTTTTTTAGAAAAACCGGCAGCTGCTCCAGCAGCTAAGAAAGCAGACGTGGAAGGCAAACTTTATTTTGTGTCAGAGCCTCAGAGTATCAAAGTCATGGAAAGTAAGAACTCTTTTCAATACAGTACAATGTCTTCTATTTGCCTACACCTTTTGTTTGAGATGATATCCCTCTGTCATAAAGAACTGGAAAGATTTAGCTTCCTCATTTGCATCTTTCTGCAGAGACCGTTGCAACATTTATTGCAAAAGTTGGAGGAGATCCAATTCCAAATGTTAAGTGGATGAAGGGAAAATGGAGGCAACTCAACCAGGGAGGTCGCATTATAATCCAGCAGAGAGGAGATGAAGCCAAACTAGAAATAAAGGACACAATAAAAACTGATTCTGGCATGTACAAATGTGTTGCTTTTAACCAACATGGTGAAATTGAGAGGAGTGTAAACCTGCAAGTTGAAGAAAGAAAGAAAGAAGTTGTTGAAGGAGATCTCAGGGCAAAACTAAAAAGGTATACTGAAAGTTTTTATGGATTAATTTGCTATCAACACAGAAGAAAATTTTTTTATTATGCATCTCAGAACAAGATATAATTTTTAAAAAAAATTGTTAAATAGGAATAACTGTACTAAAAATAAAAGCACCTGACTAGACTAAGCTAAAGGATTCTACTGCAGAGAACAGCTCTGAGGTGATTCAATATTTCATTAAACAGCTTTCTGGGAATGAAATGCTGCATAGTTAACTTCTGTTATTGATTTGAATAGCACTCCAACAAAAAGAAAAGAAGAGGAAGAGCAACCTATTGATATCTTGGAACTTCTCAAAAATGTAGATCCCAAAGAATATGAGAAATATGCTCGCATGTATGGAATTACAGATTTCCGTGGCCTCCTGCAAGCCTTTGAGTTACTAAAGCAAACCCAAGCAGAAGAAAGCCATAGATTGGTAAGATACAGTGTGACTGCAGCATTGGTTCTCTTAGGAGTAATATGTTTCCCTTGAGCAGACATGGTGTCCACACTCTGGAAGCTCTGAAGTTATGATGTGTGGAGAAATTTCTGGTTCCTCTTTAGCTCTTTTACAGGCAGTTCTCAATGTCTTGCATGCTCAAATCCAAGAAGAAAACGTGGGCCTTCTGGCTAAGTAGGTTCTGTCTTCATAACTTGACTGCAATTGTTAGAAAGGGAAGATTTCCTGGTTACAGTACGGCTACATAAAATTTGATGTAGGAATGAATTCTGTGTTGGATAAATGTGACAGCTGGACATTTAGTATCCTTTAACATTTGAGTATATTCTGCATTCTTATAGGAAATTGAGCTCACAGAGAAAGCTCAAAGGGAAGATCAGGAGTTTGATGAACTTGTAGCTTTTATTCAGCAACGACTCACACAAACAGAGGTAAAGCATTTTTGGACTGATTTATTAAATACTCAAGCCTATAACAGGGGAACTTGAAATTAACTTAAACTAATATTTTCCAGCCTATTACTCTGATCAGAGACATTGAAAATCAGACGGTTTTAGCAGATGAGGATGCTATCTTTGAATGTGAGATTAAGATTAACTATCCAGAAATTAAACTGTCATGGTACAAGGGAACACAGAAACTGGACTCCAGTGACAAATATGAAATTAGAATTGAAGGTGATCGCCACATACTGAGAATTAGAAACTGCCAGCCTGAAGATCAAGGAAACTTCAGAATAGTGTGTGGACCACATATTGCCAGTGCCAAGCTAACTGTGATTGGTAAGTCTACTTCTGAAGTAAATATTTGAATTAGTTTACACTTTATTTGTTCCACTCTCTGATCTCTGTTAAAATGTATGTTTTAACATGCTAATAGAACCTGCAGTTGAGCGGCATCTTCATGACACTACTTTCAAGGAAGGAAAAACATGCACACTGACTTGTCAGTTCTCTATCCCAAATGCCAAGTCTCAGTGGTATAGAAATGGGAGACCCATTAAGATAGGAGGGAGATATTCAACACAAGTCTCTGACAAAGTGCACAAACTCATCATCAAGGATGTTAGAACGGAAGACGAGGGACAGTATACCTGCAAGCTTGACAGTCTAGAGACAACGGCAGATCTGGCCATTGAAGGTTTGTAAAGATGTAGAATCTCTTTCTTACAATAGTGACACTTTCTGGAGGTTTCATTAGCAGAACAAATGAAAAAAGAATTTCTGAAAGACAGATTCCAAAGCTTGGAAACAGACTAAATAAGAAATTTTACTGTCCTTTCTCTTCCAACAACATGTGACATAGTTGTGCAATTCGGTTAAGTGTATTCTTCACTAAACCATGATTAATAATGTCCCATAGCCCACAAGCAATCTGAGTGGTACTAGCTTCTGTTTTCTTTGGGACTCTTTCTTTGGACTTTTTCTTAATTATTCTCTATCTTTAGTTTCCTTAATGGCTTCTCTTACAAAACATATCTTCACAGCAATCTTGTTATAGTTGAACTCTTATGTCTTCTAATCTTCATTCTTATCTTCATAGAAGGTAGAATCCTTTTTTCCTACTCTACTTTTTTTAAGATCTGTTGCTATTATCTCATTAAAATTTAGCTATTTTGATGACAACAGTGAGAAGCATTCAGCTACAGTAAATGCCGTGGTGGTGCATAACAATTGACAGCAATATTTTTTCTTTCTAAAAACAGCGGAACCAATTCAGTTCACCAAGAGCATACAGAACATCGTTGTGAGCGAACACCAGTCTGCAACCTTCGAGTGCGAGGTGTCTTTTGATGATGCAGTTGTGACATGGTATAAAGGCCCCACTGAACTGAGAGAGAGTCCCAAGTACAGCTTCAGAAGTGAAGGTCGTTGTCATTATATGACTATTCACAATGTCAATGCAGAAGATGAAGGTAAAAATGCATGAAACAGTTGTGCTGGTGGCATTTTTTATATGTTTTTTTTTTTTTTTTGTCTGGTTTTAAATTATAAATGAATATAAATATGAACATTCTTGGCTGCTGCAGGTGTGTATTCTGTAATTGCTCGTCTTGAACCAAGAGGAGAAGCAAGAAGCACTGCAGAGCTCTATCTTGTAACCAAAGGTTAGCAAATTTTCTAAACAAATTTGTTTGCTTGAAACATGATTCTGGAAAAATCAATAGTTCTAAAAGAAATCTAATATTCCTTTGCAGAAATCAAACTGGAGTTGAAGCCACCAGGTAAAGTCCTCAAGCAAGACTGGCATAAGATCTTGTCAATACTCTGTCATAAAATTAAAGCATTTCTCTGCTTTTTTATTATTTTCAAATCTTTTTTTCCTAGTTAGAGTAAGTATAAACCACATCCGGAAAAGTATTCCTCATCCACTGACATGCGGAACTATTATTCTCATGAGTAGTGGCAATGAATACTGAGAAAATCCACAACCAGTGACATTAATAGGAACCCCATTTTGTACAACATGGAATGCCCCATTCTCTAAAACACATAAGTTATTTTTTAACTGCTAAGGAATAGAACAATGAAGATATTCAATTAATATATAGGATCTCCTCTGTGCAACTGAAAAAAAAAAAAAACAACCAAGGAGACAAAATAGGTAAAAATCACATCCTTATGATATGCAGTGATCTTCTTTTTTGAATGTTCTTAAGAGCCTACTCCAAATGTTGCAAGAACTATTTAGAAATAAAACATAACATTGTATGGGCTGGTTGAACTGAAAAGTTAATACAATTAGTTATCTATTGGTTGTCTAGCTTATGCTTGAGGAGCTAGCTACAATCCTTTTATGTTACAAAAAGAAAGATTAAAACACCATCAACTACTATCCTTGAGGAGAGTACATTGAATTTTTTTAATTGGTAGTATTTATTAAGTCAATTAAACATTTTGATTTTCTAGATGTTCCTGATGCCAAGGTTGCAGTTCCACCTCAAAAACCAGCTGAAGGTAGGGTAACAAACCATACTTGTTCTGTATCTGCACTGAACCAGAAGGCCAGTGGGAACTTCAGAGAAAAATCTTAGCTCAGCAATAAGATCTAGTTAATTGTCCCTGTGAGCAAGACTTGACTTGGATAGGCTTCTTTGCTGTGTGGAAGGCAAAAACTCTACACCACCAGTGGTAGGAGTTAATTTAATTCTCTTAAAAGGAGAAATTTTAAGAATTTCTCTTTAAAAGAGAATTTCAATTCTCTTAAAAAGAGAATATTTTCCATCATGTTTTCCTATCACTCTTCAACTGATATCAGTTCAACTTTCTATCAGTTGTTCATTTGATCTTCTTTTTATATCCATCTTTCTCTCTGATATTTTTTTTTAATTATAATATTTTCTTTTTGCCACAAAAAATATCTTTTAAACAAGCTATCTGAATTACTGCCTTAAAAAAATATTATTTTAAAGCTGTACATTGGATTTCATGTTTATGGCAAACAGTCTCACCCCAGGCTCTGGTTTTGGACTATAGGCTACAAACAATATTTATACTCCTGTTACTTTCAGTAGCTTACTATAAACGTCAGCAATTTGAACTTCTTGGATTTTTTCCAGGATAATTTGGTAAATGCTTCCAGTGGCAGCAGGCAGGGAAAGATTTGATATTTAGATGAATTAAAATCCACAAAGATAGGAGAGTGATGGCAGCAATAAAAATAAAGCTGAGGACATTCAATGCTCAAAAAAGTAAACCGGGGGTTCCTACTCAAGTTATATTTATTCAGCTGCTGTAAACTCTCAGAATAAGCACCATGTTTGCTTTTATTCTGCAGCTGCAATAAAATAATAGAATCCATTTTACCAAAGCAGGATTTTTTTCGTTTACAAGGAAATATCAAACTTAAATTCTGTTCTAAACATTTCATTTTTCCTACAAGCTGCCCCTATTCCCATTCTTCTGCCTCTTGTTCCACCTCCAGAGGAGAAAAAGCCAGGTAAAAGTCCTTATAGTATTTGAATACTATGCTCATGTTTCGTTATGACAGTTGATTTTTGGATTTTTGTTTGTTTGGGTTTTTAGGGCTTCTTAAGGTTTTTTAATTCAAATTTTTAAATCTATTATTTTTAAGCAGAGAAAAAGGTTCCATTAAGGAAAGTCCCCCAAAAGGTGGTTAAAAAAGCTCCTGAAGAAGTCCTGCCAGCTAAAGGTAAATTTTTTCCCTTGTTTGTAAATTTTTTTAAAAGACTAAAATTACCTTATGGAAACAGAGTGTTTTGTTTTGAAATAATTTCAGTCTATCACAATTGTTTGATTTCTGGATTTATGTTAAAACATACATTTAAGATCCAAGCTGATTGTGACTGCCTAAAAAATAGTCCCTTCTTTAAACCATCCGTGGGGGTAAAATACTTTCACTAAATGTGAACACACAATATGCCTTGTGAATTCCACACTATGATATGAATAATCAATTTATTTATTTTAAGTTCCTGAGGTGCCACCAGAGAAGCCCAAAGAGGTCAAAATAACATCCATGGCAAGGAGAGAAGAGATACATGAAGAAAAGAAAATACATGAAACACCCAAAGAAATTTATGAAGAATGGGAAGAAGATTATGGTGAAGACCATGACTATTATGTCAAGGAAGAGGGCTATGATGAAGGGGAAGAGGAATGGGAAGAAGCTTACGAGAAAAAAGAAGTGACTTACGAAGAAAAAAGAATAATTCATGAAGAAGGTATTTGAATTATCATGTCATTTTATTTCTTCTCTTTTCTCATATTTATTATTAAGGCCCCAACATTTTGAACCAGGCAACATTTGTTTTGTTTTGTTTTTGCTAAAATATCTGGAACCATAATATGCTGACAAATTTTAAGTGGCACTTGACAATAATACAAGATATCACAAGGTATGGATGCAGATAGGAATGGATACATCAGAAATTCATTGCCAATGAACTTGCAGGTCTTTGAAACCTAACATGAGTTAGTAGTAAGGATATGTGTAATTTTTAGGTTTTTGGCTATTTCTTCTATAATTTTCCTGCACTCTTGATATATTTAAACATTTCACTCATTTATTGGTTGATGTTAATGGCTGTATTTTGCAATTTCTTGCATGTTGTAACTGTCTTGGGGATTAGCAACATGTATGCCTTGAGGAACAAGTTTTGGCTCTGATGAGAAAAATGAAACTTGGAAATAAGCAAAACATTTTACTTCAACAATTGGATCTCCAAAACTCTCTGTGTGTTTTTAAAATTCATAAAACTGTAATGGCATAACTAGGACCTTTCTGTCTACAGAGCCTTTAGGCAACATATTTTCTATCATTAAGTGTTGTTATTTGTTTTAAGTGACTGAAGTTCCTAAGAAACGCGTGCCTGAGAGAAAGCCACCGGCCATTATAGCTGAAAAGAAGGAAAAGAAGGAAGTAACTGTTCAAAAAGGTATGACTTTCGCACAAAACTAACAGGAGTTAGATTCAGATATGTAGATTGAGATGTCGTATGCATCTCCTTCAAGCTGAATGGTGCTGCTTATTCATATTTCCTTGGAAACAAGAAAATTCTCTTTATGTTGAACAGTGAGATGAGCAAGGGTCATGGCAACTCTCTTCTCCCACCTCATTTCTGAGCTCTCTGCTCAAAGCTGGTTGAATCAAAACAAGAATTAATGGTAAAATCAAACTGAGCTTCAGTTATCCTTCCTTCTCCCTGTATATTAGCCTTGGGCATGGGAGTAATGCGTAAGAAATTAAATGCTGCCCTTCTGGGAAACGTTTCCACTTAAATCACTGCATATCTCTCAGGGCAGAGTGGCCTTCACTGCCATCACCATTCACCACCATTAAACAATGCATTGAACAGAGCACAGGATGCACAGTGTTTATAACATCCTAAACAAAAAAACCCGACCAGTTCTATGTGGTCTGTATCCAGAAAACTATTTACAACATTACTTAAACAATAAATCTATCTGAATTACTTGCAGTTGTCAAGAAACCGGTCGATGAAAAAGTGGAGGTAACCACTCAGAGGGTTGCAGAAGAAAAAGTCAAAAGGGCTGAGGGTAAATACTGTTTAGTTATCTTAATGTCATCTTACTGTGAAAGTTGTGCCTTTCGTTTCTTAGCTGATCTGCATATGCTTTGTCTTTACTTAACATGGTCTGATCAATTTTTCAGTCTTTGAAACACCTAATAAAAGCTTCTGCTGAGTTCTTTAAACAGAAGATTAAAAGCTTTTTAGGGGAAAATTAATATTAATATTAACTACCAGTGCTTTAAGAAAGGAAGCATGTATGAAATTGCTGTGGGTGAAATAGTGTGTTTCATTCTAAACTGAAGATGTGAAATCCCTATCTTGTTTAGCATTCCATTTTGACCCATCTGTCAAGATGCTTTGGTTACTTCTTTGGTTATAAAATAAATATGCACCCTTATTCTCTTAGTAGCTACTTCCTTTTGTGTTGCATTTCCCATTCTGCAGCAGGATTCTCTCAGCTGCAATTCAATAAGTATCAGGAAATTACCTGTGCTAAATACCCTGAATATCTTTAGAACATAACAATGAAAAGAAACAAACACATTTCTTATGTTGCTTTATGTGATTCTAAGAAGCCTGACGTAGCTGATGAGTTAGATTGTTTGTCGTGTTTGTTGTATTTTCATCATTGATAGATTTCTGTAGACTTATTTTTATCTCTTTGCTAAATGTTTGACTGAGTAACAAAATTCTAACACCAACAGTTACCAAGAAAGTTCTGCCACCAAAACCTACACCAGTGGTCGTTGAAGAAAAAGTTATGAAAAAAGAAGGTACAGATCAGCATCTTTGAATTGCAGTTTACACTTTTTTTCAGCACCCAATATGTTTCTGTGCTTCTTTGGAATTTGTGGGCCTGTGTGTATGTATCTGGATCCATAGGAGTAGTCATGCTGTGACTGCTCTCAGTGTTTAATTTGTATGTCTACCATGCTTTTAATTCTTATAAAGTATGTTTTTAACATATTTGTGGATAGCCTTTTGGTTCTTGTTTAAAGAGCCTACAATCACACTGCAGTGTGACTTAGCTTTTTCTTCATCTATTCTGCTTGCTGGCCTAACCTTACATAATAAGTATAATTGTGTCCCCATGGCCAAAATTGTCTTTGAAGAACCACCTTTAGAATTCTTCTGATGTACTATTTCCAAAAGCCTGTGCATGCATTTTGTTTCAAATGTTTGGGCTAAAGGTGTCTGTGTCTTTAGTCTTTAACAAATACTAAATATTATATTTGTGTGCTTGTTCTGTGTTCAGTATTTTACAATATGAATACTGACTGTCTAAATATGTGTAAGACTTTAATGTGCAATTCAGTAAAGACCTGATAAAAACTCACATGCTGACTACCACTAATGTGGATCTAGAATATTAAATACTAAAACAAAATCCTATCTTTAAAGTACCAACAGTAGAAACATGGACTGTTTCAGAAGAAAAGATGTCAGTTTCTGTCCACAGAGAAGAAGAATATTCATATGATGTTACAGGTATGTACAAAACCAAAAGTCTGTGTACCCAAATCAAAACAATCCTTCAATTATTCTATACTTTCTTTTGATCTATTTTTATGTATGGCAAATTACATATTTAGACATATTGTACATTTGTCTTTTGGTATGCCTTGCTTTTTTTGTCCATTGTGTTATGTAGCTTTAGTATTATTTAGCTTAATAGATGGAAATAATTCAACTATTTTATCTTAATATTGTTTAAATGCTTTTCTTTGAAGAGCCAACAGAGCATGAGAAAACAGTTGAAGAAAGATTCTTTGAAGCTGTTTACCCAATTGAAGGTAGTTTGATTACGGATGAGAGTCTAATAAGTATTTGTTTGCTTGTTTGTTTTAATTTGAATCAAAATTCATTGTGAGACTTGCACATGCTGTTCATCTTTTGCATATTAACATATATGTTTCAGTGATGATTGTGTAGTATACACACATAATATCTTCTTGAAGTTTTTTTAGATTTACTATCGACATTTCCTATCTCAACATTTAATATCTTTAAAATTCCTATTGTAGCACATAGAGAGGTTGAGGAGGAGGAAGAAATTGTTTCTACAGAACTGGAGATCTCTCACGTTGAAGGTGAATAAGTCTTTGCATCAACATCTGCTCTGTTTTTCTGGACTTCCACATTATCTGTCTGTAACACTGTTTACCAAAGGATAGCATGTCAGAACTGAGATCTTTCAATTTCTCTATGGCTCTGCTCTCAAAGCTTCAAGCCTTATTGCATTTCTATCTTATTCTTCTTCATGACTGCTTTAAATAATTCCTTTAAAAGCTTTTTGTGACATGGGCTTGTTGTATTTGTTTGATGAAACAGATTAGGTTTTGCCATTTAGTGTTTGTTTATACACCATGTTAAGAGTAGCCAACTGTGGTTTATCAATTATTTTAGCTGTCTGCTAAATGATCACCACCTATCTTTTAAAGTGCCTGAGATACCAAAGAGGCGTGTTCCAGAAGAGAGAAAGCCTGTTCCTGTGCCTAAAATGGAAGCTCCTTCAGCTAAAGGTATTTCTACTGCTCTAGTTAAAAAAGAAAGAAGCAAAGCCCAAACAAATTTTCTTTCTTTCTTTCAGATTTTTCATGTTTTCTTGCATATATTTAAGAATTTACTCTCTATGTATCTTTGTTTTTGCACTATCTCCATATGCATTATTTGATTTTGCATCGTCTCTGTTGCACAGTTTCAGTTTTTCAATTATTCTATAGCTTTTGTCTCAGCTTAGGTCCTTCTCTTTCTTAGCTATCTCATGCTTATTTTTTCTGTTTAAGTTGTGCTGCTTCTTCAGGCAAGTGTAGAGTGTTTTTACTTCAAGGGAGTAAAATGAAAGGTGCTAGTGCAGTGATTTTAACATAGGAGTTTTATACTGTATCATAATGTCTTTCCTGTATTGTCCACATTTGTCCAAAAGGCTAAACATAGTATTGTGTCAGTTGCAGTGCTCAGATCCTTGTCCAAGCACTGTCTTCATTGTGTAAAACAATCTTGGATTATTCAAATCTGGATTAGTGTTCCAAAACCTGAACATCTCTTGCTTTAACAATGTTTTCCAAAGTGCCTGAAGCCCCTAAGAAACCTGTTCCAGAAAAGAAAGTTGCTGTTGCTAAAAAGGAGGTGGCTCCCCCTGCAAAAGGTACAGCATCTTTCAAATGTGGACTTTAACCAGTTCTGTGCTGTTGTCCCCTTTTCCTAACTTCTCTTATGTTCCCAATACATATGATAAACTTTGAGTGTTTACACATATGTAATCTTTGTGTGTTATGTGTGAATGTCTGTTCTCATCTAAGGCATTCAAAAGCCTTAGAAAGATTACCTAGATGAATTTTAATACCTTAAGAGTTTTTGAAGGGCCTAGAAAAATTATGCCTGAAGAAAAAGTACATATTCCTTTTCCCAAAGGAGAACATCTGCATGCCAAAGATACACTTACTGATGGAGTGTGCACTACTTGTTGAGTTTTATTTTCCTGTTAGTCTGTCTGTAAGCATGTTTGTGTTAGAATTTATATTTTATGTCTAATTCTCTGTACATCCATGAGATTTTTTAAAAACCTGGTAGTATATTTGAGCATCTCATTCTTCAGTTAAGAAATCAGTCTTAAAATATTTGATAGTCTTCCAGCAACTGGTTTGATTTTGTTTTTAATCAAACATATGTTGCCCTTGTCATAGATCTTTCTGTGTTAAGTGTATGAATGTGTTATGTGGTGTGTCTTGATATTCTTACAAATTGATTAATGAAATCTATAACACTCCAATAAATCTTTGAAAATTAGAATTCAGTTATCTTATACTTTATGGTTTTTTAAGTGCCAGAGGTTCCTAAGAAAGCTCCCCCAGAGAAAAAGGTTGCTGTTCCAAAAAGAGAGGAAGCTCCAACACCTAAAGGTACACCTTAAAAAATAATGTTCTTTTCTTATTATCTTAAGCATCTTGTTTATGTCAAATTTTGGGTTTGATTGCTAAGTTAATCTGGTTATACTGGTACTTCATCTATGTTAACATGTATATTTTGTGTCAGTTTTGTGTATAGGTGTGCTGTAGATTTATTCTTTAAAAACTTGCTAATTTAAGCTGATTATATTATAATTAATATCTTTGAAGTGCCAGAAGTACCTAAAAAAACAGCTCCAGAAGAAAAAATGCCATATGTTCCTAAAGTAGAACCTCCCCCTGCAAAAGGTACAATACAGCTAACCTTAATATAATTTATTGTAATCTTTAGAACATTGCATTTATCTCAATTTGGTCAGCTGTCATGTTTGTCAAGCAAAACATATCATGTGTAATCTTTCTCAACAACACATTTCTCTTGCGTGATGCCTGTGCCAGTTTTTACTTCAAATGTTCTAAAACAAATACTTTTTTTAAGTGCCTGCAGTTCCTAAGAAACCTGTCCCTAAAGAAAAAGTATCTCCTGCTCTTCCTAAAAAAATTGAGGCTCCTCCAGCTAAAGGTATGCTTTCCAGTAGAATGCAAGAATATGGTATTTCTCAGCTTCTGTCTGTAAGTTCTGTGCTGTTATTAGTCATTGATTTGTGCTTCTCCTGTGAGTTCTGCTGTTCTGATTTACACAATGAATCATTACAGTACATTGTTGTATCTCGTGTGCAATACTTACATGGTATTCTTTCTAAATATTGAATCTCTATTATATCTTATGTGCTCAGTACTCTTCTTTGGAAACCTAGATTTAGCATTTCAAAACTATGTTTTCACAATGGAATTGGAAAAGCATACATTTAATATCATTATCTTTCAAAGTTCCTGAAGTGCAGAAGAAAGCCACTTTTGAAGAAAGAGTACTTATTACAGAAGAAAGAATATCTGTAGCCATTCCAGAGGAAATCCCATCACCTGAAGGTACACTATAAGCTGACAATAGTGAGAAACTTAAGCTATGTCTGCAAGTCTATTCTAATATCAAGATCAAAAGACACCAAATATTTTTAATAGTTATTTTGCATAAGTTTTGTGTTGAACTGCAGGCAGTTAAAAGCCTCCTAAAGTGCCATTTACAATTTCAGTCTTGAATGTCAGGATCCCACCACATTGATATGGAAACACTACTATTGAATACAATAATCTCAGATGAGGGCCTCATAGATTTGCAGTGGCAAATATGGATGTATTGTTTATTTTAGACTCTACAAATTAGGGCTGTAACCATCCATTTGCCGTACTCACTACAAAGCTCTCTGTAGCCCTGAAGATAAAATACTGCTTCCCTCTGCAGTGTTAGCTTCTCACCAGCTTTCAGCTCACATTCTCATGTTCAGGGAAGATTGACATCAGTTGTTTTAAGTTAGTATAATTCCATATAATATCTGCTTCAAGATAACTGAAAACAGCATTTTGTCTGTTTTTATTAATAACTACACAATCAAGAAAATTTGCACTTTCTTTTAAAAACCATAAATTAATTTTTAGAAGAAAATTTGAAACATGTCTGTCTAAAATACGGATTTGCAGATACACATCCGTATGTATACATGCAGTGTTAATTTCTGTTTGTGTCTTGCAAATGAACCTTTTCTCCAGAACTAGCTGAGGTTTTCCCTGATACAGTCACCTTTGTAGATGAGTACATGCCAGGATTTCCTTTCAGTTCTTGACCTATCCATTTCACTTTTTCCTTTCCTCACTTTCATACAGTTGGATCAAGGAGAAATCTCTAATTCTTTGACTCTTGTTCCGCCAGTTCAGTTATTGTGATGGGGAAATTTGGGTAGCAGAGGCATTCTGATGAACTGACAGTTGACCAGTGTATGGTATTAGATACAACAGCACACAATAGGGAACCTGGGACACAGACAAACCACATCATTTAGAACAAATCATATATATGCATACAGTGCACAGCACTTTCTGGATTGTATGCATATCTGTCATTGGTATATACAACTTCTAAGAATTGGTCTTCATCTTTATCCATCAGTCCTTCCCTCTGTCCATTTATCCATCCTCCAAAAATACTAAAACTACACTTTTCCTTAAAGAACCAACAGTTGAAGAATGGTCTGAAGAAGAAAGAGAGGAAGTATCTATTTCCATCCACAGAGAAGAGATTTCTGAAGGTATGACAACAATTCAGGAGCACTAGGAAAAAGCAAAAAAGTAATTTTTGGTCTGTACCAAATAGGCAGTTTGGATTAATATCTGCTTTACTCATAAGGAAAAAATTACTACTCTATAAATATGTTTTGGAACTTATAAATTTTAATTTTAACTTCTACAACTTCTATTTCTTGCTTTTGAAAAGTGGAGTAGCTAATCCTGTTTCAATACAGTGAAAATAATAAGGTATCTCTTTGATAGTGAGATGTCAGGACTTCTTTATGTTTACAAAAATCCTCTGTTGGAAGTTCCTCTACCACCAGGATGATTGAATAAAGTAAATGTTCTTCTGAATACCATGATGCACTCGGGTTTCTCAGATAATTTCACTGTAAAATAACTGTATTTTTTGCACCCCTAAGTTTATTGGTGGTCGCATAATATTGTGAAGGACAGTAACTGACTGACTCAGTTTCTATGACTAGTGACTCCACAGATTTTTCAAGGGACATCTTTAGCCAAGGAATTTTCTCAGTATTTGGGAAAGAAGGTTTCTCAAAATAGACAAATTTCAACATTAGTGCGTGAGTGGACAGAGGAATGGAGCATTTTCAAATTCCACGCAAATACAAGATGAGAGTCTCTTGGTCCCATTTAAGTTGCTTGGAGTGTTTCCATTGGCCTCAGTGGAAGCAGGATGGTTTGAATGTAGATTTTGTCATCCCAGAAGAGTCTGTTAATAAAGCACACTGTTTGTTTTTCTCTCACAAATATTTTGTTGCTTACCGAGGCCATAAAGGCAGTAATATATGTGAAATACTTAAACTTAAGTGTTTTTATATTTTACTCTTTTAAAAAGTGACTGAAGAAGAGTCTTACTACATAGAGGAGACAGTAACTGTTCCAAAAAGAGAGGAAGCCCCACCTAAAAAAGGTATAAGTTCATTTCACTACAACATATGAGTTGTTTCATCATTCTTAACATTATGTTGCCACTACATGTTTATGTCCATTTTTGGCATTTTTGTTTGTATTTGTGCTATAGCGATACTACTCCTCTATGTAAAACTATGTATTGTAATCTTTTAAAGTGCCTGAGAAGCACAGGAGAGTTGTCCCTGAGCCAAAAGTCCCAGGCGCTCCTAAGGAAGCTCCAAGAGTTAAAGGTATAAACCAGTTCCCCAATCAGTTCATGTGTCTTCAAAGGAATTATGTTTGTCTTAATGTCTTGCTTGTACATGTTGACACAGGTGGTGTCTTCTCACAGTGATGATTGCTGTCTCTTGAAAATTCTTGTTTGTGTTAACTCAGTAAAACACATTGTGTAGTAGGCAATTGCAAATATTACACTTTAATATTCTTTCTCATCTTTCTTCTCATCTTGCTCATTTTTCTAAAGTTCCTGAAGTTCATAAGAAAGCAGTTCCTAAAGAAAAAGTACCTGTTCCTGTGTCTAAAAAAATAGTGGCTCCACCAGCAAAAGGTATATGTGTTTTGTTCCTGTTGTAAAAAAAAAAAAAAGCTTTTTTGCTGCATTCCATTTTTAACATATATGCCTTGGCTGAGGATTGTATTGTTGATACAACATATATTTCTGGTGTCAACTTTCTTCAACATTAAACATGTTTTTATGTCTGTTTGTCTACAATGACACCTGTGACCTGTGCTGTCTTGATGAGATTTATATGTTATTGTGTGTTATTTATATGTTATTTCATCTTCTATCTTATACCTGTTGATGAAATCAAACAAATTTTCTAAAGTTACATAATCTTTTTTAAGAACCTGAGGAAACATTGGTGCCCACTTTTGAGGCAGAATTTGAAGAACCTCCAACAACCAAAGGTAAACAGATTATTACCATGGAGATTTTTTAGTTAGGTCTTGCAGTATTTGTGGTTAGGCATTTTAATTAAATACAGTTTTGTTTGTTAGTATCTGTAACCTTTGTAGGGATCTCCCCTTTCTTTTTACTCTACTCCTTTTGGTGCTGTGAATGTAAAGGCTGCTTTTCAGCAGTGTCTTATTTTTGTAGCTGTTGAAGTTCACTTAGCACTTTTTTTAAACAATCAGAATAAGTAAAAGAAACATATATCTGCATTTCAAATATTGTAATTAAATATCCTTGCACATTATTTTTAAGTGACTGAAGTGCACAGGAAAATTATCACAGAAGAAAAAGTTGCAGTTGCTAAAAAAGAAGCGGCTCCACCAAAGAAAGGTATATAAATTTTCAGTTACACTACAGAAGTCTTGTCTCAGAATAGTGGTTTGTATTTATGTCTAGTTATCTAACACAGACTCTAATGTTCACTGTTTGATGTCTTTCTTTTTTTATTTGAACAAATATTAAGTCTCTGATTTGTGTTTTGTCATCTGCTTATATTTGTATACTTTGAGTAATTTAACATCTATTACAATAAACTTTTTTTAAAAACTGCTAGCAGTGCCCAAGAAGCCTGTGCCAGAAGACAAAGTACCTGTTCCAATTTCACAGAAAGTGGCAGCTCCAGCAGCTAAAGGTATACAAGCCCTTTTGGAAGTAGAGATGGCTTTTAAATATCAGATATCCATGTGCATCATAGTCACAGTCTGCCTAGTTAATAAAATCTGTCTCTCCTGATTTGGTTATAAACAAAAAGGACCTTCATCTTTTCCCCTTCAAAATACTGCTGAGTGTGACAGCGAATAGCCATACACCTTCATTCTTTGCATTTTTTAACTAGTATTTCATTTTATTGATCACTCTATATGCTTAAATGCTTGCAAAGCTGAGTGACAACATTTACTCAGTGAAAAAAAAATTAAAACCAACATTTTTTTTAAAAATCAATCTTTATAATATTGTCAATATTCAGTGAAGTGTTTCAAACTTACAAATATGTTGTCTGTTTCTGTGCTTTTCTTGTGTTTGATTTTGTTATGTATCCTGAGTGTGTGGTGTTCTGTGTTTTAATTGAGTTTCTGAAGAGTTTAGAGACGAAGTGTTTACCTCTTACTTTCATCTTCATTCCATCTTACTTCCCAGTATATGAATATTCTGTTCAATTTTGTTTTGTCTATATATCTATTACTCTAATATTAGATCTATTATTTTACTATATATTATCTGTATGTCTCATGTGATTGTTGTGTTTATTATATTTTCTTTTAAACAGTTTGCTGTTTGCTCCTAGTTGTTTGTCTATAATTCTTTCATACAAGTTTCAGAATGTGTGTGATTTCTTTTAGAAGCTAGTTTTCTTACAATTACTATCTTTAAAGTCTCAGAAGCACAGAGGAAAACTGCCAGAGAAGAAAGAGTATCCATTGCTGTTCAAAAGAGAAAAGTGTCTCCACCACCAGAAGGTAGTCCTGCCCATGGGTTAATCTACAAACACATTGTGCTCATTTAAGACTACCAGAGCTTCAGGCCTATTGCTCTGGCATGTCTCCTGAGGTTCAAATTTAGAATTATAGAATCATTTAAGTTGGACAAGACATTAAGGTCATTGAGCCCAACCATTAACCTTACACTACCAAGTCCACCACTATGATCCACTGTAGTCCCAGAGGAACTTTTACAAAGTCTTTGAGAAATAATATAGACATTTTTCCCAATTAGTCTGGGTGTGGGTGGTGTCAGGAAACAATAGTTATTTTTCTAAGAAATTCCAAATGGGATATTTATTATTGTACATGGTATTACACCAGAAAAAAAAAAAAAGTTAATGTTAGACTCTGTCTTTGAAGTACCAACAGAAGAAGAACATTGGGCTATGTCAGAGGAAGTATCCGTTTCTCTCCACACAGAAAAGGAGATTTCATACACAGGTATGAAGACTAAAAAGATTCTGTATCCAAAGTTACATCTTGTCAGCTAGTAAAAAAACCAGAGAGAATAAAACAAAATTTTATGTCCTTTGCTACTTATGAAGCTTCATAAAAGGGAAGCTTGTAGAATGGTGCAGGATAGTATTTCATTCTCGCAATAAAATACTGTCTCTCCTTTAATTCTTTCCTTTGGCTTACTGCTGTTCACATTGTGGAAGCCAAATAATTTCATTAGGTCCTCCTTTTAAAATCTTGCCACCTGTCTGACCTTTGAGGGGAAACAAGAGACAGTCTTTGCTTTCATTTAAACTAACATGCTTTATTATTCTGAAAAGACAGATAGTCCTTTCCTGTTCTGTAAAAGCAACTCCTCACCTAAATCCGAAGGTTAAAGAAAAAATCATTAGCTCTACTGCTACCTGCATGGCTGAGACACTTAACACAATCCAGTGTAATGGATCTGCCTGCTCAACAGTCCATAGCCTTTAAGGAAAATTTATTGGTCTTTTACTTTTGCAGACTATCAATTGATTTGTGAAAAATTATCCACAAGATGCCTCACACTCACTACTTTCAAATCTGATACTGTTGATAAACGGCATTAGCATATTCATATCATAAAAGATTAATACAGACAAATCAGCATGAAGTTAAATTATCTATTTCGTTTCCAAAGTTGGGGAGACAAGCATACTATGAGTACTAAGAGTATGATGAAAGATGACCTTTGATTCTCTGTAAGGCAGGTGTAATATGCCATCTGGTCTGGAAAGAAAAGGGTCAAAGTAGAAAGACATTAAAGGCAACAGTTCTTCAATAAGGTACCAAACTTTGGTGTTTTAGCTGGAAAAAAAAAGAATCCAAAGGAACCTGAGCTTTCTGAAAAAGGTACTCATGCATAATGCAGTTTTTGTTTCCAAATCCACCAAAGTATCAGTTCCAAGCAGTTTCTGTTGAAGATTTCAAGTGTAGATGAACCTGGCATTTATAATTAAATATCAAGGAGGACTATGCCAGAAAATACTTAGAGAGCTAATGAATCTTCACATTACCCCAAAAATAACACCAAGCATCAAGACATGTAACAGCCACTCATCTATGCTCACTGTATCTTGTCATGAATAAAGTTTCTTCAAATCTGTCAGCAACAGAATGGATTCCATCTCTGAAGGTCAAAAAAAATCTCAAATCTGTTAAGAAAATGCCACAGTTATTCTCCGACTTGGCAAGTCTGCCAGATCTTAAAATGGCAAGGTGATTTCTGTGCAGTTTCCAATTATATTGGTCAAAAATTTTCCAAGACACCTGCCTCAGAAAGACAAGACCCACACACTTCTGTAAAAGGGAATATGGTGCTTAAATATAGTATTCTTTCCTGAATAAGTCTGAAAAATTGAACATATCCACATCTTAGTCTTTTGGAGATGCTCCTGCTTTTACAAGGAACGGCTCCTTGCCATGTCAGAACAAACAAGGCACTTCATAAAGTAATTGACAGAAGAGGAAAAACACCTTCCTCACTGAGCAAGTCATTCTCTTGCTTTTAATTAGCCCAGAGCCCTTATCTATTGTTACTCTCAAAGGTTTTCTCCATGTGTTCCTTCACCTTCATCTAGAGTTTTCTACACAAATCTTTTGTTGTCAGTAAATGACGACTCTTGATCTCTTCCCGAGATAGTGCAAAGTGTCACTGCTCTGGAGAGGAGCTGCTACAGAGAACAATGAGGTTTATTGATTTTGTAATTGGATGGCTTTGGATTTTGAATTCTGCCTATCAACAAGCTTAACTTCACTGTTGGCAGCAGTGGATGAAGCAGGAATCATATCAGCTGCTTACACTGGTATCTTGAAAAGACTGTTGTTTCTTAATTGAAAAGAAGCCTAATGACTTCTCTAGCTACATGTCCAGTGACAATAAGCACACTTGTCTTTTACATGTCAGCTGTGTGTTTGTAAGATATCTTTTTTCTGTTTCTTACCAAGAATACTTTTGCTTTTAAACAATTTACATATAAAAATTCTTAAATGTAATTGTACTATATCTTTCAAGTGCCTGATGTACCAGAGAGGGCTATCATTGAAGAAAGAGTACCAATTTATCCTCCTAAAAAAATGGCAAGACCACCAGCCAAAGGTATAATGGATAGAGTATTCAAATATGGTGTAAATGTTTTTTGTGTCTTGTATGTTCCATGTACAGTGAGTACTGATTTGTTTTCTGTGGAATGTTCCCGCTTTGTTTAATTCTTAGTTGACAATGCCTTGTGATCCTTATTATTAGTAAGATCTATGTGCTAAATTTTAAGGTTCTTTTAATTGGTATCTTTTTAAGTGCCTGAAGTACGCAAGACAGTTGTCCGAAAAGAAAAAGCGTACGTTGAAGTTCCTCAGTATGAAGAGGAGGAGGAGGTTCCAAGGTACGAGGAGGAAGACACCACCAGATATGAGAGGGACGTGATCCGTTACAAGGAGGAAGTTCGCCATTACGAAGAAGTTAGTCACTATGAGGAGGAAGCTCCTCAGTATGAAGAGGAGGAAGCTCCTCAGTATGAGGAGGAAGAAGTTCCTCAGTATGAAGAGGAAGTCATCCATTATGAAGAAGAAGCTGCTTATTATGGAGAGGAGGTTGCTGAATATGAGGAGGAAGAGCCACAGGTTCCTCAGTATGAAGAGAAGGCTCCCCCACCAGCTAGAGGTATACTTTAACTTTAGGGTTTCTGTGAGGAAAAGTAGTATCTTTTCATTCTATGAAAGTACCAAACTTTTGTTTTACAATGTTGCAGTGTGCTTTACAGTGTGCATTTTTAGAGATGTTTATTGATTATTATATAGTGCAGAAAACATATGATGGCTGTATATCTACTCTTTACTACTAACTCCATAAATTAAAATTTTCATGTTCATGTTCATTCCTCTTTCATATGATCTCTGTGTAAACCACTATGAAAATTTAACCAAGCTGAATTTCATTCTCATCTGGGGTCCAATTTTTCTATCAGACTGTGCTTGAAATATTTAAAAACACTTACGTAAATTCTACAATCATAGACAAAAAAAGATATTTATCTAGAAAACAGCTAGAGTACTTGAAAATAAGTCATGTAGGAACACAATTCACACTGATTTTTTTCAGAATCTTGGAAAGCCCTATGGTTGATGTCTATTTCCATCTTGAAGAGAATACTATACTTCCATGAAAAAGAAAAATATCCATATTTAAATAATCTAGTTTCAGGTGTTTTCCTTAGCACTAATTTTTATGGTGTGGGTATAGATTTTCTACATTGTTAGTACAGGATGAGCATAGTATTCACTACTTAGGAGATCTAGGTCATGCCAAGATCTTGGTAATAAAGATCTGCATATAATATATTCTGCATCATAATATAAAGATACAGGTAATGTATATCCGATTTTCCTAAATTATATGATCATCAAAGAGTATAATTTCCAGTCCTGATCCAAATCATTCCATAGTGTTATTTTCCATCAAAGAAGTTCAGAATTTCATTTGACTAATTAATAAATATCAAAATTATATCTAACATTGTTTACAGTAGAAATTTTGTCATGAACATGAGAAAAGATGAGGCTGTACACTGCAAAACCCAGGTTAATCCTGAACAGGAAGATTAGTGTGGGCTGAAATTTCCATTTAATCTCTCATATTAGCTAAGTTTAATTCACATGTGCTCCAAACTTTCTTCAGTATGCTCAGAGCCAGTGGAATTATTCTCCTGTCATTGTAAAATTTATATGAACATTTCTGGGGTTTGGAATACAAACAAATGTTTAGATACATTTTAGTTGAAACCTTTGCCTCACTGCAGTTAAAGGAAAAGTCTGTTGATTTCAGAATAGTAAAGGGAATTTTTAAAAAGCATTTCATTTACCCAACAAATTGTGGTATAAACTGCTGGGTACTTATAATGGACAGTGCTGTGCTTGAAGTAAGTCAGTTGATAAACTAGATGTGCTTGGGTTTTTTGCATTTAGAAAGCTCTTGGGAATTTTTCAGGAAGAAGATGCAGTCATCAATTTATATTTAATGTATATAAAAGAATATGATCAGATGCAACCTATTACATGCCTGACAACCATAGGGAACATGTTTTTAATAGCTGGTTAGAAAAAGTGACTGAATCTCTCTGACTTAACCTTCTGAAAAAAGAAAATCTTCTTTCAAAAAAGCCCTTGAAGTTGAAAATATCTTCATTGATGGTCTCCATGGCTAAGCAGGGAGAATGGACATAAAAGCAGCTAATATGAGGTGTTTGTTATTTTATTTTGTCTTAGTGATAAAACCCTTTTAAATCATAGCTGTTTTTTTGGAGTATGTGATGTTTGTTTGCATGAACATGTATTTGTTATTTGTGATGTTTGTTTGCACTTTATGTTCCTGTTGTTATGGAAGTAAATATCTAAAACTTTAATGGTATCTTTCAAGTGCCTGAGGTTCCCAAGAAGCCTGTTCCAGAGGAAAAAATACCTATTCTGAAGAAAAAAGAACCTCCTCCAGCGAAAGGTATATATAATCTCTTTACATTAGAAGACATCCTCTGAATATGTAATTATTTTTCAGATGCCTGAATTGCTTATTACTTTTTTCTGTTCTTTTTGGAGAGGGTTCTTCATATGAGATATTTGTGTTGCTGTCTTTTTTGTTTCCTTTCTGTTTTGAGTAGCTTATGGTTTACTTTTTTAACCAAAATCATGTTTTTGAAGTGCCCGAGGTGCCAAAGAAACCTGTACCTGAAAAGAAAGTCCAAGTGCCGAAGAAGGAAGCTCCCCCAGCTAAAGGTATATACACTTGTCATTGTCTGTGATCAGAAAGATCTTCTAGCATTACTTTATCTTCTCACTTGTGTTAAAAACTAGGATAGAAAAAGAATTGTTACTCTTAATGACTGTGGTTCTTTTTGTTTGTGTTTAATTGTTTTAGTGTGACTGGTTTGTATGTCATGTTGTCTTAGATTTTCATGCCAAGCTCAATATTTTATAATATCTTACTAAGTTCCAGAAGTGCCAAAGAAACCTGTGCCAGAAGAGAAGGTTCCTGTTCCTGTACCAAAAAAGAAGGAGGTTCCACCAGCCAAAGGTATATGACTTGATATAGCTCTTGACTGAATGCTTTATACAAAAAAATAATTTAAAAGTCAGTCTTTTTTTTGTACGTAATGTAGAGTGAAGAGTTTTCTATTCTTGACAGTTCTTCTTTGTCACCCAACTTTATTGATTCATATCAATGTTCTTTACCTTATGGCTCAAAAATTAAATTCTTAAGCCACAATAATATTTTTTCAAGTGCCTGAAGTACCAAAGAAACTTGTGCCAGAAGAGAAGGTACATGTCCCAGTGCCTAAAAAAGTGGAAGAACGTCCAGCAGCCAAAGGTACGCCATTTTCTGGTTCAACTGTGTGGTTCTGTTTTTGTTTGTTCATCTTTATAAGAAGATTGTTACTGGCAGTAACAATCCCATTCTTCAGCCTAATGTGTTTGAACCACTCCCTGAGCTGTTTGACACTGTTGTGTCTGTGTCTGTCAGTCATGGGGTCCATCCTTACTCTTCGCTTTGAAAATGTCTTTGTGTTTTGTATCGTCTCTGTCTTTTGGATCTTACAGATCTAAATCTTTTAAAGGACTTGTTGCTTCAAAAACAGATGGTCCAAAAGATAAAAAATTTACCTAAACAGCCAGACTTCCCCCTTAGCCTTACCACACCAGTTTGTAGCTCTGTTGTCCCTGTATGTTTGTAAGTTTACATCCGTGCATAAATGTGTGGATAAAATCAATGTTAACTTTCATCACACTACTAGATTTTGCCATATTTGTGTAATTATCTTAATATCAGATGTGCAGTTATCTTTTTACTAGGTTTTATATTACATTGAAAATTAATCCCCTAAACAAAAATGTCTTTAAAGTGCCTGAAGTGCCCAAGAAGGTTCCAGAAAAGGCAGTGCCGGTCCCTGTACATAAAAAGCCAGAACCTCCACCAGCCAAAGGTATCGCTTCCTATAGCTGAACATGTGGATAATGCTTGTTCTTTGTTTTGTGTATTTGTTGTTAGAATTTAACTGCAGTGTCGTAGCAGTGTGTGACAAATGTACTTGCTTTAGCTTCTGTGTAAGTTGTGTCTAAGTTTTCTACAATTAAAACTATCTTTAAAGTGCCAGAAATACCAAGACGTCCCAGTGAAGAGGTGCCTATTTTTGTTCCTGAAGAAGAAGAGGAAAAGGTTCCAGAGATGCCAGCAAGAGGTACAGCACTGATTCTTGAAGATTATGAGAGCTTTGTTCAATTCATTAATAGATCTTCATCTTCAGTGATTGTTTTAAGCTTGGTATAAACCTCAGTTAACCTTTTGAGAGGAGTCTTCTTCTTCTTCTTTCTGGTCTTTGTGACTTTGTTCTGTAGTTTTAGTACTTTTGATGCTCTAAAAGCAATTACTAATTTCTTATCAAAACTATATCTTTGAAGTGCCAGAGGTGCGCAAGAGAGCTGTTCCAGAAGAAAAAATAACTGTTGCAGTTCCTAAAGTAAAGAAAATTCCACCAGCTAAAGGTATATCACATTGTGATGTATGCAGATAGCTCCTCTCCCTCTTATTTTCATATTTCAGTGGAAGCTAATTTTAACATTCAGTTTATACTCATGTGAATCCAGGTCCTGCTGTTTCCCTGCAGCGAGCAGTGCTAGGGCCCAGACAGGGCTTGTCTCTTCTGTTATTGACTGCAGCCAGCTGAGAATCAGGCTGGCTTTATTCCACTTTAGGTGATTACTGTGAATGACATAATTCCTTGTGATACTATCATCCGGAAATAATTTTTAAAGTAATTTAAATTTTCTTTATGCAAAATAGCTGAAATTAAATTTTATGGCCCTTTACCTGGAAATTCTTCAATTTAGGGAGATCGCTCTTACATGTAACTTGAGAATAAGCTAGATTCTCAAGGGTTTCAGCTAAACTTATACAAAAATAGGTATAGGATCAGGTTATTAGTATGATCAATTTACAACTGATCATACTAATAACCAGATCCTATACCCTAAATGTGAAATTTGAAATGGAGGTACACTATTGCAAAGGCCACTGTTGGATGCCGACCAGCTTCTATCTCAGTTGAGTTTTTTGAAGAAAAAAAAAGCTGACTTTTTTTAAAAAAACTGAGTTTTTTTAAAGAAAAAAAAAAGAAAAAAGAAAAAAAAAGAAAATAAAAGCAGACATTGGAAGGTTTTTATGTAAAAAACCTTAATGCTAATAATCTTCTTTGACTCTGGTTTGTAGCATATCTTGCTAATATTTTCTGTTTGCCATGACACTGTGGAATTAAAAATTGGGCAAAAGTGCTAGTCCTCGTATAATCCTTGTAACCCAATTACATATTACTGTTTTCAGGGAGTAAAAAAATACCCAGTAGTTTCCCCTATTTTTATTTCTATTTCTATTGTTACTTTAAAGTTGGTGTCTTTCTGTTTTGTATTATGGATTTTTCTTTTGATGTTGTGAAAGTAAAGTTCTTTAAACAATATCTTCAAAGTGCCTGAGGTTGCAAAGAAGGTTGTGTCTGAAGAAAAGGTTCCCATTTTTGTTCCTGAGGAAGAAGATGAGGAATTTATTCCAGAAGAAATTGTACCAGAAAAAGGTACATGATCTTTTCTTGCAAGTCACTCATGCCATCTTTTGTGTTCATCAAAATTCACCTCTATTTCTTCTTCTAAGTTTTATGTAGCTCTTATATATGTTTTGGGGGGAGTTTGTGGTCTTGTTCTATGTTTTTATCTTGTTTCCATGTTCATGCTTTTACTGTTCCAAAAGCAATTTTAACACGTTTGCAAAATAATATCTTTAAAGAGCCAGAGATTCCTAAGAAACCTGTTCCAAAGGAAAAAACGCCTGTGCTTCCACCTGAGAAACTGGAGCTTCCTCCAGCAAAAGGTGCATAAGTTAACAATGTGTTGCCCTTCAGTGTCTCTGTTTAGTTTGTGTGTTATTTATGTTAGCTTTGTGTCCCTGCTGCATTTCTGCATTGATATCTCAGAGTCAAATTCCTAGAACAAAACAAGCTCTAAAACTATTTGAGTTGCTCAAAAAGTCTGCCTGTGGGTGTAAAATGTCTTTTGTTGAAATTTATGTTTCATCTTTTAAAAATATATTCTTCAGATCAGTGCTTATTATGTCTCTTTGTACATGTTTTCTGTTCTCTTTCTCGTACTATTGGTGGATGACATTCTTAAAATAAAATGTCTTTAAAGTGCCTGAGATGCCTAAGAAACCCATTCCTGAAGTGAAAGAACCTGTTCCTAAAAAGGTGCCAGCTCCATCAGCCAAAGGTACTGCAGATTGTAAATGCTTTTATGGTTAACTGATAATATTCTTGATCCAAGACTTGAGTTTAGCAAGGGACACTTTAGTATTTCTATCCTGTGTTGTGTTTGTCACTATAGTATTTGTTTGTTTGTACATTTCTGCTCTGTTGTTCATAAACTGCTGGATTTCTGTCCATTTAAATATTGTGCAAAAGTACACTGAAGTTAGGTTTTATCTTTAAAGTACCCAAGGTGCCTAAGAAGGTTGCTCCTGAAGAGAAGGTGCTGGTTGCTCCCGCTGAAAAAGTGGAGGTTCCAGCTGCAAAAGGTATATGTCCTCCTTATAATTAATATTTATGCTAGGGATACCCTTGACCTTCTTTCTAGCTTTTGTCTCTGTTGTACAAGATCTTTGTTTGTATTTATGTTTAAACTGTTAATTTTCAATGTTTGTGTTGTTGAACCATAAAGCTCTGTTTCTTGTGCTTTTCTACTTACATTGCTCTAAGGTGATTTGTTGTGTTTAAATTCCTAAACCAAATCTGTATCTTTTAAGTCATGGAGGTGCGTAAAAGAGCTGTGGCAGAAGAGAAAGTGCAAGCTGTTGTGCCCAAACCCAAGGAACCGACACCAACCAAAGGTACAGGTATATTTCCTCTTATTTTTCCCAAAGATTGTTTTCCTCTTCATTCTAAAATCTTTTATAATATATATATTTTTTCAGAAGCACAGTTTTATAATTTAATGTAACTTATGCTTGAGGTTGTCATGCATATTCTCTGTTCTTTGTCAATTATCTTGGCTAACTGTAAAAAAAAAATCAAAAATTGTCAGGTAGTAACAATTATACTGTTTCTAAAGTGCCCGAAGCACCCAAGAAACTTGTACGGAAAGAAAAAGTCCCTGCTCCTGCACCTGTGGTGGAGAAGTATGAGTATGCCTATGAAGAATATGAGAAGTATGAGACATATGAAAGCATTGAAGAGTTTGAGAAGATCCAGGAAGCTGAAGAAATTGAGGCGTACGAGGAACCTGAAGAACCTGAGGGATATAAGGAAATTCTGGAACAGGAATATGAAGTGGAGGCTGAGGAGAAAGATGTCTATGAACAGTATGAGTTTAAGGAGAAGGAAGAGATCTATGAGAAATATGAGGAGGTATATGAGGAGGCTTATGAGACCAAACCAGCTATAGGTAAATCAAGTCATGACTTCTTTGTTCTTATAGTGTGGTGAGTTTTCAGTTGCTGCTTAAGCTTCCTATGGGTGTTTATTTCTACTTTGCCTTGTTTGTAGTCCTATGTGTGTCTGTACCTGGTAATGATAAATCCATTCAAAGTTTGTCTCCATCCTAGTGCTTCCTAAGGAATTCTCTTCCCTGTAAAATGGGAGGGGTCCCTATCTGACTGCCCAAGAGCAAACTAGCAGATATGTAACCCAAGCAGAGAAAATGTTAATCTTCTGATGTCATTCAGTTTCAACCTGAAATATTTTTTATGCATTAAAATTTAATTCTTTTGTCCAGTTCAGCTCCTTTGAGTTATAAAGATATTAAGACTCATGTAGAATCTTCTTTCCCATAATTTAATTTATGATCATAGGATCCCTCACACCAAACAGAAAGTGCATCTACAATGTACCAAATAGATGTACAAAAGATGAAATCTTATTTAATTGCTCAAGAATTCTGAGATGACTGCTCCCTTTTTTCTGCATGAATTATGAGATGGCTCCTCTACAAATGAGTGATTGCTCTGCTTGCTGTCTTTATGTCTGTTTCTTCATAAATAACTTATAATCCATAATGACATATTTTTAAAGTGCCTGAGTTGCCCAAAAGACCTCTGCCAGAAGAAAAAGTACCTGCTCTTAAAAGAGAAGCTCCACCAGCTAAAGGTACATCATCCATCAGATAAATTTGAAAACACAGCCTTCTGCATGAGTCTCTGAATCCTCAAATCCAGTACTTTACCTACTGCTAGACTCTTAGCTTTCTTTCATAGTACTGTTAAAGACAGATTATTAAAAAAAAATTCTTTAACAAAAATCAAACAAATTACTTCCTGGAGTCAAAGGGAATGAAGTTATTGCCTTAATTTAATTTTTGCCATCACAATGATATTTTAAAGCTAATGGTTAAAACTCTGCCTAAAAACTTAGAACTTTTTTTAACCTAACAATGTACTGGAGTGTGTGCTATCTTAATAGGTATTCTCTGTATCAGGCTTTATGAAACATAAGTGTCATGAATAGCAATTGTCAGCGAGTGCTAGAGAAGTTACTGCACTAGTCCAGAGCTCTGTATTTTTCTGTTCATAGCTCTAAATTTGCCAGGAATTCATTTTGTGCTAACTTTTATTGTTATTTCTCATATGAATTGTCAGAATGAAATCAGAGGGAAAAGGTGGATCAGTCTGCTTGTTTGTTTTTACAGAAAAGCTTGGAGTTATTTGATAGGAAATTGCAACCTTACCGTATTCCCAGCTGCCATTAATTATAGCTGATAGTACATGAAACCTAATTGTTAAGGCTTATCCCTATTCAAAATTTATGCAACACCAGCAGTGTTTTTCTTTCACTGAATACTGAAACTCTAGCTGCATTAATCCAAGCAAAACAGATAGGTGGCCTCTTTTATATAACATGTATTTATGTATTTGAGAAATATTTTTGTGTTTTGCTAAGTTTTCTGACTCTGCATTGTTTGCTTTTTGTTGAACTTCTATTCTTACATAATACTCATATTGCAAACGTTCTTAAAAAAACTACCAATGTCTTTAAAGTGCCAGCAGTGCCGAAGAAACCTGTTCCAAAAGAGAAAGTACCACCTGCTGTTCCTAAAAAGGAAGCACCTCCGCCAGCTAAAGGTATACTTCCTCTTCATTGTCCTTGTGAAACATGAACTCTAATTTCAGTCTTTTGTCCTCATTATTTGTTGAGAAACACGTGCATGTTTTATGTCCCCATGGTGGGTCTTTTTTCATTTGTTTGTCATTGAGTGTTTTTTGCCTGTTGGTTTCAAGTCATTTGTTGAAAACATGTTAGAGTCACTTAAAAAATGTGTGTTCTGTCATTAACTTGCACGTGAAAAAAAAGTCCAGAAAGAAATAATATCTTTATTTTTTCTGGAAGGGAATCTTTCAAGAATATATTTTTTAATATGTTATTCTTCTGTCTAATCTTCAAAACTAACATAAATGTTCTTTCAGGAAGGATCTAATTCTTTGATGTTTCAAGAATCTTCCTTGCTAGACTTGTTCTTCTTCTTTCTAACTTCTTTCAAGTAGCTTTGAAAGCCCTAAAAGTAAATTATATCTTAAAGGGCCAGATGATTTCAAAAGACCTGTCCCTGAAGAAAAGAAACCTACACGTACACCTGAAATAGAAGTTCCACCAAAGAAAGGTAAAGGAGCCTTTGATATGAGATTATATGGAAAGGAAATATTTGTGCCATTTTTTCCCAGCTAACATCACTAAAACTTGTCATGTTCTTTACACCAGTGCAGTCTCTAAGTGGAGATTGAAATCTCAGTGATAAATCCCAAACTCTGGGGCAAACATTTCAAATATGTGCTAGACAGTAAATCACTGAATTATAAATGAAAACATGCTGAGGAAGTATTGCTGCTTACAACACCAGTATGTAAAGCTTCAGTGCTTTTCTATTTATAATATAGTTGTGAATTTAGTTTAAACTGGGGTTTTGATACCAATACACAGGTCATAATATTGGTGAAGAAGCAATAGGGCAAGAGCCAGTAAGTTAAAGCTATCAAAGCTGTTACACCAGCCAGAAGGAAGAGCATGATAATGCATTAAGGAAAGCAAATGTCTCACTCTTTGAGAGCTGAAACCATAGATTTCTTCATATAGCTCATTGTTCCAGGATGGCAGTTCTAGAACTGTATCATACTTAATTGTTGAAAAGTTTCCAAGACCTCAAAATGGCTTAGTTTTCTGGGTTCATTTCTGTTTGGGATATTAAAAGTTGAAAATTACTTTGAAGTTACTAAAAAAAAGCTAATATTTTTGAAGTTCCTGAGTTTCGTAAGAGAGCTGTCCTTGAAGAGAAAGTACCCACCATTATCCCTAGAGAAGAGGAGCCTCCTTTTTATGAAGGTACATCAATTACTCATCTACCAAATAGGAAATTGAAGAGAATATATCAAGTCATGCTCTATATTATTCTGTAAAATATGAACTAATTTTAATTCATTTTTAAAGCTATTTAAAAGGAGCTTATATCCATATCTTTCAGACCATCTATGTCCACAGATTTAGATATAATTCAGCATTTTAAAATCTTTACATTTAAAACCTTACACTAAATGTAAAAATGGAATTTAGCATTTTAAAAATGCTATACTTTTTTCCTTTAATAATGAGGAAAAGATACATAAATAAGAGAGATTAAGTTTCTGATTCAGGAAGCACTTGAGTCACACTGAAGCAAAGAAATGAACTTAAGTAGACAGTGGTTTAAGAACCATCCTGAGCAACACCTAATTTTTGAGTTGCAATGGAGATAGTCAACTCCAAATGAAGACATTAAAAAATTCAGTTACAAATTCTATCTAATACACAGAACTAAGAAACTAGAAAATAAAATTAAATACTTCTGTAAACATATATTTTACTAATTGGGAATGGTAATTTTTAGCAGTAGTAAGTCAATGGTCAGGCTGAAAGATATTTAAATAACTTCCGCTCAAACAGCTCTTTGTCCATATGCATTTCTGCATGTTTTTATTTTGTCTTTCTACTCCTGTCTTGTAACTAATATTAAAATATGAAAAATGAACTAATATCTTTAAAGAACCTGAAGGTTATGGAGAAGTTCCAACAGAAGAAAAGATGCCTTTTATTACTCCTAGTGAACCAGAAGCTCCAGCAGCTAAAGGTAAACCAACTCTTTAAGTAATCTGTAAACCTACACATTCCTACAAATTGTTCATCTTCATCATTCCACCTGTGTGCTAATCTGTTATTTAATGTTTTCATTCTAATGTTTCCTTAGAAGCTATGTGTCTGTCATTGCTTCTTTGCTACTTACTCTTTGTGTATTGTAATGTTCTTTTAAAAAATTAATATCTTTGAAGTATCTGCAGTGACAAAGAAAACTGTCGCACTTAAGAAAATACCTGCTGCTGTACCTACAGAAGAAGCTCCTCCAGCTAAAGGTACATTACCTCCAAATTAACCCTCTCTAACCTCTTATGAAAGTCAGATACCAAGTGAGAAACCCAGCTTGCTTGTTTTCCTTAAACAGCACAACCAGCTGCTAGAGACACTTTAGAGTTGTTGGTTTTTTTTCCTATGAGTAATTGCTTAAACAGATTGATACATTCTGCATCAACAATTTAAAATTTAGGAAGACTAAATTAGACACAGAAATTTAGTAGGCAAGAAAGTCAGGGATTAGTCTTATATCTTTTTGACTTCATGTCTCATGTTCTACTTCTCAAAATACTTTCTCTGACAATATATTGGAAAAAAATGTAAAAGGCTGTGAGAGAAGCTTATTTGCAAAAGGACTCTTTGTAGTCATATCAAGGGCTTAAAGAAAGTCAAGATTAAGATACAACTTTAAATCAGGACAAAATAGAAAGCCACAAAATTTTTAATAGAAACATAATTTTGTTACATGATTCCAGAATTGAAGAGCTCTATACATTATGGAAGCCTACAAAATAGTTATTTGAACTGGATTTTTGCCTTGCTTTTATGGGTAATTTTTAAATTTCAAAAACGAAAACTCTTTTTAGTGCCAAAACTCCTTAAATACACACATACACATGCACACAAAAACATCTTACCAACTAACAAACAAAACCAGGAAAAACAAACAAAAACCCAAACATAAAAAACCCCTACATCTTTTCAGAGAAGAGCATATTCAGAACCATAAATACTAGAAGTTAGAAAGTGGTTAGACTCCAGAAAGTGAAATTGTTAAGTTTTATTCATATCTCAATACCACATATTTTTCCTATTGTTTTAGTAGATTTAATTCTTTTTTTACAAAACTGTATTACTTATTTCATAATGCAAATTTCTAAAATAAACCAATATTTTTAAGTTCCTGAAGTACGAAAGAAAGCTGTCCACAAAGAAAAAGTACCTCCTGCTCTACCTAAAGAAGAACCTTCACACCTTACAGGTATAAGAAATTTTAGGAATTGTTTGAAGAATAAAAAACATGTTTTTGTATGTAAATTATTTTGAGAGCATTCTGTTTACCATGAACTTGAATTTACTTAATGGCTTTGGTTACTTGCAACAGTAAAAAGTAATTTAAAGAATTATCGTCTGTAGTTGTTCTTAAGTGCTACTTAAGATCAGCCCAAAGGGGGAAAAAATAAAGAAAAAGTGACAGAACCGAGACAGACAGGGCCTATCTCTGCACTCACGGTAGTAGCTCAGTTTAGGACACATCACACATCTTCCTTCTGACAAACTGCAGAGGTCAGGTCAGTGTAGAATGTCAGGAGTTTTTCATCCCTTTTTTGAAAGCATCCCAATTTTGTGCATGGATATAAAATAGACCTGTATGTCTTCAGAGGAGCATGAATATTTGATTATATTGTTATTTATCTAACATGTTGTCTTGTTTTCCAAAGATGCTCTAAGTTAATTTAAGTGTTTAAACTAATATCTTTCAAGTGCATGAAGTTTATGAGGAGATTCACATAGAAGAAGAAATTTCTACTGTTCATAGGAAAGAGGAGGCTCCACCATCTAGAGGTATACAACTTCTTCATCACCTCTTCCTACAATTTGCTAAGTCTTGAACTCCAGGAAAATTAAATTATTCATGTTTGTGTTTTAGTCCTTGTTCAGCATAATTCATATTTGTATTTATTCTTTCTGTACCTTACTTATATGAAAAATTTAAAATTTTTTCATGACACGTCTTTCTCTCATTAAATTGAACTAATATCTTTAAAGTGCCTGCAGCCATTAGGAAAGCTGTTCCAGAAGAAAAAGTACCTATTGCTATGCCTAAAAAACCAGAACCTACTCCTGTGCCGAAAAGACCAGAATCTCCTCCGTCTAAAGGTACTTTGAGAGTCTGGTAGAACTGAGGTCTTTCACTCATAAACACTTTTACTTTTTTACTCTTTCTTACATAGTTTCTGATTTAATAGTTCAGATTTGTGGTGTTTATGTTGTATATGTCCCATTTTCTGTTTCTTAAGTTGTGTTTAAGTCATCAAATCAAAATCAGTAAATAGCTTTCAAGTGTCTGAATTGCCCAAAAAAAGTATTCCTGAAGAAAAACTCTGCCTAAAAAACCAGAAGCTGCCAAAGGTATAGGTCAGCATATCCTTTAATTATTTTTCTACAAGTTCCTTCTGTCCCGTGTACTGTTGTTGTCAAAGCATTTAAGATTAGTTGAGTTGGTCTATTTATTCCACCCAAGAATAACCCAGAAATTGTATCTGAAGCCAGTAAAAGGGACTAGAAATAAGGAAAGCTCCAGCCATGTTAACACACAGTGAGATTTACAGAACGTTTTCACTTTATGGATACAGCCTCAGAAATTTGATCATACACTAGCAAGAAGTACATCCTATCCCTCTGTTTCACATTGCTCATGTTAAACTTAGGGGTCAATTGATTTCATTTTGAATGGAAATAGAATTTGCACAGAAACCAGCTGTTACAATTCATTCAGGTGTTTTAAAATCTGTCTGAACTAGCAGTTTGAGTGGCATTAACAACTGTCAAGCAGCACAGCTTATCCCACCCTAGTCATTATCACATAGGACTGCCAAAAGGCATTCATTCAAAAGGCATTTCATTGAAGTTCGGCTTTTACCAAGACTTTTTTTCATCTTTATGGGGAGCATAGCAAATCCAAAACCGCTTGACAACAGCTCCCAGGCAAAGTCACTTCCAACTTATTCTTTGCCAGAGAGGTAGAACCATGAAGACTTCTCAGAAGTTGTAACAGTTGTCAAAGCATCCTTATCCATCTACTTGTTTTGTCACATCCTTGTATATCTATGTGTTTTGTCTTATGTCTCTGTATTGAATGTTTAATTTTTGTAATTTTAAAAACTACACTAATATCTTTAAAGTGTACAAGGTACCTAAGAAATCAGTAAATATTGTTATACCCAAAAAAAAAAGGGTAACACTACCTAAAGCTTATATGTCAATAATAGTGTCTTTCAGATGAGATTTTTCTTTTGAGCATTAGAGTTTACAGCAAAACTAATTTATCAAAATCCTATTAGTATGTAATAGTGTATAACACTTTTTGCACTATATCTCTCTTTTTATATCTTTCCTTCTGATATGCTTCTTGTGATCATCTTTCTTCTTTACAATGTACATATTGGAAAAGTTTTAATTTTAATTTTAAAAAATGAATGCTGTTTTCTTTAAAGTGCCAGAGGTGCCCAAGAAAATTCCAGAAGAGAAAGTGCCCACTGCTGTTCCTAAAAAACCAGAACCACCACCAGTCAAAGGTATGTTGCACTACAGAAAACTAAAATTTGGAAGAGAAAAAACACCTCTATCTTGATTGTGCAGATTAGTTATCTGATTGCTTGTTTGTGTTTTCCTGTTACTTTTACTTTCTCTGCCCATATAGTACTATATATGTTACTGTGTTTAAAATTCTTCTCTTTTGAATCATAGTTGTAATCTGTACCAGTGTCTTAGAAATATTGATGTAGCTGAGCAGAAATGAGAATGACACTTGAGAACAAAAGCAGAAATTTTAAAAGAAGAGGAGAAAAGCTGGCCTCTGTGATGTGAAATAGTCCTGACTGACAATGAAAAACTAGCCCCAAAAGAGAACATAGAATGAGTGATAGAGATGTCTAATATAGAAGAAAACTTGTGTGTGGAGACAAAAAAAATTGATATCAAGAAGTCGTCACACACAGAAGAATGTGACAAGGAATACCAAATGGACAGTATCAGTCTCAGTCAAATAGGGATTTGGGAGATATTTGAATAAATTGGAAAAATAATTTGATGTAGAAGAAGAAACTCCAGAAGACTCTGAGGTGTTTCCTGACGCTTTACAGGGACATAAAATACCATTAATACAATAAACAAGTAAAATCTGAGGTTTTATTAAGAACCTTGACAATTTCTACTGAAAAGTTTTGAACATTACTGTAATATAATAACTGAAAATAATCTGTTTCCTAAAGGGCCTGAAGGACCCAAGGAAGTAGGTATAGAACAAAAAAATCAAAGTTGCTGTGCCTAAAACCTTAGAAGTTATACAAGCTAAAGATACTTGACATTATGACAAAAGTACAGAATAAAAAAAAATTATTTTCTTGTTTTAACAATATAGAAGAGAGTATTCAAGACCTCTGTTAGCATTTTCTTCTGTTATGAAAAGTCTTTCAAGGGAGAAAATGTTCTGAGTGAAAAAAAATTGATCTTTGTAGTTGGTGTTTCCACTAAGAGTGATCTGCTGTTATGCTTTATTGTTTATGAAATCCTGACAGTATAAAGTTATTGCTATTGTTCAAGTGTCTGAGGTACCAAAGGAACTGGTCCCAGAAGAGGTTTAAGTTGAAGTATCAAAGAAACCAGAACATCCAGTGACTAAAATTGTATGCAAGGAAAGAAAGCCCCTTAATTTTCTACGGTACCATTTTAACATCATCGTAATTTACTTTTACTATTAATGTCTTATAAAATATTTTTGTTGTTTCAGTTGTACTTTTTGCATCTGTAACTCAGTGAGGCAGCAGAGAGAGTTTTCTCGAGGGAAAGGAGAAATTACATATTCACATCTAAAACCCCTCATGCTTTTGAAGTCCCTGAGATTTACTTTTTCTTAAAGTCTGAACACTGCAGACATACATAAGTAAAATTAATTGCTTTTTTTAAAGTGCCTGAGGTGCCCAAGAAAGTGATTTCAGAAGAAAAAATACACATTGAAGTTCCTAAAAAGCCAGAACCTCCACCAGCCAAAGGTATATGTTCAACAGTAATAAGACTGCACACACATATTTCTCTAAATAATATCTTTCCTTCGTTTGTGCTATTAGCTTTTTTGTATATTTTGTATAATATATTTATAAGTGTTACAGACTGTGTGGTCTTCTTCCTTTGTGAATAGCTCCCAGTGACAGTGGCTACTAATAGTGTGCATAAAAGCAATATGGAAAAAAACCCCAACAACTAAATGGTTTATAAGGGTGGGCTTTTTTCTGATGCTGTTAGTTATTTTTTTTTACTTTGGAGCTATTATTGTCTTTTTAATTCCTATTCTTCAAATTCCTGAAATTAAAACAAACAAATATCTTTAAAGAACCCGAGGTGCCGAAGAAAGTTGTTCCAGAAAAGAAAATACCTGTGCAAAAAGTACCAGAACCTGTGGTTGTCCCAGAACCAGAGGCTGCACCTGAAGAACCAGAAGTCCCACCAAAGGAAGGTAAATCTCAACGCTAATAAAATAACAAAAGTAATGTTTTTCCTCTTTTCTTTAACATTATAATTATCCAAGCCTTCTGTTTCCTGAAATTCTAAATTCTGCTTGTTCTATTTATCTACATATATGTGTGAAATAGGCACACATGGTTGTTTTTGAAAAAAAATAGTGGCAATTAGATGTCTGAATTGCCTGTATGTTGTTCTTACTGTTATTCTACTTCAGTTCTTCTTACTATTTTTGCATATTCTTGCTATTCTACCTGCTTGGGTTCAAGAAAACCACCACAGCTAATAACTTAAAAGTTTATAATAGGAGAAGAAAACAAAGTACCCATTCTAGTACCTAAGAGGAGAAGTTATCAATTGAATTGAAATACTAGAAGTTCCACCAAGAAAAACTAGATGCCATCACTGCTGTTTCTTGAAAGAATCTTCAGCTTATTGCCTGCAGTGCAATTAATATCTTTTGTCCTGTCCAGTCTGTTGACAATTATCATGGCTTTTACTTATATCTTAAGTTACATTATTAGTGCATGTGTGTACTTCCATATGAGAGCACGAGTTTTGTGAGGCGGAGTACGTGTATGTAGTCTTGAGAGAAAAGAGAGAAAAGCCAAAATGTCCTATATGCATAATTTAAAAGGCCAGCATAAATTATTGATACGTGATACGTTTTTAATATTTTCATTACAACTGTCTTCTTATGTTTTATGGTTGGCTTAATTTTGGTATGATTGTCAGTGCATCTGTTAAATTTAGAACTAATATCTTTTATGTACATAAAGCAACCAAGACAACTTTGCCAGGAAAGAAAGTACCTGTTCCAGTTCCTCAAGAACCAAAGTCCATTGCAGGGCACGCAAAACCAAAGCCTCAAGAGGTGGAACTGCAAAAACCAGAAGTGGCTGGAGTGGCCCGAAAATTAAAGTCTGTAAAGACAGTTCAAAAACTAGAGCATGTTCTGACATCTGAGGAGCCTGAGACTGTTTTGACACTCCAAAAATCAGAATCTATTGTAACATCCCAAAAAACAGAGCATATTGTGGTGCCTGAGAAATCAGAGTTTGTTGTGGTACCTGAGAAACCCAAGCCTGATGTAGAATCCCAAAAACCAAAATATGGTGTGATGCCCCCAAAACAGAAGCCCATTGTGGAATCCCAAAAACTAGCACATGTGGTAGTCCTTGAGGAACAAGAGTTTATTGTGGCACCTGAAGAACCCAAGCCTGATGTAGAACCCCAAAAACTAAAATATGGTGTGATGCCCCCAATACAGAAACCCATTGTAGAATTCCAAAAAGTAGCACATGCGGAAGTGCTTGAGGAACAAGAGTTTTTTGTGGCACCTGAAGAACCCATGCCTGGTGTAGAACCCCAAAAACTAAAATATGGCGTGATGCCCCCAATACAGAAGCCCATTGTGGAATTCCAAAAAGTAGCACATGTGGAAGTGCTTGAGAAACAAGAGTTTGTTGTGACACCTGAGGAACCCAAGCCTGATGTGCCACCCCAAAAACCAAAATATGGCGTGATGCCCCCAAAACAGAAGCCCATTGTAGAATCCCAAAAACTAGCACATGTGGTAGTGCTTGAGGAACAAGAGTTTGTTGTGGCACCTGAAGAACCCAAGCCTGATGTAGAACCCCAAAAACTAAAATATGGTGTGATGCCCCCAATACAGAAGCCCATTGTAGAATTCCAAAAAGTAGCACATGCGGAAGTGCTTGAGGAACAAGAGTTTTTTGTGGCACCTGAAGAACCCAAGCCTGGTGTAGAACCCCAAAAACTAAAATATGGCGTGATGCCCCCAATACAGAAGCCCATGGTGGAATTCCAAAAAGTAGCACATGTGGAAGTGCTTCAGAAACAAGAGTTTGTTGTGACACCTGAGGAATCCAGGCCTGATGTGCCACCCGAAAAACTAAAATATGGCGTGATGCCCCCAAAACAAAAGCCCACTGTGGAATCCCAAGAACTAGCACAGGTTGTAGTCCTTGAGGAACAAGAGTTTGTTGTGGCACCTGAGGAACCCCAGCCTGATGTGCCACCCCAAAAGTTAAAATATGGCACGATGCCCCAAATACAGAAGCCCATTGTGGAATACCAAAAAGTAGCACAGGTTGTAGTGCTTGAGAAACAAGAATTTGTTGTGGCACCTGAGGAACGCAGGCCTGATATGCCACCTCAAAAGTTAAAACATGGTGTGATGCCCCCAATACAGAAGCCCATTTCAGAATCCCAGAAACCAGAAATATTTATGGCCCCTGAGGAATATGAGCTCATAGTAGTGTCTGAGGAGTCAGAGAGAGTTGAATCAACCCAAAAATCAAACCGTGTTGTGGTGCCCCCCAAAACAAAACATTTTGAGCAGTCCCAAAAAACAGCGTTTGTAGCAGCTGAAGAAACAGACTTTGCTGCAGATTTCCAGAAGTCAAGGTCTACTACAGTGTCCAGAAAATCAAAGTCTTTTGTGCCAGAACCAGTCATGGTGTCTGAGGAACCAGAAACTGTTTTAGAACCCCAAAACCTGGGGCCTTCTACATCGCTTCGAAAACCAAAGTCTGAACTGGCATCCAAAGAACCAGAGCTCATTTTGGCACCGGAGGAGCCACCACCAGCCAAGGTGGCCGAAAAGGAGCAGCATCTTGCTGCTAAAAAGCGAGCAGCCGCACAGCCTAAAGGTATCTCTTGTGCATAGGATCTCTTTTCCTTCTCTTGAGTACATTGTTTCACTGCTCATTTTAAACTTAATATAGATACTATATCTATTAAACTAATAGATACTAATATCTTCAAAGAACATGCAATGCCCAAAAAGTTGTCCCAGAAAAGAAAATTTCTCTAGGTTTCTTGAAAAACCAAAACCTACATCAGTCAAAGCTATGTCATGAATACATGACAATGACACTGAATCTTCTTTTAGGTATTATTTTAACCTCTTTTGTTCTGTCTGTCGTTTTTGATCTGTTTTAAATTATTCTTGCTAAACAAATCACACTGAGTATGAGTGTGTGTTAGATTATTACTTCAAAACATGTCTGTTGTCCTCTGTGTTTCAGTCTTTGTATTTAATACTGAGTTTTATTTTAACTGTAAAATTAAATGCACTAATATCTTTGAAGTGCCTGAGATGGCTGAGAGGACTGCTCCAAAGAAGAAAGTGCCCCCTGCCCTATCTAAAAAACCAGAAGCTTCACTTCCTAAAGGTACATGTCACCACTATTATCATCATAAGAAAGGGTGTTATTTGCTTTTTAGGATTCTTTTTAAAAATCTCAGTTTTAACTGATGTTTCACTGTATACACTGATATCAAAAATGTGGGAGAGATGTGCCAAATATGAATTGCTGTGCAGGGGTGTGAAATGTTTCCTCAACTTAAATCATCCAAACTTTTGTTATACCGGGTTCATGTTGTATCAAGAAGATATGATAAATTCCTGTTTATCCTCCTACCAAAAAAACCACCAAAATCTTAGAGATTCAAGAGAAGGAGTTCATAAACAGTTGCTCACATTATTAGTAGGGATGGCTTCATACATGGTTTAGTGGGACTGAGCAGTTTTATATTTACAGTTAGATTTGATGATTCTAAAATTTTTTTCCAACATACATGATTCTATGAGGAAAGACAAAATAGACAGAAAATAAAGGTTTCAGCAGAGAGTAGCAGTTTTAGTACATAGAGCAAAATAATCACAAACATCTCTATGTATCTGTATCACAGAGCAGAATATTTTCTTTAAACTGTCATTTCTAATTTGTCTGTATTCTGGTCATACATTAACAGTTTCGACTATGGGATTTGCAAAGGTTTTACTTTGTATAAGTAGCATGAAAGAGCTGTAAAGTTACTGTCAGCATGTAAGACAGTGAACCTTTAAAAAGGCATTTATAATTGAAATACAAAAAATTTGCTAAAGACACACTAAACCAAAGACACTATCCATTGATGCAGCGATGCATCATTTAATTTCCTTTAGAACTCCCAAGCTCTGGCCAGAAAAAACATTCCTTCTGCCATCAGATTCTCTCATCTAAAATACAAAACTTTCCTCAAGTGAAGTACCACCACAAAGTGATGATATAATTATTTAAGTAATTGAAATTAATAGAAGATGAAACAGTTACAAGCAACATCCAGTGATTACAATGAAAGCCAAAGGATCACAGAGGGAAAACATGAGAAGTTAAAGAAGAGGAGAAATATGCAGAGATAGAAAAAGAAAGGTGAAATCACCCTGAAGGATAAAAATAGTAACAGTAAAGTGGCAAGCAAAAATATGACAATGACTGCATAAACCAGCACAGAACACAGTGATTTATTAAACATGGCTGGTAGACAAATACATTAGGAATCTACAAATGTTGTTCCTCCAAAACCTGTGGCTGTGCCCAAGAAACCTGTTGCTGTGCCAAAGAAACCAGAACCTCCTGAAGCTAAAGGTATATCTTCTGGAGAGAGATGCTTTTTATTTTCCTTAATTGATTAATATTTTCATTTCTTATCCCTTCTTTTTGTAAGATTTGTTGTTTGTCATTGACACTTAACCACTGCTGGACCAATCTTTGTGCATGACTAACCAACCAGTCACTAGAGGAACTTTACAGTGCTTAGAAATATCTAAACTCTTTGATTGAGTGTTATGATCTTTCCTACTAATTGAACTGTGAAATTAAGATGAAATAATATCTTTAAAGTGCTCAAGGTGCCCAAGAAGGCTGTCCCACAAGAAAAGATGCCTGTTGCAGTACCCAAACAACCAGAACCACCACCAGCCAAAGGTACAGGTCACTGCTAGTATCATCATTAGAAAAAAAATCATGGTCTTCTGGACTTCAGTTTAACTAATTTTTTGATGGTGATCAGAGATAGGTACCTAAGAAATATGAAGTGCAATGTGGAGTGTCAAAAGCATGGCAGAAAAACTAGATTTAATTCCTTGAAAAAATGTCTCTAGCTTACTGAACTTTTAGTAAAGTTTAAGAATAAATATTTACCGACTGTTTAGTTTAAACAGAGTAGCATGTTTTTCTGAAGAACCTGAAAATAAGTCTTTAAGTTTAAAAACCAAAACATTGCATCTCTGAAGCTTCTAATAGATGACAGCCAGAATAAGTTCTCTTCCTCTTTAAAAGTAGGGTAATGCCAATGTCCATGAGGAAATTTTGCTAGCAAAGGACTGGATATGCCTAGTGATTTTCTTATTGGCAGAATTAACAGAACCAATAAGAGAAGAGAGAAGTACAAGTATATCTATTTCTAAAGTAGAATTTAAATGAAAGGAACTGTGGAACATAGAAGGTTAAGAGGTGGTGTAAGAATGGAAGTAATTGATAGAAAAAAAAAGTTGGTGATGATAAATCAAATGCTATTTCCTAAAAAAAAAAAAGTTACAATGACAAATTAGTCGTGAATTATATTGGCTGATACACAAATGCACTAGGATTGCACAAAAAATCTCTGATCATCTGTTACTAAGAAGCCAGATATATTTTCTACATTTCCACCCTGACCAAGAAACAAAGACCACACACAGAGTTCCCATCTCTTGTGTGGTGTCTTGGGACACCCTGGTCATTCCACAGGTTGGAAGCAAAGCAGAGCTGATGGCTGAATGTAACCACAGCACTTTCTCAAAAAGGACTGCGTGCATTTACTACTGGTTGATTTAGAGTTACATAGCCATCTGCAGTGCCCACAAAACTAAAATGCACTAATATCTTTGAAGTTCCCAAGGTGCCCAAGAAAGGTGCTCTGGAAGAGCCTACACCTGTAACTGTGCCCAAACAGCCAGAGCCAGCAGCAGTTCGAGGTACCTGTGGCTTTGTGCATCAGTCCAAATGAGACTGTCCTTATTGTCTTGCATGTCATTTCTGATGTCTGTTGTTGTTCTGTTCATTGGTGACTTCCTGAAATTTCCATGTTCTGTGCTGTGTGTCGGATAGGAATTTGAAAATGTAGCATTTTTGTGTAAACAACTCAAAATATTTTTTGATTTTACTATATGAGTGTCTTATTCTGAATCAGTAAATATTAAAACTTTGTATTTCGGCAATTAATCATAAGCTTTTCATTGTCTGCCCAAATTTGTTATCTTGAATCGGGAAGAGTCTGCATGACTCTTCTGGCAGACTCAGGTAGTGTATATAATAGACATAAATCTTTTGAAACTAAACTCCAAATTTTATTCAGCAATGCTCAAGTGCAATAAGTGACAGTATAGAAAGTGTTAAAGAAATTGCTGACACATGTAGGGTTTATAATGAAAAAGAATCATTATAAAATCCATTGCACTGTACAGGCTGCGGAAGTTGCCACAATGAAATTAATATTGAAGTAAGATAGGCACTTGGGATAAGAAAATCAGTCAAAAAAAAAAAAAAAAAAGAGAGAGAGAAAAGGATAAGGAAAAAATGGGTATGCAGAAGGACAAAAATAGGGAAAACTGAGAAAAAAACTGAGTTCCTCATCCAGTCTGTGCCCAAACTGCTGAGTGTAAAGCACCAGCAGATTCATGAGGAATGGTAACAAATAAGACATGGGCTGATGTTGCTCCCAGAGAAAAGACAGATCCCAGCAGGGCTGAGAATGAAAGGCTCTCCTCCAAGGGAGGAAAGGCTGCTAAGTATCATAATTCACACCTCACCCTCAAGCCTATGCATAGCCAGCAGTTCACTCTCAGAACCTAAATGGCATCAGTGCTCTGTGCCTGTCCCCTGTGGGGATTTGTGTGTGTGAGAGAGAGAGGTTGGTGCTGTGAGCCCACTTTGGTTCCGTTCATGAGTGCATGTCCAGTCTCCATGTCACTGTGCATCCTCCTCTTGTACATACAAAACTGACTGCTACTAATATCTTTGAAGCACCCGAGGTGCCCCGGAAGGCTGCTCGTGAGGAAAAGCTGCCTGTGCCCTCTGCCAAAGCACCAGAGCTTCCAGCACCCAGAGGTACCTGTCTTCAGGGATAACTTAACAAAGAACATACTGAATCCTCTTCTCCTAAGCCTTGTCCTCCCCTCTCCTGGCTGTCTGTGTTCCCTGACTGAGGCTGTCAAGGCTGTGTGTGCAGGACAAGGGTGCTGCTGCGTGGTGTGTGAGGGTTTGAGCTGCCCGCTGTGGTGTTGTGTGTCTGTGTCGGCCTGGCTGTTGCTCCCACTTGCCATGTCTTCTCAAGTACGTAAAATGAAATGCACTAATATCTTTGAAGTGCCTGAGACGCCTGAAGCTGAGGTCCTGGAAGAGGAGGAAGAGGTGGAAGCAGCAGAAGAGGTGTCAGCAGTGGCTGAGCCTGAAGAGCCAGAAGTCTCTCCAGCTGAAGGTATAGGGTGCTGTCCTGCCAGAGCCTGCCATGCCCTGCACATTGCTGCAGTGCTCAGTGTTCTTTGCCCCCTGCGCTCTGTGGGGAGGGCATTTTGTCATTTTGTCTGTGTGCATAACATTAAGCTCAGTCAAGTAAACAGATCTAATATCTTTAAAGTCCCTGAGGTGATTGAGGAGGAAGAGGCAGAAGAGGAGGCGCCCCTGGTTATTCCTCAAAAGCCTGTGGCTGTGCCCAAGAAACCTGTGGCTGTGCCAAAGAAACCTGTGGCTGTGCCAGAGAAACCTGTGGCTGTGCCCAAGAAACCAGAGCCTGTTGCTGTGCCAAAAGTACCAGAACCTGTGCCTGTCCTAAGAAAACCTAAAGTTCCTTCAGTTAAAGGTACATACATCAGTGACTGAGGATCTCCTTATCTCTCTTTGAATACCTTTCCCCTTATTTCACTGATGTTATACATTGCCAGATGAATAATCTGCTGCTTAAATGTATTATTCTTCATGTTTTGTATGCCCTCCTCTTTTTAGTCGTTGCACTTTTCGCTGTTATTTTTATATATGTGTCTTAATATGCAAAAAATGAAAATTTACTAATATCTTTAAAGAAACTGAAGTGCAAGAGAGACCTGTCCCAGAAGAGAAAGTGCCTCTTACAACACCTAAAAAGTCACAATTAGAAAAACCAGAGCTTCCTCCAACCAAAGGTACATATTGCCAGGAGGCACCTCCTGATAATAAATGCTTTCTATACTCTCTCTTTTCTTTATTCATGACTGAGTCTATAAAGTTTGTCCATTGAATGTAGCCTACCTTGAAAAAGACTGGAGCACAGTCTTTCATGGTTATGGCCACTGTTTCTGTGATTTTATGTGTGCTAGATGTCTTTGTCTTTTTATGTTTCATATGTACATTTATGCACACAAAAATAAAAGAAACTTGATTTTTTTTTTAAGTGCCTGAGGTACCCAAGAAACCTGTCTCAGAGGAGAAAGTACCTGTTGCTATTCCTAAAATACCTGAATCACTACCAAGTGAAGGTTTGTGCTACCATAGATTTTACTCTCAGAACAATCCTTTGTCCTGTTCTTCTGAGTATAAGCTTTAAAGTAGACATTTTCCTTTTTCTCCTATTGTGACGTTTGTAAGTTGTTTACTTCATATTTTATATTATACTATTCAGTAGTTATATTTCATGTATCTCTTAGTATATCTTCATATTTGGAAGTAAAATATATGCTCCTGCAGAGGATATGTCTCTTTTAAAGATAATATTAAATTCTCACTAAATTGGAGTCTCTCAAAAGTTAGTATCTATGTTGCTGTTATAATCTTGAATTCATTAAGAGCATTGACATTTTTATTTTTTCTTGTCATGATGACTCATCCACAAATTTAATATTTAGTTTATATTGTATACATAAAAAATTCTGCCCTTCACACAATCTTCACTTATGCTTAGAAAGAAAGTGGTTTTCAAAATCTTGCATTAGCTGCAAAGGTAACAGACACTGAATGATTACTTATCCTAACATGTATTTGTCTGTGTCTGTTGAAGTAGATTTGCTTTTAGTTATATCTGTATAACTGTTCATGTGAAACACTCTTATAATTGAAAACTTACACCAGTTGTCAATATTCTTTAAAGAATATGAAATCATAAAGGAGATTGAGCCTGAAGAAGCAGAAGAAATTCCAGTTGTAGAAGTTGAAGAAGCTTTACCAGTTGAAGGTATACAAAGTACTTCCCTAGAGGCTGCCACACATCTTTCATCATCATCATCATGTGCAGATTTTTCTTGCTCTCTCATTTTTCACACATGTGCCTGTGTCTTGTAGGTCACCCCTACATTGTAGGTCTTTCTGTGATTCTTCCGTTGTTGTGTTCTGGAAAATATTTCTGATCATTTAACTCTAAGTACAACCTGAAGATCATTTAAAATACTTTCATTTTGTTTCTTGTCCACAAGAGTCTTCCCATCATTTGGTTTTCTACTTTTGTTCTCATGTTATTAACATGCTTTTTAAAGTCAGCTTGGATATTTGTATTGTGTGCATGCCTTGAAGCAGTAACCTAAGGCTCTTTCATGCTCCCATTTAATTCAATGACATTTTTTCACTGGCTTCACTGGAAATGGAAAATGGTGGTCTTTAGGTTTGTACATTACTCTTCTCATAACCACCATCATAGGAAATTTATTCTAAATCTACTTAATGTTATTTAAAGTGCCGCAACCTGAAAAGAAGATTCCTGAGAAGCGAAAACCACCACCACCACCACCTGCTCCAACAGAAGATATTAAACTGGCAAAAGATCTACTTAAAGGTATAATCATCTGAAGTCATAAATAATGGTGGAAACTCAATCTTCTAAAATTATACTGATGAACCTTGAAAAGCATGCTTTTAGGCTATAATTTTGTGTCTTTTTTATTTCTTTTCTAATAAACTATATTTTAATGGTGCGCCTCACTAATGCTCAGTCCATCATGATTTTTTATCAGAGTTTACATGCATTCTTTTCAATAATTACAGGAAAAAAATTATTAAAACCATTTTAATCAAGTTAACACATTCTTCTATACTTAACAATAATTCTTCTCTCTTTAACATATTCTTACAAATGAAAAGAATCCCCAGCAATAATTTGCTGGTGTTATGTGATCACGGGTTTCAGATCAATTGTGCTTCCTACAGACCATCTGACTTTTTCTCAGCAGTTAATCAGCAAGGATCTTAGCTTTGCAGCTTTTGTCCTTCTTTTACATCAATACTGTTAATGAGGTGTTCGGATTTTTTAGAAAACTCCTTTCTTTTTGGAGTCTAATATGTGTTGTAAAATGCAAATAATTTTCTTTAAAGCTCCTGAGGCAAGGAAGAAAGCTGTGACTGCAAAACCTGGTGAGCCTCCGAAACTGGAACCTCCACCTGCTAAAGGTACCTAGGCAATATAAGAATCTAGCTTAAAATAAACCTCTCATGATCCCAGAGTTGTAGTTCTCAGTATCTTCTTGTTTAATTTGCTCAAATATGTCAAAACACTGTCTATGTTAGATTATGCTCAACACACACCCCTATCTTGGGCATATACGTTTGTGTTATATTTATGTCCACTTTAATCGTACATCATGCAATCCATGAGACGTAAGAGACAGAAACACAGAAAAGTGAGAGAGTTTTTATGAGTTTTAGTAGGTGCTCGCTTTGGTTTTCTGCTTAGCTAGAAATAAAAAAATAAAATACTATTTAAATGTATACACCATTGTTTCAACATACTTAGTTTATTATTTTTCTGAAATGTAACATATTTTTGTGAGAGGACACTTTCTAGAAGAGGGAATGAATAATGTATTGAGCAAGCCACTTCACAGGTTATGCCTTTATAGTATTCATATGTACTGGAGTTTAAGATAAGCTAAGCAGTGGACATTCCTTCTTAATGCTGTTCCAATTTGGAGATTAAAGTAGATCCTTATGAATATCACAGGCAGACAGCTCTTATGAATAGATAAGTAACACAAGCCTGTAGTGAAAGAGGACAAGGAAATAAAAATGTTACGATGATGATTGTTCTTGAATACACAACCTTTATAGTTTTCTCAAACTATACTTCTGTTGATTTGTATGAAAACTTTCTCTTTTTACATAAGCTTAGATGACAGCTGTATGCAAATTATATAGAAAATATATTAAAACTATTGACTTCAGTAGCAACAGTTTAACCTTTGATTTTAATATTCAGTAGTGGACTAGTATTTGATTTGTGTGTTTGGACATGCTAGTTGTTAGTTTACTCTTACTGCTGTTATAAACCTATAATAAAATCTGGAATAATATTCTTTTAAGTGCCTGGACTTGTAAAGAAACCTCGCAAAATAATTCCTGAGCCTACTCCCCCACCAAAAGAAGAAGTTGTTTTGAAAAGAGGTATAGTATCTTGGCTCTATTTTGAAAAACCCAGCACTTATGATCAGCATAAATCTATCTAATGTCTGTTTCTTGGGAAAAGCAGTTGTAGTTGCAGGGAGGAAGGGGTAGCCTGAAAGTCTCTCAGATGCAAATGATCTGTAATGAAATGAGAGCAGAACAATGAACATCTAGTTCCCTGTCTCTCTGTCTCTCTCTGTTCTGTTTTCTTTATCTCTTAGTACTAGAGTTGAGAGCCTTCCACAGCCCACAGTATAAAGTTATTAAAGTTATATGTGTAGTCTACGTATTCTCTTTTGTGGTTTTCTTAAAAGTACCACACAGATCACAGAACCCCACGGAACCATTGGACATCAGTCCCATTCCCTGCAAAGTCTGGGGCATTCTGAATCATTCTGTGCTCAACCGTTGCTTAAAAAAATGAAGCATTAATTCCAGTTCTCTTTGAAATACCACAGAGGGATGATTCGTGCTTGTGTACTTTATACCTTCAAATTTCAGACAACATAATAAAATATTCAATTTTTCAGATGAGAGTGTCATTAAATACCCAAGACGGAGAACTGAGAGGACAAAATCAAGTGAAACCAATAAAATGGAAAACAGACATTATATAAATTTGAGCTAGCCAAATACAATACTTGAGGATTTACATTATAATTACATTTAAAAAAACATTAAAATCTTTTCTCTCAAATGGACTGCTCTTAAAAATATTTTAATATTTTTTCCTTAGATGACTTGAATTTTAAATTGCTTTCAGAATAGTATCTTGAATAGTTGCAAAAATCTTCCATTTCTATTGAGCTATTTATTTTATTTTCTGGTTTCTTTATGACTGATGCTTTTAATCTTTGTCTTGTTCAATGTCTTATTCTTTTGTTTGCCTGTGCTTTAAAAACTGAGATTTCTTTTCTTTTGAAGTTCTTAAAAAGAAACCTGAAGAGGAAGAACCTAAACCAGAAAAAGAGCCTAAACCAGAAGTTAAACCAGTACCTACACCAATAGAAAAAATTAAGAAACCTGAAGGTACTAGATTGCTATCAAATACATTTATTGAAATTTATATTTTTTTTAATCCCACTATTAAGTAGTGTTTTCTTAAGTTCAGGAATCAAACTGGTGTCTTGCTGGTGTCTGGTGTCTGATAACTTGCACTGGCCTAATTGTGCAGTTTAAGTCTTGCCTGGATGCCCAACCAAGTTTGGCATTTATATTTGGGTCTGAATTCGGCATTTTGGGATTGTTTCTCAGTCTTCATTGTGTATAGAAAAGAGCTTTACAAGTATTTTATATAGCACTGATAGAAACATAACTACAGCAAAAGAGTTAATCCAAGCATTCTTTTAGGTAACATTTTACAAATATGTATCCTTTTACCCATTTATAGTTTCTAATTATTCAAATCTTACTCTTAAGAAATGTATGTTGCTAAATCTTTTGAACATCTGAAACTGCTTATGTGTAAAAATAATGAAAGCTTTTAAATGCACTTGAGGGTACTCTGTTTAGGGATTTAAGGTGTTTTAATATATCTTACAAAATAAAAATATTATTTTAAAGTCCCAGAAGTTCCTAAGAAGAAAACTGAGATACCTGCCATAAAAAAAGAGGAGAAACCAGTGCCTGAACCACCAAAAGGTACAGACATGTGGTGCTCTTTTTCCTTATTGCAGCAACTAAGCAATATTCAGTGCTGAATATTATGCTGTATTAACATAATGCATTACTGTCCTCCAGTCTGTCATGACTACTGTGTCCTCATTAACCATTTTGCTGTCTCCTGGATTTCTTGTTGTCTTTATTCTTCAATGCTTGAAAAAGTCATCTTTTTTCCATTGTTTGCAATCTTGCTTTACAAGAGTTAATCTCAAGGTAATTTCTTGCTTTTTCGCAAAATAAAATAGAAACCTATAAATTCTGTATTCATTTAGCTCTCTCTGTGTTGTTTATCCTAACTTCTAATGCTCAATGTGTTTGCAAAAAAATGTAAACTAACCTACTTGTAATTTCTGTGTTTGAAATGGCAGAAACTAAGCAAGCATCTGTCCCAGTTCCTGGGCCTGAACCTAAACCTGTAGTAGGTAAGAATTCTTTAGTTGTGAATACTGGTGAAGCCTTTCTTTTGTATCTAGAATTTTCCATTTTGGGATTTCTTGCTAAAAGGACAGTCACAGAATCATAGAATATCAGGTTGGAAGGTGACTTCAAGGGTAATCTGGTCCAACCTTTCTTGGCAAAAGCACAGCTTTGACTACATAACTTGTGCAGCAGAATATTAAAAGTGTCCACACAAAGGCCTTTAGAATTAAGAAGACTAGAACTTTCCTACCATCTACAAAACATTTAAAGAATATAATACTTAAAGTAATGTATTAAAACTTTTTTCCCCCATGCAGCTGTAAAATCTCCAAAACCAGCTGAAGAACCCACTGTTACTGCTCCAGTGACAGCTCCAGTTGTTGGAAAGAAAGCAGGTATTTATATGTATTCTATGCTATTTAGAAGGTTTTTCTCTGACATACCTAAATACCTTCAGTGTAAAAAAGAGGGAAGAGCTGTACAATAACTCATTCATTGCAGGTATATTTGAGGTCCTGTTCAAGGATCTTGTTATTGTACATACTGTCACCTAATTTAAAACAAAAACATCTCTGATATACTACGGAAAGCAATCTCTGCTCTTTTGTCTGGATGGTGATATGTGTGTCTTTATTTGTTGTCCTACTATGAAATTTGCGTATTCTGTTCTTTTCTTGATGTTCCTCGTGCCCTGTTATATGTTATGTGAATGTCATCTTGTATTTTCTGTGTAGACAAAGAGAAGTTACACGTTTCTAAATAATTGTTGTGTTGTTTGGTTTCCTGCTTTTAACTTGTCATTGAAGCCCTGAGAAAAACTGACAGTGATGTTGAAGAATTAGAGTATTGCTACTTCTGTCTGCTATGCTTAGGACCCTGCTGTGAAAGAAAAAAAAGAAAAAAAAAAAAAAAGAAAAAAAGCAAGTTGGGATGGTTCAATTTCTTCTGAAACACTCTAAGCCTGTGCTCCAGCAGCAGAGCTGATGTCCATTCTGCTCGCCCACCATTCAAAGGGCTTCATGTTGCAGCAGAGCTCAGGTCTTGGGTATTTGAGAAACCAGATCATTAAAGTCTCTTGGCCATTGATCTGGTGATGTAGTCTGCAGTGGCACAATTAACCTATTTTGTGTCAGTGACCAGATAGCTGTAATTTTCTGCTATTTTTAACCTACACTGGATTTAAACGGGCGGTCTAACGAGACATTACTAAGAGTGGTTTACTTAGGTTTTCTGTTCATGTGTGCTGTTCTTACCTTTCTTTGCTGGTTGTGTTTTAAGTTTCTGTTGTGTTGAGAAAAAGTGTTCTATGTTCATTTTATTTCAGGTATATCTGTAAAATTTGTCTTAAATATAGTGTTCCTGATTCTTATTCTTATGGATTTTTACTCTCTAAATTACCTATGAAACCTTTGTAGCTGCAGAAAAGCCTGATGCACCATCTGTACTAAAACACAGAGATAAAATGCCCTTAGTGGAAGAAGAAAAGCCTGAGTCAATTGTGTTGAAGAAGATTTCAGTTGAAAAAAGATTTCATGTAAAAGAGAAAGTAAGTCCTAAGGAGACAGTTCCGGCCATAGAGCCACTTGAGTATAAAATCTCACTGGAAACAGCTGGTGGAATGCTGAATTCAGAAACAGATGAGCAGGAGAAAGTATCTCTTAAATATTTTGTCCTGGCTTCTGAAGAAGAGGAGCCAGAAACAACACCTGTAGTTTCAGGAAAGACTACCCTTGCAGGTGAGAAATTAAAAGTTGAAATGGATCACATTGCTTACACAAAGGAGGAACTACCACCAACTGATGAGGAAGTGAAATTGATTTCTGTAACATCCGAGCATGTGGAAAGAGATTCTGGAGAAGAAAAGAAGGATGAAATTAAATTGCTTGTTCGTAGGGAAGATGCCATAGAGAAGGTCTCTGAAAAGTTTAGTGTTCTTCAGGAAGGAAAGATTCCCAGCCATGAAAAAGAAGAAATTGAATCAACTTGTGTGCCTAAATCCAGAAAGCCAGATCAGCCTAGGGACCAGAAAGGACTTATAGGAAAAGAGAAAAAATCACAAAAAAGTTTGCAATCTGAAAAATTTCACATTAAGGATAAAACTTCATTTGTACAGGATATCATAGAGGCAGACATAGCTGAATCTCCTCAGCTAAGAAAGGAAAATGAGAGAGGAGGTTTTACTCCAGAGAAATATGAAGTTCCTCTTGGAGAATCCATGAAGGGACATGGCATACAAAGTAAAATTGAGAGGCTGAAGCAATCTGGTAGCACAGTACCTGAAGTTCCTATAGACAAGATTCTTAATAAAGAAGCAAAGAAAATGGGAGATATTCAAAATGATGAGAAAGATAAGAATCTGGATTTTGCATCAGCAGAAGTACATTCCTTAGACCTGTCTGCAGAGGCTCAGCCAGGATTAAGAAAAGATTTTGACCTAGAACACCCCATTGCAGATGAGGAGGTTCCTGGAGAAAAAACTCACACAATCTTTAAACCGTCTGTTCCTAAGTCAGAAGTAGTAGAAATGAAAGCAAGAGAAAAATACTCTACAGAGAAAGAAGCTCATTATGAGGAGGGTTTAGGACAATTGTTGACTGAGAAAGCACTCCTAAGTGATAAAAAGACAGGCAAGAAGATTTTACCAGAGAAGGAAGAAAAAACTATCTTCAGCACCCACTCAAAAAAAGGCAAAATTAGGCAGTCAAATGCCCCTGAAAGTCTGCCTGTGGAAAAAGAATTTGATACAGTGATTACAGGAGGAATGGAAAGTGAAGTTTCCACAGGAGAACATGAAAAAGGAATATCTGAATTAGTAAAGAAAGTTGCTATTCAGCCACCACAAAGTCAAGATATAAAACAAATTCAAGAAGTTCGTACTATTCAGGATGAACATAAAGAAACTCTGGCTAACAAAAACAGAAAAGGTAAAATTGAAGAAAAACAATCTACAGAAGGTATATCAGATGAAAAAGTGTCACCTGAACATGGCATTGGAAAAAGCACACCTGGTACCATGGAAAAACAGAAGGGAAAACTCATAGACAAAGTGTCATCAAGCAAAGGGATACTTGCAGATGGAGAAGATACTTATTCTTCAAGCATAGGTAAGGTAATAACTTCAAAGAAAGCAGAAGGAGAGAAAGAATACCAGAAATCAGAACCTGCTCACCTGACTGAGCAGAGCACTAGACTGGCAAGTGAAAATAAGAATTTGGATGCACCTGGAGAATCACGTGAAGTTCTGGATGTTCCAGCAAAGTCTCATGCAAAGCGAGGTGAGGAAGACTGATGCCAAATTCTTCCACGAAGTGCTTGTACCATTTGCTTCAGGAGAGTGCCACCTGCCATTGTGTTTTAGTAACACCATTCGCAATTCCATCAAGTCTGTCAGCTGGCTTTACTTGGCATTCAGCCACTCTTCACATGTTTGTCTTACCTTTCTGTACACTCAGCTGTGTGATCATTGTTCATTGTCTTAGTCTTATACTTTTCTGAGACGTCATGAATTGTTTTGTGTGCCATTGTCTTCTCAGGAAAACTCACACTCTTTTTCTAGTATTCATTTGTCCATCCACTGCAACAAAATCTGTCCTGCATTTCATTCATATCATCCTCCCATTAAAAGTATCTTTCATATTTCCCTTCACAAAAAGGTAACAAGAGGCCTTATAGCACAGGTAATATTTCTAAAAGTCTGTGATGATTCATTGCAGATTAGATTACTAACAGGACATCCCTCACTTGTAAAAGTACTACATAGTCCTGAAACATATATTTAATTCACACAGCTTATACTTTTTTTGGTGTTCATTAGTAAAAGTGCGTGGGGTTTTTTTAAAAAAAAGACAATCTCATATAATTTTAATAGGCACTTAAACTATTTTGTCAAGGAATGACAGAATTTTAGGAATTAATGGGCAGGACACCACAATAAGGAAATAGGAACTTTTAAGCTGCCTCTTAGGCTCTAGTGCTGAATAGGTCATTGCCATACTTCAGGAAATTGAACTTACTGTTGAGATGTAGACAGTATACGCTCTATAAACATAGAGATACTTTTATATCCTTTCCTCCCCTTTTACGGGTAGGTAACTAAAAGAAGAAAAAATCTGATATATAAAATAAATACTTGTCTTAGCTTTAGTAAGTATGTTTATTTAACTACATTTCTAATAATTTTTCTGTTCTACTTCAGAGGCCAAGCCACCAAAAGAAGAATCTCCGAAGGGTATTAGTCCAGTCAAAGGTAGGATATTACAAGCAATACCTTGTCATGGTCTAACTCCAGCTGGTAATCAGGCCCCAAACGGCAACTCATTCGCTCACTCCCTTACGGTGGGAAGGAGGAAAGAATAAGAAGGGTAAAAGTGAGAAAACTCACGGGTTGAGCAAAAGCAGAGCGCACAAACAAAGCAAGATAAGGAATTCACTCACCACTTCCCATGAGCAGGGATGTGTTCACCCATATGCAGGACAGCAGGATGCCCTTCCATCCCTTGAAGGGCAAATGTCGTAACTCTGAATGCCCCCTTCCTCCCCCCACCTTCTTCTTTCCCATGCTTTATATACTGAGCATAACACCGTATGGTGTAGGATATCACTTTGGTCAGTTGGGATCAGCTTTCCTGGCTGTATCACTTCCCACTTTCTTGTCAACTCCCAGCCTTCTTAGTAGTGGGGCTGTATAAGAAGCAGAAAAGGCCTTGGCTCTGCAAGAGCCTCTCAGCAATCACAAAAAATCTCTGTATTATTGAGACTGCTTTCAACACAAATCCAAAACATAGCCCCATACTAGCTACTTAGAAGATGGTTATATTTCCCCCAACGAAAATCAGCACAGCCTACAATCAAAAGCAATTAATCAGGATTAGTTTATTAATTTCTGAATCTGAATTACAGCCAAGAAGACACCTTCACCAGCAGATGCAGAAAGAAGGAAGCTCAGGCCAGGCAGCGGTGGTGAAAAACCTCCTGAAGAGCCTCCATTTACTTACCAACTCAAGGCTGTACCACTGAAGTTTGTCAAGGAGATGAAAGATATAGTGCTAAAAGAAGCTGAATCTGTTGGGTCTTCTGCAATCTTTGAAGTCCTTATTTCACCATCCACTGCAATTACCAGCTGGATGAAAGATGGAAGTAACATCCGAGAGAGCCCAAAACACAAGTTTATTGCTGATGGCAAAGATAGGAAGCTGCATATTATTGATGTCCAGCTGTCTGATGCTGGCGAATATACTTGTGTATTAAAACTGGGGAACAAAGAGAAGACCTCTACAGCCAAACTTATTGTTGAAGGTATTCCCTCTTTCAAATTTATCAATAGGCTAGCCACTCCTCAAACTAGAACTGGTGCTTTGTAATTTTACAGTAGTTGGTAGATGCATCCTTTGTTTCCCTCAATCACTATACATATTATATAAGGTATTTCTGCATCACATGTTCTATGTATAAAGGAGACAAATGAAAATAATTTTTTGCCCACAGAACTCCCAGTGCGGTTTGTGAAAACTCTTGAAGAAGAAGTGACTGTCATTAAAACCCAGCCACTGTACTTAACATGTGAGCTTAACAAAGAAAGAAATGTGGTCTGGAGAAAGGATGGTAAAATCATCAAAGCCAAGCCCGGGAAATTTGCTCTGGGTGTTATTGGTTTGTCACATTCCCTCACAATCACAGATTCAGATGATGCTGATGCTGGCACTTACACTGTTACTGTGGAAGACTCTGAACTATCATGCTCATCTTGTGTTAAGGTAGTAGGTAAGTAATAAAAATCATGTTATTTTTTTCTCTCTAGGATATTTGGACTGCTTTAAAATTATGAAAACTTTTTCTCATTGTGTTACAGTATAAGTTGACAGATAAGATTTTTACAGCTATTAAAAGCTTGTTGTAGTACAAAATCTCTTCATTCTTATTCTTCTTTTTTGACACATCTGTTTGTAATAAAAGTCTGCTAAGCTGTTTTCTTGTGTAACTTTTTGTCATGCAGAAGTTATAAGGGACTGGTTAGTGAAACCCATAAGAGACCAGCATGTTAAACCAAAAGGAACAGCTACTTTCAGCTGTGACATTGTCAAGGATACACCAAACATTAAATGGTTCAAAGGAGATGAGGAAATCCCTGCTGAACCCACTGACAAGACAGAAATCTTGAAAGAAGGAAATAAAATTTTCCTGAAAATCAAGAATGCTGGTCCTGCTGATATTGGAGAATATGCAGTGGAAGTTGAAGGTCGCAGATACCCAGCTAAACTGACCCTTGGTGGTAAGGAAGCTTTTATTTGGATTATATTTAATCATCTTGTATGCCAGTGTTGAAAAACATCTACATAAACAAACATTAAAGGTAACCTGAATTATTACAAAGCTCTATCAAAACTTGATCTAATCATATATGTGTTTATTTGTGCATTGTAGAACGTGAAGTTGAGCTTCTGAAGCCATTAGAGGATGTTACAGTTTATGAGAAGGAAACAGCAAACTTTGACACAGAAATATCTGAAGATGATATTCCTGGTGAATGGAAGCTGAAAGGAGAAGTCCTGAGACCTTCACCTGTAAGCATCCTTGAATTTTAAAACACAATTTATTTAAATTAAATACTGTGAACAGGTTCCTTGAATTTTTCTGTTAAGACGTGTCATTGCTTCTCAGCCCAGAATATATTATTTAATAAACTGATTCTCTAAGTAAGGATTATATTTTATAAAAGCTAATTTTGAAGGTCTTCATTTTCTTAAAGTATTACAGCACATAATTCAAGCAATAATAGAAATATCCTATGAACAGTGTGGGAATGATTCTGACATTCTGAAGAATTCTGTGGAATGCTGAAGAAATGTACTCCCTATTTTAATTATTGAGTCAAAGTGTTAACTTTACTTGAGAAGCAATTTCATTCTTCCTACCTGACACGTCACCATGTATACAATGTTTATGAAAATCCCCTTATTGAAAACTCCTGGCAGCAAGGCATTTGCATTGCGTTGGTATTTGTATTTAACAAAGTCTGTCATCTCTCCAGACATGTGAAATCAAAGCTGAGGGAGGAAAACGCTTCCTAACCTTACACAAAGTCAAGTTAGAGCAAGCTGGCGAAGTCCTTTACCAGGCCCTGAACGCCGTCACTACAGCCATCCTGACAGTAAAAGGTACAGTGCCCCACGGGGCGTGACACCAGCTCAGACAGAGTTCACAGGGAGCTCGTTACAAATGGTGTGTTATCTTTTGCTTCCAGAAATCGAGCTGGACTTTGCTGTGCCCCTGAAAGATGTCACTGTTCCTGAGAAGCGCCAAGCAAGGTTTGAATGTGTCCTTACCAGAGAGGCCAATGTTATATGGTCTAAGGGCACTGATATAATCAAGATTGGAGAAAAATTTGACATCATTGCAGATGGAAAGAAGCACATTCTTGTTATCAATGATTCACAGTTTGATGATGAGGGAGAATACACTGCTGAAGTTGATGGCAAAAAGAGCACAGCAAGACTGTTTGTGGAAGGCAAGTATTTTCTCATGAACAAAAGAACAAAAAAAAAGATCAAGAAAGTATCTTTCAGGACTACATTAGCCTTTTTTCTGATTGTATTTATGTGTCTACATTACAGGTGTGAGGCTGAAGTTCATATCACCTCTACAGGACCAAACAGTGAAAGAGGGGGAAACAGCTCACTTTCAGTTTGAGCTTTCTCATGAAGACATGCCTGTGAAATGGTTCAAAAATGACAAGAGACTTCACACAAGCAGAACAGTTTTAATTACTTCAGAAGGCAAAGTTCATAAACTAGAAATGAGAGAAGTAACACTTGATGATATCTCAGAAATAAAGGCGGTAGTCAAGGACTTGAACACACAAGCCAACCTGAAAGTCTTAGGTAATTGCATAAATAATTTAAAACCTGCTATAGAATAAATATTAACTACTTTTATAAGTAGAAAGTGACAAAATATTGACATTTTAGTATATTTGTATAACTAATTTATCTTATCCACTATGGCTTTTGTAGAGGCCGATCCATATTTCACTGTGAAATTACAAGACTACAGTGCTGTAGAGAAAGATGATATTACTCTGGAGTGTGAACTTAGCAAAGATGTGCCAGTAAAATGGTACAAAGATGGTGAAGAACTGATAGCTTCCAACAGAATTTCCATAAAAACCGATGGCTTGCGCCGTATCCTGAAGATCAAGAAGGCTGCAGAGAGTGACAAAGGGGTTTATGAGTGTGACTGTGGAACTGACAAGACAAGTGCCAATATCAGCGTGGAGTGTAAGTAATCATGTCTTCACTAAGGGAAAGGAGCAAAACCTTTGTAAACCAGTGTAGACAGACAGACAGACACTCTCCAGAGAGCAAGACCAAAAATGTACCTATGGAAAGGGCGCTGTTATGATGAATGGCTGAAATATCTAGGTACAAAGTTATTAACAGTGATTACAAGAGACTATATGCTTGACAATTACTGGAGAGAGTTACTCTCTCTGTCCAGTTGCCATCAGGAAATAAAAATAGTTTAGTTCACTGTAACAGATATCTGGGTTAATTATTGGGAAAAATATTCTCACCAAAAATAACTAAATTTTCAGACATAGAAGCAGGTTGTAGACTGACAACTTGCTGCTTTTTAGGAAGAGGTTAGATAAACACTTACTGGTTGTAGCATTTGAGTGCTCAAAAGAAGGAAAAGATGCTTTCCACTGTTACATTTCTGTGGTATACAATTTGTGAGTAAACAGATGCAAACTTTAGTTTTTTTTAATTTTTTTTAGCTCGCTTAATTAAAGTGGAGCGCCCACTGTATGGAGTAGAAGTATTTGTTGGTGAAACAGCACGCTTTGAAATTGAAATATCTGAGCCTGATGTCCATCCTGTATGGAAGCTAAAGGGAGAAACCCTAACACCTTCACCTGTAAGGATTCTTCTTTATTTTCAGACCATAATTTCCAGTAGAAAAACATGATTAATAATTGTGTTTTCTTAGTGGTTTCTTAGAATATTAATATTTGGGGTGGGGTGTGTGTTTCTTTATCACCAGGACTGTGAAATCATTGAAGATGGGAAGAAGCATATTCTTGTCCTTCATAACTGCAAACTTGATATGACTGGAGAAGTGTCTTTCCAAGCTGCCAATGCTAAAAGTGCTGCTAATCTGAAAGTGAAAGGTATAGTCTGCACTTGGCCAACATTTCCATGTGTATTTCAGAGCATCAGAACAAATTTAGTGTCAGAAAGCACTGTATGAACTGATCTGAAAGAGCTCTTCTTTGATTTCAGAACTGCCTCTTATCTTTATCACTCCACTAAGTGATGTGAAGGTCTTTGAGAAGGATGAAGCTAAGTTTGAATGTGAGGTATCCAGAGAACCCAAGACTTTCCGCTGGTTGAAAGGAACAGAAGAGATCACTCCTGACGAAAGATTCGAAATCGTTTCAGATGGAACAAAGCATGCTCTGATTATTAAATCTGTTGCCTTTGAGGATGAAGTAAAATACACATTTGAAGCTGAGGATAAAAGAACAAGTGCCAAGCTAATTATTGAAGGTTTGTTAGACTTTGTCTTCCTAAGAAAGTTTTGCATCGTATCCTTGCATAGTTTCTGTTGATAACATTATGACATGTTATGGTGTTACAGGTATCCGCCTGAAATTCATCACTCCTCTCAAGGATGTGACAAAGAAGGAGCGAGAAACTGCAGAGTTCACTGTGGAACTCTCCCATGAAAATATCACTGTTGTCTGGTTCAAGAATGACCAACGATTACATACCAGCAAAGTGGTTTCAATGACAGATGATGGCAAATTCCATACACTCACAATCAAAGATCTAACTATTGATGATACTTCTCAGATAAAAGTGGAAGCTATGGGCAAATCCTCAGAAGCTAAACTCACTGTTCTTGGTAAGAACACCCAAAAGAATTTACCTGATGTATATTATCAGAAGAATTTTATTAATAAAAAATAGCAATCAGAAAGTCTTGAGATTAGCCTAAATCTAAATTCAGACTTTAAAAATCTAACAATTAGTTTTTCTTCCTAGGGGCACCATTTACCTATTCATGGGTAAATGATTACAATATCATGAATTTTGAAGGATGATTACAATAACTTTAACATTTCATGCAAAGTTGCAAAATTAATTAATACGTATGTAAAACAGTGCTCTAAAAATCCTAGAGCATAAGAAGAATTTTGTCAGTAATATTAGTAATGCCCCGAATAGTTTCTTAGGTGTTTATTGTTTTCTTTTTTGTAACAGAACTGTGAAAAAGGACTATATTTAATCCTTCTCATAGGATATAAACAAGAAATATATTTTATGGTAGAAACTAGTTGTTCTTTATGGAAGACTAAAACTTCAGACTGAAATATGTCTTGACTTTTGCTTGCAGAGGGAGACCCTTATTTCACTGGGAAGCTGCAGGACTACACTGCTGTGGAGAAAGATGAAGTAATCTTGCAATGTGAAATCAGCAAAGCAGATGCCCCAGTGAAATGGATGAAGGATGGCAAGCCAATTACTGCATCAAAGAATGTTGTTATAAAGGCTGATGGCAAAAAGAGAATCCTTATTCTCAAGAAAGCTTTGAAGAAAGACATTGGACAGTACACTTGTGACTGTGGTACTGACCAGACCTCTGCTAAACTTGATATTGAAGGTATGGCTATTTTAATGGGTTGCCCTGTAGAGGTCTTTTGGGATCTGCTAGAAACTGTGGGAGTCAATTGTGTTTTTCTTCTCCAGACCGGGATATTGAGATTGTGCGACCACTCTACAGCGTGGAGGTGATTGAGACAGAGACTGCCCGTTTTGATATTGAAATTTCTGAGGAAGGTGTCCATGGCAATTGGAAGCTAAAAGGAGAACCCCTGACTGAATCAGCTGTAAGCAAATATTTCATTATATTTTTTTATGTGTTTGTCAGCACTTTGCAGGGAAGTAGAGTGTGAGGGAGGGTGACTGCAGAAACTAAATTTGATCTCCTGCTTTCAGGAAGTGTCACTATATTAAAAATAGTGGGGTTTTTTAATTAATAATGTTTTAAATGTAGTACAAATATAATCCAAAATATCTAAATAATAAATGATTTTTACATAAAATGGTACATTCTGCCTTGCTAACAATAACTAACAATCATACATCCAAAGTGCAAAGACCTTGTGGAATTCACTTAAACATAACAGCATTTAGAAATGCAAACTTCAGATTTCATGCTTTTTCCTGTGGGTTTTGTGTTATATTTGGTTTAAATAGATGTAGACCACATTTCCAAACTCTTTTGCATTTCTGTGACAGCTAAAATCGGGGTTAAATGGTATAGAGCTTCATCAAATATTATAAACTCCTTGCTGGAAAGACCTGGAAATTAATGAAACAATAGAATCACAATTGGCAATAATTTTGCTTCTATGTAATCGGACAAAAGTGAATAATAACAGAAAGATTGGAAGTTACATGAAAATCACTGTCTGGATAAAAGAAAGAAAGATCTTCTCGAGGAAAGGTCACAGCACAAGCTTAGCAATTTCTAGATCCCCTGAAGGAACTAGGCCTCTGACTGGTCTACATATATATTAATATATTGGCTACTCAGCAAAGAAATGTGTTGCCTCTTCCCCTTTCTTACCAACTGTATTAAGAGGAGAGTTTGAAAGGAAAGACCTATGAATGAATGTTTATAGGGTATATTTCACATGGGCCCAAGAGTTGTGAATGGAGTAGAAGAAAACAGACTCATGGTATCAGAAGTAGGGGCTCTTCTGGTGAGTAATACAAAAAAGATACTGAAAAATTATTTCAATTCTATTTTTGCAGGAATGTGAAATCAAGGAGGAAGGAAAAAAGCACTTCCTTACACTGTACAATGTACGCTTAGATCAAGCTGGTGGAGTAGATTTTCAAGCAGCAAATGCCAAGTCTGGTGCTCACCTTCGAGTGAAACGTAAGTGTCTTTTAAACTGTAATTAATTGATTAATTAAGTGAAAACATGGTACTCACTGCCTCTTTGGAATGTGTGGCAAATCTCTATACTGTATTGAACCCACAGTAATCCTTTCCAGAAGAGCAGCTTAGGGATTAGTTACTCAGTTTGTCTAATTTTTTTTTCATTAAGGAATGTCCTGTGTGGTTTTAACCTTATATATAATTTATTCATATAGGAGAAATAAAATAAAGGAGATGGCCTTGAAGGTTGCTTGATGGTCTGGCATCATATATGCTGTTATGAAATCAAATATTGCAAGCAAAGGCTCTGCTGAATCGAAGTGTCACGTTAGCTGGAAAGGATAGGATAACAGTGATATCTGGGGATAGGGTTCAGAGCTTGATGGACAGGGACAGACTACACGGCTGAAGACCACTTGTTTCCCACTCCAATCCTAGCCCTCGCTATTTTGGAAACACATGCCTTATCTAGCAACAGGCATGCAAGGCTTGGCAAGGAGACAGATGCAGAGCAACTTTCCTGCTGACCTTGTTCAATTTAAAGAAACACTCGCTGCAAATAGGAAATTGTAGGTGACCAGCCCTCCCCTAAGAACCCAGGGTGGCCTCTTCTATTTAGGGAATTTAAAGAGCAGCATTGCGATGTCTGGCTCTCTTGAGGGAAGCCACCATGGAGATTAGTACGTAAGGGCAGCAGCTCTCTCTTGGGTAGAAGTGACTAATCTAAAAATTATGTCTTCTCCTTACCAAGCTCGAGTAATTGGCCTGCTGAGACCCCTCAAGGATGTAACAGTGACAGCTGGGGAATCAGCAACCTTCGATTGCGAACTCTCTTATGAGGGAATCCCAGTAGAATGGTTCCTGAAAGGAAAGAAACTGGAGCCCAGTGATCAGGTAAAAAAACTAAACTTTACTTTTTCTCATGTTTCCTCCTCCTTCTCCTCTTTCAAGTCTCTTCCCCTTCTTTATTTCTTATTTATTCTCTCTCAGCTGAAATATTAAGGCACAGCAATATTGTAGTACTGCTGTGTCAAATGCCAAATCGTCTCTAAATCAGATACAACTGTTTTTCCCAGAAATTCCATACTCTGGAATACTACAATTATTTATAATACAAAGGGAATCTGAGGTTCCAAAATATCAGTTATTACAACAGTGATTTTGCACCTGATTCTGCTGGAGACTCAGCCAGAAGGATACTGAATAATTTTTGCTCAGGTTGCCTGTGGTTACAGTGAGAGTATTTTGAAAGGTGCTATCAGGAAAAGCCTTTTTTTCTCCTGAATACTGAGTTGCAGTCCAATTCAACATATAAGGGGATTAAGAGGATTCAAATTCCATTTCAGGCATTTGTTCTGGCTCTCCAGATAACTCTCTGGGCAGATTTGCCTGTCAAGCACTTCTCACTAGCTATTTTTAACCCTTCATCAAGTGCTGGCTCTTAACTCTGAGATCTGAGCAGCCTGGAATGCAGTCAATTTAATGTTTAAAGTTAATGATAGGGAAAATAAATAAAGAAACCTAAATTAATACATCGAAAAATGGAAATTGAAAAATATTACTGGTTGTAAGGCTTCTATTTTTGCATGCTAGGCCTAAAAATGTAATGCAAATTCAAATAAAAGATGGAAACTTAAGACATAGTAAACTTTCAAGGCATTGCATAACCTAACAAAGTTTCAGAACCTGTAATAATGCTGTTAAATAATACTTTGGTACGGATTGCTATTTTTTTAAATACATTTTTTAACTTTTACAACTACATCTTTTTTACAATTTTTAATTTTTTTTCAGGTTTTGCTAGATCTTTCTGAGCTTTAAGAAATTTGCATAAATAAAAACTATTTAATAGAATAAATAGAATGTAGAAATAGGAAAATCCAAACAGATCATGATAATAAGGGACTCTATTACAGTATTTAAGGACAGATAAACAAATTTGAAATGCAGTGGATGAGTCTTGAAATAAATCAAGATAATTACTTCTGAGTTTCAGAATAAAAATGTGAAAAGCTATTGATCAGTGCAGTGGATTGATAGTTATGACTGCCTGGCAAGGAAAACATTATATGTTCAGTATAATTCTGTATAATGGAACATTATTTTGATATTTTCTGTCTGAGCTATTTTAATTACATGAAAAAAATCAGATTTCATGTACATATACAGTCAAAAATGTCATTTGGACAGTTGAAACTTTATCAGGATGAAATGGAGAGTAAACCATATATTTACTCACTGCATTGCTTTCTACCCTTTCAAAATAGCCTCTTGAAATACATTTACAACCGTCTTTAAGAATCAATCTAATTGTACAGGTGTTTCATTTTAGCTGTTTGCTAATTCAAACTATTTTATTACCTCTGTGGCTTTCATTCTGCTGAACATTTATAACCTTTATTCATTGAAGTGACTTTTTTGTTTACTGTGATTGCAAAGTGGTTTCTGCAATAGGTCATCACAGAAACTAGTCTTTTAGGCAGAAAGTTTTACTGAATTTTAATAATAAAAAGACAAATTGGCATTTCCAGAGAAGTGTGTATGGGGGGTGCCAAACCTCTTTATAGCTGAAAAAGTTTTTCCTTTACATGTAGTCAGCAGTAATGCCAACTTTTCCCATACATTTGCTTATTTTTTGTATTTATTAATACCTGTTCAAAAATAGACATCATCTTAAGTCAAGTCCCAAAATCCTCAAAACTTTGAGGACTGAGCTATATCTAGTATATACAAAAGGAAGTTGTCAAAATTTTACATGAAAGTGGACAACCAAACTCTACAAATCATAAATAGCATGCTATTTCATGAAATATTTCTTAAATACTTGTTGTAGATGTTCACAACAGGGTTTTTATGTATTTTGCAAGGTGGTGACCCGTGCTGAGGGGAGAGTTCACACACTTATTCTCAGAGACGTCAAGTTAACAGATGCAGGAGAGGTATCACTGACAGCGAAAGATTTCAGAACTCAAGCAAATCTTTTTGTGAAAGGTAAGTCAGTCATTTTAGTTAAACCATGATCAGCATTAATGTTCCATTCATGATTCATCCTGGAATAGGAAGCTGATACACACTATTTATCAAAGAGTGGGATCATATATACAATATTCAACTGGTAGGTAACTTTCCATATTTAAAAAGCCACCTGCTTAAAATCTCTGCACTTCACAGAAGAGCTGAACTAGGGAAAACACTGGGAATGGTTAAAATCTGGGAGATAAACCATTTTGTTAGGACTTCCAGGGCTTTGCTGCAGTCTTGAACATTCAATTGGTCGCAAGAGGACCCGCGGATACCAGCCTTTGTGGCTCCCAGTGGCTTTTTCTTTTTGATATCCAGAAACCTGTGAGAGTACAACTGCACCATCAGTCAAGGAACAACATAACATTGTCTGTACACCCACTGGTACTGCTCACAGGCTGTGTTATCATTGAGAAGGAAAAGAACTGCACACACTGATCCAATAATGCATTGAAAAATTGAAAAAAAATCCCTAAGCATTCTCTAAGTTCAGAGTGTAAGTTTAGAGTCACTGAGATTACATGGGTATGGTTCAGCTAAAGGAATTGAGTTGCAAGGCTTTTTGATGATTTTTAATTAAAAGCCCCATGGACAAGGATGTCATTCAGTCTAATCTTACAGTAGGCTGAAAATTAGGAATTAACCTGAGTTAACAAAAAATGTCTGTGTATTAAAAACAAAAAATGTTTTAAGAAACCTTCAATAGGGACAGCTAAGAGCCTTTTTGGTTATTCAGTCAAGGAAAATTACTAAACAGCAAGGCATAGTTCTATGCAAGCAGAAGACTGGCTGTAATTTAGATATCTTCCATCAAAAATGTATCTGTTTCTTTTAGAACCCCCAGTTGAATTTACTAAACCACTTGAGGACCAGACTGTTGAAGAGGAAGCCACTGCAGTACTGGAATGTGAAGTTTCCAGGGAAAATGCAAAAGTTAAATGGTTCAAAAATGGAGAAGAAATTCACAAATCGAAGAAGTACGATATCATTTCTGATGGCAGGGTCAGAAAACTCATCATCCGCGGCTGCACACTGGATGATGCAAAAACATATTCCTGTGATGCTAAGGATTTTAAGACATCATGTTTTCTCAATGTGGAGCGTGAGTAATTCACAGTTTTCTCTGAAATGTCTGGGTGCTGTAAAGGCAATGTACTTGTGTCTATGACTGGCAGTAGTATCTATGTTGGCATTTTTTTACTTCTCTAACATAGACTTTCCTCTTCTAACAATTTTCTATTCTCTTACAGCTATTCGTGTCGACTTCCTGAAACCCCTGACTGACCTTGAGGTTAAAGAAAAAGAATCTGCTCGGTTTGAATGTGAAATTTCTCGTCCAAATGTCAAGGTCCGTAGTGACACTTTAATCTCAGTAACTCCTCCAGCTAGAGGGGAAAATTTTGTTGTATTGCTATAAAAGAACACACTGAAATCTATGATGATGTTAAAACCGTGTTAATTTGTTCTGAAACAGGTGAAGTGGTTTAAGGATGGCATGGAAATTAGAAAAGGCAAAAAGTATGACATAATTTCTAAAGGTGCAGAACACATTCTTGTCATCAGTAAATGTGTCTTTGATGATGAAGCTGAATATTCCTGTGAAGCAAAAACAGCTCGAACTTCTGGCCTACTTACAGTGATAGGTAAACACAGTGTTTTAAAATCTAATATGTGATCAATAAAAATGTGAGAGCGGGATTTTTTATGGCAGGCTTTAATCATCTTTTGAAATTCTTTTTGCAGAGGAAGAGGCTGTTTTCACAAAAAATCTTCCTGATCTTGAAGTAAATGAAAACGACACTGTAAAACTGATCTGTGAAGTTTCAAAGCCTAATGCCGAAGTTACTTGGCTTAAAGGAGATGAAGAGGTGCCTGATGGTGGTAGATTTGAACACATTTCTGATGGTAGAAAGAGAATTCTTGTTATACATAATGCTCATCCTGAAGATGCTGCGAAGTACACTTGCAAGCTCCCAAGCTCTAGTACAACAGGAAAACTTACTGTACATGGTAAGAGTGCTCCTTTGGTAGGCTTGTATCCTGGAAAAAAAATTAAAACATTTGAAAATCAGTAGTAATACACAACTTGGTTTATTCCATTCACAAGTAAAAAAATAATATATATATCTACAAAAATGTTTCCTTTCAGAACTTGCAGCAGAATTTCTTACCAGACCACAAAACCTTGAGGTGCTTGAAGGAGAAAAAGCTGAATTTGTCTGTTCAGTATCCAAAGAAGCCATTACAGTACAGTGGCTGAGGGGTGACACAGTCCTGGAGCCTGGTGATAAGTACGACATCATTTCAGATGGCAAAAAGAGAATGCTTGTGGTTAAAGAATCTGTTCTAGGAGATACAGGAATGTATACTGTCATGGTTGGTGAAGCTAAAGCTACAGCACACTTAGCAGTGATTGGTAAGCTTTATTTTATCAATGTGTAGGTGCTTGTTTTGTTGCATTCTTTATACTACATGATGTCATATTTCTTCTGTTTTCTCAATTTCAGAAAAACTCAAGATTATAACTCCTCTTAAGGACCAAGAAGTTACTGAGTGCCAAGAAATTATCTTCAACTGTGAAGTCAATAAAGAAGGTGCCAAAGAGAAGTGGTACAAAAATGATGAGGCAATATTTGATAGTGCAAAGTACATTATTGTTCAGAAGGGTGTAGTCTACACTCTCAGAATCAGAGATGCAGAGTTGAAAGATCAAGCTACCTACACCATCTCCTTGACAAACCAGAGAGGTGAACACGTAAAAAGCTCTGCTGACTTAAAAGTATTAGGTAAATAACTTGCACTACATTAAAATAATTTCATCACTTACATTCAACTTTTTATGAGGATGTAAAAATGTTTGCTTTTTTGTCAGAGGAGGATCTCAGAATTGTTGAGCCCCTTGAAGACATTGAGACGATGGAAAAGAAAACTGTCACATTCTGGTGCAAAGTCAATCGCCTTAATGCAACTCTCAAATGGACAAAGAATGGAGAGGAGATCACATTTGACAGGCGCATTTTGTACAAAATTGATAAATTCAAGCACTCATTGATCATTAAAGATTGTGGGTTTGTAGATGAAGGTGAATACACTGTTACTGCTGGACAAGACAAATCAGTTGCAGAGCTTCTCATCACAGAAGCACCAGCAGACTTCACTGAACATCTTCAGGACCAGACTGTCACTGAATTTGATGATGCTGTCTTTACATGCCAGCTTTCCAAAGAAAAAGTCAGTGTAAAATGGTACAGAAATGGAAGAGAAATCAAAGAAGGCAAAAAGTATGCACATTTTATTATGCTTCTGAATGTGCTAAATATGCTTGTTTTGCTTTATTGCTTCATCTAGAAACTAAAATGCTGTCTATTTTTCTCCTCCATAAAGATACCAGTTTGAAAAAGATGGAAATCTGCATAGATTAATCATAAAAGACTGTAGACTAGACGATGAGTGTGAATATTCCTGTGGAGTAGATGACAGGAGATCTAGGGCAAGGCTTTTTGTTGAAGGTATGTGTAAAATTTGATGGGATTTATTTCAACATTATTTCATAATAGTGTAAACAGTAAACAAATAACACCGAATAAATTAACATTTATTTCAGAAATCCCTGTTGAGATTATTCGACCACCACAAGATATTTATGAAGCTCCTGGTGCAGATGTCATCTTCATGGCTGAGTTGAACAAAGATGGTGTGGAGGTCAAGTGGTTGAGAAACAACATGATTATCATCCAAGGTGACAAACATCAGATGATGAGTGAAGGAAAGGTCCACAGGCTGCAGGTGTGTGACATAAAGCCCCGTGACCAAGGGGAATACAGATTTATCGCCAAAGACAAGGAAGCTAGAGCAAAGCTTGAATTAGCTGGTAAGTTGCTTGTTTTGTGCTCTTTTTATAAAATCTTAGATTCGTGAACATAGTTTAACTAAATTGATTTTTGCTCTTTCAAGGAGTTGAGCTAAAATGAATACACAGTCAGCCTGAGAAAAGTGTTAAACTATTTGAGGATTTTTTAACGAGTCTGTTAAACTATGTGAATACGAATTTACACAACAAACATTTTTTATTAAACCATGCTGATCCAGCTGTTGAGGAAAACCCATCACTTTTCAATGTGTGTATGCCAAAGAGCAAGACTTAAGATTAAAGGAGATTTAAGCTCTTAATTAAGTCTTTGATAAACAATGAAAATTATTTGGCCTACTTATTTAAGTCATATTAGACATATAATTCTTAATTTGTCTATTTTACAGAGTAGTTAAATTAGTTCTCAAATAGCAACTCCTTCTTTTCTGGTTTTTTAGGAGGACACAGTACATACCAACCAGCCTGTATTTCTTTCTCTGGAGTTGTCCTACGAGTATATGAAAGATTTCTTTAGAGTTTACACAGCAGATCCTTACACTTTTCTGTGTCTGCTTCCTTACTGACCGCACAATTATATCAATTTTTGTATACATATATATGCAAGTAATGAACTTTTCACATTCATCTTTCTTAGCTGCACCTAAAATCAAGACTGGTGATCAAAACCTTGTGGTTGATGTTGGGAAACCTTTAACTATGACTGTCCCATATGATGCCTACCCAAGAGCAGAAGCGGAATGGTTTAAAGCAGGGGAAAGTCTGCCCACAACAACTGTTGATACAACAACTGACTGCACTACCTTCAAAATTTATGAAGCAAAGAAATCAGATAAGGGAAGGTACAGGATTGTGCTTCGAAACAAACATGGCCAGGCAGAAGCATTCATCAATGTAGAGGTCATTGGTGAGTACTCGTATTATTAAAACCTTGCTTACCATTATTTCACAGAGTAAAAAGCCTTTATTGAGGGGGAAGCCCTCTGCTTCCCCTCATGGGAAAGCTGTAGATCATATTGAGGTCTTCCCTCAGACTCCTCTTCTCTAGCCAGAGGGAAGACAATCGATGCAATGCCCTGAAGTATTGTCATATCTTTAATAGATGTTCCAGGTCCAGTTAGAAACTTGGAAGTCACTGAAACTTATGATGGTGAGGTTGGTCTCGCATGGCAAGAACCAGAAAGTGATGGTGGAAGCAAAATCATAGGCTATGTCGTTGAAAGACGTGATATCAAGCGTAAGACCTGGATTGTGGCCACAGATCGTGCTGAGAATTGTGAATACACTGTTACTGGACTTCAGAAAGGAGGAGTTGAGTACCTCTTCCGTGTCAGTGCACGCAACAGAGTGGGCACTGGTGAGCCAGTGGAAACAGACACACCTGTGGAAGCTAAGAGCAAATTTGGTGAGCAGAAGTTACAAAAAACTCAGTGTTTCATGGTTTCGTGAAAAAAAAGCAGTACAAATTCTAACAACAGGAAAAACCTACATGCCTTCTTTTTACCTTTTCCTCCTAAAATAAAATGCAGATGTTCCCGGTCCTCCTCAAAATGTAGAAGTTACTGATGTGAACAGGTTTGGAGCCACACTCAGCTGGGAGCCACCTGAGGATGATGGAGGATCCCCGATTACTGGCTACGTTATTGAACTGCGTAACAGAGCTACCATCAGATGGGAGCCAGCTATGACCACGGGAGCTGATGAACTGACAGCTGTCCTGACTGATGTTGTGGAAAATGAAGAATATTTCTTCAGAGTAAGAGCTCAAAACATGGTTGGAGTTGGCAAACCAAGTCCTGCTACACGTGCAGTAAAAGTCATGGACCCAATTGGTGAGTATGCAAAGTATGTATAATTATGATTGTGTTATGAGACAGGAGCATTTTGGGTGCCACATGTGCAGGAAGGTTCAACTGATGAACATGTGTGCTGCAAATACTGTGTAGAGTTATATTTTCCCTACTTTTGTCCTTCAAACCTAGCAGGAGTACCTTGCTACCTCTTGGTTTGGTAAGGACTGCAAATATTTTTTCTCTGAAGTTAGGATGCAACCTCAATTTAAAAAATCAGTTTAGAAAAAGCTGTGCAAAGGCTTTAAAAAGCATACTGTGAGATAGAAACAGTTAATTTGCAGAACCATGCTGCTTTATCAGTAGCATAAATCTATTTGTCTCAAATTTTTTTCAGAGAGACCAAGTCCTCCCATTAACCTTGAGCACTCAGATCAAACGAAGTCATCAGTCCAGCTCACATGGGAACCCCCTCTCGAAGATGGAGGAAGTCCAATCTTAGGCTATATTATTGAAAGGCGAGAGGAAGGAACAGACAAATGGATTCGTTGTAACCCAAAACTAGTACCTGCTCTTACTTTTAAGGTAAAATGTTCTCTTAATCAACAGGTAAAATGTGTAGATCATCTTTAATATGAGGTAGTAAATTATTGTTTGTGCATTTTAGGTAACTGGGCTGAAACAAGGATCCAGTTATTACTACAGAGTCTCAGCAGAAAATGCAGCTGGTGTGTCTGACCCAGCAGAGGCTATTGGGCCATTAACTGCAGATGATACTTTTGGTAAGCCGCATGCCATTTTTAAAAAACAATTAATCAGATAAGGCACACAAAGTGCATCTTATGGGTAATATGTGTATTTTTCACCAGATAACTGGGTCACCTTAGACATTTGAAATCGTAAGCTATTTGTCCTCCATTATGAATTTTGCAAATAATTATCTGTACTATGAGATAGAGCCATGTTAGCTTGCCTGAGGAGCAAGGCATGACCTTTTGTCTCCTGACCTACCTTTGTGGGAAGTGAGAGGTAAGAGAAGGAAAGAAAGGCAAAGATCCCAAAAAAAATGTAAATAATGCAAAGTTTTTGCATTAAAAGGTAAATTAGATGTCATACATGGTAATACTAATCTCCCTTACTATCTCACATATTTTTAAAAAAACCCAGAACATTTAGCCAGGAGAGGTAGGGAGTCATAAGGCAAAGCTAGGTCCAGATAGGCTGAGATACAGCAAGCTAGACCTGCAGGCTGATATACAGACAGAATCAGCCTCTCAACACAATTATCATTAGCCGTGTTCATAACATCTCAAAATAATTTATTGAATCCTCTTTCCATTTTTTTCAGTTGAACCTACAATGGACCTAAGTGCATTTAAGGATGGGCTGGAAGTTATTGTACCAGAGCCAATCAAGATCCGTGTTCCCATCACTGGATACCCCGTGCCAAGTGCTACGTGGTATTTTGGTGACCAAGTCTTAGAAGAGGGTGATCGTGTGAAAATGAAGACCACGGCCTCCTTTGCAGAAATTGTAATTACTCCAAGTGAACGCCCAGACAAGGGAGTTTATTACTTGACATTAGAAAACCCTATGTCATCTGTTACAGGAGAAATTAATGTTAATGTCATTGGTAAGTGAACATGTATATATTTTAGCAGTAACACTCCACATTTGTCTTGTTAAAATCTAATTAGGTTAATAATGTATAATCTCACAACATCCAACCAAGTACATTAAAATACAACTAAAAACTAGAAATCCCTCCTCAAAAAACCTCTTTCTGGTAGATACATTACATAGAGATCATCTCTAAACACCAGTTACAAAATAGTACAATTTCTCTGACTTCTAGCTTGTCCAAGTGCACCGAGAGAGCTCAATGTTTTAGAAGTACTCAAGAGTACAGTGCAGCTTGCATGGGAACCTCCAGAAGATGATGGTGGAAGTCCAGTTACTGGCTATATAATTGAAAAACGTGAAGTAAGCCGGAAAACGTGGAGCAAAGTAAGTTCATTCTTTTTCATTTAAATTTCTCTATTATTTTCACACGTGCTACTGAGTTTTTTGTCTTATTTTTGTAATCACTCTTTGGAAACAAATTTTAAAAACACATTGAAACCTTTCTTCTCTTTAGGTTGCGGATCATATTGTCGACCAAGAGTTCACTGTACCTGACCTCATCCAAGGGAAAGAATATTTATTTAGAGTATTTGCGTGCAATAAATGTGGCCCTGGAGAACCTGCATATATTGATGAACCTGTAAATATGTCAATACCAGCAAGTAAGCATATTTGAAATTTTGCTGATTTTCTTCAAAGTAAGATATAAAAATAATATTATCTTCCTTAGACTGGTTTCTAAGACCCCATATGTTTTTAATTTTTAATAGCGGTGCCTGACCCACCAGAAAATGTTAAATGGAGAAATCCAACATCAAAAGGAATCTTCCTAACATGGGAGCCTCCCAAATATGATGGTGGTGCACGCATTAAGGGTTATCTGGTAGAAAAATCCCAACGTGGCACAGACAAGTGGGAGATATGTGGGGAGCCTGTTATTGAAACAAAGTAAGTAAATCGACACAGTAGATAAATTCTCTCAACTAATTGTGCCATCCTCACCACTCTAAATATTTGATTTTTTTTTTCTTTGCTTTGACAGAATGGAAGTAACAAAGCTCAAGGAAGGAGAGTGGTATGCTTATAGGGTTAAGGCTTTGAACAGAATGGGAGCAAGTAGGCCAAGTAAGCCAACTGATGATATTCAGGCCATTGATGCAAAAGGTAACTACTTCACTTGCTAAATTGCCATAGCTGCTTTATTTTTACCAGTCTCTGAAATACTGTTTCGCTAACAAAATTTGCATTCTCTCTTAAATCAGAGGCTCCAGAAATCTTCTTAGATGTGAAGCTTCTTGCTGGACTTACTGTGAAAGCCGGAACTAAAATTGAGCTGCCGGCTAAAGTAACTGGAAAGCCTGAGCCCCAAGTTACTTGGACCAAGGCTGACAAAGTTTTGAGACCTGACAACAGAATCACCATTGAAAGCCAACCTAATCATTCTACAGTCACTATTACAGACAGCAAGAGGAGTGACAGTGGAACCTATATCATAGAAGCTGTAAATACCAGTGGACGTGCTACTGCTGTTGTTGAAGTTAATGTTCTTGGTATGCATGTACTTTATGTTTTTTATATAAATCATTAGTAATGTACCAAGGTATGCAAGCAGAAAATTAACATTCATGTCTGGTTCTCTACAGATAAACCTGGTCCACCAGCTGCATTTGATGTAACAGAAATCACAAACGAATCCTGCCTTCTAACCTGGAATCCTCCACGAGATGATGGGGGTTCTAAAATTACCAACTACGTCCTTGAGAAAAGAGCTACAGACAGTGAAATATGGGACAAGTTGTCATCGACTATTAAAGATACAAAATTCAGAGCTACCAATTTAACTCCTCATAAAGAATATGTGTTCCGAGTCAGTGCTGAAAACATGTATGGTGTTGGGGAGCCAGCACAGTGTAGCCCCATCATTGCCAAATATTCATTTGGTTAGTTAATTCAATTAATTATAAATTATTGCAGTATTTCAACAGGAAGGAAAAAAAAAAAAAAAACTCTGACTGATGGTTTTGGGTTTTGTTTGTTTGTTTTTTAATTAATTTATACAGATCCGCCAGGCCCTCCAACAGGTCTCAAGCCCACAGAGGTCACTAAAGATTCAGTCACTTTAACATGGAATGAACCAGATGAAGATGGTGGCAGCCCCATAACTGGCTACTGGGTTGAAAGATATGATCCTGAGCAGGATAAATGGATAAAATGCAACAAAATGCCAGTGAAAGATACAACATTCAAGTAAGACTATAGTCACTTTAGGGTGAAATTGATCACAGAGACATAAAAATGTAACAGTAGCTTTTAAAATAAGTTTTACTTTGTTTTTATTTTTTCCTAGTTTCCATAAGTTGTGATCCAACTACCCCTGGTGGCTTATTTTTTAATTAGTTTTAATGAGGATTATCTTTACAGAAGAACTATTCATCTTGTTTTTCTTTTAAATGTTATGCTCAATAATTCCTGTGCTTAATAATTCCATATTCTAAAATGGCAGAGACATGGTCATCCCAAGTCTTAAATTACCAAAATCCTTAGCTTTTTTTTCTCCTGATAGTCTTATTCACTAAAAACCATGGAACATGCAAAAATCCAAGCTGGTTCTCAAAACACTCATTTCTGTCATGGTGCACCATTTTAATGTTAACAATATGTTGACATCATTACCAGTAATTTGGGTATTTTTAGATTTTCTAAGTTATCTGTGGTATGAAAAGGGGAGAGAATAATGTTTTAGAAATGAATTAATGCCTAGGTTTGGTTTAATCAAACTTAATTTTTATTTCCAGAGTTAAAGGTCTTACAAATAAGAAGAAGTATAAGTTCCGTGTCTTGGCAGAGAATCTTGCAGGACCTGGAAAACCAAGCAGGGAAACAGAGCCAATCTTAGTGAAAGATCCAATCGGTACAATAAACACATTTTTTAATGGTTTAATTTAGCAACAACAATAACAAAAAATTGTTTTCAATTACATAATTAATACTGGACTCTTGTCTAGATCCACCATGGCCTCCTGGAAAGCCAACTGTGAGAGATATTGGCAAGACATTCCTTACCCTGAACTGGACAAAGCCAGAACATGATGGAGGGGCAAAAATTGAATCTTATGTCATTGAGCTGTTAAAGACTGGAACAGACGAATGGGTGAGAGTGGCTGAAGGAGTTCCAACAACTGAACACTTCCTCAAAGATCTTATGGAGAAACAAGAATATTCCTTTCGTGTGAGAGCTGTGAACAAGGCTGGCGAGAGTGAGCCCAGTGAGCCCAGTGACCCTGTGCTGTGCAAGGAGAGGCTCTGTGAGTACTGTTTCAGAATGTGCTGCTACTGCAAATACAGTCTCTGACTTTTAAAAAGCCCCATGTCTGCCTGTCTTTGTCAGTACTAAATGAACTCTTAGAAGGCTTATGAAGTGCTAAAATCTGCCCTACTTCCGTTCAGGAAATGCAAAGTTTTAATAGTCTTGGTGTATCCCCTGTCTTCCATGATCTTTCATGAGAATTGCAACATCCTGGTTTACTTTTTTCTTTTCCTATTTTGCAGATCCTCCTTCACCACCCCGATGGCTTGAAGTTATTAATATTACTAAAAACACAGCAGATCTGAAATGGACAGTACCAGAAAAAGATGGGGGTTCCCCGATTACCAACTACATTGTTGAGAAAAGAGATGTAAGGCGGAAAGGCTGGCAGACAGTTGACACAACAGTGAAAGATACCAAGTACACAGTAAGCCCACTGACTGAAGGCTCACTCTATGTGTTCCGTGTGGCTGCTGAAAATGCCATTGGACAGAGTGACTACTGTGAAATTGAAGACTCAGTGCTTGCTAAAGATACTTTCAGTAAGTTTCAAATTGCTTACTGAGTGGTCAGTAGCTCACATGTCACAAATTCATAGTCTTCTAATATGTGCTTTTTTTTTTTTTTTTTTTTTTTAACCTTAGCAACCCCTGGGCCTCCATATGCCCTTACAATAGTTGAAGTGAAAAAAGGCCATGTTGATTTGAAATGGGAACCACCTAAGAATGATGGTGGCAGACCAATTCAAAGGTAAGGTCATTTTAAGTTTGTGTAGGCTCCTGTAGATAAACATCTTTTAACAAGTGAAGATGTTTCTCTCAAAATATTTAAATTTTAAATTGAAGCATTTTATATTAAAAATGTGTGGATGAATTTAAGAGAAGCCGTGTGGTCAAAGCAATGAAGAGCTTGATTTTAAAATGTAGAAATTATGCAAATAAAATACCTAATGTGCCTGAACAGTGAATGTGTGTCAACATCCTCAAAACAGCATATAATAATAAGGAGCTGTGAAAAAAAAAATAACATGTCCATAGTCTGCAGTTCCTGCAAAATAATAACCACTTAAAATCATCTAGCACGTAGTATGCTTGCATTTTCCTTCTGCCTTTGCTTGTCATTCAAACTGTATACACTCATCTAAAATGAGTCTTTGCATTTAATTTTCCTCTTTATAACACTTTTCAAACAGACTGTTTTACTCCTTCCCAATCACAGAAAGCGCATCTTAAACCAAGAAACTACTACAGACATCTGCCTGAAGAAATAGAAGTCACTCAATTTACATTACTTTCCCATAGTCTGTCCTATGCAGAATTTTGACAGCCAAGTAATAGTATCTTCAAATATTCTCAATGGATTGACCACTGACATCCAAACTAGCAAAGATACAAGTAGAGCTTGGAGGTTCTTTTGCCTCTGCAGCTCTCTAAAACCTGGGAACACAACTCAGTTCAGTTCTAAAACACAGAACAAAGTTCAAGAATTGACACTCAGACCTGGGTCTGTCAGTGATGTCAGCCCTATTAGGGTCTGAGACCTACTAGGACTAAGTGGCTAAAGTATGAAGTTCATTGAATCTATTATCCATTATTCTCTTTACTTTTTCACTGTCTAAACCATTCTAATCTCTTTTAATCTATTTTCTTGAAGAAGTCTGAAGTGTTCCTATTTCAAGTGCCTCATAGTATTTTCCCCGATCTCTTCAGGTACGTTATTGAAAAGAAAGAAAAGCTAGCTACTCGCTGGGTAAAAGCTGGGAAGACAGCTGGTCCAGATTGCAATTATAGAGTGACAGATGTCATTGAAGGTACAGATGTACAGTTCCAGGTCCGTGCAGAAAATGAAGCTGGATGTGGTCATCCCAGTGAACCAACGGACCTTGTTCATATTGAAGACCCAACAAGTAAGCAGAATAATACAGTGTACGAATTTTAGAAGCAGTGTACTGTTCTGGGAGAAAAATCACAAAACCCTTTTCCATTTCTGCAGGCCCTCCTTCACCTCCTCAGGATTTACATGTCACAGATGCAGGCCGAAAGCACATTTGCATTGCATGGAAACCTCCTGAGAAGAATGGTGGAAGTCCCATTATTGGATACAATGTTGAGATGTGTGAAGCAGGAACAGAAAAATGGATGCGAATCAATTCTCGTCCAATTAAAGATCTAAAATGTAAAGTAGAGGAGGGAGTTGTTCCAGACAAAGAATATGTGCTGAGAGTCAGAGCTGTCAATGCTGTTGGAGCTAGTGAGCCATCAGACATCTCAGAAAAAGTTGTTGCCAAGGACCCAGACTGTAAGAATAGATTCCTTTTTCTGTTTTATTTTTTCAAATCTGCAGAACTGAACAAAAGAATGATGTTTGGCAACCTTCTGATAACATTAAACTTACCTTTACAGGTAATCCAACCATTGACCTGCAAACTCGTGACATTGTTGTTGTTAAGGGACAGAAGCTAAGTATCCCTATACCCTTCAGAGCTGTTCCATCACCAACTATAACATGGCACAAAGATGGCAAGGAGTTGAAAGCTGGTGACAGAACAACAATGAAGAGTGACTACACCTCTGCATTGCTTGAAGTGATAGACAGCGTTCATGCCGATGCTGGTGTTTATACTATCACACTGGAGAACAAGCTGGCATCAACAACTGGCTCAGTCAATGTCAAAGTCATAGGTAACTATGTTCTTCCATTCTGAGAAGTATGCTTATCTTCACTTGGGCCCTGCAGCTGACAGAAGACAGGGCTAGAAAGATACGGTTTCTGCCAGGCAGGCAAATCACTTCAACTCAGACACATGTAGATTGATGTTATGAAGTACCATGAAAAAACACTTTACCTCAAGTTGCTCTAACTATTCAGTGACTGCTCAAAGCCCAATTATTTTTAAAAGTTAGCATATAAATATAAAAATTATTTAAGAATTCTGACTATTTTTCATCTTTGGGAATAGAAATTCATATAGATGCTGTGTAGTCCACATTTGTGGTCTTTGCTTTCTGCAAAGCAAAGAAATGAAATATAATTTCATATTTGTAAGAATACACTTTCACATCTATTTAATTAACCGATTGTTTCATTCTTATTTAAAACAGGTCCACCTGGACAGTGTAAAGACATTAAGGCAAGCGAAGTAACTAAGAATTCTTGCAAAGTATCCTGGGAGCCTCCAGACTTTGATGGTGGTACTCCTATTTTGCATTACGTTCTGGAACGCAGGGAAGCTGGTCGTAAAACATACATCCCAGTCATGTCTGGTGAAAATAAGCTTTCATGGCAAGTCAAAGACCTTATTCCAAACTGTGAATATTACTTCCGTGTTAAAGCTGTCAATAAGATTGGAGGGGGTGATTATCTTGAACTAAGAAACCCGATCATTGCAGAAGACCCAAAACGTAAGTTTGTCTTTCTATTAAATAATTTAAAAAATTTAATTTTAAATAAAATATTCATACTCTCTTTTCTCATACGATCCCTCTTTTGATCTACTCTTTCACAGAGCCCCCAGATCCGCCTGTCGACCTTGAAGTCCATAATCCAACATCAAAATCAGTTACTCTTACATGGAAACCACCCCTGTTTGATGGGGGAAGCAAGATTATGGGCTATATAATAGAGAAGCTTGCAAAGGGCAAAGAGAGGTGGGAGAGATGCAATGACTATCTGGTACCCTTACTAACTTACACGGTGAAAGGCCTTGAGGAAGGAAAGGAGTATCAGTTCCGTGCTCGTGCTGAGAATGCTGCTGGCATCAGTGAGCCTTCTCGGATTACTCCTTTTGTGAAAGCTGTGGATCCTATTGGTATGAATTTTTCATTAAACCATTTGTATTAATTGCCATATATCCTCAGACATATTGAAAGATTCTACACTCCATTTGTCATTCTTTGTTATTACAGAGGCTCCAAAAGTCTTCCTTGCTGCAAACCTACAGTCTGGCCTTGAGGTGAAGAGGGGTGATGAGATCATACTTGAGGCACATATTTCAGGGTCACCCTATCCATCTATTACTTGGCTGAGGAATGATGAAGTTGTCAGACCAGAGGATATAAAGAAGAGAGTAACAGCACCTATAAAGAAGAAAGGTGAAGCTGAAGAAGAGAAACCTTTCCAGCTTTCACTGCCAGAACGTATGAGTGTTGACAACCACAAGGAAGGAGAGTCTATACTATCAGTTCGTGACTCCATTAGAGCTGACCATGGCACATTTACAATTAAAGTAGAAAATGATCATGGAGTTGCAAAAGCCTCATGTGAAGTCAATGTGTTAGGTATGTAAAGAATGTCCTCAAAACACCCAGTTGTTCTGAGTATTAGGAAAAAAGTGCACAAGTTGAGTGCTCATAATTTTTCTTGGTTTGCTAACAGATACACCTGGGCCACCAGTCAACTTTGTATTTGAAGATTTGAGGAAAAATTCTGTCCTTTGCAAATGGGAGCCTCCCCTTGATGATGGTGGAAGTGAAATCCTAAACTATGTACTGGAAAAGAAAGACAATACAAAAGCTGAAATGGGCTGGGTCACTGTCAGTTCAACACTCAGGCATTGCAAATTCCATGTAACAAAACTGATTGAAGGAAAAGAGTATCTATTCCGTGTATTTGCTGAAAATAGAGTTGGAGCAGGACCACCATGTGTTTCAAAACCAATGACAGCTAAAGATCCTTTCTGTAAGTTTTAATTTTGAAAAACAACATTTACAGAAAACAAAGTGTGAAACTCTAACAGACTGTTAGAGTACTCAGCTTTATCTGTGCATATGTTTCCCAGAAGAAATTTGAGCTATGTGATAATTATTGCACATTTTAAACCATTGAAATACAGAGAACTATCAAAAATACTATAATTTCAATAGTAAACACATAAGAATGATGATCACTGTCATAAATCTTTACCCTTAAAACACTTAACATCTGAACAGTGACATTCTCTGTGCTTCATAGACTAGTGTTCTTACCAAAAAAGAGAACCATTGTAGATTTGCTTACTGATCACCGTTAGGAATCAAAGGTTCTAAGAGAAGAAAAACTATGAATTAAAATTAGTAATTTCTTATATCTTAGTTCTCTCTTAGCTTTGAGTAAGCTCTGAAGAGACAGCAATGATGGCAAAAACCACCTTTTTGTTTTTCAGCACCACCAGATGCACCTAACAAGCCTGATGTGGAAGATGTAACCAGCAACAGTATGCTGGTTAAATGGAATGAACCAAAAGATAATGGCAGCCCTATCATAGGATACTGGATTGAAAAACGTGAAATCAATAGTACTCATTGGGCTCGGGTCAACAGGAACCTTGTGAATGCTCTGGAAGTAAAAGTTGAAGGACTGTTGGAAGGTTTAACTTACATCTTTAGAGTGTGTGCTGAAAATGCAGCCGGCCCTGGTAAATTTAGTCCACCATCAGATCCAAAAACTGCACAAGACCCAATAAGTAAGTGGCTTAGCAGAAGCTAATAGCAGACAGTTGACAAGATAGGATTCATAGCCTTTAACTTTGATTTACACTTATTTGTTTATTTATTTATTCATTTATAGTGCCACCTGGTCCCCCGATTCCAAGGATTGCTGACACAAGTGCAACTTCCATTGAGCTAGAATGGCAACCTCCTGTGTATAATGGTGGTGGAGATATCACTGGTTACCATGTGTACAAACAACTGATGGGTGTAAATGAGTGGTCACGCTGCACAGCAAAACCCATTAAGGTCCTGCAGTTTACTGTTGGAGAAGTGAGGGAAGGTGCAGACTACAAGCTCCGTGTTACTGCACTCAATGCGGCTGGTGAAGGACCACCTGGGGAAACTGAACCCACAACAGTTGCAGAACCTAAAGGTATTGCGACTGCATTATTTTTAAGATATGTCCAGCTGCTTAAAAGGTGGGTTTGAATCCCTCCCTTCAACTAATGAACTGTTTCTCTTTCTTCCACAGAGCCTCCCACTGTTGAGCTGGATGTTTCTGTGAAAGCAGGCATTCAGGTCATGGCTGGACAGACTATTAAAATTCCTGCTACTGTGACAGGGCGTCCTGCTCCCACCATTTCATGGGCTATAGACGAGGGGGAATTAGACAAAGATCGAGTTGTTATTGAAAATGTTGGCACAAAATCTGAGTTAACCATTAAGAATGCATTGAGAAAAGACCATGGAAGATATGTAATTACTGCTACCAATAGCAGTGGTTCAAAATCAGCAGGAACCAGAGTAGAAGTATTTGGTAAGAAAAATACTTTCTCACATTAAATAACCTTTTCTTTTGGTCAGTATAGGCTTTACCTTACTTGTTTGATTTTGTTTTTCAGATGTTCCTGGACCGGTCCTTGACCTAAAGCCAGTGGTCACAAACAGAAAGATGTGTTTGCTTAACTGGTCTGATCCTGAAGATGATGGTGGCAGTGATATCATAGGCTTCATTGTTGAAAGGAAGGATGCCAAAATGCATACATGGAGACTAGCTGTAGACACAGATAGATCTAAATGTGATATTACAGGTCTAATTGAAGGGCAGGAGTATAAATTCCGTGTTAGTGCCAAGAACAAATTTGGTACTGGTCCAGCTGTGGAAATAGGACCCATTCTTGCAGTTGATCCATTAGGTAAGATGACTCATTTTACAGGGTTTTTAAAAAGAAAAAAAAATTATTGTCAGATTAATTAGACAATATTTTTGTCTTTCCTTCTGTACAGAAAATGTGTTAATTTTTCAACTACATGGATAGCCATCTACTTTAGCTTCATTACTTCAGTCAGGTTTCTGAATCAGTTCTCTGAAGCTAGTGTTGTTCTTTACATAGCAAAATACTGGTGCCTACTGAGACACTACTTATTACCTTTTTCTCCACATACATGAGAAACTTTATACAAGCCATAATCATACTCAGATCCTTTGTGTGTAAAAACTATGATTTTAAAAGGCCAGAGCCACTGCATTCTTATGATTTAAAATTCTCTGATGTTTTAATTTTTTCTTATTGTAATTTTTCTGCGTTAATAGGTCCTCCAACAGCACCTGAGAGGTTCATGTACACAGAGAGGACGAAGTCATCCATTACACTTGACTGGAAGCCTCCACGCAGTGATGGTGGTAGTCCCATCTTGGGATATATTGTTGAGAAGAGGAGACATGATTCAAAAGATTATGAAAGAGTTAATGCAAGGCTCTGTCCAAAAACATCTCTTCTCGTTGAAAAGCTCGATGAACTTCATATGTATGAATTCCGTGTGAAAGCTGTCAATGAGATTGGAGAAAGTGAGCCATCACTGCCCCTCAATGTAGTTATACAAGATGATGAAGGTATATCAACTTTAAAGAAATCCATATAAATATCCTTAGAACACTTTCTCTGTTTCATCTCCATGTTTACTCTGTCACTTTCCTTCTTTTCAGTGCCTCCAACTGTTACATTGCGTTTGGCCGTGAGAGGAGATACTATCAAAGTCAAGGCAGGAGAACCAGTTAACATTCCTGCTGATGTAACAGGCCTGCCAATGCCGAAGATTGAATGGGACAAGAATGAAGTTTTAATTGACCAAACGTCCAATGCACTTAAGATAACCAAGGAAGAAGTATCTAGAACTGAGGCAAAAACCGAACTCATCCTTCCTGCAGCAGTGAGGGATGATAAAGGCACTTACACTGTGAGAGCTACCAATCGTCTTGGCACTGCATTCCGCAATGTGCATGTCGAAGTGTATGGTAAGGATGCAACATTTTAATGAAATGACAGCTAATAAAATACCTTTGCCTTCTTTTTAATGTAGTTCCATGCTCTACTGTTTCATACAGATCGTCCTTCTCCACCAAGAAATCTTGCGGTTTCTGATATTAAAGCAGAATCATGCTATCTAACATGGGATGCACCTCTTGACAATGGTGGTAGTGAAATTACCCATTACATTATTGAAAAACGTGATGCTAGTAAGAAGAAATCTGAGTGGGAAGAAGTTTCCAAAGGCGCTGTTGAGAGAAGATTTGGGGTAATTTATAAAATATCTTTATTACATACTTTAGTATGCATTAAAAATAAAATTATTGCATATTTAATGCAAACTGCATAGGTATCTGTGCTCATGCTCCATTTAGACTCGAGAATTACTGGATGAATGTTTCCCATCTATGTACTGTGTTATCCCTCATGTGACAAAAGAAATTGTTCATTTTACTACTTAACCTTAGCTGAGCTAGAGAGAAAACACCTTCCTTTCTATTTTCCAGAATTATCCACTTTTTTACCAACTGCAAGACCAAACGTTATGATGTCTTTATTTATGTTCACTCCTATGCACATGAAATAAGAGTATGCTTAGGACATCACATAGAACTGTGTAGTACATAAACATAGGTATATAAGTCAGACTGCAAGATAAAATTTAAATTCAAAACTTACGCTTAATTCCAAATAAGTTGATTCTGAAAGTAGCCAAGTATTGATTTAAATCCTCTTTTTCAGGTATGGAATCTTGCAACAAATGAAAAATACCAATTTAGGGTCCGGGCTGTAAACAAATACGGAATAAGTGATGAATGCCTCTCAGAAAAAGTTGTCATTAAGGATCCCTATGGTCTTCCTGGACCTCCTGGAAAGCCAAAAATTTTGGATCGCACCAGATCATCTATGCTGGTGACTTGGGAGCCTCCTTTGGACAATGGTGGCAGCCCAATAACTGGCTATTGGTTGGAAAAGAGAGAGGTGGGAGGTGTCTACTGGGCACGTGTCAACAGGGCTCCAGTAACAAAACCATCAGTAAAAGGTCTAGAGCACAATGTGCTTCGTTTGGCTGAAGGTGTTGAATACCAGTTTAGAGTTATGGCTGAAAATCTTGCTGGAATTGGCCCTCCCAGTGAACCATCAGATCCAGCTTTGGCAGCAGATCCTATATGTAAGTATATTATTTGTATGATTGTGTTAGAGGACTGTATCATAGCAGAAAAAAAAAAATGTGTTTCTATGACTTTTTAAAAATTTATTAATGAAAATTATTAATAATGAAGTATTAATGTACTAACATTAATCAAAGGCTTTGTTCACATTAAACCTAAGAATATATTGACACAAAGTTTCTGATTTTAAAAATTTAAAAATAATTAGCTTTAATTTTAATTTTTTACCTCTTGTATATACCTAATACTGTGATAACCCAGGGTAGGCATTGCCAAATAAACTTCAGTTCAGAATGATATTTCTATATTACCCTTTTACTTTACTGTTAAACAGTTCAATCTTTATGCCTTGTACCTTAAGTATCCCTTGCTAACGTGGGGAATCTGTGTAATTAGTATGCACATTCCAAGATTTACACTTTATATACAGGCAAAGAAATGAAAATACTTGCATTCTTCTAGAAACCTAACTAGAAAAATATGGGAAGACACTAACACTCAGGTAATTTTTACTTGCTCTTGTTTTACCAGTTGTGCCTGGTCCACCATCATGCCCGGAGGTCAAAGACAAAACCAAATCATCTGTAGCGCTTGCATGGAAGCCTCCTCAAAAGGATGGCGGGAGTCCTATAAAAGGATATATTGTTGAAATGCAAGATGAAGGTAGTACTGATTGGAAGAAGGTGAATGAAGGAGACAAACTCTTTCCTACTTGCGAGTGTGTTATTCCCAACTTGAAAGAGCTCAGAAAATACCGATTTAGGGTGAAAGCTGTAAATGCTGCTGGAGAATCAGAACCAAGTCCTGCAACATCAGAGATACCTGTCCAAGATATTCTAGGTAAGAGTTCTGAGAACTGATTTAGGTATTTTTATGTAAATGCCACTTACTGTTATGAATGTTCAAAAAGGATGCCAAGCAAGCCAAAGTCAAAACATAATAAACAATTATATACAAGAATGTAGCAAAAGACCGACACACTGGTTTGAACTGTCACTATTATGTCCATTCCCAGGCAATGCTCCATCAGGAAACTGATGAGCACCTACAGACATACTAATGAAATTTTTTTTTCACCTACACACATACTAATTTTATTTTTTATAAAAAATTTACAGCAATGAATTTTTCTATTTGTATACTTCCCAATTTTCTATTTGTATGTCCAGCCTTTCTCACAAGAACATGCATTCCACATGTTTCTGGGGTATTTCAGCTCAGTGATGATGGAATTTTGCTTTCAGTAGTTCTTAAAATTCATACATTTAAATATTTTTGCAGAGGAACCAGAAATCTTCCTTGATCTTGGAGCACAGGATTTGCTCTCTTGTCGTGCTGGCACAACAATTAAAATCCCAGCTGTTATCAAGGGTCGTCCAGTTCCAAAAACATTTTGGGAGTATGAAGGAAAAGCAAAAACAGCAGCAAAGGTTAGTAAAAGTAATAGGTTTTTTTTTCTACACCTCTCTCTAGACATTTAAGCCTATTCCCTTTTACATTTATATTATTTCCATTTTTTTGTAGGAGGGAGGTCATAATGTACCCGAAGAAGCTCAGGTAAAGCGAGCAATTTTTTTAACCTCAGTATTGTTGCATTTTTGAAACATAAATATTCAAGGTTGCTCTATAACTTCTTTTTGTTCTTATAATATGCAGGTGGAAGCAACTGATACACGTTCAGAGATTATCATCCCTGACTGCAACAGAAGTCACTCTGGACGATACAGTATTACAGCAAAGAATAAAGCAGGACAAAAGACAGTGCATGTCAGAGTTAATGTGCTTGGTATGGCTTGCATATATTAAAGTATCTAGATGTTAGGGTTTAGTCTTATTTTTCTACATGCTTATGTAAAATTGTGTCTGTTGTGCTTTTACCTTAATAGATGTCCCTGGCCCACCAAAAGACCTTAAAGTAAGTGATATCACAAGAGGTAGCTGTAAACTCTCATGGAAGATGCCAGATGATGATGGTGGAGATAGAATCAGAGGCTATGTTATAGAGAAGAGAAATATTGATGGGAAGGCCTGGACTAAAGTCAATCCAAATTGTGGCAGTACTTCCTTTGTTGTACCTGATCTCATAACTGGCCAAGAATATTTCTTCCGGGTACGTGCAGAAAACCGTTTTGGAGTTGGCCCTCCTGCAGAAACCATCCAGCGGACCACAGCCAGGGATCCAATCCGTAAGTAAAATTAAAGTCAAACAAATCCTTTAAAACCACATGGTACTGTATGGTGGATTTATTCACTCTTCTGTTTTGGTTGTGAAGATCCTCCTGATCCGCCTATTAAACTGAGGATTGGCCTTGTAACCAAGAACACAGTGAGCCTGACATGGAAACCACCAAAGAATGATGGTGGAGCTCCTGTTACACATTATAATGTTGAGTGTCTCCGCTGGGATCGTACTGGAGAAGTGAAAGAGTCTTGGAAGCAATGCAACAGACGTGATGTGGAAGAAACAAAGTTTACTGTTGAGGATCTTGTAGAAGGTGGAGAATACGAATTCAGAGTCAAAGCTGTAAATATAGCAGGTCCTAGCAGACCTTCAGCCACTGTTGGCCCACTTGTTGTCAAAGACCAGACATGTAAGTAGCGATACTAGTAAATACAAATACCATTTTAAAATTGTGAAGTATTTTTGTATGCTATTTTTTTAACATTTTGTTGTAGGTCCACCGTCTATTGAGCTCAAAGAATTTATGGAAGTTGAAGAAGGAACAGATGTCAAAATTGTGGCCAAGATAAAGGGTGTACCCTTCCCCACATTAACATGGCTAAAAGCTCCTCCAAAGAAACCAGATGACAAATCACCAGTGGTGTATGATCAACATGTCAACAAGATTGTTGATGAAGATACTTGCACTTTATTGATCCAACAGTCTCGCAGAAATGATACAGGCTTATATACTATAACAGCTGTAAACAACCTGGGAACTGCTTCAAAGGAGATGCGGCTGAATGTTCTGGGTACATATCAAGAACTCTTACAATTATTACATTAATTGATAACATTCATTTGATACTTGATTAATTCTTCTTTCTTAAAATGTATCTTTTAGGTCGTCCTGGACCTCCAGTAGGACCTATTAAATTTGAATCCATTTTGGCTGATAAAATGACAATATCATGGCTTCCTCCATTAGATGATGGTGGTTCTAAGATTACAAACTATGTTATAGAGAAAAGAGAAGCAAATAGGAAGACATGGGTGTCTGTTACTAATGAGCCTAAGGAGTGCATATTCACTGTTCCCAAGCTGATGGAAGGCCATGAATACGTGTTCCGCATTATGGCACAAAACAAATACGGTATTGGAGAACCTTTGGATAGTGAGCCAGAAACAGCAAGAAACCTTTTCAGTAAGTAGAAATAAGCTTTCAAGTTATGTCAGTTGTTTCCATATGCTGATATGCATACAGCTTCTGTTAAATACCACTACTCTTTTCTCTCTTTACTAAGTTTTCTAGAATAGCTTGAAGAGTTTTAGCAGTAGTACCTGGTTCTTAAAAGCACGTGTAGTGCTTAAAATATTTTTCGCCCTCTTTGTGTTATATTAAAGCACAATCTCAATATTTTTAATGTTTAAATATACAAGTAAATTTTTATTTGATGAGATTCAAGTTATTCTATTGTATTGGAGACATTATTAATGTCTTGGACCATAAAGAATCCATTTCCTACCTTCAGTTTGGAAAGATAAATTATACAGAAAAGCTCATACCTAGGAGGAATGTTAGGCTGCCAAGAGAAAATGGTTCTTAAAACAGCAAGTGTTAGGCTGAGCACTAAAATGAGGTAGTGATCCAGAAAGGCTAGAAATAAAAGATTTTGACATTTTTTATTTAGAGGAAAGGCATTTAATTTTTCACAGAATTATATGTACCTGAATAGGGGTGAGAAATTGAAAGAGGAAAGAGATCTTGTGCAGATGGCTAATTGCCTAGTGCAATGGCAACCAAGTGAGTGCATAGCTCTTCTGCACTCTAGCTATTTCTGTGTAATTTTAGCATATTTTTTACAAGCCGTGTGTGAATTTTTTTCCCTCAGCTGTCCCTGGACCTCCTGACAAGCCAACAGTTAGCAGTATAACACGTGACTCAATGACAGTGAACTGGGAAGAGCCAGAGCATGATGGTGGCTCTCCTATTACTGGTTACTGGTTGGAGCGCAAAGAGACCACTGGAAAGAGATGGACCAGGGTTAACCGAGATCCTATCAAGCCTATGACCCTGGGGGTTTCATACAAAGTTACAGGCCTTATTGAAGGCTCTGAATATCAGTTCCGTGTGTCAGCTATCAATGCGGCTGGTGTTGGCCCACCAAGCATGCCATCTGATCCAGCACTTGCTAGAGATCCTATTGGTAAATATTTTAAATTACTTTTTTTCTGAATTTGAAAATATTCAAACAAGAACATATACTACATCTTTATGCTGTATGATTATATTTTTCAGCCCCACCTGGCCCTCCTATACCAAAAGTTACTGATTGGACAAAGTCTTCTGTAGACTTGGAATGGACTCCACCAGTAAAGGATGGTGGCTCAAGAGTCACTGGCTACATTGTTGAGTTTAAAGAGGAAGGAAAGGAAGAATGGGAACGGGTAGGTGGAAAACCACTACAAAATCAGCACTTCTTCTCTCTGTGTCTATCAATATTAATTGCTCCAGAAAATTTTTCTTTAAAATTTTTTGCTGTTCAAGTTATTTTCTAAAAGTTTGTACCATAATTATCTTTGTATATTTAAAATACAAGACCAAGCTTGACCTTCCTCAATATGAAGTTAACTGTGCAAATACTAGATACAGAATTTTGCAATTTTTATTTAAAGATGTGGAAAAATATGTAGGTAATACATGATAAAAAACCACAGAAGATCAAGTTAGAACTGTCAGAAAAGTAACCCTCACTCATATCAGATGATGCCAAAGCATTTACAACTACTATGTTTCTACATTTTCATCATTTTTTTCAATAGTGCATTACTGAAAATTTAACTGGTGCACACCTTGGGTATTTTTTGTGTCTCCATAAATACATGGATTCCTTTTATGTAAAACCCACATTTCCAATACTGTTTCCAGTTGAAGAATATATTGGATTTATATTGGATTTTGAAAAGAAAATAAATTCATTCCCTTTTTTTTTGTTGCTCTCTCTTATATGAGCTTATGTGTCCAAAAATACATGTAATTCTTCTGAGACCAGACTATTGCAATTGTTAAATAGATAATTCTAATAACCTTCTATGTTAGAATATGTTAGAAAAAAGACAAATCTTCAGAATAGCTTGTAGGCCCATGACACATATTTCTTAAAAAAATTCTGACAAATTCTGTGTGGGCTAGATCCATGTAGGCTTAATACTTTTGTGTGCTTGTATATCTGAAATAATAGCTAATGTCAGATTTGTTTCAAACTCTGCAAAGAAATTGATGGTGTCTTGATGTTTGCTGATGTTACAATGTTTTTTTCCAGGTAAAAGATAGAGAAATTAGAGGAACCAAGTTCGTTGTGGCAGGATTAAAAGAAGGTTGTTTTTACAAATTTAGAGTTAGAGCAGTAAATGCTGCTGGCATCGGAGAGCCTGGAGAAGTTACAGACGTTATTGAAATGAAGGACAGAATTGGTATTTATAATTTTGATTTACATTTTTAGTATCTCTAACTCAAAGTAAGAAAAGAAAATCATTGACTTTTTTTTTCTCTTTCCTCAGTGGCTCCTGATATTAATTTGGATGCAAGTGTAAGGGACAGAATTGTTGTTCATGCTGGAGGAGTAATTCGGATTATAGCATATGTCTCAGGAAAACCACCTCCAACAGTGAGTTGGAGCAGGGATGAGCAAGCTTTGCCAGAAGAAGCCAAAATTGAAGAAACAGCTATTAGTTCTTCTTTAGTCATCAAAAATTGCAAAAGGAGTCACCAGGGTCTATACACCCTTCTTGCTAAAAATGATGGTGGTGAGAGGAAGAAGACAATTATTGTTGATGTGCTAGGTAAATAGCAGCTTCAGTGCTTGTGAACAAGTACAATTTCCCAAGATTCAGCATGTATGTTTCAATACTCCATTTTTTTCTTGCTTCCAGATGTGCCAGGCCCAGTTGGATTGCCACTCCTTACAGAGAATCTAACTAATGACTCTTGTAAATTGTCGTGGTTTACTCCAGAAGATGATGGTGGTTCTCCTATTACAAACTATATAATTGAAAAACGTGAATCTGACCACAGAGCTTGGACTCCAGTGACCTACACAGTTACAAGACAGAATGCTACTGTTCAGGGACTCATTCAAGGAAAAGCCTACTTTTTCCGAATTGCAGCTGAGAACATAATTGGCATGGGTCCTTTCACAGAAACAACGAAAGAGATTCTCATTAGAGATCCAATAAGTAAGAATATTTTTGGTTCAGATAACTGTCATATGAGATTTATACACAGGAAGATTCTGAATATGAAGAAAAATGAATGTACCTTATTTTTACTTTATTCACAGCTGTTCCTGACCGTCCAGAAGACCTGGAAGTAAAAGCAGTTACCAAGAACTCTGTGACACTAACTTGGAACCCTCCAAAATATAATGGAGGCTCAGATATCACCATGTACGTTCTAGAGAGCCGTCTCATTGGAAAAGACAAATTCCACAAAGTTACAAAGGAGAAAATGCTAGATAGGAAATTCACTGTAGAAGGCTTGAAAGAAGGTGACACTTATGAGTTTCGCGTGAGTGCTTGCAATATTGTGGGGCAAGGCAAGCCATCATTTTGCACTAAACCAATCACATGCAAGGATGAAATTGGTATGTTTCTTTTTCATATTTATTTTGAAAATAGTAATTGCATTTACTGATCCTTACTTTTTCATATTAATATTGCTGACATTTGTGGATTTTGTGTATTTTGTCTTTCAGCTCCTCCCACACTTGACCTTGACTTTAGAGACAAGCTTATTGTTCGAGTTGGTGAAGCTTTCAGCTTGACTGGACGCTACTCAGGCAAACCTGCACCAAAGGTTACTTGGCTGAAGGATGATATTGTTGTGAAAGAAGATGACAGAATAAAGATTAAGACAACTCCTGCAACTCTTTGTTTGGGGATACTAAAATCTGTCCGTGAAGACACAGGCAGATATTGTGTTACTGTAGAGAACAGCACAGGATCAAGAAAAGGATTTTGTCAAGTTCATGTCGTTGGTGGGTTTTACTGAACAACAATATTGTCTGTGATTTTTATTGGTGATTAGAATTCAATGATTTTTATAAAATTTAAGTATTGAAATGTGTTCTCTATTACAATAATTCAATTTACTGCTTTCTCAGTTATACTAAAAAGCTATTTATTTATTTTGTGCACATACTTAACTCTGAATTAGTTTATTCAGCATGAATAATTTAATGTCTCTACATGCATTTAGAGAATCTCAACACTGTACAAAATGTTAATTCAAATGCATTATAAGCATTAAGGAATTAATTCCAGTACGTCAAACATTTATTACAGAGGAATAGCCCTGAAGTCTTGATTCCTTATTATAACTGTGATGTCAAGTTTCTAATTTTATACTATATTTGCTGTATTGACACTGTTTAATTGATGTTGTTTTGTGATGTTCATAAAAAAGCATGGATATGCTTTATTTTTCCTTAAACAGATCGCCCATCACCTCCAGTAGGCCCAGTTATATTTGATGAAGTCTTTAAAGATCATATGGTTGTTTCCTGGAAACCTCCATTAGATGATGGAGGCAGTGAAATTACAAATTACATAATTGAGAAGAAGGATACGCACAAAGACTTGTGGATGCCAGTTACATCTGCCACAGTGAAGACAACATGCAAAATTCCCAAGCTGCTTGAAGGAAGAGAATATCAAATTCGAATTTATGCTGAAAATCTTTATGGCATAAGCGATCCTCTCATCTCTGATGAGATGAAAGCCAAGGACCGTTTCCGTAAGCTTTTAGTTTTCAGTTTTATTTAGATACTCCAATCTTTATTCTGTTTGTAATGTTCATACACTCTTTTTTTCTTCTCACCCCAGGTGTTCCTGATGCACCTGAGCAACCAATCATTAAGGATGTAACCAAAGACTCTGCAGTAGTGGTTTGGAACAAACCATATGATGGAGGCAAGCCAATAACAAACTACATTGTAGAAAAGAAGGAAACAATGGCTACAAGATGGGTGAAAGCTACCAAAGATCCAATTTTCCCTGGTACAAAGTTCAAAGTGCCTGATCTCCTTGAAGGCTGTCAGTATGAATTCCGTGTGTCAGCAGAAAATGAAATTGGTGTTGGTGATCCTAGTCCACCATCAAAGCCAATTTTCGCTAGAGATCCAATTGGTAAAGTATCACATTTCATTTCTCATTGAATTTTTAATGCACTCAGTTTCAGTTAAAAATTATTCTAATAGTTTCCTTTTTTCCTCCCATTTATTTATTGTTTTACTTTTTTAACAGCAAAACCAAGTCCACCTGTTAATCCAGAAGCAGTAGATAAAACTAAAAATTCAGTTGATTTATCTTGGCAACCACCACGTCATGACGGAAATGGCAAGATAATTGGCTACCTTATAGAGTTTCAGAAAGTTGGAGATGAGGAATGGAAACAGGCTAATCTTACAGCAGATTCTTGTCCTGAAACAAACTACAAAGTCACTGGTCTTACTGAGGGGTTAACCTACAAATTCAGGGTCAAGGCAGTCAATGCAGCAGGCGAATCTGATCCAGCACATGTTCCTGATCCAGTAGAAGTAAAGGACAGGCTTGGTGAGTTTAATAAAATCAGATAAGTTAACCTGAGAACAGATTTCTTTTTCTTCATTTTGTAAAAACTTTTATTTTTGATTCCAGAACCTCCTGAGTTAATACTTGATGCTAATATGGCCCGAGAGCAGCATGTAAAAGCTGGAGATACCCTGAGACTTAGTGCTCTTATTAAAGGTGTTCCATTCCCAAAAGTTACTTGGAAGAAAGAAGATCATGAGGTCTCACCCAAAGCTGATATTGAAGTTACTGGAGTTGGCAGTAAGCTTGAAATCCGTAACACTGTCCATGAAGATGGTGGAATGTACTCCCTGACAGTTGAAAATCCAGCTGGTTCAAAGACTGTTTCAGTAAAAGTTGTGGTCTTAGGTAATCATTTTGTATTCCTTTTATACAGCATCTTTTTACTCTATAACTGAAGATTAGGAAATAAAGAAATTTCTGGAAAATATCTGTAAACCAAGTTATATTTTTATTTTTATGCAAATATTAAATAAATAGAAAAAGGATTAAAAATACTATATAGTTTATCTTGAAATTTACAAAGTTGTTTAAGAAATGCTTCCATTACCAAATGAATAACAGATTATATTTTTATCAATGTTAGATAAGCCTGGTCCACCCAGAAATCTGAACATCAGTGATGTTAGAAGCGACTCTTGCTATCTCACTTGGATGGAACCAGAAGATGATGGTGGCTCTGTGATTACCAACTATGTGGTGGAGAGGAAAGATGTAGCTTCTGCACAGTGGGTAGCCATCTCATCATCCTCCAAGAAACGCAGCCATATGGCTAAATATCTGATGGAAGGCACTCAGTATCTCTTCCGAGTTGCAGCTGAGAATCAGTATGGTAGAGGTCCATATGTGGAAACACTTAAGCCTATCAAAGCTATAGATCCACTGCGTAAGTGTTTTTCAGTTATATGGTTTGATTTTTTTCATATGGGATTTGGTAATTTTGAGGTTGTCCTGTTGGTATGAACATGATACACTGGTACTGTAGATTTTTCATCCTAGTAACCATTTTGCTTTTGTACTTTAAAAGATCCTCCAGGGCCACCAAAGAATCTGCATCATGTAGATGTTGACAAGACTGAAGTTTCCCTTGTTTGGAATCGACCAGATCGTGATGGTGGTGCTGAGATAACTGGGTATTTGGTGGAATATCAAGAAGATGGTGCAGATGAATGGACAAAGTTCCAGACAGTCCCTATGCTAGACTGTGTTGTTACAGGCCTACAGAAAGGAAAAATATACAAATTCCGTGTGAGAGCTCAAAACATTGTTGGTCTTAGCCTTCCAGATACAACTATACCAATAGAGTGTCAAGAAAAGCTAGGTAATTTTTGTTTTCTCATGTTTTTTCACTGATTTTTTTTCTTTTTCTGTAAGCGTTTTTCCTGAAAAAATAATTTCTATTTTTCTCTAATTTCAGTACCTCCATCTGTGGATCTAGATGTGAAGTTAATTGAAGGTCTTGTTGTTAAAGCTGGCACCACAGTGCGCCTTCCAGCGATTATGAGAGGTGTGCCAGTTCCCACAGCAAAATGGGTTACTGATGACACTGAAATTAAACCAGATGGCAAATACAAGATTGAGACTGACAATTACTCAACTGTGCTTACTATCAAAGACTGTGTAAGAAAAGATACAGGAGAATATCTACTCACAGTATCTAATGCAGCTGGCAGCAAAACTGTGGCTCTACACCTTACAGTTTTGGATGTTCCAGGCCCACCAACTGGTCCTATTAATATTCTTGAAGTAACACCAGAATATATGGTTATTTCTTGGCGCCCTCCTAAAGATGATGGTGGGAGTCCTATAATAAATTATATTGTTGAGAAGCGTCAATCAAAGAAAGAAACATGGGGAGTGGTTAGCTCTGGAACAAGTCACACAAAAATTAAGGTTCCACGACTGCAGAAAGGCTGTGAATATATTTTCCGTGTTCGTGCAGAAAATAAGATAGGCATCGGTGCACCCCTGGATTCAGAACCAACAGTTGCTAAATACATGTTTGATCCACCATCCCCACCTGGTAAACCAACTGTTTATGATATTACAGAAAATGCTGCAACAGTGTCTTGGACCCTACCAAAATCTGATGGTGGAACTCCAATAACTGGTTATATACTTGAACGTCGGGAAGCATCTGGTAAATGGGTGCGTGTCAATAAGACGCCTATACTTGATATGAAATACAGAGTCACTGGTCTTTTTGAAGGCAACACATATGAATTCAGAGTTTTTGCAGAAAACATGGTGGGCTTAAGCAAACCATCTCCAAGCTCTGATCCAATAAAAGCATCACGTCCTATCACTCCTCCTGGTCCACCTATAAATCCAAAATTAAAAGACAAAACTAAAGAATCAGCTGATCTTGTGTGGACAAAGCCCCTCAAGGATGGTGGCAGCCCAATTCTGGGGTATATTGTGGAATGTCAGAAAAGTGGAACTACGCAGTGGAATAGGATTAATAAGGATGAGCTCATTAGACAGTGTGCTTTCAGAGTACCTGGATTAATAGAAGGAAATGAATATAAATTCCGAATAAAAGCTGTCAACATCGTGGGAGAGGGAGAACCAAGAGAACTACCAGAAACTGTGCTTGCAAAAGATATTCTTTCTCCTCCAGAAATAAGCCTAGATGTGACCTGTCGAGACTTAATTACTGTCCGAGTAGGTCAAACAATACGTATTACTGGTAAGGTAAAAGGCAGACCAGATCCTGAAATAACATGGTCTAAAGATGGCAAAGTACTAGTCCAAGACAAGCATGTTGAAATACTTCATGATCTACCTAATATTGAACTGCAAGTGAAAGAAGCCAAAAGATCTGATCATGGCAAATATATAATAGCAGCTAAAAACAGCTGTGGACAAGCTCAAGCTTTTGCTATTGTTAATGTACTTGACAGACCTGGACCATGTCAGAACCTGAAAATAAGCTATGTCACAAAAGACTCTTGTATGATCTCTTGGGAGAGTCCAGTGGATAATGGTGGCTCTGAAATTACAAATTACATAGTAGAATACCGTCAACCAAATCAGAGGGGATGGTCAATTGTCTCCTCTGATGTTACTAAACGACTAGTAAAGGCAAATCTTGTAGAGAACCGTGAATACTTCTTCAGAGTTTGTGCAGAGAACAAAATAGGTCCAGGTCCTTGCATTGAGACCAAGACTCCTATCCTTGCTATCAATCCTATTGACAAGCCTGGAGAGCCAGAAAATCTTCACATTGCAGAGAAAGGAAAGACATTTGTATACCTGAAATGGAGGAGGCCAGATTATGATGGTGGAAGTCCCAATTTAAGTTACCATGTTGAGAGAAAACTGAAAGATTCAGATGAATGGGAAAGAGTTCACAAAGGCAGCATTAAGGAAACACACTACATGGTAGATAAATGTGTGGAAAATAAAACTTACCAATTCCGAGTTCAAACTAAGAATGAGGCCGGTGAAAGTAACTGGGTGAAAACCGCTGAAGTTGTTGTGAAGGAAGATCTCCAGAAACCAGTGCTAGATTTGAAGTTAAGTGGGGTTCTAACTGTGAAAGCAGGCGACACAATTAGAATTGAAGCTGGAGTCAGAGGAAAACCACAGCCTGAAGTTGTATGGGCAAAAGACAAAGATGCCACAGATCTCACCAGATCTCCAAGAGTCAGTATTGAAAACACTTCTGACACATCTAAGTTTGTTCTCACAAAATCAAGGCGTACTGATGGTGGGAAATATGTGATTACAGCAACTAATGCAGCTGGTAGCTTTGTGGCATATGCTACTGTTATTGTCTTGGATAAACCTGGTCCCGTACGAAACTTGAAGGTCACTGACATTTCAAGTGATAGATGTACTGTTACTTGGGATCCTCCAGAAGATGATGGTGGTTGTGAAATACAGAACTACATCCTGGAAAAATGTGAAAGCAAGCGTATGGTTTGGTCTACATACTCTTCCTCTGTCCTAACAAACTATGCCAAAGTGACACGCCTCATTGAAGGTAATGAATATATATTCAGAGTGCGTGCAGAGAATAAAATGGGCACTGGTCCACCAACAGAAACACATCCAATTATTGCAAAAACGAAATATGATAGACCTGGACGCCCTGACCCTCCAGATGTCACAAGAGTCAGCAAAGAAGAGATGACTGTGGTTTGGAATCCACCAGAATATGATGGTGGCAAATCAATTACAGGATACATTTTAGAGAAGAAAGAGAAACGATCACTGAGATGGGTTCCTGTTACTAAAACTCCAATCCCAGAGAGACGCAAGAAGGTTACTAATCTCTTCCCTGGTCACGAATACCAGTTCCGTGTCAGTGCTGAAAATGAAGTCGGACTTGGAGAACCAAGCTTGCCATCAAGACCTGTAATAGCCAAAGACCCAATAGGTAAAATACCACTAAATTTTTCTGTATTATTTCAATGTTAACAGGTTGCTAAACTCTACAGCTGTGTTCTAATCTGTATTTTTTACTGCCTTGCAGAACCACCTGGTCCTCCCACAAACTTGAGAGTTGTTGATAGCACAAAGACTTCCTTAACCCTTGGCTGGGGAAAACCGGTGTACGATGGTGGTGCTCCGATTATTGGATATGTTGTGGAAATGAGACCAAAAGTTGAGGGTGCTGATCCTGAAGCAGGATGGAAACGATGTAATGTTGCTGCTCAAGTTATTCATACTGAATTCACAGCTACCAGCCTGGATGAGAAGCAATTATATGAGTTCAGAGTTTCTGCCCAAAACCAGGTTGGCCTTGGCCGACCAGCAGAATTGAAAGAAGCTGTGTCTCCCAAAGAAATACTTGGTGAGTTTTCCCATCTTCTTTTGGGGTGTTTACATACAACACATTATTTGCTATATGCTTATTTTATTTAATGTGCAAAAATTTGCATTTTATTCTTTGTCTTTCAGAACCTCCTGAGATTGAACTGGATGCCAGCATGAGAAAGTTAGTCACAGTCAGAGCAGGATGCCCTATTAGACTTTTTGCCATTGTGAGGGGTCGCCCAGCACCAAAAGTCACCTGGAGGAGAATGGGTATTGATAATGTTATCAGAAAAGGACAAGTTGATCTGGTTGACACTATGGCCTTCTGTGTCATTCCCGATTCAACACGTGATGACTCAGGCAAATATTCACTGACACTTGTTAATGCAGCTGGAGAAAAGGCTGTATTTGTGAACGTCAGAGTTCTGGGTAAGTAATGTGAGAAATACCTCAAGACAATTCTAAAACTATTTTGGATGTTCCTTGCAAGTATATTTGTTTTCCTCAGGTGCAACAGTTTTTGAGTCTAATTCTATCATCTATCACTAACTCCCTCCATATAGACAGCTGTTGGTCCCCTTTAATTTTAACTTATTAAAGAAGAAAATACTAACATAAATTGAAATTTCTTCATAGATACTCCTGGACCTGTGTCAGACTTCAAGGTTTCAGATGTCACCAAGATGTCCTGCCATCTTTCATGGGCACCTCCAGAGAATGATGGGGGTAGCCCAGTGACTCATTACATCCTGCAGAAACGGGAGGCTGACAGGAAGACATGGGCAACAGTCACAGCAGAACTAAAGAAAACTAGTTTCCAAATAGCGAACCTTGTGCCTGGAAATGAATATTACTTCAGAGTAACAGCAGTGAATGAATATGGGTCAGGTGTTCCAAGTGACATACCAAAACCTGTTCTAGCAACAGATCCTCTAAGTGAGTATGCCTCTATGTATATTTTATGTTTGCCTCCATGGACGTTTTCTGTTTGTTTTTCTCTAATTTTAGCAGATTTTTACATTTCTTGAGTTAGTGCTTCTAAATGGAACAATGCTGCTGACTACTCAAGTATAAACATAAGTATGTCTGTATCAGTTTCTTTCAAATAACATGATCAATGAATATTGTACCTATGAAATTATTATGAGTTTCCATCTTTTATATAATGTGTTTGTTGAATTTGCGTAGATAGTATCCAATATTCAAAAGTAAGAAAATCTTGGAAATTCAATGTTTAATGCATTCCTCTTTTCCCCTGAAAGGTGAACCTGATCCACCAAGAAAACTTGAAGTTACTGAAATTACAAAGAATAGTGCTACTTTAGGGTGGCTGCCACCACTGCGCGATGGAGGCTCTAAAATTGACGGATACATTGTTAGCTACAAAGAACATGATCAACCAGCAGATCGCTGGATGGAATATTCAGTTGTTAAAGATCTCTCCATTGTTGTGGCTGGTCTGAAGGAGGGAAAGAAGTACAACTTTAGAGTGGCAGCTAGAAATGCTGTAGGAGTAAGTTTGCCAATAGAAGCTACAGGAGAATACGAAATTAAAGAACAACTCAGTAAGTAACAATTTAAATACTACCTAATATACTGCTTCAATAATTAAATGAGTGAGATATACAGGTTTTTGAGTCACAGAAGGATGTTTGCTTTATGGAGTTATCTGGAGGATTATGGTTAACTGTACTGAATATTTTGACAGGTCAGGAAAAAATGAGAGTTGACCACTAATTCAGAATTATTAAATAACATTTCAGGTACAGTTTCAGTTGGAACTGGAAGATAAGAATTAGGGAGAAATTCCTTCAAGTTTAAATGGAAGAGAAGAAGTGTCAGACTGGTAGTTTGAGAGATAAACTGGAAAGCTGGACTTGTTTCAATATAAGAGAAAATAAATGGTTTATATTGTAAGGTTGGTTGAGAATCTAAAACAAAAATCATGGAAGACAGGTTGGCCTATTTAAGGTGACGGGGTTCCTGAGGCACAAGAAGATGTAGGGTAAGGGCAAGATGAGCAGAATCTTCTTCATTTGGGACATGGGAAGAAAAAGAGAGAGGTACAGGAACAGGAGAAAGAAAACTAGCCAGTGGAAGGAAGTACACCAAGCATGCTGCCAGGTTTCTTTTGGGAAAAAATTGATTTTGTGCAAAAGAAGAAGTAGGAGAAAAATAATTTAAGGATACAGAAAGACTGACTGTGCAAGCAGGTTTATCTCAGTAAGAACTTCAGTTTTCTTCTCCATGTTTCTTGTAGAAGGCCAGCAATAAGCCAGCAACAGATTTCAGATAAAAAGAGAAATTATATTTTGTGCATTAATAGTGCACAAATCTCTGCATAAATGCGGGTGAAGGCAATGCAAATTCATAAATATTATCTTATAAACTGTACAATAATACAAAAGTATTATTGGATGGAATGGATATTGCCACCTGCAGAAACTGAAGTTGTCCATAAGTGGAACATAAATTAAAGAATTTCTAGTCATTCATACAGGTGACTCTACTTAAGAGAGATGCAGAGACATTTCACATGAAAAATTAAGAAAAAGTAAATTAATATGTCAAAGAACTTGAATTTATTTTCCTCTGTGTGATTTTTTTTTTTTACAGTCCCACCTAAGATTCTGATGCCTGATCATGTTCACATTAAAGCTGGAAAGAAACTGAGAATTGAAGCTCATGTATATGGGAAACCTCAGCCAGTGTGTAAATGGCTGAAGGGAGATCAAGATGTGGTTACATCCAGTCGCCTTGCTGTGCATAAAGCAGAAAAGTCTTCTGTTCTTATCATTAAGGATGTGACTAGAAAAGATACTGATTTTTATACTCTTACTGCGGAAAACAGCTCTGGTACTGATAGTCAGAAAATCAAAGTGACAGTCATGGGTATGTCCCATTTGGTTGTTTTTCAGTCCAGCTTTATATAAAGCTGGTTTTACTATATTCCAGTCATTGCCATATTATTTCATCCATTTTCTTAATATACTTTTTTCATGCAGATAAGCCAGGTCCACCACAGCCTCCATTTGATATTTCTGAAATAGATGCTGATGCTTGCACTCTTTCATGGCACATACCTCTTGAAGATGGTGGCAGCAACATTACAAACTATGTAGTTGAGAAATGTGATGTAAGCCGAGGAGACTGGGTAACAGCTTTATCTTCTGTCACAAAGACAAGCTGCAGAATTGGAAAACTGATTCCTGGAGAAGAGTATATGTTCCGTGTTCGTGCTGAAAATCGTTTTGGGATTTCTGAGCCACTTGCTTCTGATAAGATGATTGCAAGATTCCCATTTGGTACACCAGTTTTTGATAGCAGCATTTCTCTAGTTAAACTTTCTACTAAGAAAACATACAATTGATGTCTATCTTTATATTCCTTTCTAGATGTTCCCAGTGAACCAAAGAATGCACGTATTACCAAGGTCAATAAGGACTGCATTTTTGTTGCTTGGGATAAACCAGATAGCGATGGAGGCAGTCCAATCACTGGTTATCTCATTGAGCGCAAAGAAAGGAACAGTTTACTGTGGGTGAAAGCTAATGACACAGCTGTACGCTCCACAGAATACCCTTGTGTGGGCCTCATCGAAGGTCTTGAGTATACTTTCAGAATTTATGCGTTGAACAGAGCTGGCGCAAGTAAACCTAGTAAACCAACTGAGTTTGTCACAGCAAGAGCACCAGTTGGTAAGCTACCCATACTAATACTTTGCAGCAGACTGTTTTTGTGATAATTATCAATATATCTGCAACTTATTATGATCTTTAGTTTGCCCTTTTGTTTATACTTTCATGTTTATTATGACATCACTCTACACTGTTTAGGTGTGCAGTAAATAGGATCCAGTAATATTAAAGCCATTTTATAATGTGTTAGCTCTTTTTTGAAAAATATACTATAATATATTTTTATTTGCCATAGATCCCCCTGGAAAACCTGAAGTTATTGATGTCACTAAGAGTACTGCATCACTGGTATGGACAAGACCAAAGCATGATGGTGGTAGCAAACTTATTGGCTACTTTGTGGAGGCTTGCAAATTACCTGGTGATAAGTGGGAGCGGTGCAATACAACTCCATATCAAATACCCCAGGAAGAGTACACTGTGACTGGTTTGGAAGAAAATGCTCAGTACCAATTTAGAGCAATTGCCAAGACAGCAGTTAACATTAGTCGACCTTCAGAACCTTCTGATCCAGTGACCATTCATCCAGAAAATGGTAAGGAGTACAAAAGCATTTGATAACTCTGGAAGGTGTCTGTGCATGTTGGGAACTAGCACTCATGTAAAAAACAAGACGTTTATCTCCTGCTGGATTGATTAACTCTTGGACTCTTTCCTTTCAGTTCCTCCCAGAATAGAGTTAGATCTGTCTATGCAGTCACAGCTTACAGTAAAAGCTGGAACTAATGTGCGCCTGGAGGCAAATGTGTATGGCAAGCCAATGCCAGCAATCACCTGGAAGAAAGAAGGAGAAGTTTTAAAGCCATCTGAAGGTCTTAAGATCACCACGAAGAGAAATCTTGCTACAGTTGAGTTGTTCAGTGTTAACAGGAAGCAAACAGGAGACTACACTATTACTGCTGAAAATGCAAGTGGATCAAAGTCAGCAACCATTAGGCTTAAAGTACTTGGTAAGCTAAAGACTGTCTAATAATAAACATATTTATAATTAAATGATGTAGCAAGAGATAGAACTATAATAATCTGATGTTAATTGTTCTAGATAAGCCTGGCCCACCAGTTTCTGTCAAAATCAAACATATGTATGCAGATCGTGCAATGCTTTCTTGGGAGCCTCCTTTGGAAGATGGAGGTTCAGAAATTACTAACTACATTGTAGACAAGCGTGAAACAAGCAGACCTAACTGGGCCCAAGTCAGTGCCAATGTACCCATTACAAGCTGCACTGTGGAGAGACTGATAGAAGGACATGAGTATCAGTTCCGCATTTGTGCTGAAAACAAGTACGGTGTTGGAGACCCCATCTTGACTGAACCTGCAGTTGCTAAAAACCCATATGGTAAGTGCTTTGTGGAATAGTTTCATATCACTGGGTTTTTGTCTATACTTAATAATGTGAATGTAATCTTCAAATTAATCTCCACAGATGTGCCCGGACCTTGTGATCCGCCAGTAATTAGCAATGTAACAAAAGACTTTATGACTGTGAGCTGGAAGCCACCAGCTAGTGATGGTGGATCCCCAATAACTGGTTATATACTTGAGAAGCGTGAAACAAAGGCTCTTAACTGGACAAAAGTAAACAGGAAGCCTGTCATTGAAAGAACTGTTAAAGCTACTGGACTCCAAGAAGGAACAGAGTATGAGTTCCGGGTGATAGCATTGAATAAGGCTGGACCTGGCAAGCCTAGCGCACCATCTAAAGCAGTGTATGCTCGTGACCCTCAATGTAAGCTTGAAGTCTCAGATATTTTCCATTATTATTTTCAAATATTATCATGCAGCATTTGGTATGCTAATTTTATGTTTTTTTAATTCCCAGATCCTCCTGGCCCACCTGCTTTCCCAAAAGTGGTTGATACTACTCGTAATTCAATAAGCCTGTCATGGAGCAAACCAGCATATGATGGAGGAAGCCCTATCATTGGTTATCTAGTGGAATCAAAACGAGCTGACACAGACAACTGGGTCAGATGCAATCTACCCAAGAATTTACAGGCTACACAATTTGTGGTAACAGGGCTGATGGAAGGTACAGAGTACCAGTTCCGTGTTTATGCTGTCAATAAGATTGGATACAGCGATCCAAGTGATGTTCCAGATAAACACACTGCCAAAGACATTTTAAGTAAGTTCACTTGAAAACACATTGCCTTGTTGACTTTTGCTTCAGTTTATGGGGTGTGTTTCAAAGACAGACTTTGTCACAGGTCATAGGCACAGAATTATTTGGAACATGTTTTTATTCAAAAAATGTAGGCTAACAGTGGCTAATTTGGAAGAAAGCAGGGTAGTTATGAACAGAATAGGATTTGGTGTCTCCTTTTTTCACTGTAGGCTTTATAGCCTTCTGCCTTCTACTGTATCTTCAAGATTTACTTTTTTTTCCTAATCTTAATATTAGAATTGTCAGATCGCTCATCTTTCTTAAAACTTTCAGTCACATTCATATCTTCTAAATTATTTGAAGCCAAAATTACTATTCTAAGCAGTTGTATGATACTCTTTGATTGTATGACACTTTCTCCTTAAGATGCGTGCTAGCTTTTGTATGCATTTTGCAGTACCTACAAAAGCATTGCTTCACAAAACTATCTTAGTTCAAGAAAAGCATTGGAGTCCAGGGTGCTCTGAAACTCCTTTGAATTCTAGAGAAACTAAGAGCCTTTCTAACATAAATGGTGTAAAGGCAGGGAAAAAAAAAAGTAGGTGAAAGCACTGCCGAAAAAAAGGTATATTTTCAAATTATCTTCAGACAGGAGTCAGGACGCTTACTAACATCATCACAGGCATGAGAAGTTGGGTAGTCTAGTGAAATGCCAGTAAAAAGGGAGTTTTTGTCACAGTAACCTTTGTGAACATCTTAAACATGATGCTTTAATTACATGAGTATTTTTCTTAAACACACAGTTCCACCTGAAGGAGAACTTGATGCAGAACTAAGGAAAGTCCTTGTGTTGCGTGCTGGAGTCACAATGAGACTTTACGTGCCAGTAAGAGGACGTCCACCTCCTAAGATTTCATGGTCTAAAGTGGGTGCCAACCTAAGAGATAGACAAGGATTAGACATCAAATCAACTGATTTTGATACCTTCCTGCGTTGTGAAAACGTAAATAAATATGATGCTGGAAAATACGTCCTTAGTCTGGAGAACAGCTGTGGCAAAAAGTCATATACCATTGTTGTAAAAGTACTTGGTAAGTGTCAGGGCTTTCCCCATTATAATATATTTGTTAACTTTTTAACTGGTATTCAAAAGTCTGTTACTAAATCAAATATGGTGGTGTTGTGTTTATCCAGATACCCCAGGCCCACCCATTAACCTGATTGTAAAGGAAGCATCTAAAGATTCTGCCTTCATTACATGGGAACCTCCTCTAGTAGATGGGGGCAGTCCAATCAAAAATTATGTTGTTGAAAAACGTGATGCAGAAAGAAAATCATGGTCCACAGTAACAACAGAATGTCCAAAGACAAGCTACAGGATAACTAACTTAGAAGAAGGCAAATCTTACTTCTTCAGAGTTTTTGCTGAAAATGAATATGGTATTGGTGATCCTTGTGAAACTCGTGATGCTGTCAAAGCTTCTGGTAGGAAAAATGAATCCTTTTCATCTTTTTTTTTTTTTTTTTTTTTTTTTTTTTTTTGTTCAAATAATCTTTATTTTTAGCTTGAATGAAAACTTACTATGCTTTTCTTTCTTCTAGAAACACCTGGGCCAGTTGTGGATCTAAAAGCTTCAGCTGTAACAAAATCCTCATGCAATTTGGTATGGAAGAAGCCTATCAGTGATGGTGGAAGCCGTATTTCTGCATATGTTGTTGAGGTCCTGACTGGTGAAGATAAATGGCAAGAAGTCATGCGGGGAAAGAACCTCCATTTTTCAATGAGAGACTTGAAAGAAGGACAAGAATACACTTTCAGAGTGAGGGCCCAAAATGATGCTGGATATGGAACTCCATCAGAGATCACAATTGTAGCAAGAGATGATGTTGGTGAGAAGCAAGATCATTAATTCAATGCTTTACTTACCCAGATTATATTTTATGTATACTATCATTGCCATGTATACACAGAAATAATACACCTTTAAAACAGCATCTTAATTTTACCACAGATTTTATGTATGGTGAAATAACTCGATTCCTTCATTTTTTACAGCGGCACCTGAACTTGACTTAAGAGATCTGCCTGATTTATGCTATACTGCTAAAGAGGGTAGCAATTTCCGTCTTAAAATCCCTATGAAAGGCAAGCCTGTCCCAACTGTAACTTGGAAGAAGGATGAAGACCAGGCAATTACTGAGAGTGGAAGAGTTGCATTTGAATCTACAGCAGTTAACACCACCCTTGTAGTACATGACTGCCAGAAAGCTGATGCAGGAAAATACACAATAACTCTGAGGAATGTTGCTGGCAGCAAGGAAGGCACTATTTTTGTGAAAGTTGTTGGCAAACCTGGCATACCAACAGGTCCAGTGAAATTTGAAGAAGTCACAGCTGATGCCATAACCTTAAAATGGGGCCCTCCAAAAGATGATGGTGGTTCAGAAATCACTAACTATGTTCTAGAGAAGAGAGATAATGTAAACAATAAGTGGGTGACTTGTGCCTCTGCAGTCCAAAAAACCACATTTAGAGTTACAAGACTTCATGAAGGAAATGAATATACATTCAGGATCAGGGCTGAAAATAAATATGGAGTAGGGGAAGGTCTTAAATCAGAGCCTGTCATTGCAAAACATCCATTTGGTAAGTATCCATTATAATTTTTGAAATCTAAAAATTTATTTTAGAGGTGATAATAATTTTTAACACTGCTGCATTTTTTTTCAATATTGTTCAGATGTCCCAGATGCTCCTCCACCTCCCAATATTGTTGCTGTTCGGCATGAGTCTGTAGCTTTAACTTGGACTGATCCCAGAAGAACTGGAGGTTCACCAATCACAGGTACCCAATCCCCCAAAGCCTCCCTAGCATTTCAGTAGTTAATACTACTTAATGGTTATTTCTCTCTGTCAAAAGGTAAGATAAAAGTAGCAGGTATTTATGCATTAAATTGATTGATTGATTGATTGACTGACTGAGTAATTGACTGATTACACTGGTTTACTTCCTATTTAAAAAAGTAATAACTCAAATGCTGGGAAAATGCTAGCTGAGAAAAAAATATCTTTGCTCGGAGCCAAAATATGTAAAGAAATAGACCCAAATTTGACAATACTTGCATCTACAAAATTAGCAATTTGCATTTAGAAACACCTCCTCATTGCAGTTATGTACATGCATCATGTATGTCCACATATATTTCTTAACCTGATTTTCAGTGCTCCTCTTGTACAATGCACATGCAGTGTGCAATATGGGCAGTATGATGTTTCACAATGCTGTGAGAAATTAGGATTTCTAGAAACCCCCCCATATTTTTATCTCATCATTTATCTTCTAGGCTATCACATTGAAGTTAAAGAAAGAAATAGTCTTCTGTGGAAGAGAGCAAATACAACGCCAATAAGAATGAAAGATTTCAGAGTGACAGGATTAACTGAAGGTCTGGAATATGAATTCAGAGTAATGGCAATCAATATGGCTGGAGTAGGTAAACCAAGTCTTCCATCTGAACCAGTTGTGGCACTTGATCCTATTGGTAAGTTATCAGGCAAATAAAAAGGAAAATTCTGAAATTTGAAATACCTTTTGTTTAACTGCTATTTTTTTTTTTTTTCTGTAGATCCTCCTGGGAAACCTGAAGTTATCAATGTAACCAGGAACTCAGTAACACTCATTTGGACAGAACCAAAGTATGATGGCGGACATAAATTAACTGGCTATATTGTTGAAAAGCGTGATTTACCCAAAAAGACTTGGATGAAAGCTAATCACGTGAATGTTCCAGACTGTGCATTTACTGTAACTGACCTTACTGAAGGCTGCAAATATGAATTCAGAATTAGAGCAAAGAACACTGCTGGGGCTATCAGTCCTCCATCTGAATCCACAGGAACCATAATATGCAAGGATGAGTATGGTATGTAGATGGCATTGAAAAGGCAGAATTTTACTTGAATAATTATAATCAAATTTCTTTTGTTTCCTATCCCTGTGTTCTTGTTGTAACAATCAGTATTTTTTGACTTTGTTTTGACAGAGGCACCAAGCATTGTTCTGGATCCTACTTTGAAGGAAGGTTTAACAGTAAAAGCAGGGGAAACCATCACACTGTCTGCTATTAGTATCCGTGGCAAACCACCTCCAACTTCAGCATGGTCCAAAGCTGGAAAAGATTTTAGACCCTCAGAGCTTGTGCACATTGAAACCAAGCCAACTTCTTCTACTCTAAGTGTCAAATATGCAGCCAGAAAAGATTCTGGAGAATACACCATCACTGCAACCAATCCTTTTGGCACTAAGCAGGAGACTGTACATGTGAAAGTTTTAGATATTCCAGGACCTCCAGGGCCTATTGAGATCAGCAATGTTTCAGCAGAAAAAGCGACTCTTACATGGACACCTCCTGCAGAAGATGGTGGATCACCAGTAAAGTCATATGTTCTTGAAAAGAGAGAGACTAGTCGACTGCTCTGGACATTGGTTGCTGAAAACATTGAGAGCTGTAGGCATGTTGTTAGCAAGCTCATTCAAGGAAATGAATATGTTTTCCGTGTCTCAGCAGTAAATCAGTATGGCAAGGGTGAGCCAGTACAATCAGAACCAGTTAAAATGGTGGATAGATTTGGTAAGTAGAACAAGCTAAGGAATTCCAGTGTGGTTTTATTAATTTCTAAAGACTTGATTTTTTGTTTAACTGTACTTTTTTTCTTCCTGAACAGGTCCTCCAGGCCCTCCTGGAAAACCAGAAGTAACAAATGTGACTAAAAATACTGTCACAGTTACCTGGAAAAGGCCAGTCGATGATGGTGGAAGTGAAATCACAGGTTACCATGTGGAGCGAAGAGAAAAGAAAGGTTTAAGATGGGTGAGAGCAACAAAGAAGCCGGTTTCAGATCTTAGATGCAAAGTAACTGGTCTTCTGGAAGGAAACGAATATGAATTCCGTGTCAGTGCAGAAAACAGAGCTGGAGTCGGACCACCAAGTGATACTTCAAACTCAGTCCTTTGCAAAGATGTTGCATGTCAGTATCATGCTTTTTCTTTTTGGGGGTGGGTGGGATGGGTAGGGAGCACATTCAGAGAGAATATAAATGACTTCTGCTGTAATGTAATGTTTTATCTTTTATTTGCTTTACAGACCCACCAGGTCCACCTGCAAATCCAAGAGCAACTGATACCACAAAGACAAGTGCATCTTTAGCCTGGGGCAAGCCTCACTATGATGGTGGTCTTGAAATCACTGGCTATATAGTGGAGCATCAAAAAGAAGGAGAAGATGAATGGGTGAAAGACACAATAGGGACTGCTTTAAGAATCACTCAGTTTGTTGTAGCTCCTCTGCAGACCGGAGCCAAGTATAATTTCAGAATCTCTGCCATGAATGCTGCAGGTGTCGGTGAAGCAGCAATAATTCCAAGTGTGGAAATTACTGACCGAGAAGAGATTCCTGACTTTGAACTGGATGCTGAGCTAAGAAGAACACTTGTTGTTAGAGCTGGATGCACTATTCGGATTTTTGTACCAATTAAAGGTCGTCCAACTCCAGAAGTTACATGGACAAAAGATGATGCTTCCCTCAAAGGACGTGCCAGTATTGAAAATACCGACTCTTTTACACTCTTGATTGTCACAGAGTGCACCAGATATGATGCAGGAAAATATGTAATGACTCTTGAAAACGCTGCTGGTAAGAAGACTGGCTTTGTAAATGTAAAAGTCTTGGATACGCCAGGTCCACCAATAAACCTTAAGCCTAGAGAAATAACCAAGGACAGCATCACCCTCCAATGGGATATGCCTCTGGTAGATGGAGGTTCACGTATAACCAACTATATTGTTGAGAAACGCGAATCAACTCGGAAGGCATATTCGACAGTCACAACCAACTGCCAGAAGTGTTCCTTCAAGGTTCCTAATTTGGCTGAGGGGTGTGAATACTATTTCAGAGTACTGGCTGAAAATGAGTATGGTATTGGTGAACCAGCTGAAACTACAGAACCAGTAAAAGCTTCTGAGGCCCCATCCCCACCTGAGAGCCTTAACATTATGGATGTAACACGGAATTCAGTTAGCCTAGCTTGGCCAAAACCAGAACATGACGGTGGCAGCAAGATCACTGGGTATGTAATTGAAGCACAGAGAAAAGGAACCAACCAGTGGGCACACATCACCACTGTAAAAACACTGGACTGTGTAGTAAAGAATCTAACTGAAAATGAAGAGTATACTTTCCAGGTTATGGCAGTTAACAGTGCTGGAAGAAGTGCTCCAAGGGAAAGCAGACCAGTTATTATCAAGGAGCAAACAATGCTACCAGAGTTTGATCTCCGTGCTATTTACCAGAAAACAGTCATTGCCAAAGCTGGTGACAATATCAAGATTGAAATCCCTGTACTTGGTCGTCCAAGGCCTACTGTGACTTGGAAGAAAGAAGACCAAATACTTAAGCAAACACAAAGGGTAAATTATGAAAATACAGCAACTGCAACCATACTGACCATCAATGAATGTATTCGAAGTGATAGTGGTCAATATCCACTGTCAGCTAAAAATATTGTTGGAGAAGTTAGTGAAGTAATCACAGTTCAGGTTCATGACATACCTGGACCGCCTACTGGACCAATCAAATTTGAAGAAATTTCATGTGATTTCCTAACATTCTCGTGGGAGCCTCCTTTGAATGATGGTGGTGTACCAATTAGTAACTATGTTGTAGAAATGCGTCAGACTGACAGTACCACGTGGACTGAATTGGCAACTACAGTGATACGCACTACATTTAAAGCCATTCGTCTTACTACTGGAGTTGAGTATCAGTTCCGCGTTAAAGCTCAAAACAGATATGGAGTTGGTCCAGCCATTACTTCAGAGTCTGTAGTTGCCAACTATCCATTTAAGGTACCTGGGCCTCCTGGCACTCCTCAGGTGATTGCAGTCACCAAAGAAACCATGACCATTAGCTGGAATGAGCCAGTTACTGATGGTGGAAGCCCAATACTGGGATATCACATTGAAAGAAAAGAGCGAAACAGCATTGTTTGGCAGACTGTAAGTAAAATGTTGGTGTCAGGAAATATCTTTAAATCATCTGGACTTACTGATGGCATTGCATATGAATTCCGTGTTATAGCAGAAAACCTGGCTGGGAAGAGTAAGCCAAGCAAGCCATCTGAGCCTGTGTTTGCCCTGGACCCAATAGATCCACCTGGTAAGCCGATACCTCTGAACATTACAAGACATGCAGTTACGCTGAAGTGGACTAAACCAGAATATAATGGAGGTTTTAAGATAACTGGCTACACAGTTGAAAAAAGAGACCTTCCTAATGGCCGTTGGCTGAAGGCTAATTTCAGCAATATACTAGAGACTGAATTCACTGTAAGTGGTTTAACAGAAGATGCTGCCTATGAATTCCGTGTCATTGCTAGGAATGCTGGTGGAGCTGTTAGTCAGCCCTCAGAGCCATCAGATGCAATTACTTGTAGAGATGACATTGAAGCACCAAGGATAAAGGTGGATGCTAAATACAAGGACACCATAGTGCTGAAAGCAGGTGAAGTTTTCAGACTTGAGGCTGATGTTTCAGGTCGCCCTCCACCAACTATGACATGGACAAAGGGAGAAAAAGAACTTGAAGACACAGCAAAATTAGAAATAAAAATAGCAGATTTCTCTACCATTCTCACCAACAAAGATTCCTCAAGAAGAGATGGTGGTGCTTACACTCTTACTGCAACAAACCCTGGTGGCTTTGCCAAGCATATCTTCAATGTTAAAGTTCTTGATAGACCTGGCCCCCCAGAAGGACCTTTGGCTGTGTCTGAAGTCACTGCAGAAAAATGTGTGCTGTCATGGCTACCCCCACTGGATGATGGAGGAGCAAAGATTGACCATTATGTGGTTGAAAAACGTGAAACAAGTAGATTGGCATGGACATCTGTAGGCACAGAAGTTCCAGTGACTAAACTGAAGGTTACTAAACTGTTGAAGGGCAATGAGTATGTATTCCGAGTTATGGCTGTTAACAAATACGGAGTTGGTGAGCCGCTGGAATCAGAGCCCATTCTTGCAGTAAATCCATATGTTCCACCTGATCCACCTAAAACTCCTGAAGTTACAGCAATTACAAAGGATTCTATGGTTGTCTGCTGGGGCCATCCTGATTCTGATGGAGGGAGCCCAATAACTAATTATATTGTGGAACGTCGAGACAAGACTGGTCTACGGTGGGTGAAGTGTAACAAAAGGGTTGTTACTGACTTACGTTTTAAGGTGTCTGGACTGACAGAAGGCCATGAATATGAATACAGAGTCATGGCGGAAAATGCTGCTGGTGTCAGTGAGCCAAGCCCAACCAGTCCATTCTATAAAGCCTGTGATACTGTATTCAAGCCTGGTCCCCCAGGTAATCCTCGTGTTTTGGATAGCAGCAAGTCCTCTATTACAATAGCATGGAACAAACCAATATATGATGGTGGTTCGGAGATCACAGGTTACATGGTTGAGATTGCACTACCTGAAGAAGATGAGTGGAAGATTGTAACTCCACCAGTGGGTCTAAAGGCCACTTCTTTTACCATCACTGACTTGAAAGAAAACCAAGAGTATAAAATACGGATCTATGCTATGAACTCCGAAGGTCTTGGGGAACCTGCTCTTGTTCCTGGCACTCCAAAAGCTGAAGAAAGAATGCTACCTCCAGAGATTGAACTTGATGCAGAGCTACGTAAAGTTGTAACTATTAGAGCTTGCTGTACTCTGAGACTCTTTGTCCCAATTAAAGGAAGACCAGCACCTGAAGTTAAATGGACAAGAGAACATGGGGAATCTTTGGATAGAGCGAGCATTGAATCCACAAGCTCTTATACTTTACTTATTGTTGAAAATGTAAATAGATTTGATAGTGGCAAATACATACTGACAATTGAAAACAGCTCAGGTAGTAAGACAGCATTTGTGAACGTCAGAGTTCTTGATACTCCAGGGGCACCTCAAGATTTGAAAATAAAGGAAGTTACAAAATCTTCAGTTACACTCACATGGGAGCCTCCACTCATAGATGGTGGCTCTAAAATAAAAAATTACATCGTTGAAAAACGTGAATCAACAAGAAAAGCTTATTCAACTGTTAATGCCAATTGCCACAAGACCAGCTGGAAAGTTGATTCACTGCAAGAAGGCTGCAACTACTACTTCAGAGTCCTCGCTGAAAATGAGTATGGAATAGGCCTTCCAGTTGAAACTTCAGAATCCATAAAAGTATCAGAAAGACCACTTCCACCAGGGAAAATAACTTTGTTGGATGTGACAAGAAATAGTGTAACCTTATCTTGGGAAAAACCTGAACATGATGGTGGTAGCAGAATTCTGGGCTATATTGTAGAAATGCAAAGCAAAGGCAGTGAAAAGTGGTCAACCTGTGCTACTGTAAAAGTTACTGAAGCCACCATCACAGGATTGATCCAAGGTGAAGAATACACCTTCCGTGTTTCAGCTCAGAATGAGAAGGGTATCAGTGATCCTCGCCAGCTGGCTGTACCAGTTGTTGCAAAAGATCTTGTGATCCCACCAGCTTTCAAACTGCTGTTTAACACTTTCAGTGTTCTAGCAGGAGAGGACTTAAAGGTTGATGTTCCTTTTGTTGGTCGACCCAAACCAGCAGTGTCTTGGCATAAAGACAATGTGGCATTGAAGCAGACTACAAGAGTAAATGCAGAAAGCTCGGAAAACAACACAGTGTTAACAATAAAAGAAGCATGCAGAGAAGATGTGGGAGCATATGTAGTTAAACTTACAAACTCTGCTGGTGAAGCAACTGAGACACTAAATGTTGTTGTCCTTGACAAACCAGGACCTCCAACTGGACCAGTAAAAGTAGATGAAGTAACAGCAGACAGTATTACCATTTCCTGGGAACCACCCAAGTATGATGGTGGTAGCTCTATCAATAATTACATTGTAGAAAGAAGAGACACTTCCACCACAACTTGGCACATTGTGTCAGCTACTGTTGCAAGAACAACTATAAAAGCATGTCGTTTAAAAACTGGCTGTGAATATCAGTTCAGAATTGCAGCTGAGAATAGGTATGGGAAGAGTACGTATCTCACCTCAGAGTCAATAATAGCCCAATACCCATTTAAAGTTCCTGGTCCACCTGGAACTCCTTTTGTAACAAATGTCACAAAAGACAGCATGGTGGTACAATGGCACGAACCAGTCAGTGATGGTGGTAGCAGGATCATTGGTTATCACTTGGAGCGCAAAGAAAGAAACAGCATTCTGTGGGCTAAACTGAATAAAACACCTCTTCCAGATACCAAATTTAAGACAACTGGCCTTGAGGAAGGTCTTGAATATGAATTCAGAGTCTATGCAGAAAATATAGTGGGAATTGGAAAGGCAAGTAGAGCATCTGAATGCTATACTGCACGTGACCCTTGTGACCCTCCAGGTCGTCCAGAACCTGTAATTGTCACAAGAAGCTCAGTAACACTCCAGTGGAAGAAACCTATATACGATGGTGGAAGTAAAATCACAGGCTATGTTGTTGAAAAGAAGGAATTACCTGACGGCCGTTGGATGAAAGCAAGCTTTACAAATGTCATTGATACTCAGTTTGAAGTAACTGGTCTAGTTGAAAACCAGAGATATGAGTTTCGTGTTATAGCACGAAACGCTGCAGGTGTTTTCAGTGAACCATCTGAAAGCTCAGGGGCAATTACAGCAAGGGATGAAGTAGAACCACCTCAAATAAGTATGGATCCAAAATTCAGAGACACTATTGTAGTGAATGCTGGCGAGTCATTCAAGCTTGACGCTGATGTTCATGGCAAACCAATACCTTCCATTCAGTGGTTAAAAGGTGATCGTGAGCTGACAAGCACCGCTCATATGGAAATAAAAACTACTGATTTTGCAACAAGCCTCAGTGTGAAGGAAGCCACAAGAGTTGACAGTGGGCAGTATGTACTACTGGCAAAGAATGTTGCAGGTGAAAAGAAGGTTCCTGTTAACGTCAAAGTTCTTGATAGACCTGGACCTCCAGAAGGACCTGTTGAATTTACAGGTGTTACAGCTGAAAAATGCACACTGTCATGGAAACCTCCACTACAAGATGGTGGTAGCGATATTTCACACTACGTTGTAGAAAAAAGGGAAACCAGTCGCTTGGTGTGGACTGTTGTTGACTCAAACGTGCAAACCCTGAACTGCAAAGTTACAAAACTTCTAGAAGGAAATGAGTATGTTTTCCGCATCATGGCAGTAAATAAATATGGTGTTGGTGAACCTCTTGAGTCTGACCCAGTAGTCGCAAAGAACCCATTTGTTGTGCCACTTCCTCCAAAGGCTCCAGAAGTCACAGCAGTTACCAAGGATTCTATGATAGTTGTATGGGAAAGACCGGCCTCAGATGGCGGCAGTGAAATCCTAGGCTATGTCCTTGAAAAACGAGATAAGGAAGGCATTCGCTGGACACGATGTAACAAGCGCCTGATAAGTGAACTGCGATACAGGGTGACTGGTCTTATAGAAAATCATGATTATGAGTACAGAGTTTCAGCTGAAAATGCTGCTGGTCTTAGTGAACCAAGTCCACCTTCTACTTACTACAAAGCATGTGATCCTATTTACAAGCCAGGTCCACCCAATAATCCCAAAGTTACAGATGTTACAAGATCTTCAGTTTTTCTTTCATGGGGTAAACCTATATATGATGGTGGCTCTGAAATTCAGGGATACATTGTGGAAAAATGTGATGTAAGTGATGGTGAATGGTCAATTTGTACCCCTCCAACTGGAATTAAGAATACTCACATGGAAGTAGAAAAATTAGTGGAAAAACACGAATACAAATTCCGCATATGTGCAGTTAATAAAGCAGGAGTTGGAGAGCATGCAGATGTTCCTGGTTCTGTCATTGTAGAAGAGAAGATGGAGGCACCAGACCTTGACCTTGACATGGAATTAAGGAAGATTGTGAATGTGAGAGCAGGAGGTTCCTTAAGACTTTTCGTTCCCATCAGAGGTCGTCCAACACCTGAAGTAAAATGGGGTAAAGTGGATGGTGACATCAGAGAAGCAGCTATTATTGATACCACTAGTAGCTTTACTTCCCTTGTTCTAGATAATGTTAACAGATTTGATAGCGGAAAATATACTCTGACCTTGGAAAACAGCAGTGGAACAAAGTCTGCATTTGTCAGCGTAAGAGTACTGGATACCCCAAGTGCACCTGTTAACTTAAAAATCAGAGAGATCACTAAGGACTCTGTTTCACTTTCATGGGAGCCTCCTCTCTTGGATGGTGGAGCAAAAATAAAGAATTTCATTATTGAAAAGCGTGAAGCAACAAGAAAGGCATATGCAGCTGTTGTAACAAACTGCCACAAGACTTCATGGAAAGTAGATCAACTTCAGGAGGGCTGCTATTACTTCTTCAGGGTCTCTGCTGAGAATGAATATGGAATTGGCCTCCCTGCAGAAACCAGTGACCCAATTAAAGTTGCTGAAGTTCCACAGCCTCCTGGGAAAATAACAGTGGATGATGTCACAAGAAACAGTGTCTCACTAAGCTGGGCAAAACCTGAACATGACGGTGGTAGCAAAATCATACAATATATTGTTGAAATGCAAGCAAAGGGTAGTGAAAAGTGGTCAGAGTGTGCTCGTGTTAAAACACTTGAAGCACTTGTTACTAATCTAACTCAAGGGGAAGAATATCTTTTTAGAGTAATGGCTGTAAATGAAAAGGGTAAGAGTGATCCTAGAGCACTTGCAGTTCCAATAGTTGCCAAAGACCTGGTGATTGAACCTGATGTAAGACCTGCTTTCCACAGTTACAGTGTTCAGGTGGGACAGGACCTAAAAGTAGAAATACCAATTGCAGGTCGACCTAAACCAACTGTTACCTGGGTTAAAGATGGCCAGCCATTAAGGCAGACAACAAGAGTCAATATTAGCGATTCAGCTGATCTCACTATACTGAATCTTAAGGAAACTAGCAAAGAAGACAGTGGCACTTACGAAATCACTGTGGCTAATGTTGTTGGGCAAAAGTCTGCCTCTGTTGAAATTATTACTCTTGACAAACCTGACCCTCCAGTTGGACCTGTGAAGTTTGATGAAATAAGTGCAGAAAGTATTACCCTGTCATGGAATCCCCCAGCGTACACAGGCGGCTGCCAAATCACCAACTATATTGTGCACAAGAGAGATACAACGACCACTGTATGGGAAACAGTTTCAGCTACTGTTGCAAGAACTACACTGAAGGTGACTAAACTGAAAACTGGTTCAGAATACCAGTTCAGAATCTTCGCTGAGAACAGGTATGGGCAGAGTTTTGCATTGGAATCTGCACCAGTCGTAGCACAGTATCCCTACAAGGAACCAGGACCTCCTGGCACACCATTTGTGACAACAGTTACAAAAGACTCCATGGTTGTACAGTGGCATGAACCAGTAAATGATGGTGGCAGTAAAGTGTTGGGTTACCATCTTGAGAGAAAGGAGAAAAACAGCATTCTATGGACTAAAGTAAATAAGACTATTATACAGGACACAAGTTTTAAGACAAATAACCTTGAAGAAGGAATTGAGTATGAGTTTCGAGTTTCTGCAGAAAATATTGTTGGGGTAGGCAGAACAAGTAAAGTTTCTGAGTGCTACGTAGCTCGTGATCCATGTGATCCTCCAGGTCGCCCAGAACCTATAATAATAAAAAGAAGCTCTATTACTCTACAGTGGACCAAACCAGAATATGATGGTGGAAGTAAGGTTACTGGTTATATTGTAGAGAAACGTGACTTACCAGATGGTCGCTGGATGAAAGCAAGCTTCACAAATATCATTGAAACTCAGTTCACTGTAACAGGACTTACTGAAGACCAAAGATATGAATTTAGAGTAATTGCAAAGAATGCTGCAGGTGCAATAAGCAAACCTTCTGACAGTACAGGACCAATAACGGCAAGGGATGAAGTTGAACTTCCACGAATTTCAATGGATCCAAAGTACAAAGACACTATTGTTGTAAATGCTGGTGAAACATTCAGACTTGAGGCTGATGTTCATGGAAAGCCACTACCAACCATTAAGTGGTACAAAGGAGATAAAGAGCTTGAGGACACTGCTAGATATGAAATAAAGAACACAGATTTCAGTGCATTAATAATTGTAAAAGATGCTATTAGAGTTGATGGTGGACAGTACATTCTGGAAGCCTCTAATGTTGCAGGAACAAAGACAGTAACAGTAAACGTAAAAGTCTTGGACAGGCCAGGACCTCCAGAGGGCCCAGTCCAAGTGACAGGAGTTACAGCTGAAAAATGTGCACTGGCATGGGGTCCTCCTCTTCATGATGGTGGCAGTGATATTTCTCATTACATTGTAGAGAAGAGAGAAACTAGCCGCCTGGCATGGACTGTGGTTGCTTCAGAAGTTTTACCTACAATGCTGAAAGTAACAAAACTCTTGGAAGGAAATGAATACGTCTTCCGTATCATGGCAGTTAACAAATATGGGGTTGGTGAGCCATTAGAATCTGTGCCAGTAATGATGAGAAATCCATTTGTGGTTCCTGGACCACCAAAGGCCTTGGAAATTACCAACATCACGAAGGATTCTATGACTGTCTGCTGGACCCGGCCAGACAGTGATGGAGGTAGTGAAATTGTAGGTTACATTGTAGAAAAGAGAGACCGAGCAGGCATCAGATGGATAAAATGCAATAAACGACGCATTACAGATTTGCGATTAAGAGTTACAGGTTTAACAGAAGATCATGAATATGAATTCAGAGTTTCTGCTGAAAATGCTGCTGGAGTTGGTGAACCAAGCCAAGTTTCTCCCTACTTCAAAGCTTGTGACCCGATGTTCAAGCCTGGCCCACCTACAAATGCCCATGTTGTGGATACCACCAAAAGTTCAGTTACGCTCAGTTGGAGTAAACCTATTTATGATGGTGGTTGTGAAATCCAGGGATACCTTGTAGAAATCTGTAAAGCAGATGAAGATGAATGGTCACTTGTTACTCCACAGACAGGCATACGTGCCACTCGATTTGAGATCAAAAAGCTTACTGAACATCAAGAGTACAAACTACGAGTGTGTGCTCTCAACAAGATCGGTGTGGGAGAGGCTGCATCTGTTCCTGGTACTATTAAACCAGAAGACAAACTTGAAGCTCCAGAACTTGATATTGATTCAGAGCTAAGGAAAGGGATAGTGGTTAGAGCTGGTGGGTCTGCTAGGATTCACATACCATTTAGGGGACGACCAACACCTGACATCACATGGTCCCGAGAAGAAGGTGAATTCTCAGAAAAAGTTCAGATTGATAAAGGCGTAAACTACACACAACTTTCAATTGACAACTGTGATAGAAACGATGCTGGAAAGTACATTCTTAAGCTGGAGAACAGCAGTGGTTCTAAATCTGCATTTGTTACAGTGAAAGTCTTGGACACGCCAGGACCCCCACAAAACTTAGTGGTAAAGGATATAAAGAAGGATTCTGCTGTATTATCTTGGGAGCCACCAATTATTGATGGTGGTGCAAAGGTAAAGAACTATGTAATAGACAAGCGTGAGTCAACCAGGAAGGCATTTGCAAATGTAAGTGCTAAGTGTGCCAAGACAAGTTTTAAAGTTGAAAATCTTACAGAGGGAGCAATTTATTACTTCAGAGTTATGGCTGAAAATGAATATGGAATTGGTGTCCCAGTTGAAACCAGGGATGCTATCAAAGCCTCAGAGCCACCTCTGCCTCCTGGGAAAGTAACGCTCACTGATGTCACTCAGAGAAGTGCATCGCTTACGTGGGAAAAACCTGAACATGATGGAGGTAGCAGAATTTTGGGATATCTTGTTGAAATGTTGCCTAAAGGAACAGAAAAATGGAGTGTTGTTAGTGAGACCAAAACATGTAATGCAGAGGTTTCTGGTTTGAGTCCAGGACAGGAATATCAATTCCGTGTGATTGCCTACAATGAAAAAGGCAAAAGTGATCCCAGAGCACTTGGAATTCCTGTGATAGCTAAAGACCTGACTATTGAGCCAAGTTTCAAACTGATGTTTAATACATACAGTGTACAAGCTGGAGAAGATCTGAAGGTAGAAGTACCATTTATAGGTAGACCCAAACCTACTATTACTTGGACAAAAGATGAGCAGCCACTGAAACAGACAACCAGATTAAATATTGAGAATACAACAACATCAACTATTTTACATATTAAAGAAAGCAACAGGGAAGACTTTGGTAAATATACAGTAACAGCAACAAATGCAGCAGGTACAGCAACAGAGCACCTGAGCATAATTGTACTAGAAAAGCCTGGCCCACCACGAGGACCTGTCCGCTTTGATGAAATTAGTGCAGACTTTGTTGTTTTGTCATGGGATCCACCTGATTATACTGGTGGCTGCCAGATAAGCAACTATATAGTAGAAAAGCGTGACACAAGCACTACCACGTGGAACATTGTGTCAGCAACTGTTGCAAGAACAACCATCAAAGCAACAAAGCTTAAAACAGGTTCTGAATACCAGTTCAGGATTTCTGCTGAAAATAGATATGGAAAGAGCTCTCCTTTGGCTTCTAAATCAGTTGTTGTGCAATACCCCTACAAGGTGCCTGGACCACCTGGAACCCCATTTGTTACAGCAGCTTCCAAGGACCATATGATCGTACAATGGCATGAACCAGTTAATGATGGAGGAAGCAAAGTTCTTGGCTACCATCTTGAGCGTAAAGATAAGAACAGCATTCTTTGGACAAAACAGAACAAGTCACTTATTGTGGACACCAAATATAAAACAGATGGCCTTGAAGAAGGTCTTGAATATGAGTTCAGAGTTTCTGCTGAAAACATTGTTGGTATTGGCAAAGTCAGCAAAGTATCAGAACTGTATGTTGCCCGAGATCCTTGTGACCCACCTGGTCGCCCAGAGGCCATTCTTGTTACAAGAAGTAATATCACACTGAAGTGGAAAAAGCCTGAATATGATGGTGGAAGCAAAATAACTGGTTATATTGTAGAAAAGAAAGAATTACCAGATGGTCGCTGGATGAAAGCCAGCTTTACAAATGTGTTGGAAACAGAATTTACAGTAAGTGGCCTTGTTGAAAACCAACGATATGAATTTAGAGTAATTGCAAGAAATGCAGCAGGTTGCTTGAGTGAACCATCTGAAAGTACAGGGCCTATTACTGCCAGAGATGAAATTGAAGCACCAGGTGCTTCACTGGACCCTAAATACAGAGATGTCATTGTTGTTCATGCTGGAGAAACCTTTGTTCTTGAAGCTGATATCCATGGCAAACCTATTCCTGATGTTACATGGTCAAAAGATGGTAAAGACCTTGAAGAAACAACTGCAAGAATGGAAATTAAATCTACCATTGAGAAAACAATTCTCACTGTCAAAGACTGTATAAGAGTAGATGGAGGTCACTATACTCTTAACCTCAAAAATGTTGGTGGCACCAAATCTATACCAATAACTGTGAAAGTGCTTGACAGACCAGGACCTCCTGAAGGACCTTTGAATGTTACAGGTGTCACTGCAGAAAAATGCTACTTGTCATGGTCTCCACCTTCACATGATGGTGGTTCTAGTATCTCACATTATATCATTGAGAAGAGAGAGACAAGTAGGCTTTCATGGACACAAGTAGCAACAGATGTGCAGGCTCTAAATCACAAGGTAACCAAACTCCTTCCTGGCAATGAATACATTTTCCGTGTAATGGCAGTGAATAAATATGGAGTTGGAGAGCCCTTGGAATCTGAACCAGTTGTGGCTCGTAATCCATACAAACCCCCTGGTCCTCCTTCAACACCTGAAGTTTCAGCAATCACAAAAGATTCTATGGTGGTAACATGGAGTCGCCCAGAAGACAATGGAGGAGCTGAAATTGAAGGTTACATACTTGAAAAACGAGACAAGGATGGTATCCGGTGGACCAAATGCAATAAGAAAAGGCTGACAGACTTGCGATTCAGAGTGACAGGTCTAACTGATGGGCATTTCTATGAGTTTAGAGTGTCTGCTGAAAATGCTGCAGGGGTAGGGGAACCCAGTGAGCCATCCATTTTCTATCGTGCTTGTGATGTATTATATCCACCAGGTCCACCTAGCAATCCAAAGGTTACAGATACTTCCAGGTCATCAGTTTCCCTTGCCTGGAGTAAGCCCATTTATGATGGTGGTGCTCCTGTTAAAGGGTATGTAGTGGAAGTAAAAGAAGCTGCTGCTGATGAATGGACTACCTGCACCCCACCAACAGGCCTACAAGCAAAACAGTTCACCGTGACAAAACTGAAGGAGAACCAGGAGTATAACTTCCGCATCTGTGCCATCAACTCAGAAGGAGTAGGAGAACCCGCGACTATACCTGGTGCAGTCTTAGCAGAGGACAAGATGGAACCTCCTGAAATTGAACTTGATGCAGATCTCAGAAAAGTAGTCACTGTACGTGCTAGTGGTACTTTACGCCTGTTTGTCACCATCAAAGGAAGACCGGAACCTGAAGTTAAATGGGAGAAAGCAGAAGGAACAATTAGTGAGCGAGCTCAGATTGAAGTCACCAGTTCCTATACAATGCTGGTCATTGACAATGTCAATAGATTTGATAGTGGTAGATATAACCTTACTTTAGAGAACAACAGTGGCAAAAAATCTGCTTTTGTTAATGTCAGAGTGCTTGATACACCTAGTGCACCTCTAAACCTGACAATCAGAGAAGTGAAAAAAGATTTTGTAACTTTAGCCTGGGAAGCACCACTTATTGACGGCGGAGCTAAAATTACCAACTACGTAGTTGAAAAGCGAGAATCCACAAGAAAGGCATATGCCACAGTTACAAGCAACTGTACTAAGAATTCCTTCAAGATTACTCAGCTACAAGAAGGATGCAGTTATTACTTCCGTGTTCTAGCTGTAAATGAATATGGGGCTGGTTTACCAGCAGAAATTGCTGATCCAGTTAAGGTGTCCGAACCACCTTCTCCACCTTCAAAGGTCATTCTTGTTGACGTGACTCGCAATTCTGCATCAATTAAATGGGAAAAGCCGGAGAGTGATGGTGGCAGTAAAATTACTGGTTATATAGTAGAAATGCAGACTAAAGGAAGTGTAAAATGGAGTGCATGTACACAGGTGAAAACATTGGAAGCAACAGTAACAGGCTTAAGTATGGGAGAAGAATACAGTTTCAGGGTGATTGCCATTAATGAAAAAGGAAAAAGTGATCCAAGAGAACTTGGTGTCCCAGTCATTGCAAAAGATATTGAAATCCAGCCATCTGTTGAGCTTCTTTTTAACACATTCACGGTGAAAGCTGGAGATGATCTTAAGATTGACATTCCATTCAGAGGGCGACCTCTTCCCACTGTTAGCTGGAAGAAGGATGGGAATCCCTTAAAACAGACAACCAGGGTAAATGTTGAAACATCAAAGACTTTAACTTCACTGTCCATCAAGGAAGCTACAAATGAAGATCTGGGACATTATGAATTGCATCTTTCAAATACTGCTGGAACAACAACAGCTTCTCTAACCGTAGTTGTCCTTGACAGACCAGGACCACCAACTGATGTTAAAATTGATGAAATTAGTGCTGATAGTGTAACTCTGTCTTGGAAACCTCCAGCATATGATGGTGGATGTCACATTAGCAATTACATTGTGGAGAAGAGAGATACTACCACAACAACATGGGAGGTTGTATCTGCAGCAGTTGCAAGAACATCAATTAAAGTAACTCGACTCGTCACTGGATCTGAATATCAGTTCCGTGTTTGTGCAGAAAACCGCTATGGGAAGAGCACTTATATTAATTCTCCTTCTGTTGTGGCAGAATATCCATTTAAGCCTCCAGGTCCACCAGGAACACCTCGTGTGGCACACGCAACTAAATCTTTCATGATTGTAACTTGGCAGGTACCAGTTAATGATGGAGGTAGTGTAGTACTAGGATACCATTTGGAGCATAAAGAAAGAAGCAGCATTCTTTGGACAAAAGTCAACAAGAGCCTCATAACAGATACACAAATGAAAGTTACAGGTCTTGATGAAGGACTGATGTATGAATATCGTGTGTATGCAGAAAACATTGCTGGAATAGGCAAATGCAGCAAAGCATGTGAACCAGTTGCTGCAAGAGATCCATGTGATCCTCCTGGTCAACCAGAAGTTACTAATATTACAAGAACATCTGTCTCATTGAAGTGGACTAAACCAGAATACGATGGTGGAGCTAAAGTAACAGGATATATTATTGAACGCCGAGAACTGCCAGATGGTCGTTGGCTAAAATGTAATTTTACTAATGTGCAAGAAACATACTTTGATGTAGGTGGACTTACAGAAGACCAGCGTTATGAATTCCATGTGATTGCAAAGAATGCTGCTGGACTCTTCAGTCAGCCATCTGAATCAACTGGACCTGTGACTGTGAAAGATGATGTAGAGGCTCCAAGAATTATGATGGATGCCAAATTCAGGGATGTTGTAGTTGTGAAAGCTGGAGAAGTGTTTAAAGTCAATGCTGATGTTGCAGGACGGCCGATACCAGTGATTTCATGGACAAAGGATGGCAAGGATCTTGAAGGAAAAGCTAGAGTTGAGATAGTATCAACAGATTACACTACTGCAATAACCATTAAGGACTGTATCCGAGGGGATTCAGGACAGTATCTACTAACATTACAGAATGTTGCAGGAACAAAATCTTTGGCAATTAATTGCAAAGTACTTGATAGACCTGGCCCACCTGCAGGCCCATTAGAAATAAATGGCCTTACTGCTGAAAAGTGCCATTTATCATGGGGACCCCCTCAAGAAAATGGTGGTGCAGAGATTGACCATTATATTGTGGAAAAACGTGAGACCAGCAGAATTGCATGGACACTTTGTGAAGGAGAGCTTAAAACAACATCTTGTAAAGTGACAAAATTACTGAAGGGTAATGAATATATTTTCAGAGTAATGGGAGTTAACAAATATGGCGTTGGTGAGCCTCTAGAAAGTGTTGCTGTCAAAGCCCTAGACCCATTTACAGTGCCAAGCCCACCTACATCTTTAGAGATCACCAGTGTGAGCAAAGATTCAATAACTCTGTGCTGGGCAAGACCTGAGTCTGATGGAGGCAATGAGATATCGGGCTATGTAATTGAAAGGCGTGAGAAAACCAGCCTAAGATGGATTCGCGTAAACAAAAAGCCAGTTTATGATTTAAGAGTGAAATCATCGGGTCTCCGTGAGGGATGTGAATATGAATTCCGGGTTTATGCAGAAAATGCTGCTGGCCTCAGTCTCCCAAGTGAAACCACACCATTGATTAAGGCAGAAGATCCAATTTTCTTGCCATCGCCGCCATCTAAACCTAAGATTATGGATTCTACAAGATCAAATATCACAATTGGTTGGACAAAGCCACTGTTTGATGGAGGTGCTCCAGTGACAGGATACACAGTCGAATACAAGAAAACCGATGAAACTGACTGGACAACAGCTATTCAGAATTTAAGAGGCACAGAATATGCCATAACTGGATTAACATCAGGCTCTGAATATGTTTTTAGAGTGAAATCCATTAACAAAATGGGTGTCAGTGAACCAAGTGATGTCTCAGAACCTCAGGTGGCAAAAGAAAGAGAGGAAGAGCCTGCCTTTGAAATTGACAGTGAAATGCGGAAGACTTTAATTGTAAAGGCTGGTGGATCATTCACAATGACTGTTCCTTTCAGAGGCAAACCAGTCCCAAATGTAACATGGAACAAACCAGACACTGATCTCCGTACACGTGCAAGCATTGACACGTCAAGTAATTGTACATCTCTTACTATTGAAAAAGCAACAAGAAATGATTCTGGAAAATATACATTAACGTTGCAAAACATCCTGAACACTACCACCTTGACTTTAATGGTCAAAGTTCTTGATACGCCTGGCCCCCCATCTAATATTGCAACAAAAGACGTAACTAAAGAATCTGCTGTGTTATCTTGGGATGTTCCTGAAAATGATGGTGGAGCACCTGTAAAGAACTATGTAATTGAAAAACGAGAAGCTAGCAAAAAGGCGTGGGTGACTGTGACAAACAACTGTCATCGCCTGTCCTACAAAGTGACTGGTTTGCAAGAAGGTGCCATCTACTACTTCCGTGTCTCTGGAGAAAATGAATATGGTGTTGGAGTGCCTTCTGAGACCAAGGAGGGAACAAAAATAACAGGTATGTTTTACTATGAAAAAATCCGTTAATACTTAAAATAATGTGTTTTAAAGTATTTACTTCAAAATAATGCCAAAAGCTTTAAATCTGCATACAGTAAAATGGACCAAATAAAAAAGAGCTAAGTAATAGCTTGAATTTTAAATTTTGCTTGGATTTTACTTAAAATATTTCTAATATACAAATTGGTTTAAAACCTCATTTTCTTGATCCAGATTGTGTTCCTTTGTAATTGCTAATATAAAAAGTCAATATCTTTTATATTTTTAACCTGTTGCACTTTTTTCCTCAGAAAAACCCAGCCCACCAGAAAAGCTAGGAGTAACAAACGTCACAAAGGACAGTGTTTCTCTTTCATGGCTAAAACCAGAACATGATGGTGGAAGCAGAATTGTTAGCTACCTCCTTGAAGCTCTTGAGAAAGGACAGCAAAAATGGGTTAAGTGTGCAGTTGTAAAGACAACTCATCATGTTGTCCATGGTCTTAAGGAAAACGTTGACTATTTCTTCAGAGTGTCTGCAGAAAACCAAGCTGGTTTAAGTGATCCTAAGGAACTACTGCTCCCTGTTACAGTTAAAGAACAATTAGGTATGCTTCCTGGCATGAGACAAAAGTCATATTCAATTGCATTCATATTTTAAAAGATGGAACATTCTTTTAATGGTTTGGAAATGTTTTATTTTTCAGAATCTCCTGAGATTGACATGAAGGGCTTCCCTCATAACACTGTATATGTTCGAGCAGGATCAAATCTAAAAGTTGAAATTCCAGTTTCAGGAAAACCAGTGCCAAAGGTGACACTGTCTAGAGATGGTGTCGCACTGAAACCTACCATGAGATTTCACACAGAAACCACTGCTGAAAGTCTCATTATCAACCTTAAAGAAAGTGTGGCTGCTGATGCTGGCAGATACGACATTACTGCTGCGAACTCAAGTGGCACCACAAAATCATTTGTTAATATTGTTGTGCTGGATAGACCCGGTCCTCCTGTTGGTCCTGTTGCCCTTAGCGATGTCACTGAAGAGAGTGTAACACTCAGATGGCAGCCACCAGCTTATGATGGTGGAAGTCAGGTTACCAACTATATTGTACTGAAAAGAGAAACAAGTACTGCTGCTTGGTCTGAAGTGTCTGCCACTGTTGCTAGAACCGTTATCAAAGTTATGAGGCTCACAACAGGAGAAGAGTACCAATTCCGCATCAAAGCTGAGAACCGCTTTGGCATCAGCGATCACATAGACTCACAGTGTGTGGTTGTCAAGCTTCCTTATAGTGAGTAACGTGCTTCTCATGGTTTACAGTGATGTTTTAGTGCTCTGATGTTGCAAATATAATTTTGTTAACAATCAATTTTTTTTGCTATCATCAGCTACCCCGGGCCCTCCTTCTACACCATGGGTCACTAATGTTACCCGAGAGAGTATTACTGTCGGATGGCATGAGCCAGTCACTAATGGTGGCAATGCTATCATTGGGTATCACCTGGAAATGAAAGACAGAAATAGCATATTATGGCAGAAGGCTAACAAGACCCTTATTCGCACCACTCATTTCAAAGTCACCACAATCAGCGCTGGCCTTATCTATGAATTTAGAGTTTATGCAGAAAATGCAGCTGGCATTGGAAAAGCAAGTCGTCCTTCTGATCCAGTCCTTGCAATTGATGCTTGTGGTATGTACTCTCTATAAAATAATGAAGCCCAGTCATTTTGTCCCCCTGTGATCTGTTCTGTACAATAAGACAATATTCAAAATAGCTGTTAATTATTGGCAATATTCTTGTTTCCTTCTGCAGAGCCACCAAGAAACGTTCGTGCCTCAGATATTTCCAAGACCTCTATCACTCTCTCCTGGCAGAAGCCAGCATTTGATGGTGGTAGCAAAATCACTGGATACATTGTAGAAAAACGTGATCTTCCAGATGGCAGATGGACAAAAGCTAGCTTCACCAATGTTATTGAGACTCAGTTCACAGTATCTGGCCTGACACAGAATTCCAAGTATGAATTCCGGGTCTTTGCAAAGAATGCTGTCGGTTCCATCAGTAATCCCTCAGATGTTGTGGGTCCTATCACATGTGTTGATACATACGGTAAGTGTTTTGCAATGATATAATGATATAATTTTTGTGTACTAGGACAATGGCTGTGCTGTTTTGTAGATTCACGGTCTTTTAAATATATGGAAGGATAGTTTACAGTGATTGACTCAAAAAGCATGACTAACTGTGAGCATTTGGGCACGATTGTAATGGGCATCTTTAGCTGTATCTCCATTTTTAAAGTCATCTGGTATCTTTATTCTCTGAGCAAAAGAAGTCTGCCCATGGTTCAAGTGGTTATATTTATACATATAATTGTCTTTTCTTCATAGGATTTGTTCTAACTTATTCTAGGTTTATGATATAAATTATATATGCTCTCTTACTTTGATCTGTATTTTTTAAATACCTTTATCTACTAGATTAAATAAGGTAGTATTATTTGGGGGTTTTATTAAATACAGGACTACAACAAACACGTTTTAAACTTTTTCTTATTTTTTCTTAAGGTGCACCTGAAATCGATGTGCCACCAGAATATACAGAAGTGGTAAAATACAAAGCAGGAACTTCAGTTAAGCTAAAACTAGGCATCTCAGGCAAGCCTATACCCACAATTGAATGGTTCAAAAATGGCAATGAAGTCCTAACCAGTGCACTAGTGTCTTTTGAAAGCACAACAGAATTTGCTTCTATACTCATCAAGGATGCAAATAGACTCGACAGTGGCACCTATGAATTAAAACTGAAAAATGCCATGGGTTCAGCATCAGCCCATATTAGAGTACAGATACTTGGTAAGTCTTGAGATGCAACTGTATTTTACTATTAAACAGTAATTCAGTAGTGAATACTTAACAGATTCTTTCTTCTGCCTTCCACAGACAAGCCAGGACCCCCAGGTGGACCTATACAGTTTAAGACAGTCACTGCTGAAAAGATAACAATAATGTGGGACCCACCAGCAGATGATGGTGGTGCAGCTATAACACACTATGTTGTTGAAAAGCGGGAAACAAGTCGGGTTGTATGGTCTTTAATTTCTGAAAAACTGGAGGGATGTATCATAACTACAACAAAACTCATCAAAGGAAATGAGTATGTGTTCCGTGTCCGTGGTGTGAACAAGTTTGGAATTGGCGATCCACTGGAATCTGAGCCTGTTGTAGCCAAAAATTCATTTGGTAAGAAATAAGTTCTATAAAATAACTTATGCAACTGAATTGTCTTGTATACTGTTTGTAAGTAGCATTGATCAACTGACATATTGATTTTTTATTCAGTTACACCTGGACCACCTAGTACACCAGAAGTCACAAAGATAACCAAGAATTCTATGACTGTTGTCTGGAGTAGGCCCACTGTTGATGGAGGCAGTGAAATATCAGGATATTTTCTGGAAAAACGTGACAAGAAGAGTCTGAGTTGGTTCAAGGTCTCTAAAGAAACCATTCGGGACACCAGACAGAAAGTAACAGGTCTGACGGAAAACAGCGAATATCATTTCCGAGTTTGTGCTGTCAATGCAGCTGGACCCGGTCCATTCTCTGAGGCTTCTGACTTCTACAAAGCTGCAGATCCTGTTGGTAAGATTCAATGTGCATTTCTTCCAATAGGTTAGAAATCAAAGGAAAATGAGTAGTTTAGGGTGGGATTGTACCAACATAATTGAGGGCAGATTTTCTTCCTCTTGCAATTAATGGGATTCTGATTGGTGTTTTTCCCCCCATAAACTATCATTTACAGATAAGCCAGGCACACCAACAAAGCTGAAAGTTGTGGATACAACCAAGACATCTGTTACACTTGGCTGGATTAAACCTGCTTATGATGGAGGAAGTCCAATTACCCACTACGTGGTGGAAAAGAGGGAAGGTGAAGAGCAAGAATGGACTGTAGTCAGTACCAAGGGAGAAGTGAGAACAACTGAATATGTTGTATCCCACCTCCAGCCAAGTGTTAATTACTATTTCCGTGTCTCTGCTATGAATTGTGCTGGACAAGGAGAGCCTATTGAAATGATGGAACCTGTTCAAGCTAAAGATATTCTTGGTACTGTATTTCTTTGTGATTTATCATTTTCCTGTGTATTTTTTAAAACTATTTCTTATTTCACATTCCAAGTATGCATTATTAATTTTTTATTTATTTCCACAGTGGCACCAGAGATTGATCTGGATGTTGCTCTTCGGACATCTATTGTTGCTAAAGCAGGTGAAGATGTGGAAATAATGATTCCATTCAAGGGAAGGCCTCCTCCAACAGTCACATGGAGAAAGGGGGACAAGAATCTTGGGACTGATGAAAGATATATCATCCAAAACACAGAATCATCTACACTGCTTACTATTCCTCAAGTTACACGAAATGATACAGGAAAATATGTTCTTACAATTGAAAATGGAGTTGGAGAAGCAAAATCATCATTTGTAAATGTAAAAGTACTTGACACACCTTCTGCATGCCAGAAGCTGCAGCTCAAGCATGTCTCTCGTGGCACAGTTACACTGGTATGGGAGCCACCTCTCATCAATGGTGGTTCTGAAATAACAAATTATGTTGTTGAAAAAAGAGATGCTACAAAGAGGGCCTGGTCAACTGTTACAACAAAGTGTTCTCATACCACCTTTAAACTGACTAACCTGTCAGAAAAGACTGCATTCTTTTTCCGTGTTCTCGCTGAAAATGAAATTGGACTAGGTGAACCTTGTGAGACAACTGAACCAGTGAAAGCTGCAGACGTACCTGGACCTGTAAAAGACCTAACCATGAAAGACTCTACAAAGAGTTCTGTTAAATTGCAGTGGAGCAAACCTGACTATGATGGTGGTAGCATTATATCAGATTATGTTATTGAAAAGAAACTTCAGGAAGAGAAAGAATGGACGTATGCAGGCACAAGCAAGAGCTGTGAATTTGTAGCTGAAAAACTTAAAGAGCTTTCTGTCATGGAATTCAGAGTCTTTGCTAAAAATGAAAAAGGCATGAGCGACTCTGTTACTGTTGGACCCATTACTGTGAAAGAGCTTATAATAACACCTGAGGCTGACCTTTCTGATATTCCTGGAGGTCAGATTGCAGTAAGAATTGGACATAATCTGCATGCTGAATTGCCCTATAAAGGTAAACCTAATCCATCAATGAGCTGGCTCAAGGATAACCTCCCTCTTAAAGAAACAGAACATCTTCGTTTCAAGAAAACTGAAAACAAGATAAGTTTAAGTATCAAGAATGTGAAAAAGGAGCATGGTGGCAAATATACTTTAATTCTTGATAACGTAGTCTGCAGAAAGTCATTCACAATCACTGTAATCACTCTTGGTCCTCCATCTAGGCCAAAAGCACCTTTAAGAATAGATGAAATCAAAGCGGATAGTGTAGTTTTGTCATGGGAGGCTCCTGATGATGATGGGGGAGGAGAAATTACTGGCTACAGTATCGAGAAGAGAGAAACATCACAAATGAACTGGAAGCTGGTCTGTTCAAGTGCTGCAAGAACAACCTTCAAAGTACCAAACCTTGTTAAAGATACTGAGTATCAGTTTAGAGTTCGTGCAGAAAACAGATACGGAGTGAGCCCACCTCTTATCTCAGCAGATGTTGTGGCAAAGCACCAGTTTAAACCACCAGGTGCCCCAGGCAAGCCTGTTGTATACAACGTAACTGCTGATGGAATGAGCATTTCTTGGGATGCTCCTGTTTATGATGGTGGTTCAGAGATTATGGGATACCATGTTGAAAAGAAGGAAAGAAACAGTATTTTGTGGCAGAAGGTTAATGTTGCATTAATATCTAACCGAGAATACAGGATTACTGGACTGCTTGAGGGCCTGGATTACCAGTTCCAAGTATATGCTGAAAACGCTGCAGGTTTAAGCCGAGCTAGTGAGCCAAGCAAATTTACTTTGGCAGTCTCTCCAGTAGGTAAGTGAACGACTAATCACTCACCCGAGTAAATTCTGTTCTTGTAGATTATTGTGAGCAGTAATAAAAATAAATCTTCATTATTTTCCTTTCAGACCCACCTGGTACTCCTGATTATATTGATGTCACTAGGGAAACAATCACCCTGAAATGGAACCCCCCTCTGCGTGATGGAGGCAGTAAGATTGTGGCTTACAGCATTGAGAAGCGGCAAGGAAGTGCAGACCGTTGGCTCAGGTGTAACTTTACTGATGTCAGTGAGTGCCAGTATACAGTTACAGGGCTCAGTCCAGGTGACCGATATGAATTCAGAGTCCTTGCAAGAAATGCTGTTGGTACCATCAGCCCACCTTCACAGTCTTCAGGCTATATCATGACCAGAGATGAAAATGGTAAGAATTCTTTTAAAATATGCTTGGATATTGAAGCCAGATAAAATTTCTGGCTGTACTGATGGGAAGTGGGAAGTCAAGGGGCAAAGAACTTGTGACTGAGGTCCTCCCGGTCAATTCAGAACATTTATGTTCATACTCCAGGGTGGGAAGGTCTAAATTAAAGACCCAAGTCTGGCAGACATACATAATCAATTGCTGAAAAGCATGGCACTCTACATTGCTCTTGAATAAGCAGCAACAGCAGCAAAATTGGAAAGAAGGCATAGACTGTAATATTCCAATGCACTGAATAATCTCAAAATTAAAATGTGCCTCAGGTTGCTTGGCATACTATTAACGCCACGTATTAACCATACTTTTCACCTTTATATATGTGCAAATATATATATATATGATGCACTTATGGATACTTACAGGAAAAATAAGTTTATCATTCATATAATAACTGCTATTTAGAGAATGCCATTTTGCAAGTGAAATAATTTTATATTTCACATACTTTTATAGTTAGTAAATTTAGAAGAGTACCAGAAAAATATTTAGCTATATGGAAATTGATTTATATTTTCCTTTTTTAGTTGCTCCAACAATTGAATTTGGTGCTGAACACTTTGAAGGCCTTACTGTTAAAGCTGGAGAGAGCATTAGACTTAAAGCTCTAATCAGAGGACGTCCAGTACCTAAAGTGACATGGTTTAAGGATGGTAAAGAGATTGATAAAATGATGAATATAGAAATAACTACAGCTATTGGATATAGTACAATCTTCATTAGAGATGCTGTCAGGGAACATCGTGGAGTGTACACAGTAGAAGCCAAAAATGCATCAGGCACTAAACGAGAAGATATTACCATCAGAGTACAAGGTACTGTACTTCACCAAGCACTTTCAGCATGCTTTTTTAAAAATAGTATTTTATTATAAGTGTCAGCAAATTATAACTGTGAACCTTTGAAATTGCAGACACACCAGGAAAAGTTGGTGGACCAATACGATTCACAAACATCACTGGAGAAAAAGTCACATTATGGTGGGAGCCTCCAGCTAATGATGGCTGTGCTTCTATTTCTCACTACATAATTGAAAAACGTGAAACCAGCAGGATTGCTTGGGCATTAGTTGAAGATAAATGTGAAGCTTGCAGCTATACAGCACTTAAATTAATTAAGGGCAATGAGTATCAGTTCCGTGTCTCTGCAGTGAACAAATTTGGAGTTGGCAGACCATTGGAGTCTGATCCAGTTATCGCACAAATACCTTACAGTAAGTTTCCACCTCATTCTGCACAAATACCCATGGAGTTACCATCTTGTCCTTCTAATAACATTTTTCTTTGTTTTTAGCTCTCCCTGATGCACCAGGAACTCCAGAGCCTACCAATGTAACAGGAGACAGTATCACACTCACATGGGCAAGACCAGAGTCAGATGGTGGAAGCGAGATAAATGAGTACATTCTTGAAAGGAGAGAAAAGAAGAGCATGCGCTGGGTTAAAGTATCCAGTAAGAGGCCCATTACTGAGAACAGATACAGGGTAACTGGCCTTATTGAAGGCAATGAGTATGAGTTCCATGTCATGGCTGAAAACGCTGCAGGGGTTGGACCTCCAAGTGACGTTTCAAAGCTGATTAAATGCAGAGAGCCAGTCAGCCCACCAAGTGCTCCTAATGTTGTCAAGGTGACAGACACATCAAAGACTAGTGTAACCTTAGAGTGGACAAAGCCAGTTTTTGATGGAGGCATGGAAATAATCGGGTACATCATTGAGATGTGCAAAGCTGATCTTGAAGCATGGCAGAAAGTCAATGCAGAGACTGTTATTGCTACTAAATATACCGTTGTTGATTTGGAGGCAGGAGAACACTATAAATTCAGAGTTAGTGCTGTCAATGGTGCTGGCAGAGGAGAAAGTTGCGAAGTTCCTGCTTCAGTCCAAACCGTGGACAGGCTTTCTGCACCTGAAATTGATATTGATGCAAACTTCAAGCAGACTCATATTGTAAGAGCAGGTGCAAGCATTCGTCTATTCATTGCCTTCTCTGGAAGGCCAGTTCCTACTGCAGTGTGGTCCAAAGCAGATGCAAATCTTAGTTTGCGTGCTGACATTCAAACAACTGATTCATTCAGCACGTTGACTGTAGAGGAATGCAATAGGAATGACGCTGGCAAGTATGTCTTTACTGTGGAAAACAACAGTGGAAGCAAGTCTATTACATTTACTGTCAAGGTTTTGGACACACCTGGTCCACCAGGTCCTATTACCTTTAAAGATGTGACTCGAACATCTATTACTTTAATGTGGGATGCTCCTGTTCTAGATGGAGGTTCTCGTATTCACCACTATGTTGTGGAAAAACGTGAAGCAAGTCGTCGTAGCTGGCAAGTGGTGAGTTCAAAATGCACTCGACAAATCTTTAAGGTCACAGATCTAGCAGAAGGTATGCCATATTACTACCGAGTATCGGCAGAAAATGAATATGGTGTAGGTGAACCCTGTGAATTAACAGAACCAGTTGTAGCCACAGAAGAACCTGCTCCACCTAAGAGACTAGATATTGTTGATACAACCAAATCTTCTGTAGTTTTAGCTTGGCTTAAACCCGATCATGATGGTGGTAGCCGTATTACTGGATATCTTCTTGAAATGAAACAAAAAGGATCTGACTCCTGGACTGGAGCTGGACAAACCAAGCAACTTACTTTCACCGTTGAAGGCCTTGTGGAGAACACAGAATATGAGTTCCGGGTCAAGGCGAAGAATGATGCTGGCTACAGTGAGCCAAGAGAAGCTTTCTCTTCTGTTATTGTTAAGGAGCCACAGATTGAACCAACAGCAGATCTCAGTGACATAAGCAGACAGCTTATAACATGCAAGGCTGGAAGCACCTTTACTATTGATATACCAATCAGTGGGCGCCCAGCTCCGAAAGTGACATGGAAACTTGAAGAGATGAGGCTGAAGGAAACTGAAAGAGTGACCATCAAGACAACAAAAGACCGAACCACACTGACTGTCAAAGACAGTATGAGAGGTGACTCTGGTAAATACTACCTTACACTTGAGAACACTGCTGGTGTGAAAACATTTACTGTCACAGTGGTAGTCATAGGAAGGCCAGGTCCTGTCACTGGCCCAATTGAAATATCGTCTGTATCTGCTGAGTCCTGTGTGTTGACCTGGAAAGAACCTGAAGATGATGGCGGCAGTGACATTACAAACTACATTGTAGAGAAACGTGAATCTGGCACAACAGCATGGCAGCTGGTGAATTCCAGTGTGAAACGCACGCAGATCAAAGTCAGTCATCTCACAAAATACCAAGAGTACAGTTTCCGAGTAAGCTCAGAAAATCGATTTGGTGTCAGCAAGCCAGTTGAATCAAAAACTGTAGTTGCTGAGCATCCATTTGGTAAGTGAAACACTTCTCAAAATTTGTTCTTTTTTTCTGACTGAGGTATTTATAATTACTAACATTTTCTTCCCCACCTTTTTTGTGTTTAGTCCCACCTAGCCCACCCTCAAGGCCAGAAGTCTATTCTGTGTCTGCAAGTGCCATGGCCATTCGCTGGGAGGAACCCTATCATGATGGTGGCAGCAAAGTCATTGGATATTGGGTGGAAAAGAAGGAGCGCAACACCATCCTTTGGGTGAAGGAGAACAAAGTACCATGCTGTGACTGCAACTATAAAGTCACGGGGTTGGTGGAAGGCCTGGAATATCAATTCAGAACCTATGCTCTAAATGCTGCAGGTGTTAGCAAAGCTAGTGAAGCTTCCAGACCAGTAGTGGCTCAAAATCCAGTTGGTAAGTATTCCTTTTAGAGTTACATTGTTACATAGAGCTAAAATAGGATTGCCTTTCTCATTTTTTCTGCTTTATTCCTCCAGATCCACCAGGAAGACCAGAAGTAACAGATGTCACCAGATCGACAGTGTCACTGAGCTGGTCACCTCCACTTTATGATGGTGGAAGCAAAATAATCGGATATATTATTGAGCGCAAACCATATAACGAATCTGGTGATGGACGTTGGCTGAAATGCAATTATACCATTGTCTCAGAAAACTTTTTTACTGTGACAGCTCTTAGTGAAGATGAAGCCTATGAATTCCGTGTACTAGCAAAGAATGCTGCTGGTGTGATTAGCAAAGGATCTGAATCAACTGGTGCTGTCATTTGCAAAGATGAATACAGTAAGGAATATTTACTTGGAACAATTAAAAACATATTGTTCTATTTTTGGTACTGTCATGTAATTTTTTTCCAAATCTCTTTTTCCAGCACCACCAAAGGCTGAACTTGATGCCAGACTGCAGGGAGAAGTTTTGAGCATTAGGGCTGGATCAGATCTTGTTCTTGATGCAGCCATTGGTGGAAAACCAGAACCGAAAGTCTTCTGGTCCAAAGGTGACAGGGAACTGGAGCTATGTGAAAAGATATCTCTGCAATATACCAGCAAACGAGCTATTGCAATTATCAAGTTCTGTGACAGAAGTGATAGTGGAAAATATACCCTAACTGTTAAAAACGCCAGTGGGATGAAACAAATTTCTGTTCTTGTCAAAGTGCTTGGTATGTATCCTGTGATTAGTATTAATACTTAGTATACTGGAAAAAAATCAGCATTCTTTTAAATAAGAATGAGAAGCTTTTCCTTAGCCACTAATGACAGTATTTATTTTGATTCCTATACAGATTCACCAGGTCCATGTGCAGGCAAAATCACAATTAGCAGAGTAACAGAAGAGAAATGTACTCTGGCATGGAACATTCCTGAGGAAGATGGAGGGGCAGAAATCACTCACTACATCATAGAAAGGCGTGAAACCAGCAGACTTCACTGGGTTATTGTTGAGGCTGAATGCCAGACTTTATCAACTGTAGTAACAAAACTTATTAAAAATAATGAATACATTTTCCGTGTGAGAGCTGTCAACAAATATGGAGCAGGTGTTCCACTTGAATCAGAAACTGTGATTGCCAGGAATGCTTTCAGTGAGTGTTACCCTTCCATTCTGCATCAGAATTTGTGTAATAATTCTCATGGATAAACAATGTGTTGAACAATCTTTTTTTTCTCACTTTTAAAAAAATAGCTATTCCAACCCAGCCTGGTGCTCCTGAAGAAGTGAGTGTTGGCAAGGAGCATATCATTATTCAGTGGTCGAAACCAGAATCGGATGGTGGCAGTGAGATTAAGGACTATCTTGTGGACAAACGTGAAAGGAAGAGTCTGCGCTGGACACGCGTGAATAGAGATTATACCATTTATGACACCAGACTGAAAGTCACTGGTCTCATGGAAGGGGGCCAATACCAATTCCGTGTCACTGCAGTGAATGCTGCTGGAAACAGTGAACCCAGTGAAGCTTCACAATACATGTTATGTAAAGAACCATCATGTAAGTTTCTATATTCAAAATATGTTTTAATATTTATTTATAATAATGGAGCATTAACTCACATTGACACTTTTACTAAGAAACCCATAACCACACATAAACTCACTGAACTAGTGAATAGTATTGGAATAACTTAAAAACAGTTATAGTTCATATTAAATGCATTTCCTGGAATTACCTGTCTGGAAATTGGTTTTGACTGTAAAATGTTTTCTGTACCAATATAAAATGCATTTTCTTCTTTTTCAAAGACACTCCTGCATCACCTTCAGTTCCAAGAGTTGTGGATACTACAATGCACAGCATCAGTTTAGCATGGTCAAAGCCCACATATGATGGTGGTGCTGACCTCTTAGGCTATGTTCTTGAAATGAAAGAAGAAGGCAGTGAACAGTGGTATCGAGCACATACAGCCGCCACTCTGAGGAATGCTGAGTTCACCGTGACGGGTCTTAAAACAAACCAGAAATACCAATTCCGAGTTGCTGCAACAAACGTGAATGGTATGAGTGAATTTAGTGAATCATCAGCAGAAATAGAACCTGTGGAAAGAATAGGTAATTAAAAAACCTAATATATATTTTAAGTAAAATATATTTTCCTTTAGGACTTCTGTAAGATTAACTAATTCCATATTTCTTATACCCTTCATCAGAAACACCTGAACTGGAGCTTGCTGATGATCTGAAGAAGACAGTTACAGTCAGAGCTGGAGGCTCCCTGCGCCTAATGGTCTCTGTATCTGGCAGACCTGCTCCTGTAATCACATGGAGCAAGCAGGGTGTTGACCTTGTCAGTCGAGGTATTATTGATACTACAGACAGCTACACTCTGCTTATTGTGGATAAAGTTAATCGGTATGATGCTGGAAAATACATCATTGAGGCTGAAAATCAATCAGGAAAAAAATCTGCAACTATTTCTGTGAAAGTGTATGGTAAGTACTGCTACAATTGTATGTGAGCATTACAGTGCTCTGCATGCTCGTTGCTCAGAAATAAGTGTCATTCATTTCCAAAGGAAGTTTGCATTTTAAATAACATGAGAATGAGAAGTCAGAGAAACAATCTAATCCAAAGGAAAATTCATCATTTCTGGAGCTGTGCTAGTTTATAAATCAAATCCCAGCATTTTTGTTTTATGTGGAAGTAGTCATTGATTGTAAAGTGAAAGGATCCAAATAGGAAAAAAAAAATTTGTTTGTTTGTTTTAGACACACCCGGTCCACCACCTGCAGTGAGAGTTAAGGAAGTATCAAAAGATTCTGTGACACTTACTTGGGACATTCCAGTCATTGATGGTGGAGCCCCAGTCAACAATTACATAATTGAGAAACGTGAAGCTTCCATGAGAGCTTACAAGACTGTCACTACCAAATGCAGCAAGACATTTTACAGAGTTACTGGACTTCTGGAAGGAGCTTTGTATTATTTCCGAGTACTACCAGAAAATATTTACGGCATTGGTGAAGGCTGTGAAACATCTGATGCAGTACTGGTATCTGATGTCCCCATGGTACCACAAAAACTCGAAGTGATTGACACCACTAAATCAACTGTTACACTTGCTTGGGAGAAACCACTGCATGATGGTGGCAGCAGATTGACTGGCTATGTCATTGAGGCCAGCAAAGCTGGGACAGAAAGATGGTTGAAGGTAGTGACGTTGAAGCCTACGGTCTACGAGCATACCATTATCTCTCTCAATGAAGGTGAACAGTACTTGTTCCGGGTCAGAGCACAGAATCAGAAGGGCATGTCAGAACCACGTGAGATTGTCACAGCAGTGACAGTTCAGGACCGAAAAGGTAGGTGTCTACTGTTGAAAACAATATGGTCAAGCTTACACCAAATGAATGTGATAGTTACAACACAGGTATTTAAAATATCAATTATTTTCTTTCCTTAGTTCTACCAACAATTGACTTCACTGGAATACCTCAGAAGACCATCCATGTACCTGCTGGCAAGCCCATTGAATTAGCCATTCCAATTGAAGGACGACCACCTCCAACTGCGTCTTGGTTCTTTGCTGGTTCTAAACTAAAAGAATCAGAACGCATCAAAATGGAGACTTCTGCCAAAATGGCCAAATTAACTGTGCGTGAGACCACCATACATGACACAGGGGAGTATACACTTGAACTGAAGAACACAACTGGAACAGTTACTGATACAGTAAAAGTTATAATCCTTGGTAAGAGTTCATCAAAATAATTGTCCTCCATTCAAACTTTTTCATGAGAAATATGATTCCTTTTTTGCACCTGTTTTGTAAGTCTCTTTTCTTTTCTTTTTTTCTTTTTTTTTTTTTTTTCCCTAGACAAGCCTGGACCACCTGTTGGACCTATCAGAATTGATGAAATTGATGCGAATTATGTAACCATCTCCTGGGAGCCTCCTGAGCTGGATGGTGGAGCTGCCCTTAGTGGGTATGTGGTAGAACAACGTGATGCTCACCGTCCTGGATGGCTGCCAGTTTCAGAGTCAGTAACCAGGACAACATTTAAGTTCACCAGACTTGTTGAAGGTGCAGAATATGTGTTCCGTGTAGCTGCTACAAACCGCTTTGGAATTGGATCTTACCTGCAGTCTGAAATTATAGAATGCAAGAGCAGAATCCGTAAGTCTTAATTTTTGTTCAATCTCTATTTTTAAAATTAGAAATATATGTTTAAATGAGCCTATATATCCACACATATACTAGAATTTTCTACATGTTGCGACTTCCTTTTGCCAGATAAAATTGTACATCATGATGCACAGTAATCATGTTATTTTCCAGAGGAAAAATGCCATCCATAAATCGGTATAGGTATTATAGATGCATTGCACAGAACATGGATGGTAAACAGATGGATTTTCTGCTTAGGTCTACCATCAATCTTGAAAAAGTGCTCTACCCCATTACAAAACAAGAAGTTTTACCTGATTTGTAAATTACTTAAGTACCTGCTAATAAAAGTGTTTGATAAGACATTGATATTACATTGTTATTCACAATGTCACATCCTACTAAGGTGTAAAGTCATCTGATCCTTTCTTCACTAATTCCATGTCATATTTTTACAGGTATTCCTGGTCCTCCTGGCACTCCTGAAGTGTTTGATATCTCTCGAGATGGCATGACATTGACTTGGTATCCTCCAGAAGATGATGGTGACTCACAGATTACTGGTTATATTGTGGAACGCAAAGAAGTTAGAGCAGATAGATGGATCCGTGCAAATAAAGTTCCAGTCACCATGACTCGTTACCGTTCCACTGGGTTGGTTGAAGGATTAGAATATGAACACCGGGTCACTGCAATCAATGCCAGAGGCACTGGGAAACCCAGCCGTCCTTCCAAATCTGCTGTTGCCAGAGATCCAATTGGTAAGTAATTTCCTACACAGATTAAACACATGATGGTAGAAGAGAATGACATTATGGTAGAATTAATTCTAATTTGAAAATTTTTCTGGTTGTATTAACAAATGAGATTCTGACTGGAGGAAAAAAAAAAGAAAATATTAATGAAAATCTTTCATTCAAAGTTTTCCTTTTTAAATTCTTTATACTTATTAGAGATTGTAAACTGCAAGTTACCATTTATTTCATCTTTCAAGTATTCATAGAAACAAATCCCACCTGCCTATCTGATCTTCTCTTCCAGCTCCTCCAGGTAAACCTCAGAATCCAAGAGTCACTGATACTACAAGAACATCTGTCTCCCTGGCTTGGAGTCCACCAGAAGATGAAGGTGGCTCTAAGGTTACTGGCTACTTAATTGAGATGCAGAAGGTTGATCAATTTGAATGGACCAAGTGCAACACTACACCAACCAAGATTCGGGAATACACCTTGACACATCTTCCCCAAGGTGCAGAGTACAGATTCCGAGTGCTAGCCTGTAATGCTGGTGGGCCAGGAGAACCTGCTGAAGTGCCAGGAACAGTCAAAATTACAGAAATGCTTGGTAAGACATTTCAAGCCTTAGCTCTTGTTGAAAGCTGTCCTAAAAAAATTTTTGCCTAAAGCAGGTATGATATCACCTGTAGAACGACATAGCATGACATGTTGTTTTTGTTTGCAGAATATCCTGACTATGAACTTGATGAAAAATACCAAGAAGGTCTCATGGTGAGACAAGGAGGAGTAATCAGGCTTACAATACCCATTAAGGGTAAGCCCATGCCAGTATGCAAATGGACAAAAGAAGGACAGGACATCAGCAAGAGGGCCATGATTGCAACTTCAGAGACTCACACAGAACTTGTGATCAAAGATGCAGAAAGAGAAGATTCGGGCACCTATGATTTGGTACTTGAAAACAAGTGTGGCAAGAAAGCCGTGTACATTAAAGTCAGAGTGATTGGCATTCCAAATCCACCAGAAGGACCACTTGAGTATGATGATATACAAGCTCGCTCTGTCAGAGTAAGCTGGAGACCTCCTACAGATGATGGTGGTGCAGACATCCTGGGTTATATTGTTGAGAGAAGAGAAGTACCGAAGACTGCCTGGTACACTGTTGACTCTAGAGTGAAAGGGACATCACTAGTGGTGAAAGGACTCAAAGAAAATGTGGAATATCACTTCCGTGTTTCTGCTGAAAACCATTTTGGTATTAGCAAATCTCTCAAATCTGAAGAACCAGCAGTACCAAAGACACCTCTAAGTAAGTTTTCGATTCAAAAAACCCCCCAAATTAATAACTACATTATGATCTAAAAGTGCAACAATATATGCAGAAATATTAATGCTATGTCACTGTTATATTTTTATTATTAACAGATCCACCAGAGCCTCCAAACAACCCACCTGAAGTCCTTGATGTTACAAAGAGTTCTGTCAACTTGTCCTGGTCCAGACCTAAAGATGATGGTGGTTCTCGTGTAACTGGCTACTATATTGAACGTAAAGAGACATCTACAGAAAAATGGGTCCGGCATAATAAGACTCAGATTACCACTACAATGTACACAGTCACAGGACTTGTTCCAGATGCTGAATATCAATTCCGCGTCATTGCTCAAAATGACATTGGTGAAAGTGAAGCAAGTCCTGCTTCTGAACCAGTTGTATGCAAGGATCCATTTGGTAAGATAATGTCCACATTAACTGATCTTTTCAAGGACAGTTTAATGACATTTAGAGAAAAACTGATTTTCTGTTTCAATTTATTTTAATTTTCAGACAAACCTAGCCAACCTGGAGAAATTGAGATCACTTCTATCTTTAAGGACAGCATTACATTAGAATGGGAACGACCTGAAAGTGATGGTGGCAAAGAGATCCTTGGCTATTGGGTTGAATATCGCCAGTCTGGAGAAAGCACCTGGAAAAAATGCAATAAGGAACGCATCAAGGACAGGCAGTTTACAGTAGGAGGTTTACTAGAGGCCACAGAATATGAGTTCCGTGTTTTTGCAGAAAATCAGACTGGCCTCAGCAGACCTCGAAGGACTGCTATGGCAGTGAAAACTAAATTAACATGTAAGCAAAAATACATTGTCATTTTTCTGATGTTGTTGTAATTTGCTACATCATAAACCATGGTGCTGCATTTAACATGCTGCATATTTATTTTATGTGATATTTGCTAACATGACTATCCCAAATGACAGTCTCTCAAGAGGATCAAGTATAAATGAAAACTGATTTCCAGTAATATAGTAATAGAAGAAAATGTCATCGTAATCATCATTATTTTTTTCTTATTTTCTTTGTCGCAGCTGGAGAAGCACCTGCCATAAAGAAAGAAATGCAGGATGTTACAACTAAACTGGGTGAGGCAGCTCAACTGACATGCCAGATTGTTGGGAGACCTTTGCCTGATATTAAATGGTACCGCTTTGGCAAAGAGCTGGTACAAAGCAGAAAATACAAAATGTCATCTGATGGACGCAATCATACACTGACAGTAATGACAGATGAACAGGAGGATGAAGGTCTTTACACTTGTATGGCTACCAATGATGTTGGAGAAATTGAAACTAGTGGCAAGCTATTATTGCAGGCTCCTCCTCAGTTCCACCCTGGCTTCCCATTGAAAGAGAAATACTACGCAGGCGCAGGTGGCACCCTCCGCCTTCATGTTGTGTATATTGGCCGGCCAGTACCAGCAATAACTTGGTTCCATGGCAACAAACCTTTGAGAGGATCAGAAACAGTTACTATTGAGAACACAGAACAGTATACTCATCTTGCTATTAAGAATGTCCAGCACAAGACTCATGCTGGGAAGTACAAAGTACAACTCAGTAACACATTTGGAACAGTTGACACTGTACTTAATGTGGAAATACAAGGTAATAAATTTTCTTTTCAGTATTTTGTGGAATATTTTTTCAAATATTGACTGGAAAAACAAATAAAATTTTTGTGCTTTTTCTTGGACAGATAAACCAGATAAACCAGTAGGACCAATTGTTATAGAGTCTATATTGAAGAATTCTGTGGTGATAAGCTGGAAACCGCCAGAGGATGATGGAGGTGTTATGATAACCAATTACATCATAGAGAAACGTGAAGCCAAGGAAGGAGCAGAATGGCAACTTGTATCTTCAAGTATTTCAGGCACAACCTGTAGAATTGTTAACCTAACTGAAAATGCAGGCTATTATTTCCGTGTTTCTGCTCAGAATATGTACGGCATTAGTGAAGCACTGGAGGTTTCATCAGTAGTTTTTATAAAGCCTCCATTTGGTAAGTAGAGCCTAAAATAGCAATGTCTGAATGCCCCTGTGTTTTCATTTAAGCCCAGCCCCATGCAGCTGTTTGATCACCTGTGGGATGAGGAAAGAATCAGAAGGGTAAAAGCTGAAAAACTCTTGGGTTAAGACAAAGACAGTTTAATAGGAAAAGGGAAAGCTGCATACGCCATCAATGCAAAACAAAGAATTCATTCCCTGCTTCCCATGGGCAGACAGGTGTTCAGGCATCTCCAGGAGAGCAGGGCCCCATCACAGGTAACAGTGGCTTGGGAAGCTAAATGCCATCACTTCAAGTGTCCCCCCTTCCCCCATTTCACTGAGCATGGTGTCATATGGTCTGGAATATCCCTTTGGTCACCTGGGCTCACCTGTCCTGGCTGTGTCTCCTCCCACCTTCCCAGGCACCCCCAACTTCTTCACCAGCATGGCAGTACAAAGAAGAAATGGCCTTGTCTCTGTGTAAGCTCTGCTTAGCAATAACAAAAACATCTCTGTATTATCAACCCTGTGTTCAGCACAAATCCAAAACACAGCCCCATATTAGCCATTGTGAAGAAAGTTAACTCTACCCCGGCCAAAACCAGCATGACCTGTAATTAATTACTAAGGCAAACTCACTTCAGTTTTTGAAATTTGTTATTCTTTACAGAAAAACCAGGACAACCCGGCCAGCCAGTAGCAAGTGCTATCACAAAGGATTCTTGTGTTGTCTCATGGAAACCACCTGCAAGTGATGGCGGTGCAAAGATTAGAACTTACTATCTTGAGAAGCGTGAGAAAAAACAAAACAAGTGGATTTCTGTAACAACAGATGAAATTCGTGAAACAGTCTACTCTGTGAAAGATCTTATTGAAGGTCTTGAATATGAGTTCCGTGTAAAATGTGAAAATCTTGGTGGTGAAAGTGAGTGGAGTGAGGTATCCGAACCAGTCATTCCAAAATCTGATGTACCAATTAAAGCTCCACATTTCAAGGAAGAACTAAGGAATCTGAATGTGAAATTTCAAGCTAATGCCACATTTGTCTGCAAAGTCACTGGTCATCCTAAGCCAATTGTCAAGTGGTACAGACAGGGCAAAGAAATCATGCCAGATGGGGAAAAGATCAAGATACAGGAATTCAAGGGAGGATATTACCAGCTGGTCATCACAAATGTAACAGATGATGATGCTACAGTATATCAAGTTAGAGCTACCAACCAAGGAGGATCTGTGTCTGGCACTGCCTCTCTGGATGTTGAAGGTGAATAAAGGGTCTTGATAATCAAGACAAATTCATTTAATTTCGAATATTTAGACTGTTATGCTCTTCTCGTGTGCTTTTGGTTATGTGTTTTTTTCTTCCTCTTTCTGTTCCAGTTCCTGCAAAGATTCATTTGCCTAAAAACTTGGAAGGCATGGGAGCTGTTCATGCCCTCCGAGGGGAAGTGGTGAGCATCAAGATTCCATTCAGTGGCAAGCCGCCCCCTGTGATCACATGGCAGAAGGGACAAGATCTTATCGATACTAATGGACACTACCAAGTCATTGTTACACGGTCATTCACATCTCTTGTTTTCCCAAATGGTGTTGACAGAAAAGATGCAGGGTTTTACATTGTTTGTGCCAAAAACAGATTTGGAATTGATCAAAAAACAGTTGAATTAGATGTGGCTGATGTGCCTGATCCACCAAGAGGTTTGAAGGTAACTGACGTTTCAAGGGATTCAGTCAACTTAACCTGGAATGAACCAGCTACTGATGGTGGAAGCAGGATCACGAACTACATTATTGAGAAACGTGCTACGACAGCAGAGCGATGGATTCGTGTTGCACAAGCTCGTGATACACGATACACAGTGGTGAACCTATTTGGCAAGACCACCTACCAGTTCCGTGTAATTGCAGAGAACAAGTTTGGCCAAAGTCAGCCTTCTGAACCTACTGATCCAGTTGTAACAAAGGAAGACAAGACCAGAGTAATGAACTATGATGAAGAAGTTGATGAAACCAGAGAAATTACGGCAGCTAAAGCAGGTCACTATTCTACAAAGGAACTCTATGACAAATACTTGATTGCAGAAGAGCTTGGACGCGGGCAGTTTGGCATTGCACACCGCTGTGTTGAGGCAGTTTCAAAAAAGACTTACCTGGCCAAATTTGTCAAAGTAAAGGGTGCGGACCAAGTTTTGGTAAAGAAAGAAATTTCCATCCTAAACATTGCTAGGCACCGAAATATCCTGTATCTTCATGAGTCATTTGAGAGCCTAGAAGAGTTGGTCATGATCTTTGAATTCATTTCTGGTGTTGACATCTTTGAAAGAATCAGCACAGCTTCATTTGAACTTAATGAAAGAGAAATAGTAAGTTACGTACGCCAGGTCTGTGATGCACTAGAATTTTTACATCGTCATAGCATTGGACATTTTGATATTAAACCAGACAATATTATTTACTTCACAAGAAGAAGCTCTGTAATTAAAATTGTTGAATTTGGTCAAGCCAGACAGTTGAGGCCTGGAGACAGCTTTAGACTCCAGTTCACTTCTCCTGAATATTATGCGCCTGAAGTACATCACCATGACTTGGTCAGCACAGCTACGGACATGTGGTCAGTTGGTGCTCTAACATACATACTTCTCAGTGGCCTTAACCCTTTCATTGCTGAAACAAACCAACAAGTTATTGAAAATATTCTAAATGCTGAATACAGCTTTGAGGATGAAGCATTCAAGGACATAAGCGTTGAAGCCATGGACTTCATTGATCGCCTACTAGTAAAGGAAAGAAAATCTCGGATGACAGCTGCTGAAGCGCTTAATCACGTGTGGCTAAAACAGCAGACGGAAAAGACCAGCACCAAAACCATTAAGACCTTAAGGCACAGGCGTTACTATCAAACTCTAGTAAAGAAGGAGTGGAACACAGTTGTGTCAGTAGCCCGCATTTCCTGTGGAGGCGCAATTAGATCCCAGAAAGGCATAACAGTGGCTAAAGTTAAAGTTGCCCCAATAGACATTGGGCCTATTGCTGGGCAGATAAAGCATAATGTTGCAGAAGAAGGAGGCCATGCCAAATATGTATGTACAATTGAAAACTATGATGAGTCCACACAAGTCACATGGTACTTCGGTATGAGGCAATTAGAAAGCAATGAGAAATACGAAATCAAATATGAAGATGGTGTGGCAACCATGTATGTCAAAGATGTTTCTAAATCAGATGATGGTACCTACAGATGCAAGGTGGTGAATGATTATGGTGAGGACAGCTCTTATGCAGAACTTTTTGTTAAAGGTGTGAGAGAAATTTCTGAGCACTACAGATGCAGAACTGTTAGAAAAGTGAAACGAAGGGTTGATACTATGAGACTATTAGAGCATCCCCCAGAATTTACTCTGCCTTTGTATAACCGCACTGCGTATGTTGGAGAAAATGTCAGGTTTGGAGTAACTATAACAGTTCACCCAGAACCTCGCTTAACATGGTACAAATCAGGCCAGAAAATCAAACCTGGGGATGATGATAAGAAGTATACTTTTGAATCAGACAAGGGTCTTTATCAGCTTGTCATCAATAATGTCACTGAAGAGGATGATGCTGAATACAGTATTGTGGCACGCAATAAATATGGTGAAGACAGCTGCAAAGCTAAGCTGACTGTGATTCCACATCCCCCTCCAGCAGATGCCACACTCAGGCCAATGTTTAAAAGACTGCTGGCAAATGCTGAATGTCAAGAAGGCCAAAATGTCAGTTTTGAGATCAGGGTATCTGGTGTGCCAAAACCAACGCTGACATGGGAGAAAGATGGTCAACCTCTATCTTTTGGTCCTAACTTTGATATAATTCATGAAGGTTTAGATTACTATGCTTTGCACATCAGAGATACTTTACCAGAAGACAGTGGCTACTACAGAGTTACTGCTACAAACAGTGCCGGATCTACCAGCTGTCAGGCTTATCTAAAAGTTGAACGCTTGAAATACGTCAAGCGTGAGTACAAGACAGAAGAAGAGCGGGAGAAACATGTACAGAGGCAAATTGACAAGACCTTACGAATGGCAGAAATCCTTTCTGGGGTTGAAGCTGTTCCACTGACACAAACTGCACAAGAGGCTCTCAGAGAAGCTGCTATCTTATATAAACCAGCTGTTAGCTCAAAGACCGTTAAAGGTGAATATGAAATTCAGAAAGAAGAAAAGAAGGAGAAGGAGGAAAGGAGACTTCGTATGCCATATGAGATCCCAGAGCCTCGCAAACATGTGCGTGCTGCTCTTGAGGAAGATCAGCATATTAAACACTATGTGCCACTGTCAGACATGAAGTGGTACAAGCGGCTGCGAGACCAGTATGAAATGCCAGGAAAACTTGAGAGGACTGTTCAGAAACGCCAGAAACGCATACGTCTTTCCAGGTGGGAGCAATTCTATGTGATGCCGCTGCCTCGCATTTCTGATCAGTACAAGCCTAAATGGCGCATACCAAAGCTGACACAAGACGATCTTGAAATTGTGAGACCAGCACGCCGGCGTATCCCATCTCCAGAGTATGAATATCACTATAGACCAAGAAGGCGGTCGCTTGGTGACTTATCTGATGAGGAATTGCTCATGCCAATAGATGATTACTTAGCCATGAAGAGAACTGAAGAGGAAAGACTGCGCCTTGAAGAGGAGCTGGAGTTAGGCTTTTCTGCTTCCCCACCAAGTAGAAGCCCCCCACGCTTTGAACTGTCTGCACTTCGATATTCTACTGCAGGAGCACAGGTCAGTTCAGAGGAAGAAAGAAAAAGAGAGCTGAGGTATTCAAGTTATCACATTCCAACTAAAGCTGAGACAAGTGCAAGCTATGCAGAGCTTCGTCAACGTCATGACAGGGCTGCCTACAGACCACCTAAACAAAAGCAAAGAATAATGGATGAGCGGGAGGATGAAGAATTGCTCCGGCCTGTTGGCACTGATCAGCGACTCTCTGAATACAGGAGTGAGCTCAAATATATGGCAGAGGAAGAAAAGAGTAGACTCAGGAGAAGGAGGGAAAGAGAAATAACTGAGATCACATCAGAAGAAGAAGAAGAAATAGAAATGGTGCAATATGCTCACAGGGAATTTTCACCTCCCTCTAGATTATTAAGGAGAAGAAGATCTCTTTCTCCAACTTACATTGAGCTGATGCGTCCTGTATCTGAATTAATTCAACCTCGCTCACGGCCTCCTGAAGAAAGTGAGAGAAGATCCCCAACACCAGAGAGAACTCGACCACGATCACCTAGCCCAGTTTCTAGTGAAAGATCTCTCTCCCGATTTGAGAGGATGGCAAGATTTGATATATTTTCTAGATACGAGTCCATGAAATCTGCTCTGAAAACTCAAAAAACTATGGAAAGGAAATATGAAGTTCTGACTCAGCAGCCTTTCACCCTTGACCATGCTCCTCGCATTACCCTGAGAATGCGCTCACACCGAGTACCGTGTGGCCATAATACTAGGTTCATTCTAAATGTCCAGTCAAAACCAACCGCCGAAGTGAAGTGGTACCACAATGGTATTGAGCTCCAAGAGAGCAGTAAGATTCACTTTACCAATACGAGTGGTGTATTAACTCTGGAGATTCTCGACTGCCACATTGATGACAGTGGAACATACCGAGCTGTATGCACAAACTACAAAGGGGAATGCTCTGATTATGCAACACTAGATGTTACTGGAGGAGATTACACTACATACTCTTCCCAGAGGAGAGATGAAGAAGTACCAAGGGCAATTTTGCCTGACTTGACAAAAACAGAGGCATATGCAATCTCCTCGTTTAAGAAAGCATCTGAAACAGAAGCAAGTTCCTCAGTAAGAGAGGTCAAATCAGAAGTGTCATCAACAAGAGAGTCACTTTTATCCTATGAACACTATGCTGCTTCTGAAGAAAAAGTCACTGCAGCTGAAAAAAAATCACTGGAAGAAAGGACTTCACACAAAGCATTTAAAAGCACTCTGCCAGCAACAATCCTTACAAAGCCACGGTCAATCACAGTTTCTGAAGGGGAGACGGCAAGATTTTCCTGTGATGTTGATGGTGAACCAGCACCAACAATAACATGGCTCCATGCAGGTCAACCTATTGTTTCTTCAAGGCGCTTCCAAGTAACACGAACACAGTACAAGTCTACCTTTGAAATTTCTTCCGTCCAGATATCAGATGAAGGAAGTTACACTGTTGTGGTGGAAAACTCTGAAGGAAGACAGGAAGCCCATTTTACTTTGACCATTCAAAGAACAAAAATTCCTGAAAAAACAATTACATCACCTCCAAGGATCAAATCTCCTGAGCCTCGTGTAAAGTCACCAGAGCCAGTTAAGTCCCCTAAACGAGTGAAATCTCCTGAACCCATCAGCAGTCCCCCAAAAGCTAAGTCACCACCTGGAGACAAAATGGTATCAACAGAGAAAGTACAATTACCAACTGCTTCTACACCAAAGATAAAACAGCATCTGAAAGCAGAAACTCTTGGAGATAAGGTAAAGTTATCCTGTGCAGTTGAAAGCAATGTTTTAAGTGTCAGAGAAGTGGCATGGTATAAGGACGGTAAAAAACTGAAAGAAGACCATCATTTCAAGTTTCATTATGCAGCAGATGGCACTTATGAGCTCAAAATCCATGAGCTCATGGAATCTGATAAAGGAGAATACACCTGTGAAATTATTGGTGAAGGAGGTGTTTCAAAAACTAACTTCCAGTTTACCGGCCAAGTATTTAAAAATATCTATTCCCAGGTAAGAGGTGTAACTGAATCTCATAAAACAGTTCAGAAAGAAGATGAGTTACTTATGGTTTCTAGCCAGAAGAAATCAGTAGTGGCAACTGAAGAGAAATCTGCAGTTCAAGAAGTCATTAAAAAGTCAGTCGTTACAGAAGATGTCAAACAAATGAAAGCAGAAATTACAGCTTCTTCAACTAAAATGACAATGTCTGAAGGGCAAAAAGTGACACTGAAGGCCAACATTCCTGGTGCCTCTGAAGTAAAATGGGTGCTGAATGGAATGGAGCTGAGAAATTCAGATGATTACAGATATGGTGTTTCTGGAAGTGATCACACGCTAACTATCAAAAAGGCCAGTAATAAGGATGAAGGTATACTCACCTGTGAGGGTAAAACTGACGAAGGCATTATTAAATGCCAGTATGTTGTGACCCTTTCTAAAGAGCGCTCCAGTGAACCAGCATTCATCATGCAGCCTAAGTCTCAAAATGTCAATGAAGGACAAGACGTATTGTTCACCTGTGAAGTTTCTGGGGAGCCTTCTCCTGAAGTTGAGTGGTTAAAGAATAATCAGCCTGTAAGTAATCATTTAATATGTTTACTTGGAAAAATAGAATTATTCATTAAATTTATCTTAATGAAATCATTTTTGTTTCCCTCCTTAGATTGCAGTTTCATCGCACCTCAGAGTATCCCGCTCTAAAAATATATATTCTCTTGAGATTCGAAATGCTGCAGTGAGTGACACTGGAAAATACACAGTCAAGGCAAAAAATTACCATGGGCAGTGTTCTGCTACAGCATCTTTGACTGTACTCCGTAAGTTTGTTCTTCAGATCTTGTGTTCAGAATAGTCACAACTTTTTGCTGTGGTGCGTCTACTAAAATGACTTACGATAAAATCCACTGGCAGTGTTGACTTCAGTATTTAAGACATTCAACTTTCTTTTGTATATTACATATGCAGCCCTAAAACAGCACTAGAAATCTTTTTAACACCCAGAGTAGCACAGACATGCTCTATTATATCAACAGGTGCATGGTAAGAGAAAGCTATGAGTATTTCTTCTAGGATGAGTATGTTAAGACCTTGGTGCTGGTAATTATTCTTTCCTCATTTACTAAAAATTCTTTCCTCATTTACTAAAAACATCTGTTCCAATAAAATTAAGTCATTCCACAGTTAAAGATTTTATGGCAACTTAATTGAACTGGGTTTACTATTTTATTGGCTATACCATATCCCAATTCCTAGCATCAAGGTGTGGTTGTGATTGCTTGCATGACTGTGTTTGGGTCTAAAGCAAAGCTGCAGTGACTGAGCTTTCCTGTTGCCCTTTATAGCTACAAAACAAGGCAGTGAAATACAGATTTTACTATTTTGTGGTTTTTTAATACCTGAAAAGGTTTCACAGCTTCTACAAATAATGAACTGGGCACACACAATTAATTTCTCAGTATCTAATTCTAATAATGGTTCTAATAAGAAACACTGTGTGATAACCTGTTTTTTTTCTTAAGTATGTATGGTTTTCCTTGAAGCTCATACATACTGTAAGTTTCATTGCCTATTTTTTAATTTCTAAATTTCTGCTCGTGATTTGGATATCTTGACTCAAGTGATTGATTGTAAACAAGTGTATACTCCACTGCAGTTTTCCATTGAAAGCAAAGTATGCCATCTTCATTTCTGTAAAATTAACCATACAGAACTGCATGACTTTGTTAGTTAATGTGATGTTGTTGCTTTTTCCTTCTATGTTTGCAATGCTCCTCAGCTCTAGTTGAAGAACCTCCGAAAGAGGTAGTATTGAAGACCAGTGGCGACGCAAGCATGCACGAAAGTTTTTCTTCTCAGTCCTTTCAAATGGCTTCTTCTAAACAAGAGGCTTCATTCAGCAGTTTCAGCAGTAGCAGCATGACTGAAATGAAATTTGAAAGCATGTCTGCCAAAAGCATGTCCTCCATGAAAGAATCCTTTGTAGAGATGAGCTCCAGCAGTATTATGGGGAAATCTAGCATGGCTCAACTGGAGAGTTCAACTAGTAAAATGCTTAAATCAGGTCTGAGAGGTGAGCATTACAATTCTTGGTAGAGTTAGTGCTTCGGCTATCCTGAAGTAGTCCTCAGAGTAAAGCTGCTTCATGGCTTAGCGAAAACAGACTAACTTGGTATTTCTTCTCTGATTTTTTTAAAGGAGTACCACCCAAAATCGAAGCTCTCCCATCTGACATCAGCATTGAGGAAGGAAAAGTTCTCACACTATCCTGTGCCTTTTCGGGTGAACCTGCTCCTGAAATAACATGGTACTGCAGAGGGAGAAAAATTACGAGTCAGGACCAGCAAGGCAGATTCCACATTGAAACCAGTGAAGATCTAACCACCCTGATCATCATGGATGTCCAGAAGAACGACGGTGGACTTTATACTCTGAATTTAGGGAATGAATTTGGTACCGATTCTGCCACTGTGAATATAAATATCCGATCACCTTAGAGAGTTTAATCTGTATTATTTACACTTGTATTTTTACAAGTGATTCATATATGGACTGAAATATCTAATATGTAAATATAAAAGAAAAATATTTTTTTACCTACCTGAACAAGACAAAGTCCAGATCTATACATTATGACTTATAGTCATTATTGACCTAAGAATTTAAAACACTTTTTTCACTGACATGTACATACTGTATATAGCCGAAGTTAACGGTTATGAAGTTTTGTACCGTTTATTTTATGACATTTTGAAACGTAACTTTTGGAACTAACAGTTGGTAGGGGAAAGTTTCCTAGCAAATGACTACCCTGCTCAACATTTAACTAATTTTTGCGCCTCAACTCATTGTTGATGTCTAAGAATGCCTCAACAGGTAGAGAAGCTCCCTGTTGAAGATTACCTATGCCTAAGACATGATACTGTGCACAGTATTTCATACGTGCACAAATATTTATGTTGAATCAGAAATGTAAGGCATTGGTGATGTTTGCAATTACCCTCCTGTAAGCATTGCTTTAATGTTTTACATTGGATCTGATTATGTCATAATTTTCATACCTGATTGACAATTTCTGGACAAAGTGCAAGCGGCCAGCACTTTGTTCACCCACTGTGTACTGTTTCTGACACATTGACTGCCTGAATAGCTTTTAAAAAAGTAACATCACCTGGCCATCCCCTTAATCAACAGAGCTATTTAGGTATTCAAGTGCAGCAGCAGTACCCCATCTCGGAGGTTCTTAGGGTGCAGTGATTGAGTTTGTGTGGTAGTATTAGACACCCAGTAGTCACTTCCGGGCAACTAAGCAATGAACCACAGTTTGAAAACAAACTGTTGCTACAACATCAAATACCAGCCTGCACTTCAATTTGCTTTAGTTCTCCTAATGTAGTAATAGAGCTTGGTAGCTGTTGAACCTCCTTGAGATAGAATTGTTCATTTGAAATAAAGCATGCTTTCTGCACCATAAAAGTCTGTGACTCCTTCTTTATTTATTATGCTGCTTTTACAGTTCCTGTACTACACTACAGAAAAAGAGTTGCTGAAACAAAAGATGAGGTAGAAATGCAGTTCTCCAGTGTAAACCAGGTTGACAATCCAGCCATCTGTCACAAACAGCCTATCCACCAACCAGCCTTGGAATGTTACTTTAAAAAAAAATGTTCTTCACAGGTTCCTTATTGACAAAGGACAAATTCTAGCACATGCCTAAGCATTGTGCTGTTCTTACAGTTCTGTTATTTCCAGGCTTTCCTCTACACCATCTTGGTTTTTTGGCAGCTTCAATCTGTACAGACTGATTGACCCTAACTGCCTGGACCAACAAGTTGTCACCTTCAGTGCGTGATTCATCAGTTCTTCATCCCACAAGTCAGCTGACATATCTGTCAGAGCAAAGCCTGTCTTCACATTTGGGGGGTTGTGGGAGGGGTTGGGATATGTTATCTGTGGAGAAAAGAGTATCAAGGTCAAAGGAGCAAGTCTGCTTCTAGAATTCACTTAGTAGAAGAAGCTTGAGAGCAAACACTTTCACAGAAATGCAACACTTCAAGAGCTGTAAAATTCTCTGAAGTGCAGCAAGAGCATTACTTAGCAAACACGATGCATCGCTGTGACTCTCAGCATACCACTAATACTAAAAAAAAAATAAAAAAAAAAAAAGACTCAAATTCATCAGAAGTAATGAAGCAGATAGAATGTTTTAAAACCTATTCCAGAAAGACTCACTGTAGAACCTTTTTTTTATACTTTCCCATAACCCTATATATTATCACTATCTATCCAAATTATGCAGGAAAGCTAAGAAATAGGGACAAAACAAGGACTAAGGTAAAAATAAGGATTTCAGAAGAGCTAAGCTCTGGGTCAGGACAAAATCCAAACTTTTTCAAGTGATGGAAGCAGTAATTATAAGTATGAAAGAGTTTAAGAGTGCATGGTGTTTCTTGCTTAAGGAGAAAAGTTAAAAAGAATAAAAATTAAGTTCAAATGGCTGTGTATTTTAATCTTTAAACCATCCAAAGAGAAAAAAAAAACCTCAAGAAAGTTTATAATTCTCATTTCTTCATATGTTTAAACTCCAACCAACAAACTCAAGACAAAAATGTGTAGGCACAGTCTTGTTTAGCTAACAAGTAACTTGTGTACACAGGCACATAATAAAACTAACACTAAAAACGCAGTAGATATTTAATCATCTCAGCAGAAAGAGATAAGTTATAGACGGCATCTGCAGCATCTGCATGGCCTCTTCTACACAAAGGCTACAGGAAACTTAAGTCTCACATGGCCTCTACTGAGTCTCAAAACACTCAGTTTTGAAGAGGAAACACAATGGTGTGACAGTGTAAGCAAGTTCATCCTGCCAGTACCTCTGGCCCAACTCTGCACAGCACTTAAGCAAGTACTTTCAGCAGCTGAGTCACTCATGTCTAAAAATAGGATTTAAAATACTTAGGGACTTTGCTGAAACACAGCTTGAATAGATAATGTTGCAGGCCGACCAGCTGAGCCAGTGTTTTTCCACAAGACTGCTAAGCAAATGCCAGCCTAGAGTGACATTGCTGAAGTCACAACTGAAAGCTTCAGTATTCCATTTCATAGAACACATCTCTATGAATAACATTTTTCAAAACAATAGATCAAGCAGTCTCTGGATGAAAATAAATAAACATTTGGAATTATTGACTTACTATATCCAGGTCAAGTACTGGGATTTCTAACTATGTAAGCTGACATTTGCTCTCTTAGATAGACAGATAGATAGATCAGATCTACTGTGCTATAGAACCAAGGTTACAAAAATATCCCACCACTGATATAGTGTATGAAAGCATTTGGCACTCACTGATGCATAAGGAAAAACTTTTTAACAAAGCTCTGTGAACTGCTGTATAAATCCTTCTAAAAAGCTATGTATTTTCTACTAACACTTTACATGTGGCAACCTGAGAAAAATAACTGTAATGGTGAAGAGCCATAATAACACTGAGAGATTAATTTTATTGCATTTTAGCTAGTTTTCAGACATAGACATTTCCTTTATTCAAGTATCACACCCCTTTTAAAAGTTTCTAATTTGCGCCAACAGGAAAAAGAGCTACACTAGAATACTTAGGGATGGAGCAAAACTCAAGTTTATAATTTGTGAGGATAACCTTAACAGAAACAAATAGGTGATTTCAATTTTTAAGAAAGGAATAACAATTTTTGCAGAAGCAATCACTGAAGTATTCCTATCCCAAAGATTGCTTTCTCTGAGGAAAAATAAAGTTAAAAAAGTAAAACTGAATTACTAAGTTGAAAGACATAATAACATTAATTTACAGTACTTTAAAGCCCCTGAACATTGCAATCTCAGTATTCACAGCTCTCCAAATCACTGAGTGCCTTACCATTAATTCTTTGTAATTGAAGCTGGTAATTTCTAAGCATTCTACTTATAATTATCTGATGTTAGGAACTTCAGAGATATAATTGAAGTTACCACTTTTCATCTAAATTTTTATCCCATGCTTACATTCTCTAAGTGATGAAATTTGAGCTATTTTCAGATTGATCTCTTCAGAAGCACATGAGATCAAAACTAGAAGTACCAACTACCTATGCTGTTAAGGTTCAGCTCTCATTCTGCACTAGCAAGAATGATACAATCAGGCATTCCTGATAAGCTCTCCCATAAATATGGAAAATAACTATGTAAGAGCAGCCAGGTATTTTTTAGTCTTTCTTTGCATGGATCATTGTGATTCAGCCAGACAATTTTCAGAAATTACTTCTTAACTCCAGTTACCAAAAATATGACAACATATTATCTTCACTAATTTCACTGAAATATATTTTTGGATGTTTGGCACAGGTATCTATAAAAAGGCTGATTTAATAGAAACATATCACACATATACTGATAAAGCTGAAATGATGGCCTTGTGGACCTAGAAAAACCCCAGAACAGCACTGAAGCAATTACATGCCAATTTTATTCCTGGATGTGATCACAACAACTTTGTGATCAACAACTTTGTCTTGTGGCAGTATTTAAAATTATTACTTACTACTACATTCACTGATCAGTCTCACTTTGTTTTTGCACACCAGCCTCTCTTCGTAGCAGGTGGAAGCAGAAAAAGGTATTTGTCTTTGTGATGTGTAATTAACACTGCAGAAGCTGGCAGAAACCTCTGTGAAGTTTCAAAAAGCACTTCTGACGGCGTATTATTCAAGACAACACTCGCACTGCAGTATGTAGTTTACTTCTCTGAACATCTTCTTTAATACTTATTTTTACAATTGTCGTGTCATACAGAATACATTAAAGCAAACATTCAGAAAAAAAAATGTACAAGCATATGTGTGGCTGATATGCATATGCCAGTTTGCATGAAAACTGACAGAACTGAGCACAAATGACAGCTCTGAGCTGGTATCCACAAACCCCTTTTACAAACCATTCCATTCCACTTGAACTTGATATAATGGTTTACAAACTGGCATTTTATATAAGGCCAACAGCTCATATGTTTTTCCTCAACATTTGGACCTATTATGATTTAGATAAATCAACATTCCAAAAATTTAGAAGGAAAGCTCCCATTCCCATATGTTCTTTCTAGCCTGCTTCAAATCATTTATATACACAAAAGGAAGACTAGTTAAACGAAATTAAAGATCTGATTATAAAAACAGATTTTGGTATGTGCTTGAGTACAAAAAACCCTGTACATTTATTTAGCAATTGTGTAAATCAAGAACAGTAAATGGCTTGCTTCAAGTGCTCTACAGCTAAGACTTCATAGACCAAGTTCATCCCTAAACAAACACCCAAAAAATCCCCAAAACCTTACAATGCTAACATTAACAACCTTCTTGACCAAGGTGCTAGTAGGCACTATTGTACTATATTACTCATTAATTATTAAGAGAGTCAGACTCTGACCTCACTTACAGTTAATGCAAATTTACACTGATGTAACTGAGAGCAGAATCCATCTTCTGGTATATACCATCCTCAAATGATATAAAGGAGTTGCAAAAACAGACGCTCTCTTTTGTATAAATATGTCATAAATAAAACATATATAGATACAAATATTCATTACTACAGCAGCTTAGAACAGTCTAACATTTCAGCTCTTGTTTTTATCACACTTTGCTAAAAACACATCTTAAGTAAGCAGAGTAAATCTTAACAGCACTGTATTAATTATTTGTGATGCTACACACCCCAGAAACAATTTATGCACATTTTGAAGCTTTCAGTAGATCTTTAGAACTTTAGTAGTGAAAGTAGGTAGAAATTTTTTGATGCAAAAAAGAATAAATAAATAAAAACTATTAAATATCCCATGTTTGGTACAAATACTTCATATTAAGTTATTTTTATACATTTGTTTAGAAAAATACACTAAATATTTCTACTTTCATTGCCTAAAAATAAGGACTGGATTATGTATATCCTTGTGTTTTTAAAGGCGGTAATTGCCGTCAAGCTGCTGGAGCAGAGCCATTAGTGCCCATTCCCACAGCCCTTACACTGGCAAAAAAAAAGCCATTGTGGGGCTAATCACAGCTCCAGGTGGATGACCTGGTACAAATGACCACGAGGCCCATGGCACAAGTTGAATTTTCTCAAAAAAAATGAAAACTTTTTGCTGAATTTTATAATGCTTGTTTACTAACATATCAGTCAGACCTCCACACTTTTTTAAAAAGAGCTGCATTTACAAATGTGGATGCTTATCTGTTAAAGCCATCATTTGTTCCAAAAAATGCACATTCAAACTGTGAAATATTAGGAAAATACTCTTGCAAATAAACTATATAAAGATAAAATACACTTCAAAGATAGTATTTACTTTATTCTATAAAGTGCAGATAAATCCTTCTAAAAAGGGAAATAACTACTTCCTATAACAACAGTATAATTACAGCAGCTTTTGCATAGCATTATTTATAGAAAATTTAATACTTTCAGTTGCTTCAGGAGGAAAAGGATGAAAGAGTCTCTTCCAGTTCAGATCTTTCCTTTGACACTGATTTACTTTCTTCAGGAATGGTTGATGATACCAGATCTCCATTGACAGCACCTCTAGAACAAATGGCAGATCCTATAAAGAGATCAATTAAGTATTTAATTTTCAATCCCCAAAAGTATCATCCAATCCGTCAATTATTGTATTTGTAAAGTATTGCCTATATATAAGCAATCAGAAGAACTAGTTAAGTTAAAGTCTGCTTGAGAGGAATTATAATGGAGTGAAAATGCCAGCAAGATTCAGAAGGAAAAACCACTGAAGAATTGACTAATTCAGCCCATCTAATCAGGAGAGACTAAGTTCTGATCATGATCTTTATTATTGGCAAGGATGTGTGCCTTTGGAGCTGTGCTGTTCTCTACAAAAGGCAAGGAAGCCACTGAAATGAACGACCTTTCCACAATGCAGCAAGTGAACCATCCCTGCAACTCACAGAAGTCAAAAAAAGGTAATTTCTTCTGTGACAATAAGCAGGTGGCAAACAGCAATATTCCACATCACTTACCACATAATCATTCATGGGAACACACATCCCTTTTCTGGATAGGTCTTAATTTTATCTTGCCAGTAATCCCCCTGATTTCAATATAACTACTCCAGCTGCAAGATCATTTGTAATATGGATGCAAGCCAGCACACGTCAACCAGGTAACAAACTATACAAGTGCTCTGATTTATAACACAGAAAGCTTACCAATAAAACATTTTTCCTCATGCCAATATCAGTGCTGCTCTAAACAGGGAAATAAATTGTACTGAAAGATACAAAAACTCCCTCCCTTTCAAACTTACTCTGAGAATCTTCAGAAAGTGTATCACTGTAAGAGTCTGTATCCGAGTATGTTCTTCTGCGCCGCTGAGAAAATCGGTGAAGAGATGAACCTGGTTCTTTTACAGAGTGATTAACCCTACAAAGGAAATGAGATCTATTAGTAAGCACAATCTGTAACAACCCACACAAATTTTATACACTTTTTGGGTTATTTCCAACCCAACCCATTTTATATACTTTAAATTGGAAATAACTTTGGTGCTTAGATTAAACTGTGAGTATCAGCGCTTTTTACTATAGTAGCCTACTATAGCAGACTAAAAATAGCACAGTCAGCAATCTTAATTTCACAACTGCAAAGCCTGAAAGTGGAAATAAAAATGAAGGAAACAATCTGAGAAACCAAAATACTGACTGGAAAAGAATGTTAGCATTTCAAGCTCTAATTTAATGAACTTGTCAAAACAAGCCATTTGCATAAAGCTTCTAGCAAGACAAAATTTTGATACTGTATTAAAAATAGCAGCTGCCAGCAATAGCTGACAATCTGCACCTTTTGTTTTTAAAATTAGATCAATTTATGATTTTTAATTTTTTCTCCAAGCAAACAATTCTTCTCACATTTTGGTTTTAATGCTAGCAAGTTCAGGGAGGTCTCTTGAGACACAAGAAAAAAACTTCAGGAAACTGAAAATTACCTTTCTGAATAGCAAGGACCAGGGTGGCTAATGGAACGCTTCATCTAGGGGAAAAAAAATTCCAAAGAACAAACAATACCAAAAATGTCACAAGCTACTCAGAAGAATGATATGGATATCTACATTACTCCTTACTTTATTTACAGTCTTTACAAAGAGAGGTGGCAGTATTTTTTTTTATAAAAAGCAACCACTCTCAGTTAAAATTCTGAATAACTATTTTGAAACAGATGGACCAATATTAAAAGTTTTAGAACATTCACACAGGAAATAGTTTACTATAAAAAGATGCTACCTCCTATCTATGGAATTCATTCCCTCTTGCACTGAAGCTCCTCAAGGAGCCATTGTTAATTGCTATGATATACAGAAGTACGAAGACATTTTTCCTTTACCAAATGGAAGTTCAAATTCCTCATTACACCATAAAGCCAAATTATGCCTCTTGATTCCTTGTGGTTTCTCTGCTATACTGTCAAATCTCTAAGCATATAAACGAAAGTTACTATTTTAAATCATAATGATCAGGTTTGTAAGGAAATTCATTGAAGATAAAGAGATGAAAGATCCATATGGAAAGAAAGGGATTCCCACAACAGAATTGCACAAAAAGCTCATCTTGGAATACATACAGAGAACTGAGAAAGCATATGATTCCCCATACATTGTCCTTCTAAGGGAATTAATTAATAGTGAATAGTTATGCAAGTAATATCTTTATCATTATATATCTTTTTGTTAAATAACGGAATGAAATATTAATACAAACATCTTGAATTACGTACACTGAAACATATGCTATATTGCTGAAGTGCTTCAAGTCACAAAGCACTTAAACAGGAGGTGAAGTTATGTAATTTTTACGATCAGTGTATAGTTAGCACTCTAAAAAAACCAAACAGTTGAACTGAGGAAAAGTTAAACCTCATTCATTTATGAGATACCTCATTATAGGGCCTTGACACATATGATAAACTACACTGATGATGTAAAGGCTAGCAAACTGCGAAGCAAAAGACTTGAGAATGAAAAACTGATTTATATTTGGGACCAGTACTGATTTATAACTCAGTCAAGATTTCAACTGTGGACAACATAGCACGTAACAATAGCATAGCGTTCTGCCACTCCTCCCCCCAGTCTAACCACCAGTATGACACTTAGAAAAGATAGTATTCCAAAATGTCTAAACCATTTGAATAGGTGATGGTGACACAGGAGAAACCAAGGGATCAGGGTGAGGCAGCTGGAACATTTCTGGCTTAAACTTGGCATTAGCAATCCTCACACAATCTTCAAGTGTTGTGATAAACGTATTACATGTGGCACTAAGCAGGGAAGAGGCTTCATTCATGTTCTGAAAGTAAATTAAAGTACAAGCATAAGCAAGAAAAAAAAATAAAATATTCAAATACAACTTTCCTCCACCACCTCTCCCAGACACACTAATTTCCATCATTACACTAAAAATTTGTATTTCCCACTTTTTTAATCAAACGTACACCTTACCATAAGGCAAATTTAAGAAAACACGTGACAACATCGGAATTTCTTTCTGACATCTGAATTTCTTTAGGGTACCAGCCAACAATGCCTTACTGCAAAGCTTGTCTCAGAGTGACTAACTGGTATCAGAAGATCATTCAGTGAAACAAGTGAATTGCAGAAGAAGGTGTGAACAGTTTTATCACTCTAGAGCAAGGAGCTGCAGGTCCATTTCACCTCCCTAAACTGAAAACTTGCTCTATTGTGACTATCAAGCCCTGGCACTGAAGGACCAACAACATAGTTCACACGCTGCTCAAGACTGCAAAGAATGAAGTCATTCACAATTTCCAGTCCTTTCATTCAAAAGCAGGAACACATTCTAGTATTGCACTTGTGCACATAGAGAGATAAATATCTAATCTACACTGCATGTTTCCAATGCCTGGAACACTAGCTTTCACTGATAAGAAAATGGAATACCACCCCACATAAGAAAGTAAGAATGGACAAACTAAGATTGTTTTAACTATTTGAACAGAGATGCAAAACAAGACAAAATATTGTATTGCTCATATGATAGCTCTACTGGCCTTTCAACCAAATGGCTCAGGAACACAATTGGTTCCTAACACCTGGAACAACTGCAGTTAAACCATCTAGGTACTTTACACACAGAAAATCACTATTAGTACATCTACACACAAGCATTCAAAAATTGACATTAGGTTACGTCTCCCAACACTGGGGAGATGAATAAAGTTTAAGACAACAACAGTAACTTGAGGTGTATTATATAATGGAATGAAAATAAATTCTAGAATTGTGCACCTCAATGCTGGGAGGAGAGCGAGTATCATCATGGTGAACAAATTCTTGTATGGTATGAACTTGCTGCATTAAAAGATCACAGTAGAGACGAAGTTCAGACATTTTGGTTTTAAGAGATTCATTGGTCTCACTTATTTCTATGGAAAAAAAATGGAAATATCAATTTATTGCATACAATGTAATTTTTGTGTATTGCATACACATTGTAATTTTTAAGCACTTTTCATTTAAAGATCAATTTAAAAATCCACTTCAACTTCCACTTGATTTTGAGGAAAACTGGACTCTGAAATGAATCAAGAATTATACTTGAAGCAAAAAATACTTTTGGATAACTGGTGCTAATTGAATTACTATTATGAAAAAGGCACATAATCAGGAAAAATAACGTTGAAATCTTTCTTGGCTGCCATATAATGTTGAAAGAAATACTGGATAAAACTTCTGCCACCCACCAGAGTGGATGGAAACAGTTACATTAAGCTGTTCAAGAGAAATTATGGAAAAAATAATAGTTACTATAAAGAGTTACTGTAACATCAGAAATGAAATGTCTTCAAAACAAATACAAACAATATGTTTACTCTAGTGACAACAACACCTTGTAGTATTTCAGCTTCTTAAGATACAAGAGGTCAATGCAGGTGACCTCTAACTCTAATACTGAGGGGGAATTTACCATAGAGATGACTACAAATAATTACAATTTATATTAAAAGACAATAATACTGACTTTGTACCACAATATTTGCACTATGATTATCTGAAGAAGTGTTACCTAGTAACTAGTTACTCTAAGTAACACACGTACCTTTTTCTTTTTTTGTTCTGGTATCTGCTAGACAGGCTTTTGCACTCCCCAGTGCTACCAGCCATCTTTGCCTTTCAGCTGCATTAACTGCTTTCATATAGAAATGCTGCTCCCCTGGGATGATTAGCTCCATTCTTGTGTTGTCTGTTGCATGAACTTGTGATAGAAGAGAAAAAAAAAAAGGAAATAATAACCTCAACTAAGTAACAATCATTTATTAAATACTGCTCAAAGTGTTTTAAAATGCTTATGATAATCCCACAGTAATACAGTAAATCACAAAGCACCACTGTTAAGTAAGGAAAAGCCCAAAGCTGCTCAGCCTTTCTCCCCCTTTCCTTCGCCAAAAGAACAAAATAACAAGCAAAATCAACTGGAATGGCAAAAATAAAAAAAAATTTAAAAGTTGTTCTCCCCTCTTTACATCACTGATTTCATCTACACTAAAAAAACACTAACAAATAGGAGCTACCACACGAAAAATACTTGGTGGCCCATGTAAAATAAGTTCCACTCTAATATCAAAGTACCCACATCACAAGCTGAGTCGCCTGTGAGGATCTGGAAAAAAGTCGTAGTCAACTGCTAGAAAACACCTTGCTATTAGCCTAGAGGTTGACCTACAGTTAGGAATACACTAAAGATTAAACTCTTACTTTGGAACAAACCATTCACTTACTGTCTCAGATACACCCATCACCTGTGCATGTGCGCAGCTGCTAACAGTGACAAAAGGAAAAATTACTCATGAAACCAAAAGACCAAACACTTTGGTTTATAAGAATCTCCACTTTTGAATCACTGCTGCTGCTCTTCTGGAAAGCTGGCTTTCATGATTCAGTCTCTATCTCTGGTAATAAGAGGAAAAAGCAGAACTAAGCAGCTAGCTGACATAACTTCAGGCATGAACCATGTGCACACAACTATTAAAAACAAAAAGTAACAAATGGTGTGTTCTTAATCTCAACACAGAACTCTATTCACTATTATCATTCATTAATAATCCATTATTATCTGTGATAATAAATATTATTAATATCTGTGATAATTCATTATTATCTGTGAACTATGAAGCTAACACACTGGACTATAGGTAAACAAAAATAGAGGACGAAAAACATGTGATGCAAAAATGTATGGTTGGTGATCTTTTCAATTTCCATGGCAGCTAAAATTTTCTCAAGCAAAAATCTATTCATTCTTACCTTTTATTTCACACACAGCCATCTTTATACTTCCTTTGCTGCCTTTGCAAACATCATCCTGGGAATCATAGTATGACAATATCCCATTGTCTAAAACAAACCACCGAGGCTGCCAACCTAGAGAGACCAAAAATGTGAAATAGAAAAGTTTAGTCTAATTCCTAAATTGAAAATAAAATTCATCTCTTTCGCTGTTAAAACTTTAAGAAAAGAGGCAAACATTAAATTATTCTTGTAACACGCCAGGAAGTAATCAATCTGTGCAGTCTGAAGACCAAAGCCACTCTATAACCAAACTAGTGTTATATGGATATTCCACTCCCATTCTTTTTGGGTGCAAGATTTTTCTTCTGTTTTCACTGTATTCCATTCTAGAGAAAAATTAAATTTTAATTTATCCACCACAGAGTCCTGTTTTGAAGGCTGTTAAATTACACACCTTTGAAAACCCACTCTCATTCAAATATATTTTTCAGGCAGATTTTTCTAAGACTGTAGGAACTTATTTGTAAGACACAAATAAATGAATGATACCATCAACTGCTATGCTATGTTGTACTTTAGCTACTGTATTTCAGTGAAAATTTTATATTTCACATTTATGTATTGCCACCTTCTCCATTTCTACAAATAACACAGCACTAAAATATTCCAGTAGAGCATAACAATTACACTGGCCCATTATACTCTGGGACAGCTGTACAATAGGAGCAGATTATCCCTCCGTTTTACGACTTGACACCAAACTTTAACTTCCTGCTTGGTTTAGGATTTGGAATGGCAAAAACTGTGTGGCTAAGCCCTGTGGGTATTTGGCAACATGACAGTGGCCCAGGGTGCTTTCCAGCTGCCATCCAGAGTGAGCTGAGGCCATCCAGCAGCAGTCTATTTTAACACAGGAGGCTGAATCAGGTACCAGACTCAGAAATCAGCTACAGGATTCATATAATTCACAGCATTATAGAATCATTAAAGGTTGGAAAAGATCTCCAAGATCAACTCGTCCAAACTTTAACCAACCACCACCTTGTCAACAGGACCAGAGCACTAAGGATCACATCCAGTTGTTTCTTGGACACCTCCAGGAACAGTGATAACCACCTCCCTGGGCAGTCTGCTCCAGTGTGACCCTTTCCATAAAGAATGCTCTCCTGATGCCCAACCTGAACCTCCCATGGTGCAGCTTGAAGCAGTTTCCTCTCATTTTGCCACTTGTTATCTTTAAGTGGCTGAGCCTGACCTGGCTCTAACCTCCTATCAGGGAGTTGTAGAGAGATAAGGTCACCCCTGAGCCTCCTTTTCTCCAGGCTGTGCCCCTCAGCTGGCACAGCTGGCCTGGTATGACTCGCTCTCTAGACCCTTGGCCAGCTCCACTGCCTTTCTGTGGACGCTCCAGTACCAGCTTCATTACAAGTTGTAACACTAATTCAAGAAGAGTAAGACCAGGCTGCATTAAATCACATTACCATTCCATGATAAAGAAAGAATAACATGTAACTGCACATTGTTTCTTTTTTGTTGTTTACTAGCTGCAAGAGTAAGCATACATGTCTTTTTAAATGCAGTGATAACTAAAAAGCACATCCACACTCAAATTTAAAAGCAGAATGTTAAGAACTACAAACTCTAAAGGCTAAGAACTCACACAGGAAAAACTTCAAATGGTGTATGTATTTCCACTCTAATACTCAAAGAATATGCAATTTAGAAGACTGTCCTGTAAAATGCAACTGAAAAATGTACGGTTCTTTTCTTCTGTTACATTCTGTTGCAAGACGTGGACTCTGTACTGGCCTTATCTCCTGTCAATGCCTATCAAAACAGTCTTATTCTGCTAAAAAGGGAACTTATATGAATGAATATTCCATCCTCACATTGTTCTAGTATTGGAAAAAAACAGAAGCAAAGGACTTTAAAGGCCAAGTGCCTCACAGAAGCAAGCCAAAGAACAAAAACACCTCTTGTAATTTGAAACTGGGCAGCATCCTACATTTGAGAAAATATTTAACAAATTTGTACTTCACAAATTGTTATTTGAGGAGGGGGGAAAAAAAAAAAGCAGCTGTATTTCTGGTTTGCTTTTAATGAAGGAAGAAACTAAATGTTTTCCACAACACTTCAGCAACAGTAACAAGCTCCTTTGCTGTTTGGTAATGACAAGTACTACAGCCTATTTTCAGGCACAAAACCAGATACTATACAGATAATAGAGTAACAAGGCAAATGATAATAAAATTTAAACATTTCACTAATTAAGATTACTTTTTACAAAAATGCTGCCCTCCTCATTCTGAAGATTGTAGGTAATCCCTGACACACTAATTTTGAAATGCAGGAGCAGATGCTCTCTGTTGGCCAGCACAAGCCTAAGGAAGGGTTCTGAAGTTCACTGGTTTAGAGGACTGCTGGCTTTCAGCAGAAGTTAGCCACATGCTGACAGTCCATTGTATATATAGCATTCACAGCAACCGTTGAGTGTTTGCTTATTAAATAACAGCCTTAGAAGAGGAGCAAACACCACAAGAGTTCATTGCCTTTATCCATTTATCTTTTCCTACGGCAATGTTTTCAGTCACATAAGTGAAAGTGACAACTTTCATTGTTTTGAAAACAACCTTGTTCTCTCTCTCCTAACCACAACTTTTCCTTTATGAGTTTTCTCTGTAGTTACTGTGAAGTGACAAAGACATCAAATATCTATCTAATTACAGCACAACTGCTCCCTTTTACCAGAAGACCCATATCTGTGAGCACATAATTGCTCTGAAAAATGCAATATTATGCTCTGTACACTTTCACAGTACACCCGTACAATCCTCACAACCTGGCCCACATTTTATAATCCCTCAGAACCAAGTTTCACATGACTTCGCACTCACATCCTGCATATGCTGAAGCAGAATTCCCCATATGAAGTGCTGAAGAACCAGAGGGCAAAGAAGATACTGCCAAAGCACTGTAATAAAAGGCACGATTAAGCATGGTATGTGATCCAACACTGATCTGCTTGGGAGAGACAATTGGTCCTATCACAGTGCCAGAGGAGGAATGTTTTTCCTTGACACCAGTGCCTGCCCGCTGCCTGCTCCAGAGGGAGACAGTGTCTCTGTAACAGAGGAGGGTCAGCCAAACAAAACAAGGCAAATGCTGATATTCGGTGCACTTTTTGTCTGCAGCTCCTCCAAAAACACATTTAATGAAACTGATGTTCATCATGTGTTTTCCAGGCTGGGATACAGGAGCTCCCTGTGCTGATGAGTCTCTAACTCGGCAAGGCGCAATCCAGATCGCGGCAGAAGGCCAGGGCCGGGCACAGCTCCGTGCGGCTGCCGGGGCAGCGGGTTCGCTCGGCTCCGGCCCGGCCCGGGTCGGCCCGGCCCGCACCGAGCGAGAGTGGGGAGCGCTGGCGCTGCCCCGCCAGGCGCGTCCCCCGGCCCGCTCCGGAGCCGGCTCCAGGCCACCGCCGCCCCAGGGCCGCCTCCGCTGAGACGCTCGGCCGCTCGCCGGGGCTTGGCTCCGAGCACGAATGTCTCAGCCGACGCGTTACCGACAGCTCCGGCCGCCCGCAGGACGCCGGTAAGCCCCGAGGCGGA